GCCCACTCCCAACGCGACCGTCACCCTGATGACGACCGTTGTCACTTTGCCTGTCGGTTTTGATGCCACGACGACGCCGTATTCTGTTGCAGTGACTGCGCGAAATGGCGCGTCGCTGTGGTGTGCCCAACCGACGTACTCTCGCTCGCTGCAAGACTCGCGCCTGTTGCCGTATGCCGATGTCGTGTGTGCCTCCAACAACACAGTCAACCTGACTGGCAGCGTGCAAGTCCTTGACGGGTTTGTGGTTGGCTCGGACATTACCTACCAACCGTACAACGACACCTTCTCTGGCAACTTTGACTTTTCCAACTGGTGCAGCTCGCACTCGACCATCTGCAGCAAGTTTGTTCGTTTCGAATTCTCCATCAAGTCACGCTCGGGTCTGTCCGACGGAGATGTCTTGTGCACCCAATTCCTGCACGCGGTTACTGCCGACATGGCAACGCGAAGCGGTGTTGCGGTTGGCACTGTGCACAATCCCAACTTTAAGGCCTTCCCAACGCAAGTTTGCGGCGACTCTTTCAAGATGATTGAAGGGCAAGAGTACCTCTTCCAAGTGCGAGCGATTGCCAACGACGGCACGTGCTACCTGGCCAACTCGAATGGCGTCAAGGTGCTGGACTCTGCGCCTCGTGCTGTGCTGCAGCGTGGCTATCGCGTGCTTGATGGTCTTGTGCCTGACAAGGACTTGGACTACCAGTCGAGCTCGAGCTCCATCTCGGCATCCTGGAGCCAAGCCTTTGACACTTCCCCGCAGCTGCCCAACCGCTACGAGCTGGCTGTCGGCACACTTCCCTACTTGAACAATGTGCAGGACTTTACTCCTGTTGGCCAGCAAACCAATGTCACGTTCGATCTGGCGGCGCACGGCAAGTCGCTCTTGGTGGGCCACCACTACTATGTGACAATTCGCTGTTACACCGAGTCTGGCTTGTTTTTGGAGCGTGCCTCGGACGGCGTCATGGTGGACAACCAGCCGCCAATGGCCGGTGTTGTCGTGGACGGCTTGGGCCCGGAGGACGCCGACTACAGCAGCGATCCATACACTGTTTCTGCAATGTGGTGGGGATTCGAAGGGATGTACGCTCCGCTGGCCGAGTACTTCTGGGCGATCGGAACCACTCCTGGTGCTGACGACGTCCTGGAATTCACCTCGGTCGGCCTGCAAGTCAATGCCACGTTCGTCTCGCCCACGCCGCTGGCTGGCAAGCTGTACGTTTCGGTGTACGTGCTCAATGCTGTTGGCACCAGCAGCAGCGTTGTTGTTTCCGACGGCCTGGTGCCCGACGCGTCTGCACCCGACGTTGGCGCGTTGCTGCCGTTTGACCCCGAGCGCCATGCCCTGTGCACTCCGACTGTTTGTGCGCAGCGTGATCCGACGCAAATCATTGTCACATGGTCGAACTGGCGTGACATGCAATCCGGCATTGACCGCTTCCAGTGGGCCATCGGCACGCGGCCCGGCGGCACGCAAATCCAAGAGTATCTCGAGGTCGAAGGCGAGGCCACCAACGCGACCAACTCGGCCTTGGAGTTGCTTCACGGACAGGAGATTTACATTACGCTGGTGGCCATCAATGGCGCTGGTATTCGCGCCAAGATGACGTCGCAGAAGCTGCTCGTGGACCTCACGCCGCCCGCGCTGGGTCAGCTGAGGGACGGTCTCAGCACCACGGAAGATGCCGTCTACCAACCCACCAACGAGATTTCGGCCAACTGGGACGGCTTTGACGATCCAGAGTCGGGCATTCTCGAGTACCGCTGGGCGATCGGCACGGGCAAGGGACTTTTGAACGTGATGCCCATGACGTCGGTGGGTCTGGCGACCAGCGCGTCCTTCAACCTGACCTCTGGTGCTGACGGACTCAAGTACTTTGTGACGCTGGAGGCTGTCAACAACGTTGCAGCCATCACGGTGGCGCACAGCGATGGTGTCCAAATCACTGCCATCACACCAACCGTGGGCAGCGTGGTTATTTACGACTATCTTCGTGGCGCCGTCGAGTATCTTGCGGCCAACTCGTCCGTTCTGCTCGAGATTGAGGACTTCTCCGACCTGCACTCTGGCCTTGCCACCTACTCGTTCGCATTCGAGGAGCAACGCGGAGCTGACTGGGTGATGCTCGAGAACGGCACCATCCCTGCCACTCTGAACTTTATCCAAATCACCAACAAGCCCCTCGCGCACTCCGGTGTGTACCGCGCGAGCGTCGTTGCAACCAACCGCGCCGGCTACTCGACTGTACCCACGACCGCGACGGCCCTGATTGACTTGACGCCGCCCGTGTTTGCAGAGAACGCCACGGCGAGCTGCTGGGAGGCAGATCAGTTGCTTGTGATTGGCTTTGGTGTGCGAGACCCTGAATCGAGTCCGGCTGGCGTTGAGGTCGAGTTTGCCCTGACCAAACCTATCGCACCCTCCGACATGTCCATCCTGACCTGGGATGAGGCGGTGCCTGGCGCTCCTTCGACGGCGATTGCTTGCTACGACAACATTTTCGACATGCCTGCTTCGATCACGCACTGCAAGGAGATGGCGTGGCACCACGACGCCAACCGCTTCTGCTACTACACGACCGCCGGCTTGTTTGACGATTCTCGCAAGCTCGTGCGGCTCGACAACTACATTGGTCTCTTGCGTGCTCACAACGGAGCGCATTCCACCACCACCCAGTCCTTCTTTATTCCTGCTGACAATGAGTGATTTGTTTTTTGGTTTTGGTGATGTTTTCGTTTGTTGCTGTGTCTTTTGAGTTTGCGAGTTTGGCCCTTGGAGGTTGCTCACTCTACCTTTTGAGTTTGTTTGTGCTTTTGCTTTGATACTGTCTTCTTGTTATATACCTGTTAATGATGATTTCTTGTTGTTTGTTGCTGCTGTCATCGATCGCTGCTGGGTTTGCGTCTTGAGAGCTTTTGCGAAAGGTATCGACCGTTGCTTGCTCCAAAAATGTGCCATGGCATCCATCCATACGCATTCAAATGCCATCAAATACACCTCAGTCTCACACACCATGATCGCGGGATGATACGTTCGTTGGACGGATGAGGTCGACTCGAGGCACTCTGTTTTGAGTTCACAAGCTTCGGTTTCGCCGCCCGGTGGCTTTTTTTTTCTCTCGGTTGAACAGCAGCAGATTTGCACAATCAGAGCGCTTCCTCGCAGCTCTTCATGTACAGGATTGCGTGATTGTTCAACTTCAGGTTCCATTTTGCGAGCCGAGCCGGTTTTTGACACTCTTTTTTTTTTTTTTTTTTTTCTTCAGCACCAGGTTTGTTTGATTTTTTTTTTTTTTATTCCCCAGTTGTTGCTTTTGCATTGACTCGCTTGGTTTGGGGTTGCGGTGGCTGGGCAAAACCCCCAAAGCACAAGTGCACGTTCACTGTTTGCCACTGAGGGCGACTCATGCCCTTGCCCCCTCCAGAACCAAGGCGGAAGAAGGTGCATGGAAGGAGCGAGCCATCAAAAAAAAAAAAATGTTCGATCGTCCTCAGAGACGCTACTTCGGGCTGTGCAGCGATGTGTGGCTGGTCGATTGGATGGCATTGCGCAAGCTGGTGTGCGGCAAGACTCGTGAGCTCGAAGCCAAAGCGAGAAAGCCCCCCCCCCGCTCAGCCTCAAGAAAAAACAAAACAAAAAAAAAAAGAACAAACTCGCAATCCCAATGCATTGTCAACGGAAATTCCCTCCTAAGAAATCATTGCCTGGCTTTGCAAGTTTTCGTGAATTCGTCCTATGCTTGTTCTATTTTAACGAATTTGTTTCCCTACTCTTTTTTTACCACTTTTTTTTTTCGTTCCTTCTGTTCGGTATTCATTTCAATCCGAAGGAGGTTTGTATTCTTTTTATTTTTCGTTTGCCTTGGACGCGTGAATGTGAATGGACAAAGCGCCCCACGCACTCGCATTGAAATGGCGGGCTTTGTGGCTGAACTTGCTTCGTTGGAGCGCATCGCCGCGGAATCAGCTCCCCCCCCCCCCCGACGGATTGATTGAAAGGGGAGGGGAGGGCAAAGGGGAATGAAAAAATTAAAACCAAAAAAAAAAAAATCGATTTTTTTTTTTTTTTTTTTGGTGACCAGATTTGCGATTCCGCGAGCATTAACGTGTGTTACCGCGCTGTTGTTTCGGGCTTGAGCGACCACGGCTTCACATTCACCACACATATGCATGCATTGACGCATCAGTGACAGTTGGCCAACGAGAGAGAGAGAGACAGAGAGAGAGAGAGAGAACCATGAAAAGCCCAAAAAGTCACTACCAAAAAAAAAAAAAAAAAAAAAAAAAGAAGAAAATCCCACAATGCGAAAAAAAAAAAAAAAAAAAGCCAAAGGAACGTTCCATCGGCCGATCACATCTGCGACACACACCAACTTGATATCTGATCATCATCATCATCATCATCATCATGGGATTGTCATCATGGGACCACCGTCCTCAGCTTCATCGTGTCATCGGCGAAGAAAAGAAGAGAAATCCAGCTCAAAGCATTGACCAAAAAAAAAAAAAAAAATCATTGTTTGCATTGAAACAATCACAAAAAAAAAAAAAAAAAAAAAAACCCGAGTTCGAGTCAACGTGCGTGCGAGAAAAGAAGAACCACAATACAATGGAACCTCGATTTTTGGGGCAAACACAAGTCATCAAAACTCACATGCTGGGCAAATTTACAATTGCAATGAATCATCACAGAGATCCCTGGATCGAGGACAGCTGCAAATCCAATCTGGTGCTCAATCTGAATCCCATCCCCCGGCTCGGTCACTTCACCCGTCAAAATCACGCAAAGGAGAGGGTTTCTAGGCGAAACAAAAAAAAACCATACGAACTACCACAAAGCAGTCAGACGTTGACGAGCAGTTTCCGACAAAAACATGGACTCGCCAGCAAAGGTCAGAAACAAGATCGGTCTGCGGATTGCGTCGTCGTTGCCACCGGGAGCGTCTGCAGCGTCATCGTTGCAGTTGCCCGCGGCGTCTGGACTCCATCCACCGCCATCCATGGATCCTCAGGACGAGCGGACGGTTCAGGCCGCCGAGCATCGGTCCACAACGAGCTCGCATGCCGCCCCTGTTCACGCTGCGGCTTCCTCCAGCAATCGTCCGGAAGCGACATCGCTCGCGCTTCCCGCCACTGGCGCTGGTGGCATGTCATCATCCACGTCGTCGCTCACGTCGCTTTCTGAGGATGATCCGTTCGGATTGGTATCGGCTGCTAGCAGCGTTGCCGTCGTGCCGGCCTCGTCGTCGTCACAACAGGCACCAACAGTCACGCAGGCCGCTCATCCAGTCGTGCCCACACTTGGCGCCTCCACTGCTGGTCGACCAGTTGTCTCTGGTGCTTTTGCGCCCGCCGTGCGCGTTCCTTCTGGCGGCGCGCCCGCGGCCACAAAGTCAAAAAAGCCACCACCACTCACCGTCACCAAAGAGTACTATAACAGTCATGCCGGAGAGGAGGAAATTTACAAGGAGGGTGCTCCGCCGATCGAGAGCACGACCAACAATGTGGAGGAGTTTTTGCGCTTGAGCGCCGAGAAGGGCATTGACCTGAAAGAGACGGATTTTCAGCGGCTGCTCGATCTCGGTTCCGGTAGTTCTGGTGTTGTTACCAAAGTTCTGCATCGGCCGACCAAGTTGGTGATGGCACGAAAGGTATGGTTGTGTTTTTTTTTTTTTTTTTTTTTTTGCGATTTTGGATGCCGGGTAACTCAGCAACTCACCAATGCATTCTTCTTCCCTCCCTCCCCTTCCATTCGCGTCTCTCTGCCATTTCCTCTCTCTTTCTTTGCTTCTCATCCTCCTTCAGATTATCCATCTTGAAATGAAACCAACTGTGCGGATGCAAATTTTGCAGGAATTGCGAATTCTACACAAGTGCAAATCCCCTTACATTGTCGGGTTTTACGGCGCCTTTTTGACGGGCAACGAAATTAACATTTGCTTGGAGTATATGGTACTGGCCCTTTGATGACTCGTTGGCTCCGGGTTGTTTTGGACGAACGTACTAACGTGCGCTGGTTGGGGCTTGTGTGACTTTGTCTCGTCAGGATGCTGGCTCTTTGGACTATATTTATAAGGCTTCGGGCCGCATTCCGGAGCCGGTTCTGGGAAAGATCGGTTTTGCCGTACGTGCCTCTATTAATTTTTCCCTGGCTCGTGCTCTTTTATTCTTTGGAGGTTTTTTTTTGGAGAGGGGGGGGGGTCTCTTCCTTTCTCATGACTGTTCCTCACTTCTCTCTCGTTGACAACAGGTCCTTGAAGGGTTGTTGTATCTGCGCGAAGCACACAAGATCATCCATCGAGTGGAGCCGCCATGTCACCTCGATCAACCGTTGCGGACTTGACTCACTTGACTGCCATCTACTGCAGATGTCAAACCCTCGAACATTCTTATGAACATGAATGGAGATATCAAGATTTGTGACTTTGGTGTTAGTGGTGAGCTCATCAACTCGATGGCCAATTCTTTCGTCGGCACACGTTCGTACATGGCGGTAAGAGCCCTTACTTTCACCCATCATCGTTGTGAATACCTGTCCCTTTTATTTGCTCATTTGATTGTAATGGTCATTCCCTGATAGCCCGAACGCCTTGAAGGCGACAACTACTCTGTGCAGTCCGACGTTTGGTCTCTTGGTATCTCTCTAATCGAGATGGCCCTTGGCCGCTTCCCGATTCCTCCTGAGGAAGGCAAGCGCTCAACTCCAATGGCCATTTTCGAGCTTCTTGGTTACATTGTGAACGGCCCACCGCCAAAGCTGTCGGACCCCAGTTTCTCTGTCGAATTCCGAGATTTTATCGACAATTGGTAAGGCTGAGATGCTTTGACGTATGCTTGATTCGTACATGTCGATCGCACAGCTTGATTCATGGGTTTGTTGGGTGTCTGGTCGTTTCATTTGCAGCATGATCAAGAATCCTCAGTTGCGACCTGGCTTGAAAAAGCTTTTGGTATGGTCCTTGTCGTTTTTGGGTCTTTTTTTGAGCTTGTTGGGCACTAGAAAATCGAACGTTTGTCAACTGACGTGGCATGTTGCATTGTTTCTGCTGCGACCTTTCACAGGAGCATCCATTCATCCAGGAGTATCGCACCAAACAAGTGGATTGCGCGGCTTGGCTTCGGGAAATATTCAAGGCACAGGATGAGGTCTGGTTGCCACAATCGCCAGGCACTCAAGTCTAAAGAACCAAAGCGCACCTGGCAATTCAGTTTTTTGTTGTTGTTGTTGTTGTTGTTGTTGTTGTTGTTGTTGTTGTTGTTGTTGTTGTTGTTGTTGTTGTTGTTGTTGTTGTTGTTGTTGTTGTTGTTGTTGTTGTTTTGTTAGCTGCAATTCCCCTCCCCTTTTTCGTTGCTTGTTTTTGCTCTGCGTGTCTGTGTCACTTTGATTGTCCTTAATCCCACTATTGTTTCCCACTTGTTGTTCCTCTGGCTGTACTTGCACATTTTTGATTTTTTCCCCTTCTTGTTTCGCTCGGCTCTTGCTGATTTTATTCTGGTCAAGTTGTCAAGTTTGGTTGGGGGGGGGGGGGGCCTCCTTTTCAACCTTATCGAAAGCAACGTCCTTTTCCGGATTCATGAACTCAGTCAGTGTTTTTGTTTGTTGGTTGCAGCTTGCTGTTTTTGTTGATAACTCTAAACTGCTTGGTAAGCTGTGTTTTGGTCTCCTTCCGACTCTTTTCCTGCCCTGGTTTCGACACTCCGGTTGCACCATATGCCTTATTTTCAACAGAAAAGTATCCTGTTTTATTTTCTAGCTGGGGGATGGAAGGGGAGGGAGGAAGAGAGATGATGGGTGGGGCAAGCTCGTTTGGCTGTGCGAAGAAACCAAACCCACCTTTTCGTGCCGATATTGACCAACGAACGGGCGCAAACCCCTCCCATGGAAGTGCAGAGCTACAATGTCTACTTGCCCAATCATTCCCCACCAGCGAGTGTTAGATGGCTTTAAAAGGACGAGAAAGAGAGTGACTGCTTGAAAAAACCAAAAAAAAAAAAAAAAAAGTGAAACATTTTCCAACAGCCAAAAATGAAGCACCAACCTTCTTGGACCACTCACCATTGATGTCGCGCTCACCAACTCACGCATGGTCATTTTGTGTAGGCTCACCATGGACCGATCCTTTGCCTGCCAAACTCCTCCGGCGGAGACCGAACCGCCGGGTGACGGACATGCGGCAGCACAGCCTGTAGCACCCAGCGACCTGACCCCTTGGAGGTCCAGCGTACAAGAGCCGCAAAATGTTCTGGAACCACAGTACCTTTATTGCAACTCTGGGAACCCATCGACGCTGGCGACCACTTGGGCAAACGAGCTTTCGCCTGGTTCGCCGGGCTCGCAAGACCCTCAAGGCCCTCAAGGACCTCAAGGACCTCAATGCTTCCCGAGGACAAACGCACGTCTTTCCAATTTTTCGAGTTGGTCGGCGTCATTCAGTGTTGTGCCCAGCCCTGCAGCCACTGGTTCGCGTGAGCATTCGAGCGCTTCTCCAGGCTGGCGAGGCTGGACAGGATTTCCGGAGACCGCACGTCTGTCCAATTTTTCGAGTCCGTCAACGTCATCCAGCCTTGAGCCCAGCCCTGCAGCCAGTTGGTCGAGTGGCATTTCGCAAAGTTCTCAAGACTCGCAAGGCTCGACAGGGTTCCCCAGGAAGAGCGCACGTCTTTCCAACCTTTCGAGTCCGTCAACCTCATCCAGCCGTGTGCCGAGCCCCACAACCGATTCGAAATTACCCAAAACGAACAGTCGAGGACGGAAGAAACTTTTGTTGGATAAGTCCATTGTGGAAAAAGGCACCCCGCAATGCTGGCTTTGCCAAAGCTCAAGCATCCAAGATGTTCAAAAAGAATCTTGCCGCTCCAAATTTGCGCATCTCGTGAGCACCATACTCGAGCTTCCTGTCCTCACGTTCCCTGACCCAAACCCGAGCATTCTCTTCAACGTGCTGAGTTCGGTGCCCAATCCCAACTCCACCCTTCTGAACTCTGTATTTTCAACCAATCTGAGCCCAGTGACCGATCCGACATTCACGCTTCTGGACGCCTCGTTGCCTGCCAGTCATCCCAGAAGCGAAAACGAGAGCGACCTCATCAGGCTTTTTGAAAAGACTCCGACCGGCGCAAGCAGCGCAAGCAGCACCAGTGTGGCAGACTTTACCAAAATTGTGACTCCTGAATTCTTGCAATCGTACCGCTTCAGCGACCCAACCCCACTCGAGTTTGACCAGCTGGTGTCGATTTGGAACTCGACGATGACCATCGAAGACTTGTGCTCTCATATTCAGCCTGGCCGCTCTATTCTTGTCATCGACCTTATTGACAAGTTCTTGGCGAAGCTCCAGAGTTCAGACAATCCAGTCGACCCTTGGTTGGTTTTTGCAGCCCTTCTTCAAACTGACTTCCCGGCTGTTTCGTTCGACAATGTCGATTTTTGGACGTTCGAAAACATCGATGCTCTTTGGACGGCGCTTCAGCCGTATTCAAAACTGGTGACGATTCCTCACATTCTCAGATTTTACCGGCCCCAAGAGTCGGTGCCTGCTGCTCTGAACATTCCTGTGCTCGTGGTGCTCAAGCTTGCCTTTGATCACTCGGCCGCGGCCGGCGATAGCGCGGTACAGCTGTGCCGATTGGTGGTACCGGCCGTGGAAAGCGTGCTGAGCAATCGCTTTCGTCGTTGGCCTCTGAAAGCCGAAAACAGCTCGGTGGACGACGTGGTTGGCGGGATTCTGAGCTACTTTTTCAAGCGCGGCCGAAACACGCAACCTGCTTCTTCGGTACCAGCCCAACTGACCACGAGTGCTTTAAATGCTGGTGGTGCGGAAACGCTGACGATGATGCCTCCGAACTCCTCCTTGACACTGGAATGAACATCATTATTGGCGTGTTGGAAGCCAAAACCAAACAAAAATAAAGCGAAGACGGAAAAAAGTAGAAACGCCCATCACGGACATTTATGCAACGAAGAACAATAACAACAGCAAGCAGCAACGACAAAAAAAAGTGGATGTGAAAGGAGAGGGATGAAGAGAAAGAGCGATAACACCATGTGAGCGCGAGAGCTGATCCGCGAACGCAAGGGAGCAATCCACGAGCAAACCGACAATAACAGCACAAGACATCAGCTTCGAGTTACAATTCAAAACACAAGAACAAGCGACGAACGGGCTCAAAGCCAGCAACAAGCGGAAAAAAAAAGACGCAAAAAAAAGAAAGGAAGAAGAGAAACGTGATACGAGAGCGAGAGTGGCGAGCTGAAGAGAAGGCGGAAACAGCTCAGCACCAGAGCGAACACCCGACAGAAGGATTGGGGCCGGAGTAAGACGAGCCGACGGGAGCAGAACAATCGTTTTTTTTTTTGTTTTTTTTTTTTGAGGCAGTCACACCCGACTACTTGGTTTGCCAGGGCAGGCGCGGAACGGAATCTGCGACAAAGTCGCATCGGTGGAAGTCAGTATCCTCGACAAAATACCCTCGGCAGTACACGGATCCCTGCGACGAGAGATGGAGTTGACCGTGGTTGCAGCTCGGGCATTTAGGCAGTGCGCCACGCAGCATGCCATCGGCAACACGCGCCGCAAGATCACTCTTGCTGCCAGTGAGCAACTGATGGTTGTGGCGGAGCGAGTCCTTGAGCTCGTCGACCGACTTTTTCAGCAGCGTCTGGATGAGCGTCTGCTCACCAGGAGACATGTTGGACGACGCAGCCTTCTTGGGACGGGCAGCAGCGGCGGCAGCAGCAGCCTGGGTAGAGCCAGCAGCGCCCTTCGAGGCAGGCTTGGCGGGCTTTTTGGAGGCAAGGGCAGCGGCGGCGGCGGCAGCAGCAGCAGCAGCCGCTTTCGAAGCTTCGGCAGCAGCGGCCTTGGACTTGGGCGCAAGCTTGGCGGCCTTGGCGGCAGCAGCGGCGGCAAGCGCAGCATCAGCGGCCGAGAGCTTTGCAGCCTTGCCAGCGGGAGCGGCCTTGGCGTTGTCCGTCAGGGCGCCCGGGTTTTTCTTTGGGCGGCCGCGGCCCTTCTTCTCAGAGGCAGCAACTACCGCAGCAGCCGCAGCCGCCGCAGCGGCAGCAGCAGCAGCCGAGCCCTTCTTGGCGTTCAGCGCGGCGGGGCCCTTGCCCGATCCGTTGATGGCAGCAGCCGCGGCAGCCAGAGCGGCAGCGGTGGCGGCAGCCGAGGCACTGGACGAAGCCAACGCAGCCATACCCTTGGCGCTCGTGGCCGCAGCGGGCTTGCTGGATCCACTCGCGGCTGACGACGGCTGAGCAGCCGATCCGTCCTTGTGCGGGCGCCCGCGGCCTCGCTTGGTGCCGTCCGGATTGAGGTGGACGACCGGCGCCGACGCTCCATTCTGCGAGTCGTCCTTGCGCGGCCTGCCTCGTCCACGCTTGATCTCGACGCCGTCCGGGCCATAGATCGGCGGTGGCTTGGGCTTTGCAGGCTTCCCATCCTTGGTGGTCTTGGTCGACGCCGCGGTCTTGGGCGCGTTCGGATCAATGATCTTGCGCGGGCGGCCTCGGCCTCGCTTGACCTGCTGTCCGGCCTGAGCCTGGAGCGCGGCGGCCTGAGCCTGGAGCTGGGCCTGGTGATGGTGGGCCTGGGCGTGGTGAGCCTGGTGAGCCTGGTGGGCCTGCAGCGAGGCGGCATGCTGGTGCTGGAGCTGCTGCTGCTGCTGCGCCTGCTGCTGCGCCTGCTGCTGCGCCTGCTGGTGCTGGTGGAGCTGCTGGTGCTGGTGCTGGAGCTGCTGCTGCTGCTGCGCCAGAATCGCAGCCTGGTACGCGTTGAGGTTGGTGTAGCCGGCGTTCATCGCAAACGGCATTGCAGCCATCACGCCGGCGTTGCTCGCGACCGCAGGCGCACTCGAGCTCGAGGATGATGATGAAGGTGCTCCGCGCTTGGCCATCGTTTCGGGGAATGTCAACTTTTGGTTGATGGTTGAAAGAAAACAAGTTGGGAAACAAAAAAAAAAAAAAAAGAGGGAAAAAAATTGAAAAAATTGAAAAATGGCGCGAAAATTGAAATAAAGGAAGAAAAAAAAAAAGCCAAAAAAAAAAAAAGGAATAATAATACAAAAATGAATTAGAATAAAATAATAAAAAATTATTATATAAAAAATTATCAAAAAAATTCGAGTTGAAAATAAAAATTCGGTACTGAAAGTTGCATTGAAAAAATAAAAATAAAAATAAAAATTCGATTTTTTATTTTTCAATATTGAAAAAAAAAAAAAATCAATTTTTAAAAATTGAATTTTGAAAATCAAAAAAAGCGGGAAAAAAAAAACAGGATTCAATGAAAAACCAGTGCGAAAAAACAAAAAAATAAATAAAAAACAGGAAAAAAAAAATCACTTGATTTTTTGTAATAAAAAAAAAAAACACAATGTGGACAGAGAAGCAAATCCTAAGTCTTTTGAATGAGCGCCAGTATGAGCTGGAACGATGAGAGAGAAAAGGGGCATAGCAATCCGCGCGATTCCCATCCAGCTCTCGCCAAGCATTGCCTGCTGCACCAAGACACCTCGCAGCACCCAAACGCAAGATAAAAAGCCCTGATGCAGTATTGCACTTGCGTCAGAGCTTCAAGCGCAAGTACATGTCGAAGCCAAGCGACGAACGCCGCTCCGAGTAGTTTGACAGCTACCAAAAAAAAAAAAAAAAAAAAAAAAAAAAAAAAAAAAAGGGCGCCAAACTTTATCTTCGCGCGCTTTTTTTTTTTTTGTTTTTGTTTTTTTTTGTCGTTGTTGCCTTTCGCTTTCTGTTGTTGGGTTGTGTGTTGTGTCTTTGTGTTCCGTTCACTCGAATGAATCGCCATTGCATTTTTGCGGCTTATTTCATCAACGTCGCTAGCCGCATGCGAGTTGTTGGTTTCGGTGAGTGCATCAACGAACACAAAGATTCACAATGGCTTCACCTCGCGCCTTGTGCCCCAATGAATGCATCGCAGCTTTCATCGCTACCAAAAAACTGGAACATACATCGTGAGTGGTTCGTGGGGCGAGTTTCCAAAGGCGACCGCTCAGTCTTTGTTTCGTTTTCGGTGCAAATGGCAAACCTGTAAGGATGAAACTCTCTGCCAAAAATTGACGCTCAGACTCGAGGAACACTGCTTCCAACAAAAAAACACACACGCTCGAGCCTACACAACGACAATAGGAGAGTGACAAGAGAGATCTCCGGGTCAGCAGTGTTGTGATGAGCGTGCACTCACGCTGCTCGTTGCTGACGCGTTTGTGTTGCGTGTCGCAGCCAACAACAACAGCAGGCGTGCGCTCGCAAGCAGCAGGTGGTAGCGACGCTGGTCTTGATGTGGATCCTGTACACAATGTGGGAGCTCTACAACCTGTGGCACAACCGCCTGGCGAAGCAGCAAGCATCCCATTCCAGCAGCAGCAGCAGCAGCAGCAGCAGCAGCAGCCCATAGCATCATCAGCAACCTCGCTTCAACCTCAATTCTGAGATTTATTATTATTACTATTTTGACAGCAACAAACATTCAGTCTTGCTTTTTTTTCTTTCTTTCTTTTTTTTTCTTTCTTTCATTTTTTTTTTTTTTTTTGTGGGTGTTTCAAAAGGCTTTTTTTTTTTTTGTTTCAAACTTTCGCGCGTTTTTTGCAAAGTTGAACGCATGAGCACTCGGACTCTTGCGCGCGACACCGACGCACTCCCTGGTGACAATGGGAACGCGCGTCATGCACAGCGCGCATTTGCTGCGGCGCAGAGCGAGCCTGCACGCGCTGGCGTTCAAGACGGAGCAAGTTGCGTGCGCCGCGGCGTTCAGCCAACAACTAGCGCTTTGCACGGCCCGAGCGCGCATTCGCTGCACACGCCGCAGAGTGAAACTGGGCACACTGTCACTCGAGTGTCATTGGGCGCTGCCGCTGCTGCCGAGGCCGCTGCAATGCGGCGGGTGAGCGACACTGCCAGTTGCTCCCAGTGGAGAGAGGCGGATCTCGGCACAAGCGCCCAGATTGCTCCAGTCCACGACAATCCCTCGTCAGCAGCATCGACAACATCAACAACTACAGCAACAACAACACTGTCGCGTGGAAGCTTCCAACCGCAGCATCGGACTGGTGTCGACGCCGCTTCAGTTCAGACAACCAGTTGTTCCACTTCCACGTCGACCGCTGCTTCATCTCACAGAGAAGAATCTGCAGCCAGTCTGACTGCTGCAGGGGCGGCTGCTGGAACAGACGTCCCGGAAACTGAGAACGATGCATTCGATGAACATGAGCGCGTCATTCTCGCCATTTCGTGGCGCAGTGGCATGCTGGGCGCTGCCTACTATGATACAAATACAATGCAGCTTCATGTCATCAGCGATGTTCGCGATGCGAACGATTTGTCCGTTCTGGAGATGGGTAAGGCCGCTTGAAGTTGTGCTGCCCTTCAAGTTGCAACTCCACCCCTCTCGCTCGCACTGATGGTTGATTGACATGCGTGCCCACACAGTGTTTATGCAAGTCAGCCCGGATGTAGTTGTCATTTCAACAAATCAGGACGAGGATGTCGTCGTCCGGCTTCGAGGGCTGATGGGTGAGTCGATGCTTGATTTTGACTGGCCGCTCACTTGCCAAACTGCCTCTGTGCTGGCACCAAACACACATGCTGAATTGGAAAAAAAATGTATGCGTTTGCGTGCAGCAACTGGCGTGGCAGGCGAAGGCAAGCCCGCTTGCACTCTGGAAAAGTTACCGGCTGGTGATTTCGCTCCAGACCTGTGCAAACGTCGTCTCATCCACGCCCATTGCGCGATGGTTCCACCGTATCTTCGAGATGAAGAACGCGAGGTGTTTATTCAATCCGCAGTCCCGTTCGAGAATGTACAAATGGTAAGCATGGTGGGTGCCAGCGCAAATAGTCATTGGGGTTTCAACTTCCCACTCTCCTTCCCAATCAGATTCGAGCAGCTGGCGCTCTGGTTCGATTCATCGAGCTGCACCGTGTAGGTGTGGAGCTCGAGGACGCCCACGTCCGCGTGCCGATTACAACCATTGAAATGACCTGCCTGTATGGGAATTCATGCTCATTCGTTTTGTTTTGACATTGTTCACTCTCCATGTACTGAATCCCGAGGGTGTGTCTTGCATTTTTTAGGGACCGCATGATGGCGATGGATGACAACGCGCTCAGGTAACACCACGTTCTGACTGCCTTGAACCAATTCACACTCTTTCTCGATTCACTCCATGAGCACATGAACGGAATGATGGCTCGCAGTTCGTTGCAAATTTTCCAAAAAGAGTCACACCCGGTGACTGGCAAGTTGGGCAAAAATGGAGGGAAGGAGGGTCTTTCTCTGTTCGGGCTTGCAAATCGCACCCGCACTAGCCTTGGCTCGGCGAAGCTCCGGTGAGTCTGTCACATGGCGTGCTGAAATGCTCTTATTTCGGCACTCTCACCTTCGTAAAATCACCTCGACTTGCTCTGAAAACTCCGACCAGTCTATGGTTTCTCAGACCGCTGGCCGATTTGTCCGAGATCCGTGAGCGACACAGAACAATTGCCTTTCTTCTCAACCCAGAGCACGCCGATACTCTCAAGGTGCTGACAGACTGTGTGAGACAAATCAAGAACATGGTGGTACGTGAGCGCATAAGGGGTTTTGCTCTTCTTTGTGTGTCACAGCACCTGATGCTTGACGATGCCGCGCGAATTGCAGCGCATCATTGGATTTATGCAACGATCCCATGCGAGCCCCAGTGACTGGAAAGTTCTCTTCAAGGTACGCAGGGATGGTGCAGACTCATTGTGCATCATCAGCCAAGAGAAGTTGCTCACCATCAACTCGCGCCATAGTCCATGTATCACGCTGTGCAGCTCCAAACCGCGCTGAAAGCTTTGAACTCGGATCTGCGTATCTTTTCGGAGGTGAGAACGGCACGTCAGTCATTTTCGTGGGACTTGGTCATCTGATTTGACCACATTTACAACTCCTGTCTCACTGCTCTGTTGCACTATTCTGTTTCACTGATGGCAGTTTGCCAGCTGCTTTGGCCCCGATATTCCAGAAACCATTGCGCTGATCAACAAGATTGTAAGAACATCACTTCTATTGTGTTTTCACGTCAAGCTCTGCCTGCTTCATTGCTTGGTTGAGGGTTTTTGTTTTTTGGGCTGTCTCACCACTCGCTCTTCCACTAGATTGACTTTGACCAGTCCATTGTACAGCAGCGCTTTGTCGTGAAGGCCGCCATCGACAACACGCTTGATGGTACGACGTAACGCACCATATCCTTTTGTTATTCTGAGACCAACTGTCCCTTCACATATCTGAGCAGAGATGAAGCGAATGTACCAAGGCCTTCCTGATCTTATGGTATGGGCGATTACAATGTGCTCGAGTGACGATGTCCAGACACCGACCTCACGTTGGAACCTGTTTTCCGCAACTTTCCAAACTCCTCAATTCACAGACGAACGTCGCTCTTGCCGAAATGGACGACAATGCCGAAATCGACGAATGCAATGTTGTCTACTTTCCGCAAATTGGGTACCTTGTGGCCGTACCGCGTCGTCCTACCATGCGAATGGAGAAGGACTTTGCCATTACTGGCTTTGATTTTCAGGTGGGTTTTTACAAAGCGGCGTGGCGGTTCTCAAAACGCAGTGAATGACTGACCGTTGAATTGATGGCTGGTTTCCCACTTAGTTTGTGACGCAACATTCAATCCACTACAAGAGCCCTAGAACGCGGGGTAACTCTAAGTGCCAGGAAGAAGACGCGGAGGGGCGATGTTGGAGAAGGTGGCTCAATCGACCTTTCTCTTGTCATCACAGAAATGGATCAGGAGTTGGGTGATATTCATGGTGATATCATCGGTAAGACTCTGTGTTGGACGGACATTTGTAGTGCCATTTGCGTTCCCCGTTGTGATAACAAGTGCGACGCTGCCCGCTAGATCGCGAAACGGATATCATGTACGGGCTGCAGAAGGAAGTGCTCAAGCGCACGCGTTCCGTCGCGAAAATAATGGATCTTGTTGCTACTTTGGACTGGCAAGTTGCAACATTCTCTCATGGAGCTGCGCTCGGACTGCTGAATACCAGTCTCATCGCTGTTACGAATAGTTTTCTTGCTCTAGCTTCCTTTGCCCGAGAGTACAACTACACTCAGCCTGTCATGATGGAAGAGAACGTTCTTGACATTACGGGTGGCAGGTACGTTCTGCTTCATTTGAGAGCAAAGTGTCCAATGCAATCCCGGAATCTCCGAGACTCAAATTTGCCTTTATCTTGAAAAACACAACCCGAAATGTGAAGACACCCTCTCCAGGAACTGTGCGTGGATACGTTCATTCCCAACGACACTGACTTGAGTGTTCAAAGCGGACCAGTCCACATCGTCACTGGCCCGAACGCCAGCGGAAAATCAATCTACCTCAAGCAGGTGAGCAATGAATCCGACCGAAGAACGGCTGCGTTTCTTCCCCCCCCCCCGCCTTTTTTTGTCTCCCCTCCTTCTTTTGTCTCTACAGCACATTGACTGTGTTTCTGGTTTGCGCACACGACCCAACAGATTGCCATGATCCAATTTTTGGCCCAGGTCGGAAGCTTCGTTCCTGCAGAGCGAGCCGTTCTCGGATGCGTGGACCGCATATTCACGCGCATTCATACACGCGAATCAGTGTCCGTGGCTCGATCGACCTTCATGATCGATCTCAACCAAGTCGTGCTTGCCCTGCGTTTTGCCACCGCACGCTCTTTGGTAGTGATTGACGAGTTTGGCAAAGGCACCTCGGCGGCTGATGGGCTCGCTTTGCTCAGCGCCGTCGTGTCGGAGCTCGTGTCGCGTGGCGCTGCCTGCCCCAAGACGGTGATTTCTACGCACTTTCACAAACTTTGCATGCCGGGCCTCTTGCCTCCTGCCGCCATTTCGGCAGGACTACTGAAGTTTTTCTGCCTTGAAGTTCTGGAGACTGTGGCTCCGCGCGATGCGTTGGTCTCACCTCGGAATGTTAATTCAGAGCACACCAACACAATCGATGCAGATGCAGATGTAGCTCGCAAGCGAGCTTGCCTGGGAGGTGGCAATCAGCATTCAACTTTGCACGGCAACACGAACGACCTCGTCTTCCTCTACCGCGTTGTTTCTGGCACCGCCCAAAGCTCTTTTGGTTGTCGCATTGCTGGATTGGCCGGAGTTCCTCTGGCAGGTACCACACAACTCGAAACGACGTCTGCATTGCTTCGCCCGTTCACCCCCCCCCTGACAATTGTTTGGTATCGTTTTTTATTGGTGCCAGTTGTTGCTCGAGGAATGCAAGTGACCGATCTCCATGCTCGTGGAGATCGTGTGCATCGTCTGGGCGAGACAGAAAGCGACGTCACTCGCCGAGCAGCTCACCGAGAAATTGTTTCTTGCTTTCTCCAGTGCGATTTGGCTGGTGGCGAGTCCCTCTCTGCCTTGCTTGGAGATGTTGCACGACTTGCATTGTGATTTTAGTTCCGTGTCTATGACGAGATTTTGGCGCCATGTTAATCACAAAAAAAAAAAAAAAAAAAAAAATTGCGATTTGTTTTGGAATGCAATTTTATATTTCATGTTTTGTCAAGTCACAATGCCAGTTCTCATTTTCGGTCATTCTCAATGTGAGTTATCGTTCTTGTGGAGCTATGCATGGCCCGACCTCGATTCCCCTGATTGCGCCGGCGAGCCCCAGTCAACCCTCTCTCGCCCATTCGCAAATGCACTCTCGACCGATCTTCTGGAACAGTCACTCGTTCTACCCACATGCCGAATTATGTTGTGCTGGAAATCACAAAAAGTGACCCCGAAAGCACGACAGATGTTACATTTGTTCGGATTTGTTGGAGGTGGCTGAAGCGAAAACAAAACAAAAGGAGACGTGGTTGCCGCTGCCTTGATCTACCACAAAACGGAGCACCCCAAAACCAAAAAGCAGCGAGCTGTGTGAATATTGCAGCTCCTGATCAGGAGCAATAGCGCATCGGTCGAGGTTGAGCGCAATAGGAAACACGGGGAAAACTGGTTGCACATAAACCGCAAACCATCTGTCACTCACGAGCTGGAGGGTTTGGAACGCACCTTGATATTTTGATCTGGATTGATTTGGTTCATTTTTGGGAGAACGAAGGAGAGAGCTAGGGTGAGAGCCAGAGAGGGAGAGAAGTGAGACGAGGCAGCAGCGGTTCAGTCCACGCCAACTTTCGCGTTGAGTTCTCTCCAACCGCCCACTTCCCCGTGGTGGAAAATGGCAAAGCACAAGCAATAAAACAGACCACAAAAACCGCACATCTGTGTCGAATTAATGACGGCCATGCTTGATTGAGCGGGTTTTGTATGTCCAGTGACATCTGCTCTTGTGTCGTTTGCTGACCATTTCACGTTCACATGTCCCTGCGTGCCACTCCACTGTTTGAACCAAAATTAAACCACATCACCTCCACAACACAGAACATCCTGCGAGCTCCATGCATCCCGGCCACTGTTCGAGTCGGCTCGTCACGGTCGCCTTCGCGCTGAGCTGGTTGACCGCCGCCTTTGTGCGCGCAGACATTCACAATGTGCCCACACAGTATGTGGATGCCGCAAACACGACCCGCCCCAACCTTTACGGCTACAATGTGGTGCTGTCGCCAATGTACGGCTGGACTGGCTCAAGCTGGACTGCTGGCGGCTCGTATTCCATTTTGGAGGACACATTCATGCAAGAAATTCTCATTCAGTATGTGCAAGACAATCTGGCCAACGCCGGCTTGAACGTCTACATGACTCGCGAGCGGTGGTTTGACACTCCAGATGAAAAGTTCCTCGACGACTCTCTGCCAGGCTTTTCGGCCCCAGACTGGCTGCCTTACGGCGGCGGATACCTTGGAGGTGTTCGCTACATCAAGGGCACTTCCACGGAAACCTCCTATGCTGCGTACACGACCACCCTCGCTGCGGATGGGTACTACCCCGTATACATGCGATACACAGAGCATGCCAATCGAGCCTCAAAGACACTGGTGCGAATTTTTCATTCTGGCGGCACCTCGACCGTTTTCCTGCGCCAGCAAACGCGCGGTGACATTTGGCAATACGTTGGGCGATTCTACTTTACCACCACCAATTTCCGCGTGGAAATCTCAAATCAAGTCACGGCCGCCGAAGCTGCTCCAGGAGACACGGGCTACATTGTTGCTGATGGAATTCGCGTCGGTTGTGGCTCTGCCACGTCCCATCCAAGATGGCATTTCACTGGAACGAATTTCTTGACATACTTGAACTACTCACTCGGATCAACTGATCAAGAGACGGGACACGCGGCCTACTCGTCGCTACTTTACAATGAGGAAACAGTCGTGTCGCCGTCCAATTCGTTTGCCTCTTGGGCGCACATCCAGATGAAGACAAACTGCTGCGGCACACCTGGTGTGGGAGGTACTACCTCTGTGAGCTACTCGAATGGAAGATCAGCCACCTACGGAGGAGCGACATCTGTGACCCTGTCCACGAATGTGCAAAATCGCGGTGACTTGCTGCGCGACAAGTTTCAAGCTGAGATGAGTCGAACTTCTGGCCAGCCCGTGTATGTCACTGGCACGCACAACTACGCGGAACTTCAGTTGAACACCCTCGTGCCATCGTTCTCCACCCTGCCGATGTTCATGGACGTCCCAGCAGACGTGGCCAAGTTTGCAAGTGACTACTTTCGCGAATCTGTGAGCAGGAAACTAAAAAAACAAAATTGTCGTTTTGCAACCACGTTGATGTCCACCTTATTCACTTATTCTTTTTGGCATTGGAATATCAGCTTGGTCGCACGTTCTACAAGGCGCTGCTGCGAAGCTTTCTCTCGACTTCTGCAGTCGCCTTTCCGCTTCCTGTCACGCACTTGCACACCATCAACACCCAAACCAGCGTCAACATTTGCTGGCGCCAGCCCACCGACTCGCTAGAGTCTACTGCTGTTCCGACAGCTTGGAAACTCTACACGTCAAGCGATGGTCGTGGCTGGGATGACGGTGTGATTGTTTCTGCGGCCCTGACTGGTTCCACGTATTGCTACATGCACACGAGTCTTGCGCCATGGCAACTTGCCTTTTTCAAGGTGGCTGGTGTCAATGCCGGTGGCGAAGCGATGAGCAAGCTCACGACGGCAGTCCGCCGAATTGCTTTTGGAACGCGTGCAACCATGGTCCTTGTCGATGGCGTCCGAGGCGATTTTACGTTCACGTCCACGAACGTCGAGGGTCGGTACACACGCGACTATATCATCCAGCACGCGCTGTCGGTGGCAGCAGCGGCAGCAGGTTACGCGTTCGACGGGGCGGCCAACGAAATCTTTTCGGATGCGAGCTGGGCAACCAACCTCAACGGCTACAACACTGTGATTTGGCTTGCTGGCACAGACTCGCAGGTCTCGGGCGTGGCTGGGGCCATTTCGTCGGCCCAGCAGACCACTATTACGACTTGGATGAATAGCGGAGGAATTCAGCTGCGCTCGTTGCTGGTGAGCGGCTCTGAGGTGGCCTCCAGTCTGGCGACAGCATCGCCAAGCTTCCTTTCTGGTACGCTGAAAGCCGGACTGAGCAACACCAACAGCGGAATTTACGTGGTCCGCCCCGCTTCGTCGTTTTCCGTGGCCTCCAGTACGGTCACTTTCAACAGCCCGAGTGGAATTGGCATGGGCAAGCCTTATGGCGTCCCGAGCCCCGACGCCCTGTCCACGACTGGTGGTAGCGCGCCTATCTTGAACTACGGTGCAACCAGCGGCAGCTTGATTGCGGGCGTGCTTTTCCGCGATGTCTCTATCGCATCATGCCTGCTGGGCTTCCCGTTCGAGACAATTGTTTCCAAGACAGAGCGTGACAACCTGATGGAAGCGCTTTTGAGCCAGCTGGTGTTTACTCCCGCGCCTCTCGCGTCGTCGCTGAGCCGGGCGTCCGCTTCGGCGATTGCAACGTCAATGGCAAGTCTGGCGACCTCGGCTAGTGCCGCGAGCGCTTCGGCATCCCTCGCTACCCTTGCTACACTTGCAACCCTTGCTACAGAAGCAAGCCAACAAGCTGCGGCATCTTCGTCAGCCTATGAGACATCGGTCGCGTCTGCTGCCTCTCAAGCGTCCGACGCATCTGCTGCCTCTGAAGCGTCTGACGCTGCTGCCACCTCTGCAACTTTGTTGTCTGCTGCTAGCGCGTCAGAAGCGAGTCAACAAGCTGCGGCATCGTCATCGTCCGCACATGAGACGTCAGTCGCGTCAGTCGCCTCGGCCGCCTCTCAAGCGTCTGCCGCTGCTCGCGCGTCAGACTCTGCCGTCAATGTGGCTGCCATCATTGGAGGTGTTGTTGGCTGCGTGGCCGCGTTATTGCTGATTCTCTTGCTTGTCGTGTTGGTGACTCGCCGCCGCCGCCGTCAGGCAAAGACGAACAACGTCGCATCAATTCGCGACGCTGAGCTGCGCATGAGTTTCAATCCCACGGCTGATGGTGCCCCGAACGAGTTTGCCAACCCTCTTTTTGCGCATGATCATGCAACGGAGGCCTTGTACGACTCACTCTCCGCTCCAAGTGCTGCTGTCGCGAAACAAATGGAGGCAGCCGACTCTGGTATGTACGACTCGGTGCGCCCGACTGCCCAAGTCGACTCGAGTTTGTACGACTCGGTGCATGCGGCTGGCCAGGTCGAGCCTTCAACCAACGAGTATGCCAACACCACCAACGCCCAGAGCAACTACGACGAACTTCAGGCTCCAAGATCGGATGCTGTACAGTACACGCTCGTGGTTCACAACCAGGCGAGTCAGTAAACAAACAACAAACACAACAATGTGCATGCTTCCTTTGTTCTCGCTGCATGTGACGTGTCCTTGCGCAGTGTGTCGTGCGATTTTCTGTTCTTGTGACATCAATGCAGTTGTTTCTGTTTTTCTTCTTTAGAGCAGGTCTAGCATAGATGTGAAGACAACGCTCAATTGAGGAAGGATCTTTATGTGGTTGAGGCTTGAGCGACTGAAGCGATGAATGCCGAGCTGAACGATGGGCATGGCGTTCTACACTCGGTTCTCGAGCAAGTTACATGCTTAGTGAAGATGAGCTGGCAGCGATAAGTGTTGCTGCTCACTGGACCATTGACGTTGCATGAACAGGCTATGCCAACTTTGTGCGCGTGTCGGGTTCGCTTCACGACAAACGCGCTTTTCTCTGGAGCGTCGTTCGGTTCGCATTGCTTGACAACCACCCGCTCCCCCGTCTCATACAGCACACAGACGGTGCACCCGCCCAGCTAGCCCTCTGTTGCCCTCATTCTACTTGGTCTTATGGGCTGAATTTCCAGTCCATATGCCACCATACACCCCGATGACTCATTTCATTCGCATTGCATACTTTTGAGTTTGTTGTTTTCCTTTGATTTTTTTGTGTGTTTTTTAAGGTAACGATTTTCCTCATTTTAGCAAAGTTCACACTTTTTATTTGCATTTTGCTTTTTTTGATTTCATCGCTTTTCCAAGCAACACGCTGCGCATTTTGCGGAATCCACCACTGCACTTGACATATACACTGCACCGTACTTCTGCTTTTCTTCTTTGCAACAATGGGCAACATCCTGGGCGGCGATGCTGCGGCGGCGAGTTCTGCGAGTCTCGCCACCGCGAGCCAAGTTACCGCCTCCTCTGCATCGGCCGCATCCAAAGCCAGCGCCGCTTCGCAGGCCACCCGTGCGTCGAATGCCTCGTTTGCCTCGAAAGCGTCTGATGCATCGCGACTGCTGGATGCGTCCAATACGTCGAGTGCTTCGCGGGCCTCTGCGTCATCCGTGTCCGCTGCGAATAATAATTCCCATGGCCCCAGCAACTCGAGTCCTGCCACCTTCCAACCGACCAGCGTCTCACTGCCCACCACCACCGCCGCTCCTCTGCCTCAAACGTCGTCCTCGTTGTCTGCTGGTTCTGCCGAGGTGGGTTCGTCTGAGCCGTTGTCCCAAGCCTCTCCATCGGCGCCGTTGGCAACAAGCACAAACACGACGACAACAACAACAACAACAACAACAACAACAATCCATGCAAATGTCTCACCTTCACCAACAACCCCCTACGAACCGCAGCCGTCGACCGCTGGACCTGGCTCAGAGCCGACACCCTCGGCGTCACCTTCACTGGTCATAGATGATTCACCGGATGCGACAACCGACGGCACCTTGCCACTGTCGACGACCGAGTTGCAGTCGTACGGTGCGACACCTGCTCCCTCCGAATCGGGCACGATCGATTTATCAGCTACATTTTTCAATCCGAAACCCGTTACATCCTCTGTCCAGACGACGTTCGTCAACCCGCTCACCTCGTCGCAAACCAGACAGTCGTGGCCTATCGGCGCCTCAGAGTCGAGCTCATCCATCGTGCCTTTGGTTGGGTTTACCGTCACCGGAGTGTTCTTTTTGTTCGTTGTCCTGTTTGCCGTGCTCGCCGGACGCCACCGAGGCCGCCAGCTCGAGCGACGCAAAAGCCGCCGTAAAGAAGACACTGCCAGTGATAGCATCCAGCTCCCGACTCGCCGCGTGTACAAGTATCATCACGGTGACCACGACAATATTTCAATCGGCAGCGAGGATTACGAACGTGCCAGCTTTGTGAGCAGCAGCTTCTCGGACGTGAGCAACGTTCGTTCTCGGACACCCTCGGGCTCGGATCCGCGCAGCAGCGTGCTGAACAACATTGTTGGCAGCCCTCGCAGCAGCTTGCTCTTGTCCAGCGAGCCGTTCGAGTTTCAGACGGGTTCTGTGCACCCCACGGCTTCAACCGCCTCCAATCCTCTGGCGAGTCATACCTCTGCCGTGGCTAAACCCAGCTCTACCGAGGATGGCCTTCAGAAGCGGATTGTTGCACTTGAGCAGCAGCTTGTGCAAGAGCAGTCTGCGTTCAAGTTTGTCCAGGGTCAGCATGAACGCACCGTCGCGCACAAGGACGCGTGTCTGCATGTCGCTCAAGTGGAGCGAGAATTGCAAGAAACAGACATTGCCAAGCTGCGTGCCGAGCTTGCAGCCAAAGATGCCAAGTTGCGCGAACTCGAGCAGCGCATGCGCGCAATGGAGCAGCACGCATCTGCGGCTCCGCCCGCGTACAGCCAGACCCCTACCTCGGCGTCCAAGCGTGCTGAAGCCGAAGCGGACGAGGTGTAAGGTTGACTCAGTTTTGGAAGAGAGTTGCTGCGAGGTTGCGGTGTGGTTTCGAGTTTGTTTGTTTGTTGGACGACGATGTCGGTTATTTTGCTTTTTCGCTCGTCTGGTTGCCTGTCAAACGCAATACAACTATTAGTATTACATTGATGCACTCTGTTTGCGAGAAAAGTGATTGACTGGTTGGCGGCTTGAGCAAAAACATTGGTTTGCCAGCGTTCATTCAGGTCGGACTTGGGCTGAGCGCTTCTCTCATTTCACGATACTCTCCAGTGCACGGTACCTTCGTAGCCCATTGACGCATGCGTCAATAATGATTCGGGGTTCTGAGTTCTTGAGGGCGTACATGTTTTTGGGTGTACATGTTCCACTCCACTTTTTCCTTGTTTTTCTGCCTCTTTTCTCAGTCTCGTTTTGATTTTAGTCTGAAAGAACAGCAAAAGTACGTTGGATTTGTGTGTTTTTTTTTGCTTGCTTGATTGCATGGATGGTACCTTTTTGGTGGGAAGGCGAGATGTTGGGGAAAGGGGAGGATGAGGGGGAGGACTGGGGAATAGCAAGTGAGAGCGCCACATGATAGCGAGAGAGAGAACGACGCGTCATCAGTCCTGCGATCTCCACTCCAAAAGCGCAACGCCGCTCTTCGTCTCGCTTGATGTACTTGTGTGTGTGTGTGATTGTGTGAATGGGGGAGGGGGTTGGACATGGCGGCATCGGTCGCACAAGGTCCAAAACAGAAGAGCGAAGAAGATGGGGAAAATGAAAAAGGCGGGGAAAAATGCTGAAAACCGAGCTGCGGTGGCAGACGAGAAGGCGGGAGACGCGACGACGCGAGCTCGGGTGTTGCATACAGTCAAGGCGACTGCTGTAATCATGCGGAGCGGGGGGCGCGCGGGAAACGGGAAACGGGAAACGGGGGCAAGAAGTGAGAGAAGGCAAAAAAAAAAAAAAAAAAAAAAAGAAGCGGCAATGTGGCGTCCAGCAAAAAAAAAAAAAAAAAAAAAAAAAAAAAAAAAAAAAAAAAAAACCGGGGAATTTCCCCAAAAACGTTCTTCTTCGATTCTTTGTGCAATGCAAACGACAGCCAAAACAAACACAACAGAAAACCAACCATCATCAAAGCAAGCAGCAAACATTGGGGAAAAAAAACCGCACAATGAAGAGTTCGAACTTTTGTTTGATTGGAACAAGATTAAAAAAAAAAAAAAAAAGGCACAGATTGACTGGCTGTTTGCATTGCATTGGATACTATCGTTTTGCTCACCCTCTGCGCTGCTGGTCTTGTGATTGTGGTTTGCTTCATTTTAGGTTTATACTTTGGTGCTTGTTCATTTGTTGCATTCTCAGGAGGAAGGCAAAGTCAGCCGTGCCGTTCGAAACGCCATCCCATCTCATCCAAGCTCAAGCGCAAGTTCAGCGTTTTTGTGAATCAACCCTGACTGGTTGACGGTGGTGGTGCTCAACAACCTCAAGAAGTCACAAGCTCGCCTCTCACGAAACAAGACATCCTGCAATTTTTTTTTCTTTGGGGAAACTCAAGAACCAACACCATCACCATGGACCTCTCCGAATTGTCTGGATGGGACCCAAACCTCTCGCTGCAGGAGCACACGGCCAACCTGCTCGCGATGGACGACTCGACCATGGCCGCCATGATTTTGCACAGCGACGGACTGTCCCTGTTCCGCGACATGGGCTTGTATAACTCGGTCTCGACGTCGCTGGACATTTCCGGCATTCCCAAGTTTCCTCCGCCGCCACAGCAGCCGCAGTTGGCCCAGGCACCCCCACGACGAGGCCACAACCAAAGCAGCTCGTCGGACTCACACTCGACCCCATCGCCTGGGTCGGTCCTGTTCTCACCCTCACCCGCGTCGCAGGACATGTCCCTGCAATCTCCCGAATTGGGGCTTGTGGGCCTCACGGGCAACTCCAGGCTGGCATCCACCTCGGAGGCGGACGACATCTTGTTGGCCAATATTCTCGGCCACCCCGTCCGTTCCGTTTCTGCCAACACGAGTATGGTCGGGCTGCCCGATGACCTCGGCTTCTCGCCCACCACTGGTATGGATTTGACCATCACTGCCACCAGTCCGGCAACTGCCGACTCTTCAGCAAGCGCCACGGCGTTCCCCGCGGCCAGCCCAATCGCTTCGCCGTCGGTATCAACCAGCAGCGGTCCCGTCACCGTCGGTGGGACATCCGCAGCGCTCGCCGCGCTGACGCCCGACCGCATCAATCGGCTCTTGAGTGCCGCCGAAGCGGCCGCAGAGGGCGCCGCAACTCTTGTGGAAGACCTTCTGATGGTGACCGAGGAGCCAGCCCAGTTTGCTCGCTTCCGTTACATGAGCGAGCAGCGCGAGCGCTCTCTCGCCGGCGAGAACTCATTCCCCACCCTCATGGTCAATCCCAAGTATGCACGTGTCGTCCCTGAAATGGCTCTCGTCACTGCTGTTCTGGTGACCAAGATGCCCGATCCGCACACGGGTCGCCAACAAAAACACTGGCACCACCTCGGCGGCATTCCCGCAGCTCCACTGGAGGGCCCACAGCGCATTGCGCGCTTTGACAACATTGCCGTCATCATGGACAAGGCAAACAACAAGGACAAGGACAAGTCCAAGGCGCCCGTTCGAAGCAAGGACGACCAGCGCTGCGTTCGCATCATGTTTGAGCTCGTTTTCGTTTCTGGCAACACTCAGTTTTACGGCCGAGCAATCTCTCAGCCCATTTACAATGGTAGGTTGCAATGGCTGTTTGTTCCATTCGTTTGTGCATTTTTGCAACTTCTGTTTGTGGTTTTTTTTTTTGTGTGTGTGTGTGTTTGTTTTGGTCTCACTCTTGTTCAACCCTCTTTTTGTTTTCCCCCTTTTGCGCACACAGCGAAACTGGCCATCACGAAAATTTCACACTCTTCTGGACCGGTGACTGGCGGCAACGAAGTCATTATGCTCTGCTCGAAAATCCGCAAGGGAGTGACGGGCGTGCGCATGACCGACCCGACGCAGTGGTCTGTGCAAGCCCCATCCGGTTCCGCCTGGGAGCTCAATCCGCAAACACTCAAGGCGGACTGCAATGTACCTGGCGCCAACTTGTTCTTCCACCACCAGTATGCGGTCGTGCTGACCCTGCCCCCGTACCACACGCAAACCATCACTGCGCCAGTGACGGTGCGCATTTCGATTTTGGACACGGACGACGAGACAGAATCGCAGTACGTCGAGTACACGTATCTGCCCGCAGAGGCTGCCGTCCGCAACGCCGAGCTGGCTGCGCGCAAGCGTCGCCGTGATGACAGCATGCGCGACTTTATGGACCGCTTTGACGGTTCTGACGGTGGCAATGGCAGTGGCAGCGGCCGAGGCAATAACGGTGGACATGATGGCAGCGATGCCAACAACAACGGTCGCGGCGGCGGCGGCGGCAGCAGCAGCAGCAAGGGCGGCGACGAGCCCTTCAATTTCAACAGCCTCATCCCGATGCACCAGCACAAGTTGCATCAGCTTGCTCTGTCGACTGTTCGTGCCGTTCAAGGCTTTGCAGCGTCTGGGGACGCACGTTATTTGCTTGCTCTGCATCGCCAATTGCTCGCCGCACCAAACGAGAATGGCGACTCACCCTTGCACACCGCAGTCGCCCAGGGCAACTTGCGTTCGACAATGGCCCTGCTGCCGCTCCTGGCAGCCGAGGATTTGCAGAGTGTCAACGACATGGGCGAGACGGTCCTGCATTCTGCTGTCATTGAAAAGCGAGCTGCCATCGCACGGCTCTTGCTCGTTGCAGGCGCAGACCTGGGCCAGAGCAATGCGCGCAACTTCAACCGTAACAGTCTGCACTATCTTGCCCGACACGGCGATCGTGCAACTGCGATGGCAGTGTTTGGCGTTTTCGGCTCCGCCCAGGCACCACCCGCCAATACCAACACCCCTGCACAGGCGCCAGCTGGTGAGACAAAGCCCAAACCTGCCGATCTGCGTCTTTTGGCACGCATCCAAGCTCAAGCCATCAAAGCCCTTCTGGCTTGCGAGCTCGAGACTGGCGCAACTCCTGCGCACCTTGCCATCCGCGGCGGACACTGGCATGTGTTTGAAGCTTGCGCCAAGCTTGCTGCTAGCGCCCCGATTCCGAAGGCTGCCGGCTCGCTCTTGTCAATGGTCGCCGAAAAGTCGTCGGGACACTCCTTGTTGCACTCGTGCGTTTTGGCCAACAACGAGCAGGCCGTGCGCTTGCTGATCAACCTGGGAGCTTCAGGCAATGCGCGCGACTTTGGCAAGAACACTCCCTTGCACCTGGCTGCTCGCCAGGGCCATATTGGCATCGCCGCTCTCCTCGTCGAGGCCGGCGCCACGCTGTCCCTGAATGCGGTTTCTCAAACACCACTCGACGTCTTGACTTCCGAGGGGTCTGGCCTGTCCCGCGACCAGCTCCGTGCTCTTGTGGCGGTCTTGCGCGGCGAGCTCAAGTATGCCGACATGCGTGGACGTCCGACACTGCGTATGCCAACGCACGCGGAATTGCATTCGACGGCTGCTGCGCTCACGTCAGCTTCCCCTGGCGCCGTATCTTTGGCTGACTTTTACGCCGGCAAGAAGGCGTCGCGCTCGCCAGCACCTTTGGGCGCTTCTTCGTCGTTGTTGTCGTCTACTGGCGCATCAGCTGCTGGCGCATCAGCACCGACAATTGCGGCTGTCCACGCTGCATCCGCCACTCCTGTCGAGCGAACCAGCATGAACAACGATGATGACTATGTCCTTCTCGAGAAGGATGCTCCTTACCCCGTTGAGCAGCAGCCGCATGGCAAGCGCAACAAACACTCGCACCACCGCTTCACCCGCAGCAGCCATGGCTCCCAGGACAAGGACGAGCTCAAGAAGGACAAGGACGATCCCAAGAAAGAGAAGGAACCCAAGGAGTTGTCCAAGTTTACGCTCAAGGAGGCGTTCGTGGACGGCACCAACTTCTGGGAACTCACCCGCAAGTTTGCTGGCAAGAAGAAGATGGCGTCGGCCAGCACTGGCGAAATGGAGCCCTTGTCGCCCGAGCGCCCTTTGTCGCCAACCAATGCTGGTTCTGGCGCTGCATCTCCGTTCAACCAGGCGAAGGAACAAGTCTCTCCGGGAGCCGTGCCGCCCACCGGTCTGGAGAAGCTCGTCAACAAATTGATGGACGCGTCGGAGGCAACCCTGTCGTCGCAGCCTGCTGAGGCCGTTACGCCCGAGCAGAAGCTTGCCGAGAAGCTCGAAAAGCTCGGGTTGGCTCCCGCCTCGACCACTTCTGCACCACCGCCGCATCCCAAGGTGGCGGCATTGAATGCTCAGTCGGTTGAAGACGCACGCAAGACTTCAACACATGCCCTCTACAGCGTCGACTAAACATAACGCGGGAAAAAAAAAAAGTGCGTTCTTGCTGGTCGTTTCGCTTTTCGATTTCGTGTGAAATGCAATTGTTAATTTACATTTTGAGCTTGTATTGTAACGTTTTTTGTTTAAACTTTCTTGTGTTGTCTTGTGCTGGCAGTGTGATTGCAATAGAGAGTTTGTGTATGCATAGCCGTCGCTGCAGACTTTTCACGATATTGCTCGTAGTGCACCACAACGTGTTTCATCCAAAACAAAGAAGGAAAAAAAAAATAGTCAAGCCGCACTACAAATCAATGTTACATGTGTGAAATTGCATCCCACAGTCGACGTGGGTTGCCTTCAGTCATTGTGCGCATCGTACGAACACTGACAGGCTCAATGTCTGCGGCCAAATTGCAAAAGAACCAATGTTAGGAGCGAAAATGCAAACCTCCTGCAAAATACGCACTTTATGAACAACTTACGCTTGTTCAGCCATCCGCGGAGCTGATAATACTTGAGCATGTTAACCATTTCGACGTCCGTAAAGTTGGGGAGCGTAATCTTGAGCAGTGATCGGCCATCGACAATGCGTGCGGCCTGCGGTAGGTTGTGGAAGGGTGCCTCGCGCAAAACCGAGATGGGCAGCGTTGGCATCTCCAGCTGCGGGGCCAAAAAGTCTTCAGGCTCGGACAAAACAGGTTCTGCGAGTCGCATCACTTGCTGGAAAATTGGCTCCGAGGGCGAGGGCAAGTGCGAAGCTGTGAGGGCCGCAGCAAAGAGGGTGTTTGACTGGGAGGTAGGACAAATGGAATTGAAGTTGGCAAAAAGGTCGGCAAGGAGAGAAACAAAAATAACAGCCAGAAAGCCATCTCTCGCTCATCGCTCATGACCGCCCCCCCCCCGCTTCCCCAAAAATTCGTACACGTTCCGGTTTGGCCTCGAGCAATGAGCGGAAAAGTTGAACGAGAGCAAGGTTGTCGTTGGCAATGTGCTTGCCCTTGGAGTCGGCGGCAGTACTCTTTGAGAAGAGGGCATTGATGCCGTCGACGGCAATCACCACCTTGTAGCTGCAGGAAGGCACGAGAGATAAAAAAGTTAGTGCTTGTGCTGTGAACCAAGACCCGTTTCAATTTGTTGTCTTTGTCAGCTGCAATACATACCCCTGAGCTTCGCGCAATTCCTCAAGAACAGCAGTCAGAATCTCGACGGAAATTTCAGGAACAGAAGCGCCAAACGACACCAGGTCGTTCAGCGTCATGTCCACAGTGAAGGGTGGCAGATTGCCAATCACGCGACGTTTGCTCAGCGGGATCTGGGAAGAAGGGAACACGTAAATGGGTAGAAAGTCAGCCTTCGACAAAAGCAGTTTCGCGCTTCAAAAACGCGCAGTATTGGGCACTCGAAAAATCACGCACAGTATCGAGCTGCTCCGAGTACAACGCTTCAAAGTTGACCAGGATGCGCTGGGCCTCGTAGACGTGATTGAATTGGCCGGGTTGGCTTAGGGATGGCATCAGCACGAGTGGTCGAATCATCCATTCGTGGACTGCAGACGATGAAGCGAGTAGAAGGGTTGAGCAAAGCAAAAAAAAAAAAAAAAAAAAAAAAAAAAAAACAAAAACAAATGAAAAAAAAAAAAAAAAAAAAGAAGCCTGCTCGGAAAGAATTCCGACAAGTCTCAGACACCAAAACAACCTACCATCGGGAATGTACATGACCAGCGTTTGCTGTTCCAGCGAGCTCAGATATGCCAAACTAAGAAGAGCGACGGATTTACCAGTGCCCTGCGCACCATCTGCACAGCGAAGTGGAACAAGTGTGAGCACTTCTGAGAGTCGGCCAGAACGGTTTCAATCAAGCCCAACAGAAGGGAAGCTGAACTGACCAAACAATACACGAACGGAGGGCTGGAGCCATGGATTGGAGAACAAACGGTAGAGCTCAAACACTTGCGGGCGGAGCATCAATGCGGCTTGTTTAAGATTGACAAACTGATAGCAGTGGAGGTACGAGAGTCAGTGATATGCTCGACAAGTTAGTGAGGACGTGACAGGGAAAAAAAAAAGGCAAAAAAAAAAAAAGGTTGAACCGTACCGTGTTGCCAAGGTGTGACGGGGGAGAAGGAGCAAGCAAACGCATGCGTTCCAACTGCAGAATGATCATCTTGGAGACATCGTCGCTATCAAACTGTCGTCGCCCCCCCCCCAAAACAAAGTGAGTAGGAGCGAGAGCGAGAAGCAAAAAAAATCAAACCCCAGACCCCCCCACCTCAGAGCGAGCCCTCCATTCACAAACCAAAGCCAGTGCAAAAATACAAAGTCGCAACACCCACCTCGCTGTGCTTCAAGCTCAAGACACCGTCGAGCCAGGGGTTGAGTTCTTGGGGTAGACCTTGTTGAGTGAACAGCTTGGGCAGCGAGTCCCATGCACTCTCAAAGGTCAGACGCGGCAGATTGAGTCTGCTAAAGTCGACAATGACCGAGTTGCTTGCAGCCGTGTTGATGGCGACGGCAGCGGCAGCGGCAGAAGCAGCTTCAGCAGCAATCTCCTCGGGCGTGTCTGCGAGCGGGACTGCGGCGCGGGCGGCCTTTGCCTTGCTAGCCGACGCAGCTGCGCTTCCGTGTGTGACGATGGGCAATGTGTTGACGTCCGATGCCTCGAGGTCGGATCGCTTTGAGATGCCGTCGTTGGTAACGCCGCGCAGTTTGACGCGCGACCCCGTGGCGAGTTCGGGCGAGGCCATGTTCTTGAGAGCGTCGACCAGGTGCTGCAGCGACACGACGCGGCGCTGCTCCATCGCGGCCTCGTCCTCGGCGGTCGTCGCGCGCTGCCGTGGCTTGGGCACCGTAAAGTTGAATCCATTGAGCGTCGCGTGCTCAGCCTGGGTTCGTTTCCCCACCAAATAAAGCGGCACATCCGTCAACACAGCAGTGAGTTGCATGGTCAGACAGTCAAGTGGTTCCAAGTCCGAGTCCGACAGTCAAGTAGTGACGGTGAAGAGTGAGCTGCAGCACATGGCTTTTTTTTTTTTTTTTTTTTTCCCAATGCAAAATGCAGCGATCTCTCGCTTCTCGCTTTTCGGCCTCTTCTTCTTCTTCCTCTCTCTCTCTCTCGCTCTTCTTCAGTCCGCCGTGTGAGAACAGGAGATAGAGAGAGAGAGAGAGAGAGAGAGAGAGAGAGAGAGAGAGAGAGAGAGAGAGAGAGAGAGAGAGAGAGAGAGAGAGAGAGAGAGAGAGAGAGAGAGAGAGAGAGAGAGAGAGAGAGAGAGAGAGAGAGAGAGAGTCCATTGACGCTGCGGCATGCTTCAACTGCGTCGGGACATTCGTCGTCGGCTACCGGGCTGTTTTCGTTGTTTCAATCCTTGCTCTCCTCTATGCTGCTGGCTCACCTCGTCGCTGCGCGCTGGGGATGTGCTCGCGAATCTCCTTGGCGTCGCTGTCGCCGGCAATGCTGAGGCAGCGATGGCGCGTGCGGTTGCCCTTGCAGTCGTCGCTCGGCTCCCGCAGACAGAGACCAGCCGAAGTGCGCCAAGCATTGCAGCAAATGAACAAAAAGAGTGACCTGAACCAAACAAAATCTGAGCTGTAAAAGCAATGGAAAACGACAACAGGGAAATTATCGGAATGAACAATGAAAAGCAAGCAAGGAACAGAGCGCGCGCGAGAGGAGCACACAACGAGAACCAACATCAAGCAATTCGCTCCCCCCCCCCCGCCAACCCACATCCTTGAATCAATCTTGCAAGATCCTTCGTTTATACCGATTCTCTACCTCGAGTGGAACAGGAGTTGTTTCGAGGTAGCTGCCGGCGAAAGCAGCGTCAGATTTGCGCCTTGCTCTGAACCATCCTGTACTGTACCAAAGCCCATGCAATAGCAAACGAGCTGCATGACTCCACGTATTTCCACGTTTTATATTGAATTCAAACCAGTCCTCTCCTGTCCTCACAAAACAGCATTTCATGGTGCGGCTGCTGCGAGCCAACTGCATTGCCATTATTGCGCTTGCAATAGCGATTGCTGCTGTTCTGGCTGCAGCAGTCCCCGACGACCCTTCCGCCGCCCAGCATCAGCAACATCACGAGCAATCGCTCGACAGTAGCCATCCTCACCACAGCGATCGCCTGCACGCGCCCGGCAAAGCGCTCCTCGTAAGTATAAAAAAAAAAAAAAAAAGCGCCGTTCTAATGCTCGTCCCATACAAAGCTCAACTCATCTTCACTCGACTCACTCTGCCTCGATCATTCTGATGTGCGTTCGTCAATACTGTCGTTGATCTTGCTCTTTCTGTTTTGTGCCTCTGGTAGGCGAGGGCGTTCAATGACACGGTCCGCTACTCGGTCCAGCTCGGGTTTCCGCCGTCGCTCGCACCACCAACCAAGAGCGGGACAAAGCAAGGATCAAAGAGTGCTGCTGGCAATGCTAATGGCAATGGTAACCCTAATGGCCATGGTACTCCCCGGCCGCTGCTTGCAGACATCGGTCAGGCCAATCCCAACGCCAATCCCAGCAAAGCTGGCAGCCCTACTGCTGATGCTGATGCTGATGCCGATGCCGATGCAAATGCAGTCAAGCCAAGGACAGTACTGGATCGTGCTCTGGCTGCTGGCGTGCCGCTGTTGCCGTTCAACGCTCTGCCAGGAGGTCGCTTTCACTGCGCCATCCCTCCTGCTGCTCCAAGCACCACTGAAGGCCGCGCTGACGATCCATCATCGTCCTCCCAACAACATCGGAAGTTCTCGGCAAGCTTCTCGCCTGCGACGCTGCTCAAAGGAATGCGATCCAATGTGTGCTTGTTGCGAATCGAGGCGTACTGGACGTACGAATACTGCCACGAGAAGCACCTGCGCCAGTACCATCTCGACCGCGGCCAAACCGTGCCCGCTCCAGTCAAGCCCGGCGGCGACCCCAACGAGTACATGCTGGGCGTGTACAAGGCGCCGCTGGTGGCCGCAGCTCCGGCAGAGCACTTGACCCTCGCCAACGCCGTCCCGCCGCGCATGCGCTGGATTCACCAGGACGTTCCGTATTACGCGACTCACATTGATGGCGGCGCGCCGTGCGGGCTGATTGGCGCTCCTCGCCGCGCCGAAATCCGATTCATTTGCAACAAGCTTCTGACCACCGCCGAAATCATCCATCTCGAGGAAACAGCCACGTGTGTCTACTTGGTCGTCATTGCCACTCCAACGCTCTGCGTCAACACAAACTACGTGGTCGAGGCTTCTCCCGTCGAGCCGATTGCATGCTTTCCTTCCGAGATTCCAGACCCAGGCGTTCCCGCAACGCTCGTGCCCGCCAGGATGCACGAGAACCTCTTTGGCGACCCTTTGGTCAATTTTGGGTCGGTTCCTCAACTTGCAGATGCGATGGCCACCAGCTGGGAGCTGTGTCAAGCAGAGAGTGAGTTAGCTGCAGCCACTGCCTATGTGGCTCGCCAGCAGCAGCGCGGGGTCGACCCGCGCAGCCAGGCATCTGAATTGGAGATCGCCTTAGCTCTTAACCATAAAGCTCGCGTGGCTTTCCTGAAAGCCGAGCTTGATCTGCACCGGCAGGTACGCAAGACATTCGACATAAACGCCTACGTTCGCTCTCGCGCTGGAAGCAACTCCATTCCACGCGTTGCACTGGACGATCAATCTCTCCTTGCCATTCTGCACCAGCAGAAAACGCAGCAATCAAAACAAAAGCAAGAGCAAGGGCAATCCAAACCGGCTACACCAAATCAGCCGGCGGCTTTGAATCAACCGCAGTCACAACAACAGCAACAGCAGCAGCAACAACATCAGCAACAGCAGCAACAGCAGCAACAACAGCAACAACAGCAGCAACAACAGCAGCAACAACAACAACAACAGCACGAGCAAACGCAATCACGCTCAGAGTTCGATCCAGCTGTGGCCTCGCAGCAGCAAAGAAAACTGGCTCAGCAGCAGCAACAGCAAGCCAGGCAACAGCTAAATCAAGCTCAGTCGCGCAGCAAGAACGCCGCTGGCGGCAAACCCAAGGATTCGACCCAACCTCAATCCCCAGAGACGGTCGTGGCGCCGGTCGCTCATCAAGGCAATGCTATTTTTGCCGACGGAAGGCTGTCATCGACACCCTTTGACGGCGATTCAACGGATGTTCACAACTTGCTTTCCAGTACCTGCATCATTGCTGTATGTCGTCGTACTTGACTTTTTTTTTGTTTTTCTGGTTTGGTTTTTTTTTTAATTTGGTGGTCTCAACTCACCCTGCTTGCTTGTTGCTTACTCCCGTCAGTCCACCGGCGGGTGGTGGCAATTCGAGCTGTGCTACGGCCGGCACATCAAGCAATTCCACGTCGAATATGGCGCTGGAGGTGTCTCGACACGCAAGCCGGAGATGGTGATTGGGAAATGGGACTCGAAGGCTCATGTCGCCTGGTTCAAGTCGCTGAATCGGGATGCTCAAACAGCGATCGAAACTGCTACCACAGGCACCGTACTCTACTTTTCCAACGGCGAACTCTGCGATAAAACGGGCGAGCCCAGAAACACAGAGCTGCATCTCATGTGCGCCAGCGGAGACGTGACCGACCCCCAAACTCGAGAGGTGGTCCGGCACCCATCGGTGGTCTCCATGGCCATCGACGAGCCCAGCACCTGCCGCTACCGCATGGTCCTTGCTTCTCCGTTGGTGTGCGAGTTAATTCAGACTCGTGATGACTACGGAGTGCCAATCCCGTAAGGACCTCGGTGTCTTTTTGTTTTGTGTGTTTGTGGATTTGCACACTTGTTTTTATGTGGACTTGCTTCTTCATGATTGAGAGCATTGGAATACATTTAATTTACGCATTTTTTTTTCAAACAACGTTTTGTTGTAGTTCGAAGAAGAACAATTTTGATCTCAAAAAGTCACTCCATTCATCCACAAAAACCAAAAAAACGTAAATAGAGTCAGTACACTGTACGTTTCGTACTTTCAACAGACAAACAACCACCCACGATCAACGCAACAAAAGGAGGAGATTTTCCGCATGCAATTCAAAACGCAATTCACATCATCCACAACACACATCGCACACGAAACGTCGACAGGGGCGTTTCAAAGTTCGCCATGCTGACCGCTCGGGACGGTCGGATTTGCATCGCCGGGCATGAGCGCATCGAGAACGCCTGATTGACGCAGCACCACAGCCAGCACAATCGCACAGACAATGGAGCCCCAGAGCAGCCAAAAGTCAGGATTTCGCCACTTGTTGTCGCTCCAAGCCTTCCAGTCGCGCTCGGCGGCTTCATCGGCAGCGAGTGCAGCCACGGGATCTCGCATGTGTTGTCGCTTCATTGCTTCCATCATGCGGCGATAGACGACCCGGTCCTTGTCGTCGGCGTCTTTTTTGAGCTGCTTCACCAACGTCAGCTCCTCGCGAACATCACTCGGTGGTCGCTGGGCTGGGGAGATGGCCTCCATGATAAGATTGAGCGGGGCGAGCGCCTCGTCAAAGTTGCTCAGGTAGCGCAATGCCTGCGCTTTGCGGAGAAGCGCCTTGATGTTCATGTGGTCGAGCTTCAAGGCCGTGCCAACAGTCTCGAGCGCTTGGTGATAGAGCTCCAGCTTGATTTGGCAGGTCGCCACGTTGTTTAGGAAGGCCAAATGCAATGTACGGAGCTCTGACCGCTCTTCGTTGGTGGCGGCGCGCGAGGTGAGCAGCTTGCGCGCTTCCGCCGAATCTTCCGAGTCGTCCAACTTTTTGAGCGTCTCCTCAATCTCTGTCTGACGCGCCAATCCCTTCTCGATCAGCCTGAGGCCGCGCGAGTACGAGTTGATGGCCTCCTCCCAGTCTCCTCGGCCAAACAGCTCGTTGCCGCGAGCCTTCTTGCCGTTCAGGGCGTGGAGCAGCGACTCGACCGATGTGAGCGGGGCGTCTGCGTCCGACATTTCCACCTTCTTGAGCTCGAGCTCAATCTCGACATGCGCATTCGGAGGAATGCCAGGGGGCCTGATGGCAACAACAGTACGTGTCACAAGTATGGTGAATTGCCAGATCAGACCGAAAAAAAAAACCTAATCCGAGTTGGCACCAAACACAAGAACAAGCTGGCGACTCACTTTCCAGCCTCCTTGTAGGCAAACTTGGGGAAGGCTTTGATTCGTGCGAGTTCACCAATGTCAAGCATGGCGCAAGCAAGGTCGATGGCTGTGTTGTGAGACGGAGAGTGAGGTGGAGGGGGGGGGAATTGAAGGAGAGAGACAGAGAGAGGGACGCAGCATAAGGTTTGACAGGTCAGCACAAATCGAAAATGCCCACTTCCCATCCACCCACGTCATCTCATCTTTTGAGAGCGTCCGCAATCGAATGAACAAACATACCGAGCAAAGTGTCTCCTTCGCCCAAGCGGAAGGTGGCCGAGTCGACCTGCTCGACAATCTCAGTCGAGCCCGCGAGTCGCAATGCATACGCCACAGTGACCACGTCGCCATTCTGCGGCCTCGTATCGATTTTGCCCGCGCGCAGCGTCTGTTCAATAACAAACGATAGTCAGACAATTCAAGCAGAAGCCAAAAAAAAATGCAAACGCATAGAGGGGTGTGGGGAGGGGAAGGGAAAGTCAGCGCGCTGAGCCAAACCCAGTGCATACACACACAACCCGTGCTCGTCGCCCTGCTCTGCCTGCCACTTTCCGCTGCTCGTGAACAGAGGCTCGCTCGCTCTCGAACTATTTCAAAATGCGAAATGCGCAAAGCAGAACAGTGTGGTTACCTTCTTGAGGAGCTGTCCGCTGCCGAGCATGTCGACCTCGTCATCATCCTTGCTGTTGCCGCTGTCCAGCTCAGCACTCGCGTCGGTCGCCTTGGACTTTGCCATTCCCGACGCTCGTTCTCCCTTGTTGTTGCTGTTGCTGTCGCTGGGCTTGGAGGACGAGCCAGCCTTGGAAGCAGCAGCAGCAGAAGTCGAGGAAGAGTTCGCAGAAGAAGAAGCAGCGTCATCAGTCGCCGAACCGCCCAGCCCAGCGCCACGCTGCTCGGACACCGGAGGCGGTTGCGTAGATGCAGCACGAGCGTCACTCGACACAGTTGCAGTCGAGTCGGTCGCAGTGGTGGCAGGCGTCTCAGGTGGTGGCGACGCTGCGTCCGCCCGCTCAACTTGCACAAAGTCCTCGTCTTGCTCGAGCTCTTCAATCTCAGGCATTGTTGCGACCAAAAAATGGAGAATGACAGTCACCCGAACATAATAATAATAAAAAAAGGGAAAAAAAGAAAAACAAAGCGAGAATTCGAGGAGAGAAGCAAAGAAAGAAAGTAAAGTTGAATTGAAATTGGGAAATGATTGGAAACTGTATGAAAACGGATGAAAACGACGCAACACACAAACAAAGACCACACAAACACAAGACCACACAAGAACAAACCGATACAATGACGAGAATAAAAAAGAAAGCAAACGGAGCCTAAACGCACTTCGGGAGAAAAACCCCCATCGCTTTAGAACACCTAAGCGTCTGAAACAATCAAACCAACATCACGAATCTGATCCTTCTTGTTCCGCGCAATCGCAAAGAAACCGGAAATCTCGGGGAAAGAGGGCCGCGCGTTGGCATCTTGCTCCCAGCATCGAGTGACAAGCGTAAACCTGCAGTACAAAAGCAACAACCAAACAACAACACATCACAAAACACAAATAAAACAGATCAGCGTCGGTTGCCTCTCCACAATCAAAAAACACGTCAAAAGCAAGCACGTCCAAGAACAGGGTGGCTTCGTTTACAAGTGATCAGGACAGTCAGCTGGCTGCATCATGCGCTTGCCAGACCGCAGATAGTCAATGATGGCATCCACAGTCATGCCCTCGTACAGCTTGCCCGCGTTCGAAAACACCTCATACATGACACAACCAAAGGACCACACATCGGACGCCGTGCTGAATGTGCGGTATTCGAGCGACTCGGGCGCCATCCACTTGACGGGGAGCTTGCCCTTGGTCTCGACTCGATAGTAGTCGCGCTCAACCGACAGGGCACGCGACAGGCCAAAGTCGGCAATCTTCACAGTCAGCATCGGACCGACCAAGCAGTTGCGAGCGGCCAGATCGCGGTGGACAAAGCGAATGGACGCAAGATAGGTCATGCCCGACGAGATTTGGCCGAGAACGTGGACCTTTTCTGCCAACGTGAGGTGCAAGCACGGATTCATATTGGCGCCCTTTTCAATCACGCCGCGCAGATCGCCAAACGGCAAGTACTCGAGAATGAGCAAGTGGGGCTCGGCTTCCGTCATGACGGACAGCACGGTGACAATATTGGTGTGCTGGAACTGGAGGAGCGTCTGCGACTCGGAAGCAAAGTCCTCGCGCGATCGCTCATCTGCGCCTTCCTGCAATGTCTTGATGGCAACCGTCAAGGACGTGGGCACGCCCGGCCTGGGCTGGTCGTGGAAGATTGTCGGAATGCTGGCCTTGAACACCTGACCAAAGGCGCCGCGACCAATCTCCTGCTTGAACTCGACGCTCGCGCGATTGATGGAGCGTGGGACGAGCATGACGAGATTTTCGCGCAGCATTTGAGCCGGCAACTCGTACATGTTGTCCTTCTGCGCCTTCGCCGCCACCATCTCGAGATAGTCGCCGGACGTCGCGTCTGAGGCCATCACTTCGTAGTCGTTATCAGGGGTTGGCTGAAGCGCAACGTAGCCGCCGTCTGTTCCACCATTGGCAGGCGTTGGCCCCATCATTTCGTACTGTTGCGTTGGAGCAGCGGGAGGCGAGTCCTTGAGGCTGCTTGTCACACCAAAACTGTTGTCGCCGTTGATCACAACGGGCTCCATTGCAATGACAGTGTTGTTCTCAGGACGAGCCAGTGTTGCTCGAGACGAGGTTGCAGAATGGAATTCCGGCTTCGAGGCACGCTTTTTGCGATACCGCCGGACGACAAACAGGATGAGAAGGAGGGCAACCAATCCACCAATAGCACCTCCAATGGCTGCAAACGGAGCGCTGCTGCCCGAGTCACCGGGTGGGGGATTGGACTTGTTACAATTCACCGCTTGGCACAGGACTTGGTGTGTTCGGCAAAGCTCACAATAATCACTCGTGTTGCTCGCATACACGATGGTGTTCTGGCTGGACGATTCGAGATTGCTGAACACGGTCTGACGGAGACTGCCCAGTCCCGACGAGTATTGATTGTCCAATCCGATAAAGTATCGGTTGGAAGTCAAGTCCGACTCGACTCCAATGTCCGACTGACTCTGTGCGGAAGTGTTGTTGGAAAAGGTGCAGCCAACAAAGGCTGATCGGGGCTGATTCTCGAATTGCACCACGGTCGACGCAGGGAGGCTTAGAGTGTGATTGACAAAGGAGCAGTTGACGAAAATGTTGAACATTTCGCCATCGTTATCTTCGAGAAAGTAGATTGCCGAGCCTCGACCCGCTGGCGCAGCGTTTGAGGTGAACGCATTGTTTTTGAAGAGCGCAAGCTGAGCGGGTCCCCGAGAGCCGACCGCGACGGCACCGCCCGTCGCTGCAGTGTTTTGCAGGAACTGGTTGGCTGTTCAGACGCACAAAGATCAAAGCAAGCAAGCAAGCAGCAGCAGCAACAATAACAACGACAGAGGGAAAAAATGAACATGGATGATCCAAGCAAGCCGACGAGAATTCGCGCAACAACACCAGTCCGACATTTCTTTTTTCCGGCTTACACGTCAACGTGATCGTGGCACCGTCGTAGTGAGTATTGGCGCCTTGGTAGATGGCTCCGCCATAGCCATCCGGGGAAGAGTTGTTCGAGAATACAGAGTTTGCAACCGCCAGAGTGCTATTCAAAGCCACCAAGATAGCACCGCCTCCGTGCTGGTTACTCGAAGAGATTGCGCGATTGCCGGCAAACTGACACTGAGAAATTGTTGTTTGGTACTGCGTGTCGACCGCAATCGCGCCTCCGTCGTATCTGCCGATGCAGCCTGTAAAGTTGGAGTTGGAAATTGTCAGCTGAGCAACAGCGCGGACATCGGGGTCGACCAGGGTGGCAATGGCGCCGCCTGGTTGTCGGAGCGACAGACAGCGCACAAAGCTAGACTGCGACACCGACACGCTCTTGGCATTCCCGATCGAAACGGCACCGCCTCCCTGGTATCCGCTCCCGTCAATGCCCGTTGAAGCACAGTCGACGAACGTGCATGAGCTGATGCTGACTGTCTTCGTTGGGCTCGCAATGTTTTCAAAGCTGACTCGAATCGCCCCACCTACAGGATTGTGCTCGACGGCAGAGCAGTTGCGAAAAGTCGAGCTGGAAACCGAGAGCGACTGCGCAGAAAACAGCGCCCCACCCTGAGACCCCACCATGTCGACAAAAGTGCAGTTTCGCACAACGAACGCGTGAAACGGGGGTGCAGAGTCGGCAGGAAAGATGGTGACCGGGCCATAGTCTGCAACGGGCGCGACCATGTTTTGGAAGACAGTGTTGGACAGTGATCCAGTCGTTCCCGCGAGTTCCAAAATCGGTCCGTTTTGGCCCGAGTACATGTGTTCGAACAAGCAATTGGTCACTGCCACGTCGCCGTTCGCGCCCTCGGCTGTGAAAAGTGTTATTGCGTTGGATCCGCCGTCACCTTGTGCAAATCCCGAGAAGACAGAGTTGCTAGACCAATGCAGGCGTTTCATAGAGGTCAGTAAGATTGTGAGATTGAGCAACTGTTGTTTTGGTTTTGTTTTTTTCGCTTGAAAGGCGGTGCATGGCAAATGCAGCAGCGACAAAACGTATCGACCTTACTTGACTCGAATGCTCAAGCAGTCGCCGAAATCCATGATGCCCCCTCGTGTGTAGGAATTGTTTGTGACTCCGTAGCCATTGTTGATGAATTGCGTGTTGGCAATCGTCAGCACTTTGCTTGCACCAGAAAGCGCACCGCCATAGCCCTGACACAATGAGCAGGGTTAGATCGGAACTCAATACACCCTTTGTGCATAGCAATGAATGCAAATGGCCGTGGACACTGAGTCTTCTTACAGATGCTAAATTCGCTTCAAAGTACGAGTTCGTAATCATCGCAACAGCGCCAGCGTTCGTTCCCAGGTTGGCAGCGCCGCCTGTACACCCAGCACGGAGACACATGTTTGCAACAAACGACACATGGTCCAAGGCCGCGGGACCCGGATTGCTCAAGGCGATCGCACCGGCTCCTGTAACACCAATGTTGCTTGTGAAATTGCTGTAGGATAGGGTAAAGGAGTTGCACAGCTGCGCTTGAATGGCACCGCCGTAGTCTGTGGCGTGGTTGGCAAGGAAGGTGGACTGCGAGATGGACACAGTTCCTGTTCCTGCGCTGGCAATGGCGCCACCCTGCTTCCCGGTATTGTTCCGAAAAGTGGAACCAGTGATAGTCAAGGCGTTGTTGCAATTGTCACAGTAGTCCGAGCTAAAGCAGACACCAATCGTCGTCGGAGCATAGTTGTCTGCAACGAACGACACACACACACACAATGTGAGAGAAAATCAATCCTAGCATCAACAGGGCGGCATGCAATACAGCCCGAGCGGCTGGCGTACCTGCGCAAGTCATGTCCGTCATGACAACAGATGCTCTGGCAACGGAAATGCTTGGAGTGTTGTGGGTGTACAGATTGCCCGTGATGGACGTGGAAATCAGCTGGACAGTGTCCGTCGCGCGAGAAAGCCTCACCGCAGTGTTCGCGTTGGATGTAAAGGAGCAATTCCTAAAGATGAGGGTGATGGCCGGCGCGGTGTCGGGATCGACAACAATGCCACCATCCGAGTTTGCGGCGTACGCGAGGTTGATGAAGGCAAAGCTGTCAAAGGTCACCGTCAAGGGCGTGTTTCCTTGGTTATCCGGGAATGAAAACCACGAAGTGTGGTGATTGGCATCGAACGTGCATCGCTGATCGGCGTTGCACCCGAATGAGGTCGAGAACTGGATTTGCAGCGGCGTGTTGGCCGACCAGGTGATGGTATCATCGATGCAAATGGAGGGGATTCCGCTGACAAGAGCAGTGTTCAGGTGTGAAAAATCAGCCGATGTAGTGCCCGTGCAAGCGGCGTCGCAGACTGCGGGCATCGTCGAGATGGCCAGGAGAGTGGTGGCTACAATGCATGGTAAGAGCGGTAGGAACTGACGCATTCGGATGATCGGTAGGCGACCAGGCCTGTTGTTGCACGTCGTCATCGTCATCACTGCTCGCCACTGTCCCGAGTTGTGCTTGTTGAGAGTGGTGCCAAACGGGCCTTCTGATAGGGAAGCTGGCGACCGTTGGGTTAGGGTTAGCGAGAGGGGGAAGCAGCGCGTCTCTGAATGCTTCGAGGAACGAGCACCAAAATAGGAAGCGGCGGTCAAGTTCACGACAAAATCCCGGATTGCCAGAGCGCTGCGTCCCACTTTTTTGACGAGTGCGGGTGTAATGCTAGTGACTAGGCGCTGGAAGGGTTTGGGGAGGGGGAGGGGGGAGGAGGGAGGCAGAGCGACAAAAGGAGGGGAAGGTGAGTTGGATGCGGTAAAAAAAGAAAAAAAAAAAAAAGAATGGAGCACAACACGGTGAGCAATGAGAGAGAGAGAAGGAGAGAGAAACTCAGGGAAGCAGTGAGGGTGAAAATACCCCAGCAATGGTGGAGGGGGAGAGAGAGAGAGGAGGACAGACAGCGAGGGCCGCGAGTGAGGATGAACGACGTGTGGAACGAGAAAAAAAAAAAAGGGAGGAGATTGCCATGGGAAAAGGCGAAAATCTCGCATTCGCATCGCGTATTCTTTCTTTTATTCTTGTATTTTTGTAGTTTTGGCTTTGCTTCCTTACAGCAGAATAAACCACAACAAAAAAGGACTGAACTGACTTCAAATGTTGGGTGCATTTGGGAATACAATAAAATGACCAACATACAGACAGATACAAGAAACGGATGAATCAGCTTGGTTGCGAGAGAAAGATATGAAGAACAGGAAACAAAAAGTAGATCTATACCAAAAACTCAGTGGTCAACCAACTCCGAGCAAGCTCAAAGCCACATGAAACACACACGCGCAACCCCCCGCAATTCACATTTTCAAAAACGAGGAAAGCTCGTTGGGCAGCTCCCATCCGAGAACCCGCTCGCGGTAGAGCTCCGTCTGTGCGATTTGCAGACAGCCATTCGACACGAGGTCTTTGGCAATGGTCAACGCCAGAGTCTCTACGCGTTCGCGCTCTTTTAGAGAGAGAAGCTCGAGAGAAGCCTGGGCATCGGGTGCGGCTTCAACGTCACCTCCACCTTCCTTGCCTTCCTGCGTCCAAAACTCGTCCACGTCGTCCTGGTCGAAAGCCAGCTGGGACGCAAGTACGGCCACATTGCCGACAGAAAACGGGCCTCGGGCCTTGAGTACGAGCGCAATGATTCGGGCAGCGTCCACGTCGACGTTGACGCGGACGCGATTGCACGCAAACAGCGGTGTGGCGGGAAGATCTGTTTCGCCGTCTTCAAAGTTGAGGGGGATTGTGCCTGCTAGCATACGCGCCGGTCGCTGGAGTCGTGCATTCAGCGTCAGGTCAGGAATGCGCGCCAGGCTGGTAAAATTGAATGGCTGCGCCAAAAGCCCCGCCAGCTGGTCTTGTCGCACGTTTTCGATCGCGTGGTTTACAATTGTGGCCAGCTTGTCTTGGGCCAGTGCTGGTCTGAGCAGCTCTCGAAGCCGGCTCGTGATATGACGGACGTTCTCCAAATCCTCCTCGGACATGGTCTCCTGCAGCAACGACCGATAGACTGCAGCATCCCAATCCCGCACCGCTTGATTCAGCAACTCATCACTCGCTTGCTGCTTTCTTGACGGTTCGGGACCACGCGCGCGGGACCGCTCTTGCAACACGCGGTGTCGGGCAGGGCTCAGTGTCATGTAATACTGGACAAAATGGAGGCGCGTCTCCAAGACATCCAGCAGATGGACGATCAAAAACTCGATATGCTCCGTGATGGCCTTGAGGTTGGTGGCAGTCGGCTCGAGGTTGGCGCGGTCCACGAGCAGCCAGGCTGGGAACGTTTGCCGAGTACTCGTATCGTCCGGCGCGATGCTGACAAGTCTGAGCAACAAGTTCAACAGCATGCCAGATCCAATCCGCATGGGTCGTTCAAATTGCTGCGATCGAGACCAGCCCGAATTTTCGAGCAGCTGCAACAAGCCGACAGCAGGGTGCTGCGACAGCTTCGGCCGCGACAAAAATGGCACAAAAGTGTCCATTGGCGGGAACTCAAACCGCGGAATGTAGATGGGCTCTTCGAATTGCGGGTTTGCGGAAACGAGTGCCTAGAGGGGAAAGCGCCATGCGAAGGGCATGGGAAGAAGAGCACGCGTCAGACCAGCACAAAGAAAACAAAGAACAGACGAGTGCATTGCATCAGCAGAAGAGCAACTTACCCGAAGCGAAGTTTCCAGCACCGTGTGCCATGTGAAGGCGTCGTGAGAATGCAGACTGATAGTAACGTGAAGGGAAGCTTCGTCAGTCGCTCTTGATGAAATGATCGTCCCTCGAGGAATATAAAGCACTGAAGAAGTCAATCCAAACAAACGTCAGAGAAGGCAGAGATGGGTCCCGAAAGAGCAAGTCATGCAGAGCAGCAGAAACAAAAACAAGCAACAACAACGACAAAACCAACAAAAACAACAAAAAAAAAACCAATCACTGACCATCGCCTGCTTGAAGATGTGCGTCAACGCAGTGCTGGAGAGCTTCGCTCGGCATAAAATTGCCATCGTACTTGTCATTAGGGAGCGGGAATATGGGCTCACACACTCGCCAGATCTGCACCACGAACAATGCCATGAGTCGAAAAAAAGGCAACCCGCTGAAACAGCCCAAACAAGCCCAAAGGCACGAGAATGGGAAACGCCACAACGATCTCTTCGTTACCTGTGAACCAAACGTCTGGACTAGAATCAAATCGAACATTGGAGAGCGCGGCCGCGAAAAGTAATCGACGGGCCCGGTGAATGTGGCCGAGACGTCGGAAAACACGCCCAACGTTTGCTCCACGTCGGCCACGAGCCGCATCAACGGCGCGTGGAAGTTGTGGGCCGAGATAAGGATGACGGTTGCGCCGTCGTGCACAGCAACCAGCAGCGCCGTGTTAGTTGCTGGTCTGTCCACGGGGTAGACGGCCTTTTCGTTTTTGATGACAAGAAACTCGTGATTGATTACGAGCTTGTAGACGCGGGTGATGGCAACAAGGTCGTCTGGATGGATCAAGCGACGCAGATCGAGTTCTGGCTGGCTTGCGGCGCGATGGTGACGAATGTGCAGGAACTGTCGTTCAAAAACGGTGGCAAACACCTTGGCTCCGTGCGCGCCAAACAGCTTTTGCAGCACCTTGTGCCTGTCGTTCGGCGGGGCAAATCGGTGCGGGCGAGGCTTCCGTGCAATCTGTGAAGCGCGCGGCGGATTGCTGTCGGGTGATGATTGCCTTTGGGTTGAGTCGTCCACGAACGGCACCCTTTCGACTGCGATTTGGCCCTTCTTGTACGCGTGTGCGAGTGCGATCGCGTCTGAGCGGGAATTGGAGGAATCGGCACTTTGCAGTTGATCCTGAAATTGATCCTGAGATGGATCCTGATCCTGATCTTGGGCGACTCGCCATCCGCCTCGCGCTTGGTCATCCGTCGCAGTGTATGTCAGTGCAGTAGGAAATTCGCTCCAATGGTAGTCCTGGTCAAGGGAATGGGAATTACAGTCATGGTAATGGTGCGTGTTGTAATTGCTGAAACCTGAGGATGCAGCAGCGGCGCAGGACGCGGAGGACTGCTGGCCATCACCGCTGCCATCTTCCTGCTGCGGCTGTGATGGGACTGAGCAGCCACACGCAGTGCCAGGCGGTGGCGGCGGCGTTGGTCGAGGGAGATCCACGGGCAGTCCAGCCGCAGTGAGCATCGCTTGCCACTCTGCATCGCTACTGCGACTGGCACTACTGACGGTGCTGCCGCTGCAACTGCTAGTAGTACATGCAAGCAGCATCAACGTAGTGCATGCGATGGCGACTGCGCGCGACACGGCCGAGCGGGTGCGTAGTGATTGCCGATGACTCTGAGCCGCTCTGCTCCCGCTCTGCTGGCGACGACTCGGGTGGCTACGAGTGATAGTCATCTCAGTCAGAGTCGTCATTCTTGAGCGTTGGGCCAAATTTGTGCAGCTCGGATGATAAAGCTCGCTCTCACTCGCGTGCCGCCTTCGCTCAAACGCACAAACAAAATTGACTGAATGAATGCATTGACTGAATGTACCACATTGAATTTCCATTGCATCAAGTACAACCACCGCTAGCAGCAGCAACAACGGAAATTTCAAGGGATGCGTCGTTGCCGTCGCTGAGTTGTTTCGCCGGTTCATTGTTTCGCCGTTTGCGGTTGGTGCCAACAGCCTGTTCAGTTAGCCTTCAAGTACATCACAAAACTCAAGCAGCCAGAAACATGTTGGCACATGCCGCGAGACTTGCAAGCGAGCTGCTCAAATTTTTCGATTGCCGTGCGCTGAGAGCGCCATACCGGGCCCTGAATAAAATCCATCTCGTCGTGCTGACCGGCGAGCTCCTCTTGTGCAGCTGGGCTGGCAAAGCGTGCGGTCAGCTCCGCGTCGGTCAAACTGCGTGAGGCAAGAACGAAATCTCCCCATTGTTGGTCAGGCGTCTCAAAGACGTGCCTTTCCAGATCCACAGACGGCACTTGCGGTAGTGTGAACACATAGACAGCGACATAGTCATCACGGGAGTCGCTCCTGTTATAAGCCCATTCGATGGCAAGATCGAGTCGGGACCCCACGTAAAACGCAGGCGCGAGACCAAAATCGTGGGCTCCATAGGATTGGGGCTGGATACCCACGGTGTTGATACTATAAGACGAGCGTTGACTGCAGCCGTGAAACCAAAGCCGGGAGCCTTCAGCAGGCGCCAGTTGGGCTTGACGCTCGCTTGCGAATTGTTCCAGGTCAGCCTCGTCCACATAGTCCCAGAGACCTGCAGGTACTTTTTCTGATTGACCAAGCGGACCGACCGTATGAGGGTCGATCAACCTGCAGCCGTGTTCATTAGTCTGCTCAGAGAGTGCTGTTTGGCGAAAGGGTGACGGAGCACGGGCCATTCGGGCGTGTTCTGGAAGGCGTGCTGCTGCAAGAAGTTTGAGCCAATGCGCCAGACCGAGACGCCAGAAAAACACTCGTTCAACGAACGGTAGAAGCCGCTGAGCGAACGTTTCCTCAATGTCGAAGGCAATGCTGACGGCCTTCACAAACGAAGCGCGGCTGTCGATGTCTTGAAGGTTGGCTGAGAAATTTTGGAGTTGGTAGTACCATGTCTCGGCCAGCGCACTCTCGCGCTTTTCGAAAAATCGGTCGCACCAGTACTGCACTGGCTCGCGCTCGACTGTGCTCCGCAGACGCGACACAAAGCCGCGTGCCGCCGTCTCGTGTACCCCAACGAGTACGAGATGGCGAATTACGGATTCGCGATGGTCGAGTGGCAGAGCAGCATACGAGGACGAAGGGTCCGATGACGTAGCAGAGAGAGCCAAGCTTGGTGGGGAAACTTGTGCCACATCGATGCCGATAGAGGACGATAACGACAATGCAGAGGTTGGTGCCAAAGTTGAACCACCAGACGGCGGACATGCAGCTGTGCCTGAGCGAATCGCGTCGGCAGCACTGCCTGGACGATCTGGAATCAACAGCGCGATCTTGGGCTCAAGTGGCTGGCGTTGTGTCTGATTGAGCTGCTCTTGGCAGCCCAAGCACAGAGCGGATGATACTGCCAGCGCTGGCTCATGCAAAGGCCGAGCATCGGCAAAGACGTCGAGCGACGCGAACGCAGCCTCCACCCATTCTGCCACTTGGTCACTTTTGATAGCATTGCTCAGGGTCGAGATAAGTACCAGCGAAAAAGCTGATGCCGCATCAATGGCAGTCGCCGCTGTTGTACTTGTCGGATTTGCGATCGAGGTCGACGCGCTTGGCTTCTTCTTTGTGTTGCTCTGCAGCCAGTCTCGAATGGTGGAAAGCACAGATCCGCCAAGAGTCAAAGCGCGAGTTTTGAAGCTTAGGTAAGTGCCGATGCTCACGTTCTTGATAACGGCTGCTCCTTCGCTCAAAGGAAGGGATGGAAGCAGCCGCAGAAGCGATGCCACCGCTTTCGCAGCTGCGGTCGAATCCTGCATGGTTGGGTCACCGAACAGCAGATTGCCAACCACGTCGGCGCAGGCGACGAGCATGCGCAACGCCTGGGACGATAAAAGTCGCTCATTCGAAGAAATGTAGTCGAGTACTTGTTGCACAACGCCCAGGCCTTTGCGCTCATACACCAGTTTTTGCGCGGGAGGGTTTGCGAACAAGGTGTTCGCCAGCGCTCGCAACGCAGACTGTACGACGAACGAATTGACCGAGCTTTGACTGGCCGGTTGTATCTTCGAGGTCGAGGACACGGAAGATGGGGTCAAGGGCTTGATTGCCTCATCAAGGGCAGCAAGCGTGCTTGTCGTCGCCTCGTCGTATGTCGTCGAACGCTTGTGCATATACAAGCTGGACACATGTTCCACTGCGGTCGCAAACGAACTGCGGCCGTCCCAACTACGAGCAGCGATATACAGCTCGTCCGCCGGCTCCGAGACGTAGGCTGAGCCCTCGCGAGCTTCGGGCGGAACGATGTACGCCAGTCGCTGAAGCAGTCTAAGAGAAGCTGTCAAGTTGAGGCTGTCTAGCTTGGACTTGTCGCTTTCGGTGACATAGTTCTTTCGAAGCGGAGATCTTGGCATTGGCTTGGTTGACATTTCGGGTTGTTGCTCATTCGGAGGCGCACGGTATCGAGCACCAGTAGCACGCTTGGCTGGGTTCTGCAGCGGTTGAAGAAGTTGGTGCTGATGCGATTCGACGAGTAATTGCGCCTCTCGGGAGTCATAGCACAGGTCGGCAAGCAGCTCGAGCGCGGTTGCTTGGACGAACGGCTTTTGGGCCAACTTGAGCAGTGTCGGCAGTTCGTGTAGTAGGTGAGCGTGCAGCGAGCGGTTCATAGCCAGCAGCTCTCTGGCAGCTTGGAGCGAGATCACAAGGACTTCCGCAGAGGCAGTAGGGTCACGGGCAGCAGTCGCCCACCAGACGGCCGCCTTGTTGACCACGGTCGCTGTTTGTTGTGACGGAAGCCACCGGGTAAGGGTGACGATGAGCGCAAAAGCCCATTCCGAATCTCGAACGACGGCCGGCCGGCAGCGGTCGAGAAGCACAGGGAGTAACGGGGCAAGCTGCACCACTTGCGAAACGATTGCGTAGTCGTCGGTGAGAAGAGTGTTGAATGCGGAGGCATTCCAGCAGAAGTCGGGATCGGCGACTCGTGCAGTTTGAATGCGGTTGGATAGAGTCTTGATGAACTCAGGCGCCGACTTCACGCTAGGGACAAGGCGTGGTGGCAGAGCGTCGCGAATGAGCGAGATCGGGTCTTTTGACATGCCGAGCAATGAAGACAGAGAGAGAGAGCGAGAGAGAGAGAGAGAGAGAGAGAGAGAGAGAGAGAGAGAGAGAGAGAGAGAGAGAGAGAGAGAGAGAGAGAGAGAGAGAAAGTGTGAGTGAGTGAGAGAGAGAGAGAAGGAGGAGGAGGAGGAGGAGAAGGAGATGAGGAGAGTGAACGAGAAGAAAGAAAAAAAAAAAAAAAAAAAAAACCTGATAGTTTAAACAACAAGTTTCTATTGAAGGACTGATTTTAGAAGTATCTGTATTTGGAGAGTGTTCACTCGTTGCTTTGTATAAGTGAAGTATCTTGCTTCCCCACTATTAGTCCTATCATCAACTGTACTGTAGTCTCTTCGTGGAACGATCTCTGATCATTCCATTGCATTTCATCAACCAGCCGTTTGCTGTTGGTGCCAACGACTCTTTTTTTTTTTTTTTTTTTTGTATGAAGTTTATTGGCAGGAGAGAGTGGAAAAGCATCAAAATGCTCAAAGACCACGGCGGGAGCATGGACATGGGTGTAAGGAGCTTGGAGACACAAAATTGGCAGAGAGCCATGTCTGGTCATATGACATAGCATTAGCGAGCCTGTATGCTCGTGCACTACAGGCCTTGGGAAATTTATATCCATTGGAGAAGGGCGGGAAGCGACGATGTCGGTTTGTGGTTAGTTCGGTTCTCCAGCAATTTCAAAGTTGGTTCCGCGAACGGATGACGCGCCGAGGCGCGTCTAGAAATGCCTGTGGGTCGCAACTAGCAACCTGAAATAGCCAAACCAACAACATGACATAGCGAGTGTGTCGCGGCGGGGAGGTGATTCAGTGTGAAGCATAAAGCTTCGTCCGAAAGTCAAGTTCGAGTTGCGGTTCCAGTGATTCGCGAGGGTTCCATGAAACGGACAAACGCAACTGCGTGTCCAGAAGGTGCTTGTGGGACGCGCAGCATGAACCAAGCTGTAACAGACAACAGCAAATGACTCGTCATCGAAATGACGCGGAGAGGAGGGGGAGAAATGTTGGTGAAGAGGGCTGGAAGGTATTACCAGGAGTCGTCCCAAATTGCAATGCAATTTTTCAACCAACAAACTCTTCCGAGTCAGTTAGCCTTCAGGTACATCACAAAACTCAAGCAGTATTGGCCCCTTTGCGACAGCCTTGCAAAGCGAGCTGCTCACAATTGTCCAAAATTTCACAATCGGTCGAGATTTGCAACGGCCGTCCATGCGCTACTTCTCGGTTCCTCCAATCACCCCCCCCCAATCACTGTCGAATGCTATAAATAAACCGCAATCGCTTCTCTTAATGTTTTAAGTTGAAACACAATCCGATCAAACCCCAAAGCCAAACAACAAAAACAAGCACCCAGCCGTTTTCGCTTTGCTACATCACCGGCATTCGCTCGATCTTGGCACCGCGCGACAGATCCAGCGCTCCTCGTTCCATCCATTCACGCATATTTTGACCACATCTTCCCTTTGTTGCCAGGCAAGTCGTTCGGCTTCACACGCTGGAATTTGACGCCAAAAAATGTTGAAAAGTCAGCCAAACGCCCAAAATAACCTTGCGTTCATCCGCTTTTGGATTTTTGGGATTATTTCGGATTTTCGTTCAAAGCGAAGCGTTTAATTCTTATTTCTGCCTTCAGTCCTCATTTCATTCTGAATCAGAGCTCTCAATAACACACATACAAACCCCTCCCCCAAAAAAACCAAAATAATGCTTGCAGCGGCCACTTGCATGGGACCGGACATTTCCGGGTTTGCCAAGTTTGTGCAGAGCAGCGACTTTCCAGGGTGGATGGCATGCCTCGCTTCACCGACAGAGCTTCCAATGCTTGCTCACGCTTCTACAGCAGCAACAGCAGCGGCAGCAGCAGCAACAACAGCAGGACCAAGTCGCCCGACACGAGCAACAACGGCAACAATTGTCTCCAACCCGAAGGTGCCAGAGTTGATTGCGCGCCCGCCAATGCACCCATCCAATCCGTTCATTCTGAAAAACGACGCTGGCGTGCATGGAAATCCCAACCAAGCCCTGGGCTTGTTCAGCCTACCTGCTGAATTGATCGAGCTCATTACCGACATGCTCAGCCTGCCGGATTTGTGGCGCCTGTCCGGGACGTGCCGGGCGGCCCGAACGTTCTTTTTCCAACCCGACATTTGGATTCGCCGAACGCGACAGTTGCTGGCCAACAATGGTCTGAAGCCGGACCTGTACATGGCTGTGAGTGATGAGTTTATTACAATATTGCGGATGCGATCAGCACTTTTTCTTGCACACTTGCCAATCCAATTCTGATCTTCGTCCCAACTCAATTGGGCTTTGTGACAGAGCATCGCGCATGCCGTGTCGAGCGTTCCCACCAACTGGAAGGAGGCATTCACTCGGTTGCAGCACGTTTCGTTCTGCGCTCATGTTAGCATTCTCCCGACAAATTCGCCACCCGAGCAGCAGTACTTTGACCTGCTTCTCGCCAAGGCCACGCGATTCCCTGGCCAGTATCTGTCCGTGCAATTGCTCGCACGCTACCACCGCCTGCAGCCGTTTTTTGTCGACCACACGGCAAGCAAGCGATCCCGCCACTCTGCCCTGTCCCGCGCCATCATGGCACGCAACTTTCCCATGGTGAAATGTCAGTGATGGCCAGATGAGAGGCTTGTTGATTCGTTTGCAAAAGCCCACGCACGCACACAATGCGTTTTGGCTTTTGACGATACCTTTTGGCTCACTGTCCAGCTGTTTTTGGCCGCCTGTTTGTCTGTAGACTTTCTCCACCACAAGGTCTCGCCGAACTGCCATGAAACTGTGGCCATGCCTCCAATCGTGTCGGCGGTCGAAATCAACAATGTTGAAATGATTCAGCTGCTGGCTGCAGCAGGCGCGCATGTCAACGGAGAGCCCAACAGCAAGCGATGCGACTCTTCATCACGAGCCATCATTCGCGCCGTCACTCAAGGAAAGCGCGACTGCGTGGCTGCACTGCTGGCTCTTGGCGCCGACCCCAATACCATTGTGTCGGGCTACCATAGCCATTCCGTGCTGGCTCTGAATGTACTGCAGCTAAATCGCAACGGTGCCACCGCTGCCGAACTTGCGGACGAACTGGATATTACGCGACTGCTGCTGGCGGCAGGAGCCGACCCTAATGCGGGTCATGCCTTCCATCTTGCGTGCGAGGGCTCCAATCTGGACGCCTTGGAGACTCTCATCAAGCACGGCGGCGACGTCAATTCGCGACGCACCAATTCTCTCAAGCTGCCCATCGAAGTTGGTGAGTGTGTTTGATTTCCATCTGGTGCATTCAAAGACGTGCTTGGAGAGGTGGCTGTGTTCGTCCAATCAATACTCATTTGTTGCGTGCTTTGAAAAAACACCAGCTGCCGCCAAGGGAAATGTGCCCGCGGCGGAAGTCCTTCTCAAACACGGCTCCTTGCCCGAACTCGGCGGGTTTGCAACCTACCTGCAGATCATGCTGGCTGCAATGAAGGACTCGAGCAATCTGTCCCCTGAAGCGGAGAGCGACCTTGCGCTTGTCGATTCCAAGGTCCAAACCACGCCTCGGATGGTGTTCCGCGAGGAGCAACTCCTCGACACGCTGCGCTGGCTGATTGAGCGGAACGTTCCATTCGTGGGCAAGGCGGCCATTCTTGTGGACGCCGTTCAAGCCAATGCCTATCATCTGGTCGAGCATTTGCTCGATCACGCCGCGGACATTGGTCTGGATGTCAATCTCGGCGACTGCATCGGCCGAACTGCACTGTCACGCGCTATGGGCTCGGGTCGCTTGCACTTTGTGGACGCACTCGTGCGCCATGGTGTCGATATCGACATTGCCGACGTCGATGGCCGGCTTGCGGTGGACATGGCGTTGCAAGCCGAGCGCTATTCCGCGCTGCTCATCCTCGTTCGTCACCATCCACAATACTTGCTGGCCTTGCCAGAAGCTGCGCGTGAGCGACTGATGCCACACCTACCAGAGGACGTTGTGGCTGCAGCGCAAAGGACTCGCCTCGACTCGAAAGTGTCCGAGGCACTTTTGCAGGCCATCGAGCGCGCTCGCACCCCAGCCATGTACATTCCGTCGCCTCTCATGGACGGTGGCTCCTCACGCTCGTTTTCAGGCAAGCTATTCCGGGCATGGCGTTCTGTTACTCGTCGCCTTCGTTCTTAATAGCTTTTGGTTTGGGTTGTTGTTTCGGTTTTGTGATTGTTGTTGTTGTTTTGGTTTTTGTTGTCAAATTTCGAAATGTACACGATTTGAGCTTTTGCTACGGTTAGCAAAGCGCTCTAACGCAAAGATCCGGTATTAGTAAAGTAATTGGTGAGTGTATTCTCAAACAAAGTGACACAAAAACAAGCAACCAGAAGAGACCCCCCAGCTGACAGCCTTGTCTTTTTGTTCATTCATACACCCAAGAGAGCTTCATAGCATCAACATCATCCTTTTTAGACGATGGGGATGCGCTGAGGGACGTTCTCCACGACGGGAGCCGGGCGAGCGAAGAAAGCAGGCGCGGGCACATCAAGGCGCGAAGGACGCGTGACCCAGGAGCGCTCAGAGGTCGGAACGTAGTTGATGTTGGTGTCAATCTGGATGTAGTCGTCGCCAAGGATGATTTCGGGGTCGACGAACGTGATGCCCTCGATCGTGGGGATGGCAAAGCCGCCGTTAATGTAGGCGTTCAGGAGCGGAATGAGGGCATACTCGCAGAGAATGTTGACGGCGCTTTGGAGGACGGACACGTCGAAGGGGCCAATCTGGCTCTCGAGCAGGCTGATGCCGACGCTGGCAAAGGTGGCGTTGCCCCAGATGATTTCGCTGCCGTTGACAGACTTGAGGCCGACAATGCCGGACGACAGGATTGTCGCGTTGAGGGTGAAGGCATCGATGGACTGGCTGCCGTTCAGCACCGCCAGCTCCATGTCGCCGTAGATGAAGAACGAAAGACCCGTCTCGGCGGAAATGTCGAGCTCGGCGGGGGTGGTGGCATTCACGGTGAGCGTCAGGTTGCAGCCCGGGCACATGTTGTACAGCGGGGGCAGAAGGTACTGGAACGAGTCCGTGTTGAGCTGGAGCGGGAAGCTTGCCGGAACCTGGTCGGGGGTCACCGTGTACTCGAGCTGGCCGGCCTCGAGGTAGGCGTAGCCGGCCGAGTCGGCAATGAAGGACGTGAGCCAAACCGAGAGCATCTTGGTGTTGGTGACGTTGGCGGGCGTTGCGGCCGGGGTGAATGGGCACTCGACGGGGTGCTTGATGTAGTAAAACTCGCCCTTGTGCGCCGTGTCGAGGTAGGTTGCGGTGAAGGTCGGGTTTTCAATCAGCGCAAAGTTGATCTCGCTGTAGTCGTCGATGGGCTCGACGATGGGCAGCGTTGCGAGAGCCTGGTTGGCGGACGTGTCGATGGCCGACTTGATCTGGTCGCAGAGCTGCGAGTTGAGCGAGGACTTGATGTCTCCGGCAATCGTGTCGCTAAACAGGTTGTACAGCCACGACGCGCCGCCGTGGAAGTCGATGGACATGGATCCAACATTCGCCGAGCAGCTCGTCATTGAAACTGCGGGGTGTCCGTCGCTGGTTGCAGTGAGCGCTGCAGAGACGGTCACCGCGATGCCCGAAACGGAAATGTCAGCGCTGCCATGGTCTGAGGCGGCCCAGCAGCTGTACTTCCAGTTGGCGGTGATGTGCCCGTTCGCGTTGGATGCGCCGACCGTGATGCCCACGCCCGGGACCAGCGTGAGTGCGGTGGACGGGACTGCGAACTGGGTCAGCTTGATGTTCGAGAGGGCGTACGAGACGGTGCCAAGCACGTCCACGCTCGTCTTGCCGCTAATGTCGGGGATGTCGATGCCGACAATCTGGGCGACGAGCAGCGGCACACCGACCGAGCGGAGGTAGTCGAGGCCAGACTGCGTGACTTGCGTGCGGAAGCCAGGCACGACGGCGGCAGCGTGGTGCGCAGCGAGACAGAAGAGGCACAGGCGGCAGAGGAAGAGGGGGGTCAGACGGGCAGAGCGCAACGACGGGGCAGGGGCAGGGGAGCGCATGATGATGATGATGATGATGATGATTGCTGACAAACAAAGAAAAGTCAGAGAGCAAGTGAGTAAGAATGGAGGGAAGAGAGAGAGAAGAGAGAGAGAGAGAGGGAAGGAGAAGGAAAAGCGATGGGAAAAAAGACAAAGGAAAGACTAGCGAAATCCGATCTGGAATAGTAAACAAAAACAGTAAGAAAGAAATCGAAATCCAAAGATCATCAGTCTCTCTTTCTTATCGAAATTTCAATGGCGTACCAGCAGCAGCCGCAGCAGCAGCAGCAGCAGACCGACACCGTGCTCTTCCCGCTGCGCACTGCGTTCTATCTGGGCAACTACGCTGCAGCCATCACCGAGGGCGTCAAGCTCGCAGGCAAGGCGCAGCTCGACCTGGCGCGGGCCATCGAGGCAAAGACGCTCGTCTACCGCGCATACATTGCACAGGTAACGAAAACCGACGTCAAGCAGACCCAACAGCCGAAACGAGGGGTGGACAGAAGACAGAAGACCTACGCACTGGCAGCCAGAGGAGCCAAAGCTGGGGGCAGAGTGAAGCGAGAGAGTGACGAGAGAGACGGAGGAAGAACTGAGATCGCAGGTTCAACTGCACCAGTCACCCGCCCTCACCTTGACCAAACTCATGTATTGCTGGATACAACAAGACGCGGGATTGGTGAAACAATGGGGGAATTGGGGGAAGGGGAGGGGAGACACTGAGAGAGCGAGAGTCAGTCGGCCACATCATCATCATCAAATCCACTCCACTTCAATCCAAACGCTCACTCAACACTCGACCCCTTTGGTCATGTTCCGGGCTTTTCTTCTGCTTTAGAAAAAGTACAACCTGGTCATTGGCGAGCTCGGCGACGCGAACGCACCGGTCGAACTCCGCGCCGTCGCGGCACTTGCGACCTTCCTCAAGAGCGAGCGCGACCAGGAGGCTGCGCTCACGCAGGTCAGGTCACTCGCTGGTGGCGCACTCAGCGCGGCCAATCCATTCGTCGCTTTCATTGCCGCCATCATGATCTTCCACCAGGGCGGCTACGACGAGGTCCTCAAGCTCCTCCACAACTCGACGCATCTTGAAAGGTAACAGGGATGCAGGCATACAGCAACCATCTTTGCAAATGGGCAAAGAAGAGAAGCATGCAATGACATTGTCAACCAATCAGTTTGGTGGTCTCTCATCGCGCTTTTGCTTTTTCTTGTCTGACTTGTTCCTTGGCTGGTGTCTGTCGCAGCATCGCACTCTGCGCACAGGCATATCTCCGCCTCGATCTTGTCGAGCGCGCAAAGAAGGAGCTCAAGCGCATGCAAGAGATTGATGACGACTCGACCTTGACTCAACTGACGAACGCCTGGGTCAACTTGGCAGTGGTAGGGTGGTTTTTTTGTTGATGTCGTTGTTGTTGTTGTTGCTGTTGTTGCTGGTGTGTCCTGGCTTGAAAAGAAAGCCCTGTGCTCATCGCTCGCGCAACGTCCTCGATTTTGATCTTGCACATGTGTGCTACAGGGTGGCGACAAGTACCAAGAAGCGTACTTTATCTTCCAAGAAATGGCAGAGAAATATTCCCCGACTGTGGCACTGCTGAACGGACAGGCCGTGTGTCATTTGCACCAGGGCCGTTTGGAAGAAGCCGAGAGCTTGTTGCAAGAGGCCTTGTCCAAGGTACATTTCAGCGTACTTGAAAAAATTGTTCACCCCCTTTTTTGTTGGCTCATTTGCTGCTTGCCTCCTTGTCCCTCTCAGGACTCGAGCGACCCAGACACGATTGCCAACCTTGTCACAGTCTCCATCCACCAAAACAAGCCTCAAGAGGTCATCAACCGCTTTGTCAACCAACTCAAGGACGAAGCCCCCGCACACCCTTTCACCCGCGATTTGCTTGCCAAAGAGCGTGCATTCGACCGTGCGGCAGAGCAGTTTGCACCACAGGTCAAGGCTTGAAAACGAAACAACGTTTTTTTTTTTTTTTTTTTTTTTTTTTTTACGGCCCTGGCGTGTAGTTGTTGGAATTGGTGTGTAGCAAAATTAGTAATCAAACTCGTTTAACATGAAATTGTTGTCAACCAAGTTGATTCATTTACAGCTTCAATATGACTCTGGTTACCTTGTTATTTTGGACCTTATGTGCAATCGTTGCCGACTTTGCCAATATTGCTGTGACTCCCATGCGCTACTGTCTATTCTTCCACTTTGGCACTCCGACCGAAATTTGTTCGCGGACTGGAAGGCAGAGATGTGAGATCTCTCTCGCTTTCACACAACACACACACTTTCTCTCTCTCTCTCTTTCATCGATCAAGTCATGTGTATTTGTGGTTTTTTTTTTTCAGTCAAATACAATCAAATGAAACAATAGTGGAGCTTTTCAAGAAGCCTTGGCAGAAGGATCTCGCAGGCCAGCAAGAGCCACGAGGTGCGCTTGCAACGCTTCCGCGCTGGACATCCACTTGGCACCGGCTTCCGCGTTAAAGCGATCAGCCTCAACCTTGTATCCAAGAGCTTCGAAGGCTTCTTGCGGCGGAATGGTCTTGCGGCCGTTCTTGAAGACCATCTTGCAAATGCCCAGAGCGTGCACCTTGCCGTTCGGGGCAGTGAATTCATGCGAGATGAAAAACCACTTTGCATCAAAGCCAACCAATCGGGTCTGGACGAGGAAGCGGTCGAACGGCTTGAATTCGGCCAAAAAGCTCATCGCAACACCGCCGTTCGCGATGCGGTAGGTCTTGAAGAGGCTGAACTTTCCAAGAACTCGGCAGCACCACGTGTAGCGACCGTAATCTGCGTACTGATTGTATCTGGCGGCGGGAGGAGGATACATGTGAGGGAATCATCACACGATTTTAGCCAAGGTTGGCATTCTCCAAGCGGTTGCTGGAAATAGCCCGAGCAATGATACATACCTCGCATTATTCATGTGGATGTTGATATCCAGATCGTCAATCAGGACACGTTGTTCTTGAGAAACCGGCTGCAGCAATGGAGCAAAACGGCCGAACCATTCAATGGGTTTGTTGTTGGTTTTGGCCCCCGAGGTACCGAGACACGCAAGATCAAAATTGTAAATCAAGAGCAAATTTAGACAATTCAAGTGAGTGAATGGTTTGAGTGCATTCAATGGTGTGAGGAGGGAAGGTGAGAGCAGGTTGTTCGCTGGAAATTTGTGCTGCGACTTTGCCAGCGATCGGAAACAACACTGCCGATACAAGAATATAAGAATTCATCCAAGCTTCCATAGGACTTGGCCTGGGATTGCTCTGATGAACTGAGCCTTGGATTGGACTCGGGATTGGCAGCAGCAGTCAAAATCCCGCTTCTCCGACCACGAGATCACCATCCGAATGAGAGCGCATCGCGAGAGTCCGAGCGCATCACAAGAAGTAGAGTGGATTGTGATTTGAATGCAATCCACTGCGATCAGGTTCGAGGAGAGGTCGGCTGACGGGGCGACGCGCGCGAGAGAGAGACAGAGCGTGACAAAGCGGCAGATTTCGCATTGCCCCAACATCAGCGACGTACCTCGTCCAAGCGAGAGAAGCGACCACGGCGGAAACCCTGCAGGGCATAGAAGACCATGCGAGCATGGTAGCCCATTGGGAAGGAGTGCAGGAAGACTGCTCCGAGAGCGAGCGCAACCACCACTGCAATCACGCCAAACATGTGAGTGATGATTGGGAACAAAGCGTGCTGAAACAGAGACTGCATCACAATCCTAGTCAAATGCAGATGATGGAGGTGTACTCTGAGTGACTGCGAATGTTGAATCATTCCTCACTTCCATTGGAACAAGAATTACATTGGCAGAACACAGACAGAAACAAGAGAAAAAGAACAAAAAGCAACATCAGTTCGAAAGCCTTCAGTTTTTACCTGCGTAATAGGATTCATCAAAGCACACCTCGACACTGTGAGTCATCTGTTTCGTTTCCTCCAAAAACAAAAAAATCCTCCTCTCGCCCATCACTTGCACCTACCATGCTTGGTGCGAAGATACTGCAGAATCACAGCGAGACCGTCCTTGATAATGTCGGCCGGAGGCTCAACAAGCTGGTTGTGGGAGGTATCCAGCGTCTGGAGCGCGCTGAGTTGGCACATGGACGTGGGGAGCTTGCTGATCTTGTTGTTGCTCACGTCAAGCTTGATGAGGCTGCGCAGGTCGCCAATCTCGTCGGGGAGGGCGCTCAGCTGGTTGTTGCGCACCTCAAGAGTCTGAAGGTTGGTGAGCATGCCGATCGAGGCCGGCAGTGACTCGAGCGCATTAAAGCTGAGCGACAGCTTGGTGAGCATCGTGAGCTTGCGAATATCGTCCGCGAGCGAGTACATTGTGTTGCTGCTCATGTCCAGCTCCACAAGAGACTTGATTTCGAGCACATCGTCAGGAACAATTTCGATGCGGTTTTCTCTGTCCAAAGCCAAAGTGAGCCGAGGTTGGAACGCGAGCGAAGCAAAGGGCGGTTTGCCAAATGCAACCAAAAATGCTCATTGCAACAAAGAAAAAAGGCGCAAACAAAAAAAAGTTCACTTACTGCAAGTACAGCTTTTTCATGGACTGCATGTTGCGCATGCCTTGAGGGATGCAGTAGGTGGTCAGCTGGTTTTGCCTCAAATCCAAAAGCTGCAGCTGCGTGAGCTGCGCGACCGAGTCGGGCAAGGTGGTCAGGCAGCACGACGACAAATCCAGACGGGTCAGACTGTTGAGCTGACCAATGTCCTCTGGACGAGCATGAGCGACAGTCAAAAGATGAGAAAAAAAAAGAGAAAACAAACAAACAACAACAACAACAAAAAAAAAAAAACACAACCCATGAACCAAGCAGAATATCAGTCTCTGCGCCCCCCCCCCGCCCCAACGCCTCGCGTACCTGGGATTTCCTGGAGCTGAGGGTTGTCCTTGAGTTCCAGCTCATTGAGACGAGTCCACGCGGAAAAACCGGCGGGAAGCTTCTCGAGCTTGGTGTTGCGCATGAGCAGCTTTCGCAGCTTCTTCCACAGCTGGCTGGTCGCGGGAAGCTCCACCATGTTGTTGTTTTCGCGGAGATCGAGCTCTTCAATGTCGACCCATTCACCGGCAGCCTTCGGCAGCTCGCGCAGGTTGTTGAATGCCAGCGTCACCTTCACAAGCTTGGAGAGCGAGCCCACCTCCGCCGGAAGCTTGTTAATGTTGTTGTTGTTCAGCAGCCATTCCTGTGTGTGAGGTACAGACGGTGGAACAACAAAGATAGGGTCAGTGATGACGAAACTGGTGTTTCAAAGCACGAAAAACAACAAAAATCGTGCGCATTTTTCCAACCTTGAGCGAAGTCAGTTGGCCAATTTCCGGGGGCACGAGCTTGATCTTGTTTTGCTCGAGGTTCAGGTACTCGAGGCCGGCGATTTTGCAAACGCACACCGGAATGATCTGCGGACGGCCAAAGAGGGGAGAAACAGAAAGACAAAAAGAGCAGGTTGGTAAACGGCGCACGGCACAAGGCGCGGCGTTCGAGGATGTACCTTCAAGTCGTTGTTGCTCAAATCGATGTACTTGAGGTTGCGCAAATGACCAAATTCGTCAGGCAAGTCCCTGCAAGGGAGAAGAGCAAAGTAACGAGGCGAATGAGTCAAGTTGCTGCAAAGAGCGAATGAAAAAAAGAAAAAAAAAAGTCCTCCCTTACTCGAGTTGGTTGAAGCCAAGATCAATGCGAGTGAGCATGACCAGCCGTCCGATGGCTTTCGTGAGTGGCGAGTAGAAGAGGCGGTTGTGCGCTGAACGAATGGAGCAATCCAATCGTGAGCCCAGTTGTTAATTGCTTCGGATCGATGTAGCAAAAAAAAAGGGGGGGGGGCGGGGGGCCTACTTACATGCATGGAGGTGGGTGAGAGCGACCAGGTTGCCAATCTCTTGCGGAAGCGCGTTGAGGTTGTTGTGGGAGATGTCGAGCACCTTGAGGGTTCTGAGCACGCCTGTCAAAATAAAAATTATTACATGCACATACATGCATTATTTCAAAGTGAGAGTCAGCATTTATGAACGACTTGAGCGGTTGGGCAAATCTGAGTCGCTGAGAGTGTGTCGGCGATTTTAAATTGCACAAAAGCACCGGCCATTCAAAGGCTTCTGTGCTTCTGCTGCCGCCATCCCAAAACAATACAATGCAATAAACACAACTTGCACGCCCTTTTGGTTCCCTATTTGTTCTTATGGTCGAGCTTGAATGATTGCATGACGGTTTGTGTTACTATTTGAATGAGATTCAACACATTCTGTTGTGGGCCTTTTTTTTTTTTTCTTTTTTTTTTTTGTGAAATGTTCATCTATGTGGCTGCATCTCACCAAACGCGGCGCAATTCCACTCCAGAGCATTCACTCTCGTCCATCATCAACCGCACACGCCGAGGTCAAGAGGTAAAGGCGCGCAGTGGTGAAGGGCAAAGGGAGAGCAGAGCCGCACTTTATTCCTTCTATTCTCGCTCATTCAACCTCCTCTCCTTCTCGAGTCAACACCCACACTTGAACTCAAGCATCTGATACGTGCAGTGCTTGTTGCCGAGCAGTGCTGGTTGTTGGGCGCAGAAGCCAACTCAAACGACCAACCACGATGAAACAAAACGCACCAATCTCAAGCGGCAGCGAACTGAGCTCGTTGTTGCTGACATCGAGCTTTTCGACACGCTCGAGGCGCTCGATGGCTGGGTTGAGCTCCTTCAGCTGCTGCTTGGACAGGTCGACTGCCTGCTGCGACTTGAGCTTGCTGAACTGCTTGTCGGCCGTGTTGCCCATCTCGCTGTTCAAAGACAATACAATGCAAAAAAAAAAAAAAAAAAAAAAAAAATGACTGGGACTTGCATTGCGGTTGCCAATTGAAGCAACTCGCCAATAAAGGTGATGTTGATGTTGAGATGCTCAAGTGTTGAGAACGACAACGTGCTGATGAACGAGGGGATGTTGCGAAGTGGTAAAAAAAAAAGGGGGTGCAAAATTCAAAGGGCGAGGAGGGGAGCTGAGCATGAGCAGCACAATGCTGGTCGGTGACTATGGACAAGCACAAGGATCAGAAATAATAATAATCATCAGAGTCATAATGAGAATGGATGTTGTCAGTCATTCTCGCTCTTTTGGACAGCACATGGCATCCGACAACGACGACGACCGAGGCGACGAAAGCTGGCTCGACCATGATGCCGCTGCTGCGAATGACCATGATGATTATGATGATCATGATCATGATGATAATCATCATCATAACGACCATGGCCTCAACCACGATGACGATCTGGGTGACCTCCTTGCGGGCATGGCAGAGGCAGCCGAGCATGAGTGCAACCAACACGACAGCAACAGCGTTTCTGATGACCGCCATGCGGAGACGGATCACCAGCACGACAACGACCGCGACAACAGCACCAATGTGACCAACGGCAACAGCTATGACAATGACGAGGAGGATGACGAGGACGACGAAGTTGCGCGACTGCAGGCGCAGCTGAACGAAGCGAAGGCGCGCAAGGCGGCGAAATTGGCGGGAAGACTGGAAGCGAGCTCCACGAACACCACTGCCACCACTCCCACCGGCAGCGCAGCTCAGCCAGCACTACGAGACACCAACCACGACCGAGTTACAGACGCCTCTGACGGCCCACGCAACGCGTTGGCATTCACAGCGCAGACCAGCGAGCGCAAGACCGCCAGTTTCCCGCCAAAACCAGCCACGCTCGACCCTCAAGCCCCGCGAGCCCCGACCGCCCGACCACCAGGCTCCGAGTCATCTGCCACACAAAGCACTCCACTTGGCACGCGGATCAATCGAGTAGAGCAGCGAAATCTAGCCATTTCTGGGCATCATCGCTCCACGGACCAGAGTCCGCCAACTGCTTCTGCTGCTGCTGCACCTGCCAGACAATCCACGGCACCGCTGCAAGAAGGCTTGACAGAGCTCGAAAAAATTCGCATGGAGGAAGATACCCCCGCGCGGTCGACACAGACACCCGAGCAACGCGCCGCGCACCGCGCCGGATTGAATCAGCTTCGCTCCGGTCTCGGTGATGATGCCAAAGATCTCAGTCTAGGAAACGCGTCCTCTCGTAGCGATACTTCAGCCGCCAGTCAGAATTCCCCAGCCCTCAAGCCCAGGAGCGACTTTTTCAAACCCGCCTTCACTACGCAATCCTCCCCAGCGCAAAACACACCGCCAACAACATCCTCCAGCCCTGCACACGCTGCCAGTACTCCTATAGCGACGCGCCATGTGCTGGCCGTGTCAGATCCCCCTCAGGCCGCCAAACCGGCCTTTCTCTCGCCTGCGGATGTGCTCAGCAACGCGGATCTTGCTCCGCCACGCGCAACGACCAGCATGATTGGCCAAAAGCGCCACGACAACGTGTCCCTGTGTGTCGAGCCGTTCTCTGGCCTGCGGCTTGTCAATCGTGTCGTCCCCGAAGCATCGTTCGCCGAAATGGTTGGCGGTCGCCGCAACATCCCACTCGTGCAGCTGCAGTCGCACGTTCCCCTCGTGATACGCGGTCTAGCATCAAACCCACCTGTCGTGTATGATTGGTTTACTATCGGCGTCCTCTGCGACAAAGGGCCAGTGCGCACGACCAAGAATGGCCAGCCATTCGTGTTCTGGACGCTGGTCGATCTCAAGGGCAACGAGCTGAGCTTGTTCATGTTCCAAAAGGTTGCCAGTGTGCACAACAAGGAGACCATTGGCGCCGTGTTTGCTCTGCTCAATCCACAGCCGATGCCAGCCAAGGGCGGGACTGGCGCCCAGCCCGCCATTGAAAGTCGTCCAAGCGTCAAGATCGAGGAAGCTGGAAAGCTTCTCAAGCTGGGCTCGTCGGCGGATTTGGGCTTTTGCAAGGGCAAGCGAAAGGACGGGGCCAATTGCACCATGGCGCTCGACGTGACTGGCGGAGACTACTGCAAGTTCCATGTTGCCAAGGCGTACAAGGAAAAGCGGTCTGCACGCATGGAGCTCAATTCAAACTTTGCCCCCAAGGTGTTTGATAATGGCTGGAAGCAGCCTGCACAGACTGCTGCAGGCAAAGCCCCGCCTCCGGTGGGAGTGTTGATCAATCGAACTGCTCAGGCTGCAGCGTCCTTTCGATTCGCGGCTGACGGCTCACCATTATCCCACCGTGCTGCCGCTGCCATCATGGATTCCCAAGACGGTATGACGGTCATGCTGCAGGATATGCAACGCAAATCGAGCGACGCCGCGAAACAAACAGCGCAAAACCCCTCGGCGCAACAAGCCGCAGCCGACCCGCTGGCGCAGGTTGTAAAGTTTTGCTCACCAAGCGCACGCCACCTTGCCAGCGAAGCAGCTGCCGAACGCGAGAGCGACTTGAGGGATTCACAATCCGAGCCCAGGTCGTTGGAGCGCGGCGGCAGCTTCAACGGCGTGGATCGCGCTGACAGGCAGACGGGGCGCACTGATCCAGCCATCGTCAGGCAGCTGGGATTTGACCCGTATCACCGGAACGGGCTCGCCAAAGACAATAACGAGACTGGCAGCACGTATGAGCTTGTCAAAAAAGCCCAAAAAATCTTTCAGACGCTGCCCGGCACCCAAAGCGACGCGTCCGGTCTGCCTCAGCTTTCTGCGTTTGGCATGGGACTACAGCCTGCTCAGCGCACTGTGCAACTGTCGACGACTGCCAGGCCTGCTGCCAAAGCTGGCGACGAGTACGATCGCAACCTGGCACTGGCCGTTGCGCGAGTCCGCATGAACGGTCCAATCCAGCGGCAAGATCCGAACGCCATTCCACGAGCCAAGCGCTCTGCCGTTGATCCCGCAGCGCAAGAACACGGTGCTGAAAACATGTCGCGGTCGTGTAAGTCGTGTTGGCCGGCGTGATGTTGCACAGCTCCACTGAAACTCATGATTGTTTTTTGCAATGTTGTTTGCAATGTTGTTGGTGGTGGATTTGCGTCTACACAGCAGCCGAGGCTGATCCAGACTCGCAGAGAAACTTTGATGCCCATGCCGTGAAACGATCGCGCCTGTCAGGGGTGCTTGGCGAACTGGACGAATCGAGCAAGCAAGAACTAACGGCGGCGAAATCGACCCACGTCGATGCCGCCAACACGGAGCAAATGCGCCGCTTCCGCGACCAAGTCAGTCACCTGGAAGAGATGGACAAGATGGTGGCCAAGATGGAGGAGCAGACCGAAGCCAAGATTGATGGCTTTCGGTGTCGTGAGGTAAGCAGGCTGTCGACTTTGCTCTCTTGTTGTTTTGCATTTTCACGCTGACTTTGTGCATTGGATCGTCGCCCTTTCCTGCAGTGCAACTACACGGATGACACTCCGCACGGCGACTGTCGCAAACAACAGCACTTTCTGGAGCGTGTCAAAGTTGTCAAGCGGTGGTTTAGCTGCGTAAAGTGCAAGTTCCGTACCACCACCATCAACCAACGGATTCCCATGCAATCGTGTTCGCACTGCGATAGCAATCAATTCGTGCCCGCGCCCTCGACCAATGTGAGTAGATTGTTTCCCTGCATGAACTCTTGCTTGGCACACTGCAATCTCACCACATCGGTGCTGTTCATTCGTTCGTGTTCCAGGTGAACAAGTTCAAGCCAGCGCGGCGCCCGGACGAGGAGGGATTGCAGCCTCGAGGGCTCGAGGTCGCCAAGTACGGCGAGCGGTTTATTAAATAATATTGCAAAGTAATTTCTTTCGATTTGTAGAAAAACAGGACGCGTAGCAATGACGCGAGGATAAGGGTAATTGTAACAATAAAAGGAAAGAAAAAAAATTGAAGAAAACTCTCGGGTGGCGAAAAGGCACACCGAAAGAGTAGAATAGAAAACGCGAAAGAAGAAGAAAAAAGTCGAGATGGGCTGCATCACGAGTAAGCTCCGTTGAGTTGAACCGTCAAGATGCAAAATCTTAACAGCCAGCTGCATAACTGTGGCTATGGCGAACAAAATACTGATGAAATCGACGCAGCGATTGAACAATGTCCAATCGCAGGTGATCCAAAGATAGCCGCGAGAACCAAACAAGACGAAAAAAAAACGAAAGAACGAGCAAGAATCAGAGTTCACAAAGAAGGAAAACAATTGACGAAAACAAAAAGCCAAAAAAGCAAGAGAAAGAAAAGAAAAAAAGAGAACAACGGCCAAAGTGGACAAACACATGAAGAAAATGGCTGCCAGCGAAAAACAGCAAGGCCAAGAAAAACCATCCACCATTGCTCAGACGACAGACAATAAAGCGCAACGGAGAGACGACATGCAACTAAATGGCTCTGTCAAAGAAGAGGAAGCGTCAGTCCGCCAGGCAAACCCTGCATTGTGACGCAAGTCACGCTGCAGAGCAGCTGGAAGAATCGAGCGAGCCGCAACCGACCACAAAACACCAAACACAAAAAAGAAAACAAAGGAGGCAGATCGCGTGTTGAGGTCTCGTTCCGCGATCAAAGACTGCTCGTTTCGAGTCGCCAGTAAAACATCTGAAAGACAATCAAAAATACAAAAACCGTTCGAGCTTTGAGGAAGCTAGAGTACCAGAGCCGCGTGCATGCTTTTGACGTGTCGTCCTCACCCTCGCGGATGCAAGACGCCACGGCGCCGACAACTGCACCATTCACAACAACCTTCATGAATTGCTTTTTTTCTTCCAATAAGAAAAAAAATGGGGCGGAAGGCAAACTGACCAGTTCCGAAATGGTTGAAAAGCGTCACTGCAAAGGATGTCAAACACACCGTTTGGAGTCTTTGAAAGCACCCCTGTCCAACAGCCACAAACACACAGCAAACCAAATACAACAGCCCGTTGTTGCGTCGTCGCCTTGCTGCTTCTGATAGAAGCGGACCATAGGCTTGACCAACAACCACTGAGACATTCAAAAAAACAGGAGCCTCCCGCACGGACAGAAAATGGCCATCCAGTCGCACCGATGCAGGAGCATCAGTGGGTCGAGGGAAAAGAATTGGGGGTGCTGTCTTTGTCAATGAAAATCGAATCGCAAGAAGGTACTCCTTCTTTCAGGCCACAGTAGGGTGCAAGAATCTTCAAACCACTTTTTCCCCAACTTGCCCCCGAAGAGGAAAGAAGAGGGAAAGCGAAAAGTGTTCCAGATCGTACGTCGCAACCAGCGTCCAGAATACACACCGTCAATCCCCACTTCCCAAAATCCGAACTTTGTTGTAGGACCTGCAGCACGCGTCCAAGGGCCGGGAAACGCAACGCCATCTTTTGTCCTCCGACCAGACCGACTACCTGGTTGCATCTTTCCCCCGCCCCGAAAGAGCGAGGAAAAGAAACGAGTACCAGTCACCAACTTCATAATCCAGAAAATATCGCCCAAAACCACAAAAGTGCTGTTTTGGGGTGCGCCACCTAAAGGTCCAAACCAAACTAGACCCTCTCACAAACTCTGGTCGACAACAAAGGACAAACATCCATTTCAAGCTGCATTAGATCCATTTGGCAAGGCAGTGACCTCGTTGCATGAAACCGCGCCGATCGCAAACATCAACGCATGCCGGCGTAACCCTTCGTCTCAAACAGTCGACCCAAAAAAGTCACAGCTCGCCCGCTTTACGAGTCACCACGGCTAGTTTCAAAGAGGGTCGGGCCTTCTAGGACACAACACGTTCACCCAAACAGCAAGCAAGGCGTCCGATTCATCACACAGCCCCACGCGCGAAACCGAAACCAGGCGCAAGAAGTTCAACAGCAAGACGAAAAAGCAATGCACCAGCGACACAAAACGTAAACTCCCAAACCACATCCCCACCCGAGCAAGAGCTGGGACCAGACTCGGCAAAAGAGGCCTGCACTTTCATCGCCAGCCACAGCATCAGCTCCCATCCAGCTCAAGCATGCAAACCGCTATTTGCGTTGCAACTCTCTCTCATCCATTCGCTTCCGGCAGCCAATCACCCCAACTTTCTCGTATTTGCTTTAGCCTCTAGCCTCATCCCAGGAACCAAGTGAAGAGGAAGGTGGAGACGTTCGTAAAGGGCGCGGCACCACGAGTTTTGGCTCAAACGGGGGCGTGACATTACGCACATCACTCGAGAGTGACTTCCCGGTCTTTCGACAGAGCAACACGAAGCAAACTCGGGCGCCGAAGCTGCCCCGACACCGAAGCCACAAACGCTCCGTCCTCAAAACAAGGAAGGCGGGAGAGAAACAAAAAGAAATTGCAAACACAAAGAGAAAGTGTTGGCAGACCAGCTGGCCGAGAGAGAACAAATATCGAGTTGCCAAACAAACGAGACGCGACGCTTGAGTGAATGTGATTGGAACTGAACTCTGACTGATCAACAAAAAGTAATGAAACCCCTCCGGAAAACGAGACCGGTTCAATCCCAGACCACTCGAACGGCAAGGTGAAATGATAGGAGCATGTCGTGTTGTTGGCCTGTGCCAAAAAAAAGCTTCGGAATGTCAAGCTGCATAGCGAAAATCTCACATCCCAGAGTCAATTCTCACGCGAGATGTGACGGAACGAAAAGGAATCCAAACATGGAGGGAGAAGGTGTTGCAAAGCGTCCTCCGACAACTCTCGAAAAGCACCAGATCCGTGTCTCATAAAGCGTTTGGGATGGCGAACGAACTCGAGTCTCAAAGACTTGTTTTTCAAGACTACGACGCAAAATGGCAGAGAGGGGATGCAAATCGGCACTGTTGCCAGCGCCGACTACAAATAAGCCGCCTCCTGGTGTCGCGGGTCACTTCCTCAAAGCAACCAACAAAAAAAATGTGGCCGGCATGCGTCTTGGACAGCCAAAAAAATGGCATCCGTTTGGCGATCGTGTGTACAGGCGCGTCAGTGGCAACATGTGAGCAAAACTGCACGGTAGCTCAAACAGCGCAAGGCAAGCAAGATGAACATGTCTTCAAAGGGAGCGAAACCGAGTCAAAAGCGTGAGAGGAAGATTCGCGTGTCGGCGCAAAAAGGGTGTTTGAATTGGCTTCAAAGGGTGAAATCAGCGCAAACGATAAGAGCTGGTGTTGACGAGTAAAGTTTTGTCAGTGTGAAACGTCAGTCCAAGGAAGAAAGAAATGGGGATGCGTTTTCCGACCAGCAACTGCAAAGTCGACTTTTTGTGGTCATTCGGTTGGGCGTTTGACGACCCCAAAGCGCGGGAAGATTGACACTGATGTGTGCACTTGTTTTTGAAAAAACAAGGAACGGGTAGAGGTACTGGCTTTGGAAACCAAAAGACACATTGCCAGATGGAACTAAAACCCAGACTGCTTCATAGCAAAAGGTGAACAACGTTGTACACACTTGAAAAATCAAAAAGAGTGTTGTTGCACCGACCTGCCACGTATAGAAACTCGTCAACTCATTCAAGCACTTCAATTGCACGAATGATGAAGACGTGGGCGAAACGAAATAAATGTCACGACTCAAAAGAAAGTTTCCCAATCCCAATGCTTCCAAGAAGCATTTCATGCGCTTGCTCAGTGCGCGTCCTTGTGCGAGGGCACAAAACGAACGGGCAGAAACAGTCAAAAACTCACACGACTGACCAACAGCTCGTGCGGCGCTGTGCAAGCGATCAAACCCCATCGCACCGCTGGAGAATAACATTGGAAGCCAAATCGCCGCTCAGAATGGATTGTTTTACAGCAAGAGCTCTGCAACAAACGAGGCTTTTTGTCAGTTGTATCATTGGTTTGCGATTGAAGTTTTTGTGTTTGCTTTTTGAAATGGTAAGTTGGTAAGGAGGGTGCTCTCTCGCCAGCGGTTGTGGAAAATCCAAAGCAGAATAACTCGACACTGTCAACATTTCTGGTAACTGAACAGCTACCCCGACGCTGAGAGACACAGCGACTGCAAAAATCCCCCAAAAGCTCTGGCACGAGACCAAAACTCTGGTTGTTGATTGTTGCAGAGACCATCGTCGCCCCTCGAAGGTAACGAGACGCTCGGTTCAACACCAAACACGATGAAAAACGATCAGTGGTTGTTCTGAGTTGTTTTCTTTTGTTTTTGCGCGAGACGTCTCGAGTAACACTGTTGTTACTTTGTGAAGGTGTGCATGAAACACGGGGGTGGTACAAGGGGGGGGGTGTTGTTGAATCGCATTGTTTTTCTTTTTTATCGTTTTTGTTTGATTGTCCAGATTGCTCAGAATGTGTTGCTGGGATGCTAAGAAACACAGCTAAAAAGTCTCGTGCTGCTCGTAAGTTTCCTTTCATGGATTTTTGAAGTGTGCTTTGTTGCGTCGTTTTGATGAAGTTGCGCGTTCCTTGTGGCGTGTTCGAGGTCCACTGATTCGATATCATGGTGGGTCGTGTTGCAACGAACAAAGGCCAGCTCAGCTCACCAGAACGCTTCCAAAGAAGAAACGCCAAAAAAAAAAAAAAAAAAAAATGGCGCGATCTCGCATTTCGAATGACAGTTTTTGTTTGCGATCGGACAAGTCTGCGCTCGCAAGAGACACAGAGCAAGTCAGCCAGCAAATGGCATTTGTGCACTGACATCCAACGGATGGTGGTCAGGCTCGAGCCAAAGACTGGGCAAACAAATGCTGGACCACATGGTCGCGTCGTCCGTCGTCATCGTCCGTCGTGCTGCACTTTAGCGGTCCGCCGCCCTCAAGCGCAACGGTGAGTGATCTCTCTTGTTTTGAATGCTGCCTCTCAGCAAAGCAGCCACCACTCCACAAAACCCACAGCAGACTGGCCACTGTCTCTCTCTCTCTCTCTCTCTCTCTCTCTTCGCTCTGTCTCAAGCTTTTTCGTTTTTGCGTCGTTTTTTTTTGTGCTCCTTCTCCATTTCTCTCCGATCGCTCTTCCTCCCTGCAATTCGTCGTTGTAAAGTGGCTCCCGACGTGTTGCTAGCTCTGGTCACCCGTGAAGAGTGGCGTCGAGGGCAGATTCGTTCAGTCCCGGAGACTTTCCCCAAAGCATTAAAAAAAAAAAATCAAACAAAACCCTTTTTTTCCAATGTCAACGGCTGCAAAAAATGCACCGAAGCTGAAGTGTGTCGCTTTGATATAAGCAGCTCTGTGCTGCAGCCCAAAACTCGCGACCCATCAAACAATGAATTTGACGAGTGAGCCTCCAAACTCCTAAAATAATAAAATCAAGAATCAATAATCAAAGGGGGTTTCAGAGAATGCTGCAAATCAATGGAACAAAAATCAATGGAAAATCAGTGGAAATCGACCGAGCAAAAATTCAAGTTGGATGAATATTAATACAGTACAACGGGGGATCAAACCAAAGTAGAGACTCAAGCAAAGCACCAGCCTCACTTGGATGAAAACAAACGCGGCGCAGCCTCCGCGAGCCAGTGCTGATCCACAACCGTCACATCGCGCATGTACGTTTTGCTGGTCATAACGAGCTCGTTGAACAGAACGCAGTGCGGAGGTGGCCGCTGCTGGAACAAGACCGAGGACGGGTGGATGTGGACGGTCTCGTGGCTGGTCGTCGTGCGGTACGAGTTGTCAGGCTGCAAAACGGCCGTCTTGGATGCAAAGCCACAGAGGAGCGCGTAGCGAACGGAGAAGCGGTCGTGCTCGCCGCACGAGTCGAGTGCAAGTCCGAGGCGAGTGCACAGTCCGCGCAACTGCTTGCGCACACTCTCGGCAGCGGCCATGCTGCGTTGGTTGAGAAAGTGCGAGCGGCACCACTCGGCATCGCCCTTTGCCTTCAAGTAGGCTTTGAACACATTGAAGAGGGTGATGTGGTCCCCCTCCGGTGCTCGGAAGGGTGCCCGCGCCGCTTCAGCCTGCTCGCGCTTGTCGGATGGCGTGAAGAAAATGTTCTCGGTCGATAGCATGGACACAATGTCAATCATCTCGCTCACACAGGGCTGTCGTCGCAGTGCCGAGGTCGTTGCATTCTGAGCAACGGCAGGTCGGGTTTTGGCAAGTGTTCGCGAGTCGACCTCCACCATCGCAGAGTCGCGCACCGAGGGTGTTTGCTTTGCTGTCGCAGAAGATGATGCACCAGCACCATTGGCGAGCTGCGAGGCGCTATTGCTTCCATTGCTATTGCTTTCCGTGCCAGTGGCAGCAGCAATCAGCGCTTTGGCTAGCGCCGGCTCGAGAGGAAACTCTGACATTTGTCGGCCAAGTTCGGTCAGCTCGCCATCATCGCCCAGCGCGCCCAGTGCGTAATTGTGTTCGAGAGCCGCAATCAGTGCATCTCGTGGCGGTTTGTCCATAAAGTCAAAGTTTTGCAGGTCGCGCACACCGAGCGCCTTGAGCGACAAGACGGCCGAGGCCATGTTGCACCGCTTGATTTCAGGCTGCGTCACATCCTCGAGCGTCTCGTTGAACGTCTGCTCAGTGTAGAGGCGGTAGCACTTGCCAGGGGCATCGCGACCGGCGCGGCCGGCGCGTTGGCGGGCCTGCGCTTTGGACACGGGAATGACCTCGAGCAAATCCGAACCCGTCCGCGGGTTGTGGATGCGTGCCTTGACGAGGCCGGGGTCGATGACAAACTTGATGCCGGGGATGGTGATGGATGTTTCTGCAATGTTGGTGGCGAGCACAATTTTCCGGGTCCCGGCTGGCGGCGGATCAAACACGAGCATCTGTTGGTGTGAAGGCAACGCGGCGTACACGGTGCACACGAGCAGCTTTGCGGCCGTCATTGGAAGGTGTCGCGACGCTCCATTCAGCATGCGCGCGACGGCCTCGATTTCGTCCTGGCCCGTCAAAAAGACGAGGGCATCGCCAGGCAGAGGCTCGTCTTGGTGCAGCTGAAGGACTGCGACAAACGCAGCGTCGACATAGTCTGTCGTGGACTTGGACAGGTAGAACGTGTCCACTGGAAACTGACGTCCAGCAACGTACACAACCCGAGCGTCGTCAAAGTACGCCGCAAACTGCTGCGCGTCCAAAGTGGCAGACATGACAATGACACGCAAGTCCTGGCGCTTGCGCTGCAAGTCCTTGACCACGGCAAAGAGCACGTCCGTGTGCAGGGTGCGTTCGTGCGCCTCGTCCAGCACAATGACAGAGTATTGCTCCAACGCGTGCGTGTCGTCGCTCATAGCCTCGCGCAGCAGCTACAGTCACCAACAAGGAAAACAAATGCAGCCAAAACACAAGGATATCGTTGATTCCAGAGTGAGTGACTGCTTAAAGACGCGCGTTTCAACGAGCGTTTCAAGTTTTGTGTTTTTACCATGCCGTCCGTCATGTACTTGATCCGGGTGCGCTCTGATGAGCAATCGTCAAAGCGGACAGTGTATCCGACCTTGTCTCCGAGCCAGCAGCCGACTTCCTGTGCAACGCGCTTGGCCACGCTGATGGCGGCGACACGACGAGGTTGGGTGCATGCGATTGTTTGGGGCTTTTCCAGGGTCCCTGCGTATCCAGCCTGGATCGATGTGCGAGAGGGTTGTGATGCATTAGACGTGATGCAATGTGGATGTTAGCACCAGCGACAATGGTGGGGTCGAGTTGTTGGTGAGCGACAGGACCACGAGGAAACAACATGGACCTCACTCACTCTCTCTCTCTCTTTCTCGCCCCTCACCTGGTACAAATACTGAGTCAGTTGGGTGGTCTTGCCAGAGCCCGTTTCGCCGACGAGGACGAGCGTGCGGTTGGCCTTGACGGCGTCGAGCAGTGCCGCGCGTGCAGGCCAGATTGGCAGGCTGCGCTGGTGCTCGGCAACCTGCGACCGCGGCAATGGCGGCAGCGAGGCGCCTTTGGTGCCCATCGGCTGTTGCTTTTGTTGCGCATTGGTGGCGGCGGCTGTCGAGCTCGGTAGCGCGACCGATCGCTTCGACGTTGACATGTTTTTTTGGAGTGAGCTGCTGATAGACCGGCGTTTGTCTCATATTGCTGTGTATTGTTGGCTATTGCTGAACGATGCTGATGGTGATGATGATGATGATGATTGAGATGATGATGATGGCTCAGTCTCTTCTTCCTTTTATTTCGGCCATGATTTCTGGTCTCTTCATCTACAGTGTAACGCATCCCGCAACATCCTCCTCCTCACAATCGGACATGCTGATGCTTTGAGACTGATGCTTTTTTTGCTTTTTTGCATTGAGACTGCTCTGAGCGTTGAGCGTTGAGCGTTGAGCATTGCTGGTTGATGTTTGTTTCCCAAAATCTCACCCGTTCCTGTCTGTTCCTGTCTTGCTTCAACCATCATCACCGTCATCGTCACCCCGTTTCCGTCAACACCACTCTTGCAGCACAAGGGCGAAGTCCTGATTTCCCGTGTCTACCGCGACGACATTCGGTAACAGAAAAGCTCAAGCAACACAACAGCAATAGAGAGAATCGGGCTTTTTTTTTTTTTCAATCTTGTTCCTCTATGTCTCTCCATTGTTCCTCTCTTCCCCCTTCCCCCGGGCTCTTCCATCGCCTCTCTCTCTCGCCCATCGCTCTCTCTCTGTTCGGAACGTTGTGCCTTCTGTTTGCTGTTTTGAACCTCTCTGCTTGGACACTTCTCCATTGACGAGTTCTCGTTCGTCGTTCCCATTCTTTCCTCTCGTCCCATCATCGCCCCGCTTCCGCGCTGCGTTCGTTCTGCCACGCGTGGTGATGGAGCGGAACCCTTTGCCTCCTCGCAGTCACAACAGCACAACGCACACGCGACAACCTGCAAATCGACGACCATCCAACAAATCCCAGCGAAACGTCGCCCTCTTTTGAAAAATTTCGTTCGATCTCTTTTTTTTTTTTTTTTTTTTTTTTTTTTTTGATTTTTTTTATTATTTTTTATTTCTCTTTGGATTTCCATTGCAAATCATTCCTTCTTTCCTTACATCACACTGCCGTTAGTCGTTTGAAACACTCACTCAGCAGTTTCTCACTCTGTGTCATTCCCTTCTTGCTACTGCTGCTAAACTCAACAGTCGAAACGTCTCGGACGTCTTCCGCGTCAACATCATCCACTCGCGCCACCAAGTCCGCTCGCCAGTCAACATTATCAACCGGACGAGCTTCTTCCACATCAAGCACGAGAATGTGTGGCTGGTGGTGGCGGCCAAGGAGAACGTCAACGCCATGACCGTGTTCGCCTTCCTGCACAAGTTCATCCAGGTCTTTGTCTCGTACTTTGGCAAGTTCAACGACGAGGCCGTCAAGAACAACTTTATTCTCATCTACGAGCTCCTCGACGAGGTCCTCGACTTTGGCTATCCCCAAATTGTCGACTCGAACGCGCTCAAGGCGTACATTACCCAGGAAGGGTTGAAGATTGCCCGAACCTCCACTGGCGCCGGCGCAGTCACCAGCCAGCTCACCGGCACCGTGTCATGGCGCCGCGAGGGCATCAAGTACCGCAAGAATCAAATGTTCATCGATGTCATCGAGTCGGTCAATCTGCTCATGTCCACCGACGGCAAGCCATTGTCTGCGCACGTCTCTGGCTCCATCATGATCAAGTGCTATCTGTCCGGCATGCCCGAGTGCAAGTTTGGTCTTAACGATAAGATTTTGCTTGAAAAGGATGGCCGAAGCCAGACACGCGCGTAAGAAGAAGAAGAGAAGGAGGTTTTTTTTTTTTTTTTTGTTTGTTTGTTTGTTTGTTTGTTGTTTGTTTTTTGTTTTTGTTTTTGTTGTTGTTGTTTTTTTGTTTTTTAGTTTGCGGCAAATGTTGTGCATGAGAAGGGAGAATAGTGTCTGCTGAACATTGACTCACTCTTTCTCTTTTTCATTGCTGCAATCCAAATCCGCTTAGACGGAAGGGCGGCGCTGGAATTGCCATCGACGACTGCACATTCCACCAGTGCGTCAAGCTGGGCAAGTTCGAGGCCGACCGCAGCATTAGCTTTATTCCCCCGGACGGTGAATTCGAGTTGATGAAGTACCGCACTACAGACAACATTGCGCTGCCGTTCAAGGTCATCCCGCTTGTCAAGGAGAGCGGCAACCGCATTGAAATCAAGGTTGTCGTCAAGGCACAATTCAAGGCGACCCTGTTTGCCACCAACGTCGAGGTTCGCATTCCCACTCCCCGCAACACTGCAGCCGTGCATGTCACAACAGTCACTGGCTCTGCCAAGTACAAGCCGTCCGAGAATGCCATTATTTGGAAGTAAGTGCAAGGCGATCTCTTTGTCACGCGTTTTTTTTCTCTCGCTGTTGTCGTGGTGTTGCTCCCATGCTCAACGTCTGCGCTGACTCTCGTCTCACTCCGCCTTGTCAGGATGAAGCGATTCGCTGGCCAGTATGAGGCTCAGGTCTCTGCAGAGGTCGAGCTGCTCGCCTCCTCCGAAAAGAAGGCATGGAACCGCCCCCCAATCTCGATGGACTTCCAGGTATGCTTCTTTTGTTGTGGTGGAAGAGGTGGCTTGAATGATGTGAAGCTGCGCAGTTTCTCACTCTTCTGATCACCAACACAAACTCTCTCAGGTTCCCATGTTCCCCGCATCGGGCCTCAATGTGCGATTCCTCAAGGTCCTGGAACACAAGCTCAACTACGAGACCGTCAAGTGGGTCCGCTACATGACCAAGGCGGGTTCATACGAAACGCGCTGCTAAAATCCATTGCCGTTGAAGGGAGAGGGCCAGACTCAGCATCTGCGCGGTTTATGGTTTCCCCCCTCCATCAGAGTGTCCTTGACTTTGGTTGTCTGCTGTTGAGTATGTGTAGCATCTTTTTTTTTTCCCCCCCCCCCCTGTAACTTTGTGTGTGTGAATGATTTTTGTGTTGTTTTGTTTTTTGTTCTTACGAAAGTTTGCAAACTGTCGGGTTTTCGGTGGTAGCGCCGCATCCAACTAACGACCTATTATCACCATTCTGGAGGCCAATGCGCAAGGCACCCTATTGTTTTGTGGCAGGAGAGCAGCAGTTTGCTCAAACGAAGATTGGTTTCCCGTGCAGTCCCAAGTGGGAAGAGGGGGGAAATGGACTGTACTTGTCTGGGTCGCTAAGAAGCCTCCATGCATTCATTCGTGCTCTTGGCTGTTTTTGATTTGCTGGGATGAGATTGATCGAAACTGAAGCGACGCGAAAAACGCCTCTCAGATTGTCAAACGAACAATCGATTGTCGCCTGCTTCATCCCGTTTCCAGCATCTTCACACAGTTTTTCGTATATCAGTTGCTTTGAATGGAAGCACGGCAGCTTTGTGTCATGACGCAATGTGCACCAAGCATGTATCCGAGTTTGGAGTGTCTCGGCTTGTTTTTGAAAAAACAAAAAAGCTGACAGTCATTTTTATATCTCTTCAGTTAAAATCCTGCACCCGCTTCATCATGGCCGAGCCGTCGCACCTGACAGACGTATGTTCTCTCACCGAAAAGTTATGAACGAACCGAATCGAGTCGGGCGGGCACTGTTGACAACGTTCTGACAACACTCACTACTTTTCTTGCGTTCTTTCCCTTGACTTGCAGCCTCTTTGGCCAGACGTCGACTCGAAGGCAGAGAAGTCAGCGCAGTTTGTTCCTCAAGATCACTAGCATCTCCACCGCCTCTGCATGAACTCGCTACCCTCTCCTTTCAAGTTGATGGAGAGTGACTATGTTGAAACTTCGCCGGGCTCTGGTGTTCTGCAGCATTGTACGTGATTTTTGTTTTGGCTCCTTTCGTTTTTGGAGTTCGTTTTGGAGAGAGGTCGCAATCGTTTCACTTTCTTTCCACTATTGATTTCTCAGATGCAAACGGGAGTTCGAAAGCTGTCGGGTTTCGGTGGTCGTGCCGCATCCAACTAACGACCGAGTATCACCATTCTGGAGGTTAACTCGCAAGGCATCCTGTTGTTTTGTGGCACAAGAGCAGCAGTTTGCTCAAACGAAGCTCGGATTCTCGCGCAGTCTGGATGAGAATTGGCTTGCTGGTGGCATCGTTCATTACGTTGTGCATCCCACCGTCGCAGATATGACCATCGCAGAGTTTCAAGCCGAGCTGCTCGCTCTATTTAGCACCCAGTGCGGCGTTGGCATGGGCAGTGACAGTGGGTTGAGTGGCTCTACGTCCGCACTCAGTATTGGCGGTTCCAGCACCGTTAGTGGCAAGACAATGGATGCCATGACGATCGCAGCCGCGCCTAACTGCATAAAACCAGTTTTGGCCGCTCTTCGAACGCACGTCAATCAGTACGCCGACGTTGACCCGACTCGAGCTCTCGTCAGCAGCATGGTTCACGACAACTTGGCTCTGCGCCAGTTTTCTCTCGACGACGCCATGCAGCATGAAGATCTTTGCTGGTATCTCTACTGTGCTACTTTGCAAACAACTTTCTCACTGGGAGCACTGCAGTTTAGAGACCAGGTCAACGACTTCCTGGTTGGGTGCGCTGAGGAATTTGGCTTTCCAAGGTGGTCGTCTGTGTTGTTTGTGTTGCAATTCTCGATGGATCTTCGCTTCTTGACTTGTTTGTATTTTGCTGGACAGCGCTGAAGTCAAGACCGACAAGCCGAGTCATCCTGCTTCTTCTGAGCCCACGATGCGCACCTGAGCCGGTCCCGGAGGAGAACGGCCGTGAGTACAGTATGTTGTGTTCCTGGGATCCATAGCCAAACACCCACAGCGCTTGCTCGAGTTGGTCTTGCACTGCCACCACACCATTTGGCAAGTATTGTTGGTGTCACTGCTGCTCAGCGACGCGGCGGCTGAGGCGATGCAAGCGTTGTTGTCTGTCATCGTTTCAGAGTTGGATGCTTTTTCTCAGATTTCAGAGTCGTGCTCGGTTTTCATGTTCTCTTTCAATGTATTGGAAACAACAGCGCATAGATCTGAATCCCTAACATTGTCGTTCGATATACCCGACAGAAAGCGACGCAAGTCGCACAAAACAGAAAGACTGCCCGAGTTGAACTTCAACCTCCCAACCCTCGCGCATTTGGCGGATGACAGGATGGTCCGTTGGCGAAATTGTCAGGCTTCAGTAGTTGCCAATCGTGGAAGCAAGCGGGTTTATCTTGTTCTTGATGTGCAATGAACAAGCAAAAGATAAAGGAACCATCAGGAGGGCCGTTTCCATTGAGTATTGGTTTGAGGAACGTGGACGGAGCATCAATGGCTCTCATTGGCAAGAACAAACAACCTACTCAAGCTCAGGCAGAATGCCGTTGACGTTGCGTGCCTCTTCAAGCGCTTGAATGCCAACTTGGCCAATGCAGTTGTGTCCTAGACTGGCGTTCAAAGTGTTAGCAGGTTGACAACGTAGCAAGTTCTGAATGATGCTGGTTCAATGTCCCAGACGAGCAAGGCACCCAAGCACTTACGTCAGTTCAGTCCGCGTCTTGTTCACTTTGAGTGTCTCAGCAATCGCCCGCGCTCCAGCATCGCCAATCTGATTCTGGCTCAGACTGCCCGTCCCTTTCCATCAGTGAGCACTCTAACTGTCATCTCCTGCAGTCACCACTCACATGCATCAGTTCAAACGCGACTCACGCAACCTCGGCCACCGTCTTGTTCACTTTGAGTGTCTCGGCAATCGCGCGCGCTGATTCCGACGCAATCTGTCCATATCGCCTCCATCAGTGAGCCGCTCTTTCTGTCTCTACCTGATCACCCACTGCCATGCGTCAGTGAAATTGAGATGACTTACTCGAGGTGCGTCAGTTTCGTGTTCACTTTGAGTGCCTCAGCAACCGCTTGTGCTCCATCGTTGCCAATCTTCTTCCCATCCCACCTGTCTCTCCATTTTCGTCAACACAAACGCGCTGTCACACTTTTTCCCACCTTGCAACTCGGCTTCCCCTTACCAGAGCCAGCCACTCGCATTCTTGACGATATCTTACAGCTCGCGCTGTCTCTGATTCATACTCCGACAAGTCAGCATTTTCAACAATCAAACAAAGACTGACTCGATGCTCCATTTTGGCCTCTCGACCCTAACTCGTACATTCAGAACACAACGCGAGAACTCGGACGTATCCGGCTTTTGTCATGCTCACCTTTCAGCCCCCGAATTTGATTCTCAGTTCGCAAATTGGAGCTACAAGAAGCGGCTTGCCCCTCCCGCGCTCGTTTTGTTGCTGTTGTTTGTGTGTTCTTGATGCGTCTTTGTTCACTTTGTTCGCTGCGTGTGCTTTCGATGCGTTGTTGTTGTTCACTTTGTTCGCTGCGTGTGACAATCAAATTCACAGTAAACTGCTTTGATTGCTCTGTCGCTCCTTCTGCATGAACCACCAATGCCTTTTTTTAATGCTTGTTGCCTATGCGTGTGCGTTGACAACAGGTGAGAACAGCCCAGTCCTTGTTCTTAACTCGAATGCAGTGTGCGTCGCTCCTCGCCTCGTTCTCGTCGGCGCTGATGGCCACTGCTGCCCTCCACAACCACCGCCATGCTGCCTTATCACCATCAGTTGCCTGTACCGGCTCAGATCTGTCGCGAACAGGAAGCGCTGCCACTGGATTGACCATCATCCCATCTGTGGCCGAGACAGTGGAAGCCGCCGCTGCAGCGACCATGCCGACCTCCGAGCTGACCCCGGCCGAGCTGCAGGCGCGTCAAGAGGAGGCTGAAGCTGCCGAGAACCACCGCATCGCGACCGAGCCGCTGAGCCCGCGCGCCGAGGCCCAGCGCCAGGTTGTGCTCGAGACGATCAAGCGCGCACGCGACTTCTCGTCGACCACGTCATGGCTGCGAGACGACTATGGCAACGATGCGCACACACGCTGCGAAATGATGGTGACACTGGCCGCATCCAGTTGAGTGAAGGCACTAGTTTTGCTCCATCCATCGTGGCATTGTTTGGCATTGTGCGCTCATCCCAAAGGGTTTTCTTGATGTTCTTGTGTCCTGTGCAGATGGCGACGCGTTCGATATTGGCATGTCCGTAATGAAGCTGTACGGATGCCCATTCCGTCGGGAAAACATCATGTGCATGCCGTGCACGGGCAACATTCACGGAGGTTACATCCCAGGCACCGGTGTTCTAATCTGCGAAAACCGCATCAGCAATGCGGCTACGCTGGCACGCACCTTGACACATGAACTCGTCCATGCATTCGACGACTGTCGGGCCAATGTGGACTGGACAAGTTGCGAGCAGCAAGCGTGCTCTGAGGTCTGCTTGAAGTTTGGAGTTGTGGATGGCTTTTTTGTTTTGTTTTGTTTTTGCTCACGGTTTGGTCTCTCTCTCTCTCTCTCTCTCTCTCTCTCTCTCTCTCTCTCTCTCTCTCTCTCTCTCTCTCTCTCTCTCTCTCTCTCTCTCTCTCTCTCTCTCTCTCTCTCTCTCTCTCTCTCTCTCTCTCTCTCTCTCTCTCTCTCTCTCTCTCTCTCTCTCTCTCTCTCTCTCTCTCTCTCTCTCTCTCTCTCTCTCTCTCTCTCTCTCTCTCTCTCTCTCTCTCTCTCTCTCTCTCTCTCTCTCTCTGCCGTTGCTGTTAATAGATTCGTGCTGCTACATTGAGTGGAGATTGCGATGTGGGTGCAGAGCTATCGCGAGGCAATCGACCACGGTTTGGCGGATTTCAGGTCAGGGATTGTTTTTGGAGAGGGAGGGGTTGACGTTGCTCTGTTTCGTTGCTTGTAATGGTAACCTTTTGACTCACATTCTTGTCCCTATCTTCTACTGTTGCTCTTGTCTTTTGGATTTCTGTTCATCTGCGTTGTTGGTTGTCGTGATTGTAGGCCTGCGTCCGGAGACGCGCCATCCTCTCAGTACAGGCAAATCCCAACTGCCGAGGCGCTCGAGCTGTGGAAGCCGTCGAAAAAGTGTGGAACCCATGTCATTTCGACAACACTCCATTCCCAGACATTCAGCACACCGATGCGCAGGTTTTGAAATGATTGCGTTTGTCGTCACGCTTCTTCTCGTGTTGTTGCTGTTGCTCTCATCCATCCTGCACGTCGATTGTGATGATGATATTGAATGGCATTTGTTGGGCTTCTATTGCGCACCAGCAACCCACAACAACAACGTGGAGTTTGGACGAGCTTGAGCAAACAAAGTTGTTAACAACAAACCAAAAAAAAACTAAACATGTCTATCAAAACGCATTCTCAACAAGGCAACACCAAAAACTGGATGCAAACTAGTCGTTGCTTCGCTCTGCTTTCCGCTTTCGACCTTGCGAGACAATGGACGCAGCGCTCATCCGACCGTGCTCATTTCGCTTCCACATGCGGAATTCGGCAACGGCTGCATGGCCAGCATTGAATACTTTGTGATTCAAATTGAACGGAAGAAGAAAAAAGGCATGATATGTCTTCAGATGAGCGTTCTGAAACGAGTACAACAATGGCGAAACGAAGCGAATCCTTACGCTTCTTTTCTAGCGAGTCCAGTCTTCGGGTGGCATCAGTAGCGTCCTCCTCCATCGAATGCTGAGACAGATCGAGGATATTTCGATACCTATCGATAAAGGCCTGGAGGGCAAGGTTGATACGGAGTGAGTGGGAGTTTTTCCAAAATGAGTTTGCCCTGTTGCCAGTTTCAGAGTTCAGATAGAAAACTGTACCTGTTGCAGCACTTGCATCAAGCCCACATCCAACAAGCTGTCACCATCCAAAACAAAGCAACTCATCTTCGTCGTGAGCCAACAATACAAAGACACGACCTCGCAAACCCAACAATCACCGGCTCAAAAACGCTGTACTAGTTTTCCAATCGCAAGCCTAGCCGGTAGTAATACGAAGACCACTCGTTCAGATTGACAGACGTCGCTTCGGCAATCAGCGCGTTCCGTCTCGACTGGGAGTACTGCTTGGGCGCGAATACTTCGATTGCGTCTTGGTGGTGAAGATTGACAACCATCCAGAAGGGAATATCGAGCCGCGCGCCTTCTGGCAGCTGCATGCAAAAATAACACACCATCAACGGAGATTCGACATGTTAGACTTGAAATGGTGCGAGCGTGGCACCTTTGGGACGGCGAGCAGTCAATCGACAGTTTTCCCGCGCAAAATCGAGCGCTCCAAGCTTTCGCTGCGCTGCGACGACAAACCTCCGGGTCGGCTGCCACAATGATGCACATAGTTCAGCCAGTTGGCTATGCAATTCAACTCACATCGGGAGAGGCCGAGCCGGGATCCAGGTGACCGAGCCATTTCGCCTCCGTTTTGAAGGCAACCGGAACAAGCTGGACCAAGAGAGCGCAGCATGCATCACAGAGCGAGACAGACGACACAAGCAGTTCAGAGTGAGTGCTCCTTTTTTCCGTAACAGTAGCAGCAAAAGCCAGCCGTGGCAAGGGCAAAGCAGCCAAAGCGCAATGAATGCGAACGCTTCCAACTCGTTTTCCCGCGCTTTTTTGTTTTTCACTGTCTCTGTCTATGGTCTATACCTCTTGTTCCATCAGAATCTCATCAATATCGTGATACGCCATTGAGTTTGAATCGATCGACGGCGTGGATGCGCGAATGAAAATTGGGCGACAAAAGTGGACTGAGCCAAGTCATGACATCTCAGAGAGAGAGAGAGAGAGATAGAGGCGTGTAGTGTCATATTGGACACTAGTCACAAGAGACAATGAATCAACAAGAAGCAAACAAAGTACAGGCGCTATTGGGCCTCGGGCACATCGGACGCAACCCCTGCTGCGGCGTTCGCGGCGGATGATTTCGTTGGAGGAGCATTCTGGAGCAACAAGGCGAGATTGTCGGTTGCATGTTGCCGCCAGTGCTCACATGCCTGCCCGAGCAGCACAATGCTCACGAGGACTTTCAACGCCATCAAGCTGCGAAAAGGCAAGCCAAGTGAGCACTCGCGTGAAAATCAAGAAAACAGCAAACAAGCTCATTTTTGCGCCTCTGGTTTCATACATGAGATAGGCCAGGATAGCGACCACCGCTCCGTACATGCCAGGAGGGATTGGGATTGAATAGGAAAATGTCCGGAAGACCTTTTGCACAGCCCAAGCGTGAATAAAATGACAAACTCGAAACAACAACAACCCCCCCCCCCAAAAAAAAAAAAAAAAACCACACAATCCTTACAACGCATGCTAATGGAAGAGCCACAAATCCAATGCGTCGAGCAACTCGGTGCGACTGGTCCATCATGGTCTGCGGGGGTGATTCCAAACCAAAGGCACACTCAGGGCATGTCAAAACAAAAAACCAAAAACCGAAAACAGACAGCCAACCATCACTCACATTGCAATGACGAGAACTCGCCAAATCCTTGCACAGAATCGTCTTGTACTTGCGATAGACGCTCGAGTCAATCTTGTTAAACTTGGTAATGAAGGCATGCTTCACCCAGTCAAGCACGCACTCGGAAATGTAGACGGCAATCAAGTCCTTCAGGAGCGTGTTCACCAGGTACGACGTGTCCCAGCCGAGCTCGGACATGTTGCGAGCAGCCACCATGACCAAGAACACGGCAAGACTGAAGCGCTCCACCATGTCGCTGCAGGTCATTTGGAAGAGACTATGCGCCTCAAACTTTTTAAAGACGCTGCCTTTCAGCTCCACAAACTGGTTGGAGATGAGGAGCGTCAACAGTGCCGAGCTGTGCGAATTGACGGCCACATTCAACGTCAGCACTTGGTAAAAGATGATGACTGCGTGGCCGAAAACGTAAATGATGGCGAGCAGCAAGTGCGGCAACGTGCCCATCACGTGCTGCCCTCTCGGACGTGACGGCTCGGTGGCAGTCCAAAACACCGAGTCCAAGATGTCTTGTCCGATGGAGCAGCAAAGCTTGTCGACAATCTGGCGTTTTGAGAAGGTTTCGGAAGAAAAAAGTGAGCCGAATGGTGTTGTTTTTTGCTTGCCAAGAGCTCGGCCATCATAAAAAAGCATTGCTCTCACCTCTAGCATGTTGTAAATCACGTAGAGCTTGATGACTGACTGCCCTCGAATAGAGTGGTAGAGGCGGGATGAATCCATAAACTCGAGTCCAACGCAACACGTCAATACGAGCACTCCACGAAGCACGTCGCACACTTGAGAGGCGTCCATTCCAGGTCTGTGGGGATTACAATCCAGGCCGGATGAATTGGAGAGACAGACAAGCACCGTGAACAACAACTACCACTCGTCCATCGCTTTGCCGCCTGTTTACCGTTTCGTGAAGAGAGATCGCAGGAACGTAAGCAGCGCAATCAGAATGCGCACTGGCAGAAAGGTGAACACAAAGAGAAACGAGTCCAAGCAGAGAAACGAGCCAAACATGATAACCTGCATTGCGATGATGATCCAAGCGAGTGAGACAACCAAGGTTCCAACAACGACAGCCACGAGGAATACATACGCGCTCGACTTGGAATGGAATTTGGAGGGTCGTGTAGACGCGATCGCGCTTCGCAGCATAGTGAACGGCGTCGCTTTCCAGGAGGTATCCTCGCGTGAGCTCGGCAGTCATGTACGAGACGAACGACAGCGGTTTTGCTGGTGCTACGAATTCGCCAACGTCGTCTTCTTGGTGACTCCGATCCTGCTCGGACTGTGCGTGTGCGTTGTTGGCGGCTGCGCCAGCACGTATCCGGCGGCGACGTAGCGAGTCCGATCCCCCGACCGCGGGAGCTGCATCGGCGGCATGGCTTTGGCTGCCTCGCCGTCGTGCGAGTGCATGTCCGCCAGTACCCTGGAACTGCGTCTGCGCGGCTGACACTCGCATCTGGCCCGACGCGGCGACTCTGCGCAAGTTGGCTGCCGACGCGGGTCTGCTGCCCAGCGACGCGGACTTGCGGATCTTGGCCGGGCCGTGCGGGCCGTGCGCATTGGCGTTGTGTTGATTGCCAGCAGATGCAGTAGTAGTAGCAGTAGTAGTAGCAGCAGCAGCAGCAGCAGTGGTGGTGGCCAGTGGCTGGATTGACGTTGGCAAGGGCACAGAGTGCGACTGCTTGAGCGGGCTCAGCAGCAGCCGACCATCAGCATCAGCGGACGAGTGCAGCCCAGTAGACTCTGTGGATGTGCTGATGCTGCTACTCTGCCGGGTGCCAAACAGGTCGCTCTGATGAACAGTCTCAGACGGACCGTTCTCAGTCTCAGTCGTCTCAGAGCTCGAGTCATGGCCAGGATGATCACGCTGATTATGATTGTTATTACTGCTATTATCATCACTGTCACTTTCGTCGTCGGTCGTCTCAAAGCCAGAGACAGACACGCCACGGGCGAGCAGCGTAGGGGAGAGCGGCAAATCCGGGATTGGGTCGAACGCCTGAGGCGAGTGGGGCTGCTCGACAGTGTCAAAGTGCACACGATCGAGAGCTGTTGGACTGCTCCCGGCGCTGCTGCCAGACATTTGTGAAGTAAGTGTGTGTGTGTGGGGGGGGGGGCGAATGAATCGAACAAACGAAACGGAAAAGAAGAGTGAACTGATAACATCAAAAACCAAATCAGTCAGGTCGGCAATCAATCAATCGACATTGGTGCAGGTGCAGAGCTCGTGCTGGGAACGGCATGCTGCGTCGTGGCTGACAGTCGCTTGGCGCGCGCTTCGACTTGCTCCAGCGTCAACAGCGAGAGGCCAAGTTGATCGTCCTGCGAGATTTGCAAACATATCAGCCAAAATGACACACGACATGCAGCATCGGAAAGCAGGACACCAAAAAAAAAACTCGTCCAAAACCCAAACCTTGTTGAACGGCTGGGCCATGTTCCGCAAAAATCGCTTGGCGACCTGCACCGCCTCGTCCACTGACAGATTGCACAAGTCATCTGTCATGTATTGTTGAATCCATTTCGGCAGCTTGCCCTTCTTGTCCAAGCGAGCGAATCGCTGTGTTCATGAAGCGAGAGAGAAATTAGAATTGTTGTTGCAGCCTCGAAATAAATGCTTTGCAATCAGACAACGACTCAAAGTCGTACCTTGTCGGCGAAAATCATCATGCCGTAATCGGACTTTCCTCGAATCGCACGACCCACGCATTGGGCACCGTGTCGCAGTGCATCAAACGTCAAAAAGTCGCCCTCGCGGATCTGGAATTGCTCTCTCAGATAATCCAGACGAGCCTGCAAGCCACCACCAGAGTCAGATGCATGGCTACAGCCACACCAAAACAAACAACAAAAAAGGGGGAGCGGCATCAAGCTTACTCGAAGAATTCGACTTTCAGTATACACGTAAGGAATGCCGAAAAGAATGACTGCTCGCCCATAGTGATGATCGAAATCAATGCCTTCAGACACCTTCCCTCGAGCGACGGACAATAGCACAGCCCCGCGTCCGTTTTCGCACGCCTACCAATGCCGAGACCAAAGAGTGAGTGGAAAAAGCGTTAATTCCTCCCCACCTTTCAAAGTTGAAAGTTTCCCCAAAAGCCATCAGCCAAACCTTCTGATAATTGTCCAGGGCAATACTTGTCTCGGCACCATCTTGTGTCTCAATGAAGACCAACTTGTTCCGCAACAAATTCGTTAATACACCCTGAAAAACGGTTGGTGGCAGTGGCTGTTAGCGAAATCTCGGCTCAGCTGGTTCAAACACCAACACCCGAAAAAAAAAAGCCCACTCACTTGCTCGTGCCATTTGGCAACAATCGACTCCATGTAGGTATAACTGGGGAAGAAGCACACAAGGCCATCGGGCACGACCGCGCTCAGGTCCACCAGCAGGGAGCCATAGTTGCGCACAACGGCAGGATCGTCACGCACTTGGAAGCGACTGCTGACGGCGACCTGGTCACTGCCGCGGGTGACAATCACGGGGCAGACGCAGTTGCGGGAGAGTGTCATGGTGAAACTTTGGGCCGTCACTGGCTGGAAATTGAGGATTTTGGGATACATCTCGATGGGAGACAGCGTGCCCGAGGTGATGACCACGGTCTGGAAGCGATCGAAAATAGGCTTGATAGCGAGGGAGGCGTCCATGCACGAAAAGTAGAGGACTGGATTGGGAATGGTCGGCGTGCGGTCGTCGAACGGCTCAATGATGAGACTAAACCCCTTCGCGTACGTGCTCACAAGCGTTGCAAAGTTTGCGACCGTCACCAAGGCAGAAAAGTCGTCCATGTTTGGCAGCTCGAGCGTGCGGACCAGGGAGCCCAAGCGCTCTGCGCAAAAGCTATGCACGAAACAGCCGGACGAGAAAAACGATCAAAACCAACGTCAGGACTCGAGCGTTCGATGCATGGACACGGTCTTCCAACCACAACGCATCTCTACCCACCGCAATGGCTTTCGATCAATCTGCACAGCTTGGTACAAGTCTTGCAAAAAGGAGGTTGGGTTTTCGGCCACGACATGTTGCACTCGCAGACGATTCTACGACGACAAAAAACACGAGTCAGATTGAACGCATGTGCTTTGCAACACCAAACACACATACCTTCAAATACTCGACAAACCGCCGCAGGAAGGCGACGAAATGCTCCGCTCGACGGATGGTGCCGGGTACCGCCTCTTGCATGATTTCGTCGGGAAGAACAGGGTTGGCCAGCACCAAATCGGTCTCTCTGGCCGTGTTGGCCTCGCGCAGCCCTTGGACCAAGCGTGTGTACTCGTCCTGCAGACGCGCAGTGTCGGTTTGCTTGATCTCGCTGATTGTCGATGCGAGCGCGTTCAAATTACGCGTGCTGTTGTCCAGCGTGCGCTTGGTGATTTCGACCGACATGGACTCGATGCAGACGTTGTCAATGTTGTGGGCCTCGTCAAACACGACCACCGACTCCTTGGCAAGCTCCTTGGAGACCAAATTGGCAATCTTTGGATCGAGCAGGTAGTGGTAGCTGTAGACAATGACATTTGCGAACGAAATCTAGTAGCATAGAAGCACAAAGTGAGTTGTTGCTCGCGTTGGTTTGGGCTGTGCCACAATGTCGCCGAGAAACCGCAAAAAACAAAAAGCCGAAAAAAAGAAAAAAAAAACATACCATATGACGCGCCAGGTAATAGGGGCACCAATTCTGTCGTTGCCCAAAGGCACGCAACTCGTCAAGCGTGTAGACACCGGCAGGCAGCAAGGCCTCTCGACCCGAACGGTCAAACTCCTCATAAAAGCTGCACAGCTCGACTTCGGAATTGTTCTCGGCGCGCGTGCGGACCCACGACGCTGTGAGCTCTCGGCACTTGGAGTCGACGAGCTTGCCGTCGCGCTCTTTGCTCACCTATCAACAAGAGGAGGTTGGGGATTTGAGTATGTTTGCTCGCTGGAAAACAAAATCGCATGTTGAGCGGCTCACCTCCGGATGAATGCACATGTTTTTACGCGCACTCAAACCCAGACCCAAAAACTTGAGCCGCTGACCCGTTTCTGACTCAATATAAGCGACGAGCTTTGTCATTTCGTCCAAAACCTGGCGAAATGATGGACGTCAATTCAAACGAACGGTTGAGTACAGGAAGGCGGTGCAAAAAGCTCGACTATCAACCTCCATACACACAGAAAACACACAACCACACCTTCTCGATCTCCGGCACTGTTCGAGAGCAATAAATAAGCTTGCCCATTTGAGGATTGACCTGAAAAGCAACCAAAAGTTTGTTGAAGTGAGCGTTCTGGCAGCCTTTTTCCAGCAATTGTCGGCACCTTACCATTTGGTGTGAGATGATTAGAGACAACAGGGAGATGGTTTTGCCAGTGCCCGACGGCATTTCCAGCACGCAATGACCCTGAGCAAGGCGAGTGTTTCAGGATGAAAAGTGAGATCACCAAGCCAACCATTGTTCCGATGCCATATTGCATGTAATCAATGTGTGCTTGATATGGTTTGTTGTTACCTTGGCATCGATCGATCGCTTGAGCTCGAGCATGTACTCGTACTGCTCCGGGTAGATGTAATCGAATGGAAAGTAGACGAGCAGGCCGTCGACGTTGATCCTATGCAAACGAACGCGTCCACCCCCTCAGCGAGTGAGACATCAGCAAAGCGAGTGAACAACGAGTTGCATGGATTGGGGTGAGTGGTGGTCGCACAAGTGGGGTGAAGCCTTTCGATGGCGTGAAAGCGAGCACGCAACATTGAAGAAGCGGCTTCACTCTGCCATCCATGCTCAGTCTGACTGTGACTCTCACTCATCATCATCATCATCATCATCAACAACATCTGGAGTAGAATTGTATCGCAGTCAAGGCAAATGGCCAACGCAGGCCCGCGAGGGAACGAGACACCATTCTCAGCTCCCCACTCTCATCCCCCCTAATCCTCATCCTCATCCTCATCCTCAGTGATAAGTTGATCCTAATCACAATTGTCAAACGCAACAAATGACACTGCGAATGCCAGGGCAGAGCAAAAAGTCACTCCAAAAACGCACTTCATCTTCGTTTGTCGAAAGCAAAACGACTGAACCCATTTCTGTATCGCCTGTAGATCGACATTGCAGGTGTTGGAGGGGTCTCTACGTCTGCATCTTACTCGCCTGAGATCGCTTTGGGTTTGGTGGTGCGCAGTACTATTCGAAAAATCAACAACTGACATGCCACAACAACAAAAAACAAGACAAACATGGCTGGCCATCACCCGAACAGATCATACGGATCCTCGTCGTCATCATCTGTATAATCATCATCAGACTCTTCCTGCAGAGCGGGGCGGGCGGGACGAACGTTTGCAGCATTGTTTGGATGATTTGGCTGCGGAGGAGCCGGCTCTTCGCCATTGTTCTCGGCCGCTCGCGCTTGCGCGACCCGAACCTCAGCCCGGACGTTGTGGTGGCCCAGCTGGTTGAAAGCCCTGTCGGCGTCGTCAAGGCGGGCAGTGCGTGTGTGCGCCTCGTCGTTCGTTGACGAGAACAGCCGACCAGAGCACTCGGACAAATCCTCGCGGAAGTGCTTGTAAGGATCGCCCTTGTCCAAGAGCTTGCGGCACAGCCAGCAAAAGTACGCGCCACAGCTGCAAGCCATCTTGTTACAGCCCTCGATTTTACGAATAGCCGCTTTGCAGTTGGGATTGGGGCACTATTTTTTTGTGGGCAGAGGTAAGTGACATGCTGACGACGAGACCCCGTCTCCTTGTACTTTACCTGCTGGGTGTACTCGCGTAGCCACTCGTTGGTTCGGAGCTCCTCCCAGGCAGACATGATGTTCTTTGCACCGTAGCGCACTTCCAAAAGACGCCGCTCCTCGGGGGTGCCTGCAACGTACTCTGCGACCAACTCTTTGAGGTCAAGAATGGAGCACGGCGAGATGCCGTGCCAGGCTCGTCGGCAGTAGACGCAGAATGCATAACGGCACTCGGTGCACATGCACAGATGGGTGTCGGGCTCGACAATGAGCGTGGCGCTGCACGCCTGTCGCGGGCAAGTGGTAATATCGCTCATCTCTTGAAGCGTGCGCTGCAGTACGAGGCGTTCGTAGCGATCGTAGAGATCGTTGGACACGAGTTTGCGAACTTCTGTCGGAAGTGCGACCACCTGTTTCAAAAAAAAAGCCCAAAAACAAAAAAAAAAAAAAAAAAAAGGTTGAGGAGACTTGTGTGCAGCAAAATGTCAAGTCATTTCGACGTACCTTGCACGACGTGTTGGGACAGGTGAGAGCACGGACGTTACCATCGGCAATCTGCACAGCAAAGTAGCCACCAAGACACTCGTTGCAGAAAATGTGGTTGCACATGTGCAACTTGTGAACATGCACACCTTGCTTGTCCGAAAAGCACACGTCGCAAGTTTGGTATGCTTCGTCAAAGATGCGAGTCGACTCGAGCTTGTCGTAGTCAATGAGGTCGCGAAGCAGGATGCTCACCATGTTGGCGCTTTGCACGCCGCGCGGATCGCGACGCGCCTTGCCAGCGTCGTGCGCCTGAGAACCAGACACCGCTGGCAGGGGTGGCTCGTTGCCCGTGTGCGAATCTGCAGGCGTGCATGGCATGCTGGTGTTTGCAGAGGCGGATTCGTCAATGGACGTTTGTTGAACAGGATGACTTGCCGCGATGGATGACGAAGACGATGCGGCCGCGGTATCGGCCTCCTTGGTGCTCATCATGCGCGCAAATCGACGGCGCGTGTTTTGGCTCACGCGAAGTGGCATTTTGCTGGGAATGCCAAGCCAGGAGAAGGCGGAATCCTGCAGCCACTGCAGCCAGGAGAAGAGCACGACCTCGCCGTGCTGCTCGTTCCACTTGGCGTCGAGTTCTCGGCACAGGCGACCGAGCAGCGACTCTGTCAGCCACGAGCACGTCAGAGTGAACTGTGGCGGTGCTGACGACGGGTATTCCGCCGGCAGCACAAACTCAAACCTCATCGGCGGGAGATGCTCGAGCTGTAGTTGAGCAGCAAGTAAGCGTATGCTTCTGTGAGTAAGCATCTTGGAGGGGTGGGTTTTTTTTTCCCTTGCTGGTTGTTATTCATTACCTTGTAGGTCGGCTCAATGGCTGAGGAAGGATTAGCAGTGGCAGCCGGAGTGGGCTGCTGAATTGGAGCGCTTCCGAGGGGTCGCTTGCCCTTGTCCGCCCTGGGAGCCGCGTCCGCAGTGGCATCGTCGTCGTCGTCATTCGCCTTGGCGGCCTTGTCCGCGTCTCGCTTGGCGCTGGTGAGCGGCGTCGGGATGAAGACTTGAAAGTCCTGCGGCACAGTCAGATTGAGCAGCACCTGTGAAAGAGTCGGGGCCAAAGACACAAGTGCAGAGAGTGTGTGTGTGTGTGTGTGTGTGTAGTCAAGAGGATAAGTCGAGTTGCGGGATTGGACAGCAAAGCGTGCAAGAGCGAGAGAGAGAGAAAGTGAGCGAGCGGGAAAGTGAGCGAGGCAAGGAACTGGTAGTCAGCTCTGACAAAATTAGTCAATCGTTGCTAGCTAATTCATCTAAACACGAGCATTACCGTGATGGATTACTCAATCACTTCCAAATTTTCCAATCCAATGATTTCCCCCTTCAACCCCCTACCTTCCTCAACCCTCTCACTCTTGCTCTCGGATTTCTGAGCCTTGTCCTTGCCCTTGTCCTTGTCCTTGTCCTTTCTGCTCACTCTCGCTCTCAATCCGACGAACGAGCAAGATTGGCTCTTCAATCTCAGAATGACAAGTTGTAGTGCAGCTCGGATTTTGATCACAAACCTGTCCGCTGTTCACAGTGGCAAAGTCGGGCGTCGCAGTCGTCAGACGCAGCATCAGCTTGTCGTAGATCGACTCGAGTGCCAGCAACTCGTCCGTCTGTGCCTCGAAATTGGCTGTTGAGGACATGCTGTTGCTTGAGCTGGAAACGAAGACTGAGAAAAGCTCAGACAAGCCAAAATTTACTGCAGATAGATTTCTGACTGTATCTCATCTCCCCAAACGAAGACGAGGCCGTTCGAATTTGTGCCGGATTGCTTTGAAACCAAGAAATTCAAAATCAACGCGGAAAGAACAAAGCACGTCGAAAGACACAAAGTACTGACAAGGAGTCCATGTCATATGCATTTGATATTCACATTGGAGCAACAAAACAAGGGATTTAATCAACAGCGGGAGCGGTCGGTGCAGGATCACCCTCGCTGCTACTTGCTGCTGCGGCAGACTCCACGGCAGAATCCAGAGACGCAGACGTCCTGCCGCTTCTCAAATTAGCAATCGCTCGAATAGTGCCGAGCGCGACGTTTTGCAGATGCTCTGCGACGGAGGCCCGGTTCCAGCTCTCTGAAAAGTTTTGAATGTGTGTGCGACCAACATCAATGGCATTCTGTGTGGATATGATCAGGGATACTGCCCGCTCGGGGATGGCAAACGATGTCCCTGCAGTCTTGGTGGGCAGGCCAATCACCACTCGAATGCACAGCAGCGCGAGATCAAAGCGGCCGAAAATGTCCGAGTATGCGAGCGCGTGAAACCGTCCGTAGGCGTCTGCAAAGGTCAGAAACTCCTCCTTGATGCTGGCTGACATTGTTTGAACCGACTGAACCCACTTGCTCGACCGCTCCAACGTTGTGAGGATGGACTGACGATCGAGCTGCAAGTCTGGCTGCAACGCCATGACCTGGTCGAGCATCCGCATGATATTGTCCAGCTCTCCCTCGCAGAATTCCTTGTACATCTGATTCGAGAGATGGGGGGGGGGGCAATCACCATCCAAACATTGTGAGGCAAAACGGTTTGCTTTCGGTTGGCAAACAACAAACGGGAGTGCAGTATTTCGTACCTGACGGAGGACTTCGGCCAGGAGCTCTTCGGCATTTACAGTAGTTGTGTTGCTCCAAGTAGGACCTGTGCCAGCTGCTTGAGCTGCGTCATATGCGCGCTTGCCTTCCTCTGTTCCTATTGCCTTGTACGCCGCAGCAACGCCTGAAAGTTTGGCAGTTTTCAGATGGGGTGAGCTCCAGAACGAGGCCCTTTTTTTAATGGTCGACTTTCACGTAATAACGCAATATACACTGGTCACATCATTTTCATCGAATGCACTCTGGTGACTTACGTTGGAAGGCAGCTGTTGACGATGGACTGTTTCCGTGCTTGTCTGGATGCACGAGCCGCGAGAGCTTCACCACCAACCACCACCACAATCACAACCACCACAACCACAGCAAAACAAAGCCAATGGTGAAGACCACAAAGCAGCACAAATGCACGACGAGTGAGTGCCAGCGTTGTTACCTCGCTCCCACTCCCCAACGGCCATCCTCCCAAGCACTGCTGGTTCTTTACCCGAATGTACTGCCGCCGCACGCTGTCTGCCGTCCATGTCTGCTGATCGACGGCCAGAATCGCGTAATAGTCGGTCGGACTGCACCGCTCGACGCGCGCAATCTCTTCCATTGTCACTTGAGATTGAAAGAGAAGACTGAGACAACGTTAACTCTCGTCATTCTCATCTTGCAAGACGTTTGAGCGGACCTTTTGTTTTTGTTTTTGTTTTTGTTTTGGTCTGAGAAGACAAGATTGTCTCAGTCTTTTTTTTGTTTTTGTTCCCCTTCCTTTTACAGCAGTAGAAATGCTAACTCTGACGCGTCGGACGCTGACAAGTCTCGCATCAGCATCTTGCGCTTATTCTACTAGCTCTTCTTCATATGCTGCCGTTGCGTCCGGCGTGGTGGTGGTGGCGGGATTGGCAGGGATGAGCGCGTCGGACGGCTCCACGAGGCAGCCGGGCGAGGCGCATGTCGGACGAGTCGCACGCCGCGGATTCGCTTCGAGCGCTGTGGCAATGCTGGGCAGTCACTTTTCAGTCACTGTTGGAGGTGGCGCAGTCGCACTCGCCCCGCGCAGTAATGCTGCGACGAGGCTGCGATCGCGCCCAACGCAAAACGAGGGCCAAGACAGAACCGACGGTCCACCGCGTCGCAGCGCTGCCGACCATCACGAGCGAGGCAGGACGAGTGATGCACGTCATCGCGACCAGCCTGCGAGGGGCAGGAGGCTGCCACGCAGCGAGCCAGGACGGCAGACGCGCCACGCTGATCTGGCCGCTCGCGACGAGATGTCATCAGCACGCGAAACACGCCAAGCTCGGACTCCCTCGCTGCGAGTCAGGGACACGGATCTCATTGTGGGCGACGCTGAGGAAGCTGCTCCTGCGAAACGAGCGGCGCACTCACCGCCGACCAGCCCGGACAACGACGCGCCGACTCCATTCACGAGCAGCCGCCACCGGAGGCTCGGCGCCATCCGAGACGAGGAGGACCAAGACGAAGCTGAAGCGCCAATTCGAACCGTGCGATCGACGCAGACACCCCGCAGTCCTCGCGGCGGCGTGATTCTGCCGGAAGACATTCAGCACTTGCCCCTCGCGGAGCAGATGCGAGTGGTCAAACGCCACCAGCTCGCAAAGCAGAACAAGTCGCTCGGTGCACGCCGACGCACAATGTTGGGACAGGAAAAGCAGCGTCTGAAGGAGATTCACCAAAAGCAAGGCGCCGAGGGTCTCGCGAAGGCCTACTCGGCACTGCTCAACGACGAGAGCAACGCGCACGCCCGACGCAATCGTATCGTGACCACCTTCCCTGCAGATCCTGCTGCACCATCCAACGGTCCAGAGATGGAGAACAAGAAGACGTTCGAATCGCTGGGTCTTAGTCCCGCGCTGATTGCTGCTCTAGCTGAGCAAGAGATTACCACGCCCACAAGGATTCAGGTAGCAGTTTCATTTTTGTTGTTGTGCTTTGAGTAGGTCGAGGATGCTGCGATGCTCACACTGCGACGCTCGGACGGTTGCAATTGTTTCACAACCAGTCACGAGCTCTTCCCCAAGTCCTTGCCGGACATGACACTGGTATTGCAGCGGAAACAGGTAAGTCGTCGTTTTTTTTTTTTTTTTTTTTTTTTTTGCTGGATGAAATGAGTTTTGAGAGTGAATCGAATGCGACATTGACTCGTGGTGGTGGTTTTTTTGCGCGCTTTGGGGGGGGGGAGAGCAGGAAGCGGCAAAACCCTGTCGTATTTGCTACCCATTGTCGAGGGCATTAAAAAGAGCGACGCTCAAGGAGACTTTGTTCGTCCCGGGAGACCGCGTGCGTTGATTCTAGTTCCCCATCGCTTGCTCGCAATGCAGGTTGCTGTAAGTGTTTGTGGAAATGAGCCGCGGTGTGATTTGTACTAGGTGCGTCAGTTAATAACTTTGAGATGTCACATCTAGAATGTCTCGAAACGTCTCGGCAAAGCAGTCAAGTTTAGCACGTTCTGTGTTATGGGCGGCGATCGAATTGTAAGTGTGTTTTCGTGAGGCTTTTGGCGATTACTTTTTGAACGTTTTGCTCAGTTGTTGCTTCCCACCCTTCCTCCTTCTCGTTGCTGCTTTTTATCTGAGCAGAGTAGACAAAAGAGTGCAATGGAAAAGCCTTTGGATGTCATGGTGGCGACACCTCAGCGGTTGCTCGAGCTGTTGCAAAATAGTGAGTTGGTATCATCGGTTTTTTTTTTTTGTTTTTCACGTTGTCGCTCTTGTTCTCGTCTCACCATGACTGCCATCGTCTCCCGAATTACGCGTTGGCAGAATATGTCTCGCTCGCCGATGTCAAATATCTCGTTCTTGATGAGGCGGACGCTCTCTTCGAAGAGCAGTTTTTGGCGGAAATCACCACTGTTCTGCGACCTTTGATTGTAATGCCGCTGCGTTCCGTCTGGTCTTTTGTTTGTGCTTTCTGATGTGAGTTGTGGAGTTGGCTTTTATTCATCGAGAGGTCTTGTTTTCTTTAGGAACGCCGAAAAGCAATCGTGGCAAGCGCAGAAGCTGAAGCCCAAGGCCAAGCGCCGCAACGCACCTTCACTCCTCTCCAAGTCATGTTTGTCTGCGCTACCAAGATGCAGCACCTTGTCCAAGCGATTCGCCAGTACTTCCCGGTACAGATGAAACGAACGAATTTGATGGAATGGCAGAGGACGTGGCGAACGATAGAATTAACATTGTGGTGTGGGGGGTTTTGGGTTTAGTTTGGTCATATTGCTGCTGCGACCACTCCGACGCTGCATCGAGCGCTTGCCAATCTCAACCATCGATTCATTGATGTCGTCGGCACGATTGGAAAACTTTGTAAGTTTTTGGCGCTTTTTCTTCGAGCAGCTTTGCTTTTCTCTGATGTACATTCGGCCTTCGAGACTCTCATATGTTCATGTGTTGATTTTTAAAACAGCGGAACTGAAGGAATTGGCCAAGAAGGGCTTCAAATCACCCACGCTCATTTTCTGTGACGGTCTGGAAAGCGTGACTTGGGTGCACCACCGTCTGAGCGAGTTTGGTATCAAAGCTGAGCGGCTGCACTCTCAAATTCAGCATCGTGTAAGTTGAGTTGTGTTCCTGTCTGGACTTGACGAGACTTTACGTTTGTTCATTCGACTTTGACTCACTCGCTGTCAATTGTCGCTCAGGATCGCCTCACCATTTGGAAGTCCTTCTTGCAAGGAGAAAGCAAGGTGCTAGTGTGCACAGACCTTGCGGCTCGAGGGCTGGATGCGCCGATGGTGGAGCATGTGGTCATGTTTGATCCGCCGCGGAGTCACAGCGAGTATGTGCATCGCGCAGGCCGTGCCGGCCGCGCTGGCCGCACCGGCACAGTGACGACGCTGTACAGCTCGAGCGAGCGTCGTTTGGTCAAGGATATTCAAGTAAGTTTCGAGAGAGTGACGTTTTGTGAAGGTGTGAAGGCACTTTTGAAATGAAAAATGCTAACAACGAGATTCTGTGTCCATTTCCTGTCTGTCTGTGTGCGTGTGTGTGTTCTAGGAACGCATTGAGAAGGGTCAAGCACTTGCTGTTACGGATTGATGAGATGTTCAGATTCTCGCAAACCATGATGGAAAACAAGCTGCTTTTTCTAAATGTTGTCGACAGCCCCTGTTGTTCTTGAAATTCAATCATCCATCCATGATCATCCCATCCACTGATCATCCCATCCCATCCATGATCATCTTATCCACTGGGCAATTCAATTCCCAGTCGTTTTTTTTTTTTCAAAACCTTCTTCCTACGCTCCTCCTCATTAGCCCCGTTTCCCCTTCTCCCCCCTCCCCGCCCTTCCCTGCGCGATGTTTGGAGCAGAGTACGCTGCGCTGCCCAGTCAGCAGGTAACACATACACACATTTTCACCCCCTTGTACCAGCGTCGCCCCCAACAGCCATCATCCGATTCCGCAGTGCCCTTCCCCGCGCTCGCGTTGTCGTCCCAATCCACCTCCCCGCTTGTTCTACCTGATTAAGCCTTGTTCCACTGTGATGCTGACGAGTGCTTCCGATGGATGGTCCTCTCTCTCTCTCTCTCTCTCTCTCTCTCTGATGCCAGTTTCAGCAGCAGCAGAATTTTTTTTTTTTTTTTTTTTTTTTGGTTTCTCCCAATTTCTTTCTCTTTCCTTCTCTTTCGTTGTTTGTTGTCCTTCCATTTGAGCGTCTGTCGTTCTCCTCTTCTTCACTGAATCACTGACCACTCACGATCACTTCACTCGGGTCTAATCCATGCACTGCGTCACTCACTGTACTCCTCATTTCACTCATTCTCTTTCTCCCCTGCTTCCACCCCGTTCTCTGGTCATCTCTTTGCGAATCCTTGCCTATGCCTTCTCACGCTATTTCTCTATGGTTGCTTGCTCTCTCTCTCTCTCTCTCTTGCTGGCAGAGGCGCATTCGGCACCTGCGCTCGGTCTCGGCGCGCAATCTCCCAACGCGCTCGGCAGCGTCCATGATTGACTGCTACTTTACCCTGCACTCGGCGCCAGACTTGCCAGGTAAATGGAGCTGCTGCTGTTGCTGCTGCTGCTAAAAGCATTCAGTTGATGGCTGAAGTGTCATGACGCTCAGATCGAAAGTCGAGGGCATTCAAAACTCACTTTTGATACCGTTACTCACTCGTCCTCGCCTACCTGTCTGACTCCTTCTTTGATAGCGTTCTACACTTCGGAAGTCATCTACAACACGGCCAACCCGACATGGCGAGCCTTCGACCCTTCCCTGTTTCCGCCAGAAGTCCAGTTGACGGCTTCGAACATTGTCGCTCGCGTCTACGGCGGATCTGGCTCGGATTTTCGTTGCTTGGCCGACGTCCAGGTCGATCTGTTTGCTCTGGAATATATTGGCGAGGACCTTCTTCTCGACGGCCGCAACTACCCGCCATGCACTGTCATTTTCGAGCTGCGCGATCGGTTTTTCAGGCACCGCGCCCTCCCAATCGCGCAGGCCCCCTCATCAGCTCGCGTCACCTCATTGAGCAATGTACAGCAACAACCACAACAACAGCAGCAGCAACAACAACAGCAACAACAACAACAGCCAAAACCAGCTCGCCCTGTATCCGGATTCCCAGCTCCATTCACTGCAGCATCCTTGTTACTCGGTGTTGAGCCGCCGTCCATGATCGCATCGGCTGTAATGACCGCCGCCTTGAACACGGCGTTGAGTTTAGCACCTCCACCAGGCCACAATCCCGACACCCCGTCTGGGGTTTTGTCTCCTGGCCCTGGCAGCGCCCTGTCCACTTCGGGCTTCTTCCCTTCGATCGACCTCATTCCTGGCATGGTCAAGGTGGAACGACATCGCGTAAAAAAGACACCTACGCGTGTGTCGTTAATGCGCATCCACAATCTTCAAGCCAGCATTCAAGACAAGAAGGAGAAAACGCGCTTGCTCAAGGCAGAAATCGATCGCGTGTTGGAACGGCGGTTGGAACCCACCAAGGAGGTAATGGAATATCTGGAAGGTTTGGGTTTGCAAAGCAGCAGCTCGTGTGCACCTTTTGCACTCATTTTGTTTTTGGCTTGTTTTCACGGCGACAGCTGCGAGAATGTGAAGCGGCGCGAGTCCGTGTTACGTTTTTGCAAGAGGAGTTTAATGCGCAATATACTGCTCTGAAGCAATGTGAGGCTTGAATCGCTCGTTTGTGCGAGTTTTGTTTTGATGCTGATTGTTTTTTTTTTTTTTTGTTGTTGTTGTTGTTGTTTTTTTGTTTTTTGGGGGGTTTTTTTGTCAGCGTTGGACGTCCAATTCTCGCGTCAAACTGCTCTGGACAAACAGGTTCAAGACCTCCGTATGGCCCAGGAATTGCTACGGCGTAATCAACTACGCCTGAGCGACCAAGAGCAAAAGCTGAACGAATCACGGTAGGCCACACAAAACTCGAGAGCTATTTGTTGCTCTGCGAACAGGATAGCTCATCATCTTAAACCACATGCTCTGACTCGTCAAATGAACACAATAGGGACTTGCTCAAGAAGTTGCAAGGGCACTTGTTGACACGCAAGGCCCAGCTGGTCAGCCAACTTCAAATCATCTACCCCATCGTGCCATCCGTACGTCTGTGACCCATTGATTCAACGTCCGTTTTGCGCTTGTCGTCCCATTTGCATCTGATTTGTTTCATGGATCAAACCATGCTTTGTCCTCCACACATGCAGTCGGCCACATCTACCAAGATTTTCAAGATTTGCGAAGTAGTCCTGCCAAACTCGGATTACAGCGGTAAGCTGTTGTCCTTGCGATGGCTGGAACCAAGAGACAGCTTTTTTTCTTTTGGATTGCATCGAGTGCTCACCTCTCTTTCGGATACCAGGATTTGATGACGATGTGATCGCGACTGGTCTGGGCCACGTTGCCCATCTCGTCACGTTGATTGCTCGGTATTTGGAGCTGCCGTTGCGCTACCCCATGTGTCCAATGTCCTCCCGCTCGACAATTCGCGATGACATTTCTCATCCAGGCGCCGTCCCGTAAGGCGAAAAAGAAACGCGCCTTGTCTGAAACTCCAATCCGGTTTGCTGACTCTCCTGGGTTATTGTTTTTGTTTTTTTTTGTTTTTGGTTTTTTCTGCTTTTCATGACCACATCCAGATTCCCACTGTATGCCCAAAGCAATGACAAGCAACGTTTCAAATACGCTGTCTTCCTGCTCAACAAGAACATTGAGCAAGTCATGAACTATTGCGGATTGAGTGTGACGGATTTGCGAGTGACCCTACCGAATCTGCGGGCACTTTTGCTGTCGGATCTGACCATGCTGTAAGGCCATTTTCGATGTGGTGTGTGTACTAAGCGTGTCATTTATGTTGGTGGCTCATTCTTTGTGCTCGCCGTTTCTTGACACAGGGAACGAGGAAGCGTTACGCGGTTCTTGACAACGGATTTCAACGAGTCCGGCCGAATGGTCGGCAACCCGCTTGCAATGGACATTCAGGACACGGATACACTCAACCAGTCGATTGTCACCCAGTACATGTCCACCCACATGCCACCAGCGCAAGCGGGTGGTGCTTCCCACGCGCTCAGTCAATCGCAACCTGGTGGCCATCCCAGCTCGCACCATCAGAGCCTCCGCCATCGCACATCGCGATCCGGTCAACACGCTCGCCAAAGCTCCACCGGGTCTGCAGAAGTCTACGCAGTTTACTCGACCACATCGAATTCGAGCCATATATAATTCATTGCCCCAACTTTCGTTCGCTGCTCCCCCATTTCGTGACGTTCGAATACAACTATCTTTTGATGACACACACACATACACACGCAACAGTACACTCGATAGGATTGGAGGGACCACAAATGAAATCTCCAAATCACGCAAATCGCAAGCAAGGACTTGAGCCGACGAACGCGCCGGAATAGAAACTCTCACAACTACTCCTTGCCGTCAATGATGCCGCCTTCAGAGATGGCAAACATGGCCTCGCTCTCGGGCAGGTTGGGGCTGTCGTAGATTTTGCACACGCGAGTTTCGGCGCGCCCCTTGCGCAAGTACAGGCGGGTGGTGGACGCATGCGCGATAATGTTGCCGCCGATGGGCTTTTTCGGATCGGGCACAAACGTGAGGCCCGCTCCGGGATCAGCGGTCATCTACCAAGTGTTGCAAGCACCGCACAAGCAGCCGGAGTGAGCGTGTTTTCAGTCAAGCATTCGTGAAACAACTTTGACCGCATTCTACCTGGTTGGTGATCACCACGGCGACGTTGAACTCTTCGGCAATCTTCATGAGGCGCGACAGCATCTGACCAAGACGCTGCTGACGCTCTGCAAGCTCTCCGCGGCCGCTGAAATCGACGCGGAACATGGCCATGACCGAGTCAACAATCTGCAGTCGGTAAAAACCCCTCTTCAGGTGAGATTTTGTTTTCTTCCTTCACCCTTCTGTTGTACAACAGCTTTCATACCAGCAGACGGTAGACACCCTTCTCTTCGGCAAACTTGGCAGCGCACTGGTTGATCAGATCCATCTGATGCTCGCCTAGGATCGAAAAAAATGAGCGAGAGTATTCCGAAAATTGGAACGCACAAGCCGTCATAGTGCTCCCTTACTGTTGTATGCGCGAGCAAACATGACGTTCTCCAGCACGGCGTTGCGATCCAGGCCGAAGCGATCGGCAATCGGACCCAGACGATCGGGACGGCTGCGAATGTTTGAGAGAACAACAGAGGCAAGCGCAATGCAGCCAAGGTGAGTCAAGCACTACACACTACCTTCAAGCTCCAAAGGTAGAGGGGGTAGATGCTTACAATGTGCCCTGAAGTTTGCACGCACAAAAAAAGTGAGGAGCAGCAAAGAATTGTCAGAGGTTGATCAAACAGCTCAACTCTCCGCTCACTCCTCCTCGCAAAAAAGTTACCTCAGTGTCAATGAACGCCACTTTGCCACAGGCACCGCCGACCTCAACTGGGAGCTGTGTCGTAACGCAGAGCGTGTGGCAGATCTGGGTCTTTCCCGTGCGAAATTCGCCGAAAATCTCAGTGATGGCCATGCTCTCGATTCCGCCTATCACGTACAAAACAGCAAAGCCTTGGTAAGCAACGAAAAAACAAGTACAGCCACAACAACAATGGAGGATTGTATTTGGTACGACACCAGAGAAAATCCGTCACAATCTCCAACCTACCGCCGAGCAGCTTGCTGAGTTCGGCACTGCCAGTGCTGATGCGGAAGACCATTTGGCGCTTGACAGAGTACTCCATCGCAGTCATGAAGCCAGCGTCCTACGGGTTAGTCACGGGGATTTTTGAGTGACAATACAAAAAAAAAAAAAAAACAATTCACAGCGCGCAAGCGTTCGTACACCCATCTTGGCAACAGCCTCCTTCATCTTGTCCATCTTGGCCTCGGAGATGCCTTTGATATTGCAAAGGGTCTTTTTCGTGGCCATTTGAACGCCCTGGTGTTGTGCAAACACGCGTTGAGTGAGCAAACGGAATGACTTTTCGACGAAAAAGATGCTCAAAACCAACCTTGATGGTGCAGATGCCTGCCGTCTTCAGCTTTGCGATATCAGCCGCATTAATGCCGTGCTTTTGAAGCTCGTCGACATCTTGGAAGAAAGCTTCGTCCTGTTTTTTGAAATGTGTGACAAAATGAGATCAAAGTGCATTTGGATGCAATGCTTTTGTCACTCCTTGTCAATCCACCAGCGTACGGCTCCAGACACAAACAAAGCCATTTACAACAGAAATGATTGAAAATCTCGTTGATGCGTCAATCAAGGAGGCGAGAAAATGAGAGACAACGAGAAAAAGATCAAAACCTCCTTGTCAGGCATTCGCCAAACCATCCCCTCACTTCTGGCTGACGTTCGCAACGCCGATGCAGCTCAATGCCGCAACCACCTAATCAAATTCTAACAACAATAATATTTTCGAAGCATGAAGAGTCCAAGAGGAACAGTGGAAACTCTCGGAAGGGTGTGCAGGGTGGGCAATGGCGGGAGATTTTGGCGGGAAAACGCTGGCCAGATGAACGCGCGTTCATCTTGCTCGGATTTTTTTTTTTCGCGCCTACTTCATCGTCAAAGGCGGCGCCCATCGAGGGTACAACGTGATCCATCTCGCTCTCTGCGTCCATCACTGTACGCGGCGAAGGAGGAGACACATGCACATCAGTTAGCGAGCCAGGCGACGACCGGAGACAGCGGGGAGCGCGGGCGGCACGAAAAGTATCGCGAAACTCACTGGTTGACTGAGTTGGTGTTTGGGTTGACTTTGAACTTGAAAACTAAAGCTTTTGGCTTGGATTGAAAAATAAAAAAGAGAGACTGAATTGAAATCTCGATTTGGGTTGAAGTAAAAATACCAAAAACAAAACTAAAATCAAATAATGTCAAACCTACCAGATTTGCAAATTCGTTGATCTGGTTTCGAGTGCGAATTCGTCGACTTGCGTGAGACATGCTCGTTGTATTCAATACTATACAACATCCAACAACTCGGGGCACGAAAGAAAATTACCAAAGCAAGTTTGTCAAAGCAAGTTGTCACAGCAAGTTGTCACAGCAAATTGTCACAAGCAAGGTTTTCGATTAACTTGCAAAACAGAAGAGAAATGCAGGCACATAATACAGCGAGAAAGACAATTCACGAGCATGTGATATTAGGCGCCAAGGAAGGTCTTGTTGAGCAGATGGATGGTTTTGTTGACGTTCAGCTGGACATACTCGAGATCGAGCTGAAGCTGATTGCAATGTTGCTTTTCCAGAAGATCATCCAGCTTGAGATTCATCTTCAAGATGGCCTTGTCTCGGCCTGGGTCGCAAAACACAAAAAAAAAAAACCAGAAAACAAGCGACAGAAGAGTCTGAGTTTGCGTGCACAAGAAACACACGCCCATCGACCGAGACCCCACTTACCCTTGTAGAACAGCGAAATGGCAAACGTGCCGGGCGTTGGGGAGGAGAACATAAAGTAAATGTTTGCACGACTGCACCACAGCAGCCGAGGACGAACAGACCAAAACTGCTCAGTCAGTACGCATCACACTCGGAAAACCAAACCACATTCCAGTCAAACAACCAGCCTTACCGATTCTCTGGAACATCGCTCTCCACGATAACCCCGTCCTTTTCGAGCTGCGTGTGGGTAAACTTGAACGGCCCCATCGCCTTGTCTCGTTTCACAGACTGCTGCATCTTGTTCAACTTGTCCAAGCTCTTGAGCGTCGTGCCAGAGCCCGCCTGGCTGCGCACGTTGAGCAGGTACACCTTGTAGGCGTCAAGTTGCTGCAGCAAATAGTTGTTGTGGTCGCAGATGGTCACAAAGACCGAGGACAGGCTTTCGAGTTCCTTCTCGACGCGCTCGCGCAGCTTGTTGAGGGTCTTGAACTTGGTCATCACCTCCGAGCACATGACGTGCGAGTCGACCGCATTTTGCTGTCGCAGCGTCAGCAAGTGTACTCGGGACAACTCGACGAGCTTGTGCACTTGCGGATTGTTCGATTTGCGCGCCTCGTCGAGAATGAGGTCGACGTGCGTCGGGGGATTGGTGATGGCATCGTACATGAGCATTCCATTCACCACAGGAACTCCTGCTGCTGGCGGATACAGGCGCAGCACTTGCAAAAGCAGCGACTTGCAGTCCAAGTACATCAATGAAGCGAGATTGATTTGGCTTGCAGTCGACTGTTCGCTGCCACGTCGGGCCGGATGGGTAGCTGAGCAAAAAGAAGAAAAAAATTGAGAGAAAGTCGAAAACGAGCAGACGGGACATGACAGCAGTGCAACTAGAACCAAACGCAAAGCTGTGCATGCGTGCATACTCACCATCACTCGTCGCGTCTTGCTCAAAGCGGCTAAATAGACTGAGCGCGACAGTTCGGTTGTCCTTGCGGGATAATTGCTCGGGCGCCGCACTCATGTCATCCACAATCAAGCGGAGATGGTTGTCCTTTTCGGGAACCTGAACCACACGCAGCGCAATGTACAGGAGCAAAAACCGAAAAACAAACAAAAAATCAGCCTTTGACTGGACAATCCAAACCTGAATGCTCGACGACCACCAAAACAAAAGAACTTTCCATACCAGCTCATCCAGATGCTGCTTGAGCAGTCGATGCATGTTGTACATTTCGTTGAGCGTAATGTTCACGACTGTTTCCTTGGCCGTCAGAGCCTTGTATAGATCCATCTGGCACAAGGAACACACAAAAGCAGCATTGTGTTTTGTTTGTAAGGTGTTGTTGGAAGCTGTGACTCGGACTACGCGCGTTGGCACTTACTTCGAGAGCGTCGAAAAAGTCGTCGACCTCGCACAGCTTGAACAAGAATTGTTGCAGTTTGGGTTGGTACTCTGTCGTGAACTCGCTCAAAGGCAGCATGTACGGCTCTTTCTGAAAGTTGGGCTTGTTGGCGAGGTTTTGCAAAACCTTGGCGACCAGCGTCAGGTTGCGACTGGCCACGGACGAGGGCTTGTCGGTCAGCAGCATGTAAGCAGTCGGCGTGACAATTGCCGGATTGATGAAACGCAGCAAGAAGAATCCACCAATCAAAGAGGCGGCGTTCTCGGGAGTTGACTCGGGGTAGTGTTGCTAGACAGGGTAGTTGTGGTGGTGAGCGTTTTTTTTTCTTTCTTGGTCTCATTGCATCCAAATGTGTGCGGCACACCAACCCACAAAATCTTACCTTCATCATCTGGCGAATCTTTCGGCAGAGCCACCGAATGCCGTACGGAACCACGTCGACGGAGGAGGTGATGGCAGTGACAATTTCGAGCGTGATGCGCTTCAAGTCAGACACGCGCTGCTCGAGTATCCGCTGCACGCGGGGAATTGCGAGCGCCTGCTCGTTGGTCAAGCCGCGTTGCATGGTGGTGGTCTCGCCGGTCGACGCTTCATCGTCGTTCAACATTTGCTCGTAAATCTTGGAGGGCTCAATCTCGAGATTCAAGTCCTTGGTGGACATGAGACGCTTGAGCTGGTCGGCCAGCGCCAACTTGAGGTACTCTTGGCCAGGGACGCGGCGCGTGTACGTTGTCATCATGCGAGAGACGGCCGTGTTTGCGCGCATCAATGATCCCATGTCGATTGCTTCCTCAAAGTCGAGTTCAAGGGCAGACTGGTTTCAAAGCTGGTCAGTACAATTGCGCTCTCTCTCTCTCTCTCTCTCTCTCTCTCTCTCTCTCTCTCTCTCTCTCTCTCTCTCTCTCTCTCTCTCTCTCTCTCTCTCTCTCTCTCTCTCTCTCTCTCTCTCTCTCTCTCTCTCTCTCTCTCTCTCTCTCTCTCTCTCTCTCTCTCTCTCTCTCTCTCTCTCTCTCTCTCTCTCTCTCTCTCTCTCTCTCTCTCTCTCTCTCTCGCTTTCTCTGACACTTGCATTAAAATCATCCATTCGCATAATAAAACGGGCCCCGTACCTCAAACATGGAAAGAAGCAGATTCTCCTCACGAGACTCGTACTGGTTGCCGTACAACGTGAACATGACAGTCTGGAGCAGGCCATCAATATCCGCCAGCGACAGCAGACGTGCGAGCCGCGCAATGTACACTGGTTTGGTTTGCAGCAAAAAGAAGAGATTCGAGTAGTTTTGGCGTGCGCGTTCGTCCTTGATGGAGCCGGTCGCGATGGTGTGATCCGAGTCTTCGAGATGGTCGGCAAGCTCCTGCGGTTTGATAGTTCGGTTAAAAACAAATATCAAGTGAGAATTTGAGCCAAGAGGGGCTTGCTCTCCAACTCGGAACTTGAACTTACATCGACGGAAACGCGATGATTGATGAGCAAAGCGATGCGTGAATCCAAGTAACGCACGTCCCGCTCCAAGGCAAAGTTCTTCTTGCTCTGGACTGAAATTTTACGCTTGAGCTCGTCCAGAGCGCCCTGGGCTGCATCGCGACGACGACGACGACGAGAATGGGTGAGCGACAGAACCAATCAAGCACATGGATTGCACGTGGATCGTTCATCTCGTTGCTCTCGACAGACGCTTGATTCCACATTGCATTGAGATCCTTGTGCAGGACGGACGCACGACGCAGGAGCGCCAGTCGCACGTCGGCGGACGGCGGGGTTGCAGCAGGACTGGCCATCTGATGGTCAAAAGCGGTAACGCGCTGCGCAGCAATGTCTAACAAAACGAAAAAAAAAAAAAAAGCCAAAAGAAGTGAGACGTCAAAGTGAATGAGTGAATGAGTGAATGAGTGAGCGAGTGAGTGAGTGAGCATAACGGAATTCAAGAAAGAGAAATTTTAAACATTAAAATCCTCGTTCAATTGCTCGTGCCGCAGCTAGCTGTTTGCGCTGTGCTGCACGTCAGACCGAGTGCACTCTGTCGCACACACACATACATACGCACATACACACTGGCACTCAGCACCAGCGACGACCACCACCGACTGCCCAAGCAAGAATTGGTCCAAGATGGGAAGCAATCTTCGCGCTCGGACGTCTCCGCCAAACGGTGCGCTCTTTGAACGCTGGCCGGGGTTGCGATGCGCAGAGGAAGCAAGTTGGAGCTTGGAACAAGCCCAAGCCCTCTGACTGCAGACGAAGTGTGCGCTGCCGCAGGAGACCGAGTAACGGAAACATCGAGGAGCACCACAAGCTCCCCATTCTTCATTCGTTCGTGCTGTTTTGCTGCCGAGACCCAAGGTGATGGGTGATGGGGGAGGGGGGTGCATTGGGGACGCTCGTCGTTGCAAAGCGAAAGTGCCAAGCGGACGAGCGAGTGGAGCACACACGAAGGAAGACGAACAAAAGCAAAGGCAGAAAAAAAAAAAAAAAAAAAAAAAAAAGGACGAAGATTTTACCAAAATGCGAGACTGCAACTAGATCACTTGATCCAGAGATGGGAATGGCAAAAAACGGCACGTCAAAACCGACCGTGGGGGAAAATGCCATTTAGGTGGGATGCACTGCGGTTGACACTGTGCCGCAGTAACAGAGGCGAGAACCGCTGGAAAAGAGGTGGGAGAAGCGACTGCACGAACATGACGAGAAATTCAATCCAATTGGGAAACAGCAAAGGAAAACCCAAATCTCTGAGCAGAGATTGTGGAATCTTGATGGAATTGTGAGAAATCTCAGTTGAAGTAGTTGTAGACTGCTTGGTGTGGCTCATTGTGTTTGTGCTGGCAATTGTTGAGTGATTTTTGGGGTTGGGTCTCAAGATTTTTTTTTTTTTTTTTTTTTTTTTTTGCCTCTCCCAGGCCTCTCCCCGTCGCCTCTCTCACCATAAAGCACGACAATAGATTGATACATTTATACGACATGTACAGACAAAGTTAGGCCCAAATCAGTGTTTGTTTGTTTGTTTGTTTGTTTGTTTCTGAGCAGAGTTTCCGGCCACCTGTGATATGGTGACCGAGGATCGCCGCCAATCGCTCTGGCGGCCGTACCCCGTCGCACGGCTGCCGCAGCTCACGGCACACATTGTCGAGGACCACCCCACGCCCGGATGCGCGACCGTCACGCTCACGTCGTCGGACGAGGCCGCCGTGCCGTCAAGCTCGTTTGTCGCTGACTTTGCGACGCTGGCCAAGTGCGACCGCGGCCGCAAGTGCCTCGCTTCCATCCAAACAATGCTGCTCGAGAACCAGCCAGCGCACTTGCAGCTGCTCTTCCGCGTCATGGCAGACAGCCCGCACAAGACCAGCTACGCCGCCTGGGTCGCGACGGGCGAGGCCATCCTTGCAGACATGGATGCTGCATCTGCCGCATCTGCCTCTTCCTCGACCACAACCACGGCTCAAGAGACACAGGCTCAAGGGACACAGGCTCAAGGGACTCAGCCGCTCCCTCAACTCGACACCCCATCGCCAGCAGTTGTGGCCGCGAGCCTCGCCACTCCGACGACCGAGCTGCTCGCAGCATCGCCCACATCGTGGTATCCACACAGCCGCACGCTCATTCGTGTCAAGAGACCCGAAGAGTTTCTCCTGAGTGAAACTCGCGGGAATTGGGACGACGGCATCGAACGCTCGTACTCTGACCTGGTACTGATGGCCTTGCGCGTGCTCGCCTTCTACTGGCACGCCGGCCGTTTACCATTCGATCGCTACCTCATCCAGACTGCGGATGTTCCTACTCAAATGATGCTCTTGGGGCGCGATGTCGCCCCGAAGCAGATGCTCGCTGAGATTGTCGAAGGCCTCAACCAGCTCGGTCTGCCCTTGGACGAAGGCATGATCGACGGCACAAACGAAGCGCATGATGCGTACGCTCTGCCGCATTTGCGCCTCTACCCGCGATTCGACTGGGACGAGTGGCAGACATACCAGCTGACCTGCCCCCTCCTCGTCCGGCACCTCTTCCTGGCTGTCTGGCACGGTGACATCCCCATCCTGAGACAGAAGCTCGGCGAGCTATCGGCACTTGTTGACAGCGGCGCTCCGCTGCTGCGCCAGGCGCTGCCGAACCTCCCCTTTCAGTCAAAGAGCGACGTCCCTGCATCAGTGTTGAGCGATATCGTTCAGAGAGTGTGTTTTGATGACACGCCGCTCGATCAGCGCTCACTGTGGTGGTGGTATCCGCCCAAGAACAATACTGGCGCTGACCGCACGCTCGCCTCTGTGCTGACCGGCGAGCTGCTTACGAGTTGCGTCTCGCGCTGCCAAACCAACGCTGTCACGCTCCTGCATCTCGCGGTGCTGCGGCGCCATGCTGATGTGATCCGCATCCTGGTGACGGAGTGCGGCATGCCCGTCGAGCTCGGCCTTTGGGCCGCAGTGCGGTATGGCCTCGTCGACATGGCCCGGCTGATGGTGGAACTTGGGGCGACACCGACCCGTTTTCTTCTTGATGGGGTCGTTCGCAACCTCGACTGCGACATGCTCCGCTTCCTTGTCGCGGCTGGCGGCGTCGTCACGGCCCGGGAGCTCGCCGTGTACACCCTTGAGCACGACATCCCACGCGTTGACTTCCTTCAGGCGTTGCTTGAGCTCGGCGCGCCCATCGACGCTCAGGTGCCGGCTTGGTACTATTATCGGGCTTCTGACCGTACAAGACCACATCTCGTCGATCTGCTGCCTCGCCTGGCTGCCAAGAGCACGTGCACCGTCCCGCTGCTTCTGTCATACGGGGCGCGGAGAGGAGCACGAGCTGCACTGCAACACGCTCTCCTCGCACGCGATCTGGAGGTCTTCCGACTGCTGCTGCAGTCCATCCCCGTATCCGAGCTCGATATGCATCTGTGGGCCGAGATAACTCCCGAGTGGCTGCCCACGACGCCATCCAGGCCAATCTCGTCAGCTGAGTTTACCTGTTTCATACTCGCGGTCGTCGAGTACGGGTTGCCACTGCCCAGCGCCCTTCCCGCTGCCGACGGAACGGAGTTTGACTTGTTCGCCAACCGCAAATCGTACGACCTTGCTGGACTCTCGAACACCGAGAAGAGCATTTACCGAGGTGCGCAGTTCGCTGCGTCTTTAGTTGCCTTCAGCGAGGACACTGCGGCCATTCGCATGCTCATTAATCACGGCAACGGCGCACCCTGGCTTTTGTTGCTTTGTGCGTCTGTTCGGCCTGAGTGCCCCGACCAGTTGCTCTGCCAAAACGTTGAGCTGCTTATTTACGCCCTGTCGCGACTGGAACACGATGCGGCTGCGCTTGTGAGCGAGCTGTGTTTGCTCGAAACAGCTTGCGAGTTACGTTCGGCCAGTTGTGTTCTCCTTTTGCGGCTACTTGGCATTCCAGTCAACTATAGCCGAGAAGAGTTACTTGCCCGGTTTCGCGCTGCGGTCGCGCGCCAGCGCCGTCGTGACATGACAGTGACGGAAATGCTGATGGAGCCTTGGGCGCAAGTCTGGATTGCCATGCGTGAGTGCTGATGAGTGAGCATGCCGCTGGTTGACATGGCTGTGGTGGAGGCTGTTTGCTTGCTGACAAACGAGGGCTGCATTGCTGTGTTTTTTTTGTGTTTTTTTTTGCAGTCACTCCCCCCAAGATGTCGCTGTTGAATAGTGCTCGTCGGGCGCTCTTCCGCGCGCCGCAGCCGTTGCGCCGGTTTCTGTATGATGACGCCCAGCATACGTTCGGCGATTTGTACGAGCCGATTCCGCCGTCGTCGGAACTACTCGCCGAAGCACGCGTGGACGTATGAGGTGCGCCTTTTGGTGCTCTCTGGAGCTGTGAATGTGAAGATTGGCTCTTTTGTTTGGTTCAAAAAGTGGCTCTTTTGTTTGGTTCAAAAAGGTAAACATGAGGCGAGCCACGCGGTCACCCGTTTGGTGGCTGTTGAGCCTGCTGGTCGTCGCCCGTGTTTCCTCTGGGCAACACGACGCATGCGACTTTTGCGCATGCGAGGGATTGCCCGTCACCAGAATCACGAATTGTAGTTCAAGTCTCGAGAACGTCCCCACCTGGATTCCACCCTCGGGGGAAGAAATGTAGATCCATTCGTAATAAATAAAGCTTTGGACGATTTAAAAAAAATTGTCGTCAATCTGTCTCACCTTCTCACCTTCTCACAAAATCATCCAATGCACACAATGGAGCATTCACGCAGGCACTCACTTGATGGGCTTGTAATGATCCGTGACAAACAACAATTGAAAAAAAAAAAACAAGGAGAAAACAACATATCAACAAAACGCACACACACACACCTGTTGTTGCCGACCGGTCAAACCGAATCCCAAAGACGCAAATACTCGTTGCAGCAGAGCTCATTATTGACTGGAACTCGACACCAGCTCACCAAGGTCAGTCAGCGTGCGGTTGAGTTGCGAGGCGTATTCTGCACTGTCAGTGTGCGGACTGTCGCGGAAAGAGGCAACGTTGATGGAGAGCAGTTCGTTGTGAGCGACATAGCCCAGACCGTAGCCGTGCTCGGAAACGGCACCAAAGCCAGCGTGGTCCATAAAGATGCCGTTCAGCGTCGAGGTTGAAAGAATGATGGTCTTGAACTTCAAGAAGCCAGGGTCGACAAACAATCCAGGCAGCTTGGACGGGGATGCGCCCCAGAGCTGGCGAGCGACGCCTTGCATGGCAAACAAGTGGCGATCAAACCCTTGGCCGTCGCGGCATCGAACGGCTTGGTCGGCCTGCGCTTTGGCCGCAATGCGCAAGAGCGCTTGCTTCTCGGCGCTGCTGGTCGAGCTGCGATCGTACTTCTCGATGAACGCCAGAGACTCTGTGTTGAGAGGAATGAGAGCAACAGATAACAACAACAACAATCCAAAAAAAAAACAAAAAAGGCAAGCCAGTGAGCTGCGCCCAAAAATTGCGTTTGGCGTCAGCGCACTCGGTGGACTTTACCGGCACTCAAGGAACGAATAGTCTCGGTGCGACCACTCAAAAAGTGCTTGGTGTTGCACGATTCGTACGTGCTTGGGGCGAGGTGGTGCTGGCGATAGTAGGCAAGTTGGAAGGCCATTTGGATGAAGGCGTCCGGAGAGATACCCGCCCGCTTGGGCACGTTCTTGCCAAAGCGATCAAAGCGGAGCGCAAAATTGTCGTTGTTGGCAGTGAAGCGCGCATAGTCTGCATGAGCCGCATGAATGGTGGAAGCGAGGCGGTCGCTCAGCACCCAGTCCAGCTTGGCCACGTTCGTGCGACCACTCATATAGACGTCGTCGTCGACTTTGAGCGACGAAAATCCAGAAGGAATTTGCTGAGTGTCGCACCAAATCTCGTGGCAGAAGCGAAGCACAGTATGGCCATCGCCCCAGGCATGCTCAAAGTTGCAGCCCGCCGCACCATCCTCGAACGTGATCAAGGTCAGTGATTTATCAAACCTGCAAGAAGAGTGTAGTAGGGTAACGGGGAGTTGGGTGGGGGGAGGGGCGACGAGGGGTGAGCGGCAGGAGTTGACAATCGAAAAACAGTAAAAAAAAAAAAAACCACAAAAAAAAAAACCTAAAGCTTCCTTTACCATCGGTTGCTGCCAGTTCCGTGCAACAGCTGCTTGCTCTTTTCGTTCAAAGAGACATTCGCGTAATCATCAAGCGAGACCACGAAGAGAGCCGAGTCAATCTTGGCAAGCGTAGCCTACAAAAAGCACCGCCAAATGGTTTTGTCAGACACGACGCCCTCTAGCTCAGCATTTTGATCAAAGCGCGCCTCTACAAACCTTGTTCGTCGGATGGTGCGCCTCCAGCTGGGCCCGAGCAGAAGCCCAATCATTACGTTGCATGGCTGTCAGGGCGCCAACATCTCGCTCGGCTCCGTTGTGCGGCAAGCTGGTTGCCGCGAGCTTTTTGCTATCGGCAATCACCAAGGTCAGTTGCGCCTGGAGTGCAGACTCGGAGATGATTTTGTGGTCGTTCGACATGACGTCGATCGAGTAAATCTAGCACGAACACGAGCAAGCGAAAAAAAAAAAAAAACAAAAAAAAAAAAAAACAGCAAACACTGTTGTCAGTCAAAAAGCATTTTCTCGACGCGGTTGCCCGTGGACAATGTCCTTACCGAGCCGCGGGTCATCACCACAATGTGGCGTGATGTGGGGTAGGTGGCGAGAGTGTCCCGATCTTTGACAGGAATTCGAGTCGTGTTGAACAGTTTGTCGTACTGGGACATGTCGTACGGCCTGAAACAGAGGAAACAGAAGAGCTAGTCAGCCTTCAACATAACGACAGCCAGTGCACAACCCCACCAACAACAACGCCTGCTGCTACGTACGTGTCGCCATTCATGTCGGGCTCGAGGCCAGCAGTGCGCATTTTGCGGATGAACCGCAGCGTTGCCATCGTGAGGCTTGTGGCGCGAGCCAGTCCGTTGGTTCGCGCGCCCAAGCGCAGATCGGGCTTGAACAAGAAGAACGGGTTGCTGTTGATTGGCAGCGGCCAGCGACCTTCGAGGTACATGTCGTCCCAGAATGACTCGACAAAGCTGCGATTGTCAAAGGTCAGCAAACGGATGGTTACCACCATAGGTCCAATCCCGCTCTTCCCAATTCCTCAACCTGCCCGTGATTTCAATGCCTCGCTCTCCCAGGCCTTCCCCCATCGCCCGCCCCCTTCATCGCGCTTACCTGTGCGGATAGCCCGAGTGATTGGCAGCAATTTGAGCAACCTTGGCATGGAGCTCGGGTCCGGCAGTCTCACGGAACTCGTTCACGGCCTGCATGGTGATGGCGAGCTCGTCCTTGGGCAGCAGCGGCGAGGCAGACGCGACGAATCGGCCGAGCGTCGTGTCGAGGTCTGGCAGCGGGAGTCGCGGCGGCTGTTTGGCGCAGGCCAGCTGCCTCGCCATCGTCAGGCTCGGGCTCTTGCTGTTCCCAGCCGCATCAGCAGTAGCAGCAGTAGTAGTAGTGGCATTGGTCGCAGCAGCAGAAGCAGCAGAAGCAGCGTTGGTCGCCATGGTCGCACTGGCGGCGGTTGAGCGACCAGCGGCGGAATCAGTCAGCACGGCGGCGGTTCCGATCATGAGCCGTCGGAGGTGAAGCTGACGATCCTGACGAAGCACGCATGCAAGCGACGCACGGCAGACACCTCGGTAAGACAGCATTTGTTTTTGCTTGATTGTTGGTGGGGTGGGTGGGTTTTTGGTGGATGACTTTGAGTTTGTAGAGTGAGGTGGAGGCTGGAGCACTCAGTGAAAAGAAGAATGGATTCAATGGAAATTTGGAACAGATTACAGCAAATCACAGCAGATTAGATGGATGGAAGAAGAATCAAGTTCATTTCAAGCTCATACGGACGAAAAACAAACACACAAAAAAACCGCAGTAAAATCGCAGAATCAACAGGAGAGGAAAGAAAGGAGGGAATGGAGAAAATCAAAATCAAAAATCGCCAGATTGAGGATGGCAATGCAAGACATGCCAAGGTGCATTTTTTTAGGCATTCTCCTCGCTGGTTCGCTGCTGACCGCTCAGCTCGCAATCTTGAATCCAATGGCCAGCCGTGTTGCAGAGGCGGCACACATAGTTGGCAGGAACGGGACCTCCAGTGCCTCGGGATGGACCGCGCGACCCGCCCTGGTTGTTGCGCCTTCGGTCATCCGAGAAAGAGTCGTCTGTCACAAAAACAACAAGAGAGAACGAATGAGCCGAGCTGTGATTAGCAACCTGAATTCCTGCTCTTCCTCCAAATTCACAAAAAAAAAAAAAAAAAAAAAAACCTCTTACTGCCTCGCTTGAACTTGTGGCAATTCTCGAGCCAGTGCCCAGGCGTCTGGCACAGGCGGCAAGTGTAGCTGGCCGGCGGCGGGTTTCGCTGGTCGTTGTGATGCTGTTGTTGGTACGAGTTGCCGCGGTTGTTGCCAAAGCTGCCAAATCCTGGCTGTTGGAAGGAACGGTTGTTGTTGTTGTTGTTGTGGTTGTTTTGGCGAGAAAAGCTGTTGGAGGAACCCGCGCCATCACCCGAGGCGCGCCAGTCGGTGGACTGGCTCGGTCGGCCAAAGCCGCCGCCGCCGCTCTGACGGTCGCCACCAGCGCCGCCGCTGTTGGTGCTCAGATGGCAGTCCTGGATGTAATGGCCGCCGACGTTGCACAGACGGCAACGATACGACTCTGGCGGCACGGATCGGTTGTTGCCAGAGTTGCCCCAAGAGCTGTTGCTGTTGCTGTTGCTGTTGCGGTCGCCGTAGTGCTGCGATCGCGAGGCCGGAGGCTTGTACATTTCGCAGTTCTCCATCCAGTGGCCGGGGATTTTGCACAGGTTGCACGTGTAGCTGTCCGGCGGGACGGACGAGCGCTCTGACTGGTTGCGACGCGGGCCGTCGTCCGAGCGTTGGCGCGAGCTGTAGTTGCTGGAGGCCGCCGACGAGCCGGTGGTCGACGGCGACGACGACGAGCCCGCGCCATCCGTCGTGGTAGCGGTTTGGTCGAGCCACTCGTCGCCGCCTTCCTCAGCAGAGGCCGGGTGCGACGCGGAGGACGACGAGGTCGAGATGACCGTCTTGAGGCCGCCAGCGCTCATCCATCCGCTCGTCGTGGACGAGGCGCCCGACGCGGTGCTGCTCTGGTCTGCGCTCGATGATCCCGTGGCAGACGAGCTGGACGTCGCGCCCACGGACGGAGACGAGCTGCCGCTGCCACCAGCAACAGCAGCGAATGAGGACGGCATGCGGTTGGACGAGCCCGACGAGCCCGACGACGCGCCGGCATCACTAAGATTGAGAAGCCGCATTGATGAGAAAAGCAAAAGGAGCGAGATCAGGTCAGGGTCAAGTCAGGTCAGGTCAGGTCAGGTCAGGGGTTGGACGTGCGAAGTGAATGGAACAAACAACAAACGAAACAAAAGCGGTGAGCTGTCGATTGAGCAGAGAATCGAGAAAGAGAGAGAGAGAGAGAGAGAGAGAGAGAGAGACACGAAGCGATAAAGTTCTAGAAAGTGGCCAAAACCCCACAGGGAATGGCGGGAAATGGCGGGAAATGGCGGGAAGCCGAACTGGAATGGCGGGAAAAGCAATGAGAACAAAAAAAAAAAATAATAATAATAATAATAATAAAAAAGAAGCGTTTCGATGCATGTGAAGCAACCTCTCTCTCTTCCTCCTATTGGGGGAATCAGCCAACTGTAGTGTGTGCGTAACAAGTGCAGGAGTGCGCTGGTTGAACGGTGCGTCGATAAGCCCCCTCTCCTGCCTATGGCATACAGCAATGAAGAGGCAACAGAGAGAGATCGCGCTTTTTATTTTGTAATGGTTTTCTCGCTTTGTTTGCAGTCGATCGCGTTTCGAGGCAACCCTCCCAACGAACGAAGGGCACAAGAACAAGCGCATGGAGTCGCAAAATGAAGCGCGTGGGGGGGGGGCAGAGAGCGCGGAAAGCCCCCTATGCTGAATCGTGGGTGCAAGGAATCTACCTGCGAGTCGCACTGAGGTCTTTGAGCGCAACGAGCTTTGGCCTGGTCGACATTCAAACGAATAAGAAGGAGAAGAATAGATCGACAATGAAAGAGTGGGTGGGACAAGGTGGATCATCACAAAGTGGATCAGCAAAGCCGAGCACGATCGAGCAATGCATTGGCAGCGAAATCGGATTCTCGTCTCTACATGTATTGTTACTAATATATTACCATTCATTCCAAGCCCTCCAGTCTTTGTTTTATTCTTGTTTTGAGTTTGCTAGTATGATGGACGTCGAGCCATCATCATCATCGTCGTCCTCAGCGATGCAGTCGTCGTCCGACTACAGCAGTGCCGCGATCGCAGGCGCAGCAGAGCTCTTCATTGCTGCCAACGGCCGCCACATTGTGTGCCCAGGCGACACCATCACGACCGAAACCAGCTTCATGCGGTACGACATTGGGGAAGGGAAAAAAAAAAAAAAAAGCCATGTGCTCGACCGAATGGAGCCTCACTCACTCACTCACGCCCTCTCACTCACTCACTCGCTTCATTTGCATTTGCTGGAACAAAACAACACATAGTGGCCACGGAACGTACTTCCAGCAGCAGAGCAAGGACGAGAACGAGCAGCCTGCACAGCTCACTGCGGCGTACGCGGGCATTGTCGAGCGTGTCAACAAGCTGCTCGTCGTCCGGCCATTGCGCACGCGGTACAGCGGCGAGGTCGGCGATGTTGTTGTCGGCAGGGTCACTGGGCTTGGTGGCAAGCGGTGGAAGGTGAGAAAACGCCAATAAAAAACCAACATGTCTGAGATTGTTCGAGATCTCTCAACATTGAGCTCACCCATTGTCATTTTTGTGACTACTTGATGTTGCAGTTGGACATTAATGCGCGCCTCGATGGCATCTTGCTCCTGTCGTCGGTCAACTTGCCAGGAGGTGTTTTGGTAATGCTGCTGCTATTGGCTTTCTTTTGCAACCATGTCATGTCTTCGATGCATCATTTGATCTCATCGATTGTTCTTCTGTTTTGTGTCTTCCCCTTGATCAGAGGAGACGATCTGCCGAGGACGAGTTGATGATGCGAGACCACCTCACTGAGGGCGACGTCATTTCCGCTGAAGTGCAGTCTCTCTTTAGCGATGGCACCCTCTCCCTTCACACGCGCTCGCTCAAGTACGGCAAGCTTCACTACGGATCGTTCATGAGCGTTCCATCAGCGCTTATCAAACGGTAAGTCCTTTTCTCTGCTTTGTTTTTTCATTTCCTCTTTGTGCCTTTTCCTCTCTCCATGGGTCGACCCCCCACATACACCCACATCCATTCTACATTCTGGCGACGATGAAAAATTTTCTTGAAAAGCGAGCATGATACAAAAGTCGTACAATTAGGACATTGTTTCGGCTTCATGTGCTGAGCATTTGTATTCATACCCTGAGCCACTTCTTTCTCGTTTTCTCCCCCTTGATTCTGTTTGCTTTTTTTTTTCATTTCTCGCGTTTGACACTCTTCAATCTCATTTCTGGTCTTGTGCCCTCTCCCATTTGATAGGTGCAAAAACCACTTTCACGATCTGCCTTGCGGTGTGACCATGATTCTTGGCTTGAACGGATACATCTGGCTGTCCGAGACGCGGGCGACTGCGCAAATGCAACTGAATCCGAATGACGAGATTGAAGAGACCTCCTTCCAGGTAGGAATTTCGCTTTGCTGTTGCCATTTGAATGAATGGGGTTGACTGGCGATGTGTTTTTCGCTGCTCATTCTCTCATTGCGTTCCCCCCCCCCTTTTTTTCCCTTCCGATTCTCTTTGTAGATTACCTCCATTAACGCCCGAAGCAATATTGCGCGCATTCGCAACTGCATCAATGCTTTGGCATCGCGACACATGCCCATTTACGACTCGACTGTCGTCTATGCTTACGACGCCTCGCTCGAGTTTGACGTCAAGGCCCTTTTGCAGCCCGAAGCCATTGATAAAATTACAGCGCATGCGCGGGCACTCGCTGATCCCGGCGCCATGTGAACAGTAGCGTTCGCTTTGGTTTTTATAAGTTATTGTTAACGCTCCTTTTTCTTCTATTTTTGCTGTGGTTGGAGAACTCTCCTCTACATTACCTTGTTAATCATCCTGTTAATACAACTCATAGTGCTTTCATTTCTACTTTTTTGTGCTTCTTCTGACTTTTTCAGAGTGCATTTGAGCGTTGAAAATTCTTTCGAATGCAAGCCACTTTCACCAACCTTGCACGATGAAGTGAAGCTGAATCCCTCAAACAGCAAACAGGGTTTCATTTCATATCATATTCAGTCCACTTTGTTTTCTTTCTTTGCAGCACAATGTTGCTCCGGCACCTTTTACTTCTGAGTAAGTTTTCGTTGTTCTACCTTCGTCCCCCTGCCTAATCCCAACACCCTGTGAATTCTCACTTTGTTGCATGATGATTGATGATGGATGGATCTTGATGTTTACTTCCTGGCAGGCCTCGTTGCAATGGCCTGCTCAGCAGCGACGCCGCTCACGTTGGTCGAGCTCACTGTTGACGCCGTGCATGGCTCTGACACGGAAGGCACCGGCCAACCCGACGCCCCGTTCCAGACCATCCAGCACGCCGTGTCTGTTGCCATCAGCACCACTAGTTTGGCCGATGCTGTCTCTTCTGGCGCAGGGACTGGCGCTGGCGGTGTCAGCGTCGGCGTCGTGGTCACTGTAAATCCGGGCAGCTACTCGGGATTGCCCGTCGCGCTCGCGTGTCAGGCACCGTCCGCCATCGGATCGCTGGAAATCGCTGGCAGGTAATAACCACGGTGCACTAAGAACTCACTTGCTCCCGCCCACCAATCGCCCTCTCGTCGCCTCAAAGTCGGTTTGCATGGCTCTTCACACCTTCACATGCTGCCCGTGCCGCCACGACCCCTGTTCACATCCCCTGCGGTACCCCACCCATTGCAAACAAAAAGAAATCAACGAAGCGCCATGTACACCGATCCTGTTTTGGTTTGTCGTCTCATCTGCGATTCCTTCTGTTTGTGCTTTGAAACAGTGGAGACGCCACCGTGCTCAATCTCGCGTTTGCCGTGACAAGCTGCAATCTGACCATTCGCAACACCCTGGTGACCCTGCCGAGCGTGTGGAATGTCGTGTACGGTAGTGCGACAATTCAGAACGTCAGAGTCGAGTCCACGGCGTTCGCTTGTGCTGTTCGCGAGGCCTCGTTGCAAGTCGACTCGTGCTTCTTCCACAACGTTTCAGGCATCTCGCTGCCCAATGCACCAGCTGTTGCTCCAGTCGTCTCTGCCATTGCGTCAGAGAACACGGCTGCTGTGCTTCAATTTTCCAACGTGACATTCTCTGATTCGTCGTCTGCAATTCCGTCGGCCAGCTTGCCTCGGCTGGTTTGGTCGTCGGGCATGCAGGATGTGCTTGTTAATGCGAGCACATTCCGGCGCCTCGAGGCATCTGCTTCTGCCCTGCTGCACTTTGACTCCATTTCCGGCAGTCTTTCCGTGACAAACTGTGTCTTTTCCGACGTCCAGGCCTCGCCGTCACCTGCTGTGCCAGATACCTCCATTGTTCGCATTTCTTCCAGCAACCAAGTTGCATTCAGCACCACGCAGTTCACACGGTGCTCGACCACAAACTTGGCCGCTATTGAACTTTCAAATCAGTTCAACGCGACAATCACGTCCTGTCAGTTTGCTGACAACCTGGTCGCAACCTCGAATCTGAACTCTGGCACCATCATCTCGGCTGTTGACGCTGCCAGCTCTGCCAGCCTGACTGTCAGAAGCTCGACCGTCACGTGCAACGCCCTTCTTCAGCCCGACACCTCGCGGCGCTTTTACGCGCCCGTCGGCGGTCTGTCAAACGGGCAACTCCACTCTGCAAACGTGATTATCGATCGATCGTGCCCTTCCTCCTCGGCAAACTCGGCACCCTGCCCAGCCGGGTTTTCCGTGACCCACTCCCTGCAGTGCATGCCGTGCGCGGCTGGGTCCATTCCTAGCGCCGATCAGCTGTCATGCACGTCCTGTCCAGCCGGCACTTTTGCTGGATCGGATGGCAGCACCGTTTGCGAGCCCTGCCCTGTTGACACGTATGCCGGAGGCCCAGGGTGAGCCAAATTGTGTGTTTTGTGGCTGAAGCGATAGCGTCGTTCGTTGATCTTACAGCTATTGGTATGATTTCCCGTGCAGACAATCCATGTGCTATACGTGCAGCAACACACTTTTGACATCGTCGGAAGGTGCTTCGTTATGCACGACTCGTAAGCGATCAAATGGCTTGGTGTTTTTCCTTTTAATTTGGGTAAAACCCGTCCACTCATTGCCTGCCGTTTTTGGGTTTGTTCGGGTCATCAAACAGCTACGACACTCTGCATTGCTTTGATTTCAATTGCATCCGTGCTGATTGCAACCTCTGCCGTGGGTCTGACCCATGCACGGCTGACTGCCAACCGAACGGCGCTGCAATCTCGCATTCAACGCGCCAAGTTGTCCCCGGCCCAGCGTCGAAAGCAAGGGCGTCCGAATTATGGAGCGATGAGCATCGACGAGTGGCAGCGTCAATGATGCTAGACCGTGGTCGTAGCATTCAATTGTTTGAAATACATGTATCAACAAGAATTTTCTGACTGTCTTGGTGCGATCAATTCACAAATGCATAACAACAATCGACCAACATTAAACAAGGAGAAAACAAACTCGAACCAAACATCACTGGGAACCAAACATCACTGGGATCAACAAATTTCTTTTCGGCATGGATTGGATTGGCTCAAGCTCCTGCCCGCTTACAGAGCATCAAGCTCTTTGCGAGCGTCAACCAACGTTTCTTCGTCATCCATGGAAACCTTGAATCCATCCGACAGCGCCAATTCAAAGTAGGTGCGCGCGTCAGCCGGCTTGCCGCTTTGCTTGTAGCACCGTCCGATGAACAGCGGGTTGGCACGCCAGAAGAACGGCGTGGCAGCCTCGGCCTGCAGGAAGAGCTCGAGCGCCTCCTCCACCGTGGCCTCTGGCGGGCGACCAAACAGAGCCGCGGCAGCCTTGCGCTCGTACCACTTCAATCGGGACACCTCAAAGCACCACCGGCCCAACAAGTGGTACGATGATCCATCCCGGGGATCGAGCTCAATTGCACGGCGGACGTGGTCACGGAAGGTGAATGCGGTGGCAATCCTCTCTTTGGCTCCTCCAAACTCGGCGACTGCAGTGACGAGAATGGCAAACCTGTGGGCGTTTTTGGGTGAGTGATTGTTCAACAGCAACACCCCCTAACCCCCCCCCCAACCGCTGATTTTGACAAAACACAAGCAACCCTCTTTCCCTCACTCACTCACCACTTGTGCATCATGGCAGACGTGTCAAACAAGACAAGACCCTCATTCGCAAGCTGAAAGTCCCGGCCTCGACGAGGCGCTTGCGCTCATCCGAGCCCGCAGCGTGGGACGTGCTCAGATCAAAGTACGCACGAGCATATCGCCAATAGACCTCTTGGCCGCGGTTGACGCTGGTCGGGCTGGCGTCGGCGTCGAACGCGGTCTTGAGCATGTTGAAGACGGACTGGAACTCCTTGGACTCGCGCGCATGGTCGACCTTGACGTAGAACGTGGCGTCAATCTCTTCCCCGCTGCTTCCAACGACTTTCTGAGCACGAAGCGCGCCATTGACGGCTGCAGCGAACGCGCGCGGGTCTGACGCAGCGGCCGCAGCGACTTCCATTGCCTCGACATCGTCGTCGTTCTCGCCGGCCGCCGGCGCCGCACCCGTTGCGAGGTGTCGCGCCTGGGCAACCACGCTCGCTGCAGACGAGTTGGAGCGGGATCGGGCGTCGTAGAACTCGTCCTCGGCGGGCTCCTCGTCCCAGGCCGCGTCCTCGAGCGGCGTGCGGAACCCGTCCGTGCCCAGCTGCGTCGACGACGACGACGACAAGGAGGCAGACTCGAACGATCCTCCCGCGTGCGACTGGTAGCGGCTGCCGTTGAGCTTGGCCGCCTGCCGGTCTGCATCGTATGTTTGCGCCAATCCACGAACGGCGTCCGTCAGCGTCTCGATCGCGAGCACGAGCGGCTGGTCGTTGGGGCGTGTTGATGTGGTGGACTTGGACTTGGCACTGTCGAGCATGCGGCGCGTGGTGATGGCTGCGAGCACGCCGCCCGCCGCAGCGCCGAGCGCGAGACCCAGCGCGAACGCAGCCGACCGCGATGCAGGCAGCAATGCGACGACAACGTCAGCACCACCACCACCACCAGCCATGTGTTTGTGATATCAGCAACGAGGGAGAGAAAGAGATTTAGAGATTGAGGGAAGAGGTCGAGGTCGAGGTCGAAGCGAGTTGAGGATGGGATTGAAAAATTGAAAACTGGGGAGATTGAAATGGGATTGAAAAAGTGGAGTGACTTTTGTGGACAAGAAGAATCAGACTCAGACTCGGAGCTTCAATGTTGATGAATTGTAGGATGGGAATTACAGGGGGAGTTGAGTTGAACTGAGATGGAGATTGAATCGAGAAGGATTGAATGGAGAAAGTAGACAGACTTTGTTGGGATGCAAGCCAAGTTCACCCCCGCGCGCTTTTCGCTCGGTCGGTCGCTCCCGGCGATGAGCATGAATATCGAGCACGAATTTGGAAAGTGTAGAGCAGAATAATGGGTTTACTCTGGAATTGAGACTGCTTGAGGCTTTTGGAAATGAGGGACAGTCTTTTGTTGTTTAGCTGTGTTGATTGAAAAATCTTCCAAAATGCAGAATATGAATCAGAGACAGCGCGAGTTGTATGACAAGGTCAAGAATGCGAGTGGACAACTCGAGTAAGAGAAGCGCCTGAGTTGATTTGGAACACAGTGTTGACAGCGCGGGTGTGCTGACGAAAATGGAGGGAAACAGTCAGATTGGGAAGAAGATTGGCGACGCAGAAGCACAGGCCATTGCTGAAGCACTCAAAGTGAACACGACGTTGAAGGAGCTCCTGTAAGTCAGCTCACTTTGGTTGATGCATGCGAATGCGATGCAATCGAGGGAATTTAATGCTCACGGATGGAGAGGTTGAACAGTCTGGGTGACAATAAGATTGGCGATGCTGGAGTGCACGCGATTGCTGAGGCACTCAAAGTGAACACGACGCTGACTTTGCTCTTGTAAGGCATTTCACTTTGACTAATGCATGTGAATGAGTAATCCAACAGAGGACGAAGAGTGCTCACTGATGGAGGGGACGGACAGCCTGGACTACAATCAGATGGGCGATTCTGGAGCACAGGCGATTGCTGAGGCACTCAAAGTGAACACGACGCTGACTTTGCTCATGTAAGATGGATTGCTTCCAAATGCTTTGAGAGTCGTTCGACTCCTGCTCCAATCTGACGATGTAACCGACGATAACAGTTTGTCCCAGAACTTCTTGACCAAGGCTGGAATCGCTGCACTCAGGCAAACGGGCAATACCATTTGTAAATTCGAGTAAGTCTCTCTGCAAGCTTTGCGGTTCCTGTATGAAGCAAACTTTGAACAACCATTCATTTGCTTGGCAAAATTTAAGTCATGACTTCGGCAAGCTTGACAACCAGCGTGTTCCATCGCTTGCCGACTTGGCCCAGATTGCGGCTCGTGCCGCAGCGAATGTAGCAGAGATTCAGCAACTGCGCGCCAAGTTGGCCGCCAAAGATCAAGCGCTCGCTGCCCAAGATCAGGAGCTTGCTACCAAGGAACTTGAACTGCAGTCAGCTCTTGATCGCAACAACAGACCAGGAGCTCGCTGCCAAAGTGCAGGACCTGCAACAACTTCGCTCAAATCTCGTTGCCAAGGATCAGGAGCTTGCAACCAAGGATCGTGAACTGAAGTCAGCTCTTGATCGGATCGAAGTACTTGAGCGCAACCAAGCCAGCTGTGGATCTTTTTCGAACTTTGACGGACCCATCCCACAAGTGCCTCTCGCCACTCTCGCCTCCGCCACGAACAACTTTGCTGATGACTCTCTGGTCGGCGAAGGAGCATTTGGTCGTGTGTACGGCGCCAGTCTGCCTGGACCGACTGTTCCGGTCGCCATTAAGAAGCTGTCCGCCGAATCGATCCAAGGCTATGTCTCATTTCAAGCTGAAGTGAACTCTTTGTCTAAATTCCGTCACCCCAACATCATTGCCATGCTGTCGTTTGCCGAGGCTCAGAGTGAATATTGCTTGGTTTACGGGTTCATGCCAAACGGTTCTGTTCGCGATCGCTTGAATCTGAAGAACAACACTCCCGCGTTAACCTGGTCTCAGCGCCATCGAATTGCGGCCGATGTCGCCCGCGGCATGCACTACGTCCAAACCGCATTCCCTGATCATGTTCTGTTCCATCTCGACCTCAAGACGGACAATGTTCTTTTGGACGCGCATTTCAACGCAAAAGTTTCGGACTTTGGTCTTGTTCGTGTTGCCCAGCTCGATGACAAGAGCTACCTTCGCACATCGAACGTCCAAGGTTCCAAGGCTTACATGTGTCCGGTGTTCTTTGGTGAGAGTAAGATTACCATCAAGACGGACGTCTATGCTTTTGGCATGATTCTACTCGAGCTAGTGACCGCCGCCAAGCCTGGGCCCACACTGAAAACTGATATGCGCAAGGCTGTGAAAACCCAGAAATTCGTTGAGATGCTGGACTCGGCCCTCAAACCAAGCGAGGCGGAGCTCCAGAGCATCAGCGAGCTTGTCACGCTTGCGCTGGAGTGTCTTGACGAAGCTGCCGACGATCGCCCATCCTTTGGGCAACTCATTGCTCAATTGGACACTTGATAAGCCGAAGGTGTTGTGCCAGTTGCTTCCTGGCCTGTTCGTTTACCAGTGTTTCTTGCTTTCGCATTGTTGTTGTTGTTGCTGTTGTTGTTGTGCATCACTTCCATGTTTACATTTCCTTGTTGTCTTCGCTGATTGTTGTTCACGAAGGGAAATACAACGTTTCTTGCTCGGTTAGACAAAGTCAATATTCAACAAAGTCGTTCCTTTCGATCTGCAAATGGTGCCTGGTTTCTAAGACTTTTTTTGTTTTGCCGTGTGTTTTTTGTTTGTTTTTTTCCTTATTTGCTCATCCTCAGTCTTTGGTCTTGCCTTTGTTTTTCCCACCACCAAATGCATCGTCCTCAGCGGCAGCAATGGATTGCCAATGGCTGCGCTCCGAAATGGCGCGCAATGATGCGACTCGCTGCTGCTGTTGCAGTGCTCGTTGTCGTCACGACGCTGTTCTGCGCTGGCGTGCGAAGGCGCATCCCGTCGTAGCGCAACCGCCGCTACAGCTGCTGGAGCCAAGAACGAACACCAGCAGCAGCAGCAGCAGCAGGCGTGGATGGAGAGTTTCCCGCCAATGAGCGCGGACTTCCCGGCTGGACCAGCTCTGAGCGACGCTGAGGCTGCATTCCTCCAAGTCCCCGAGGCAGAGCGATGCAGGGCGCATCTCAAGTACCTGACATCGCTGCCGCACGTTGCAGGCACCCCCGGCGACTACGAGACGGCAGAGTACGTGCTCAACCAGTTCAAGTCGTTCGGATTGGACGCGGTCATCCAGAACGAGACCGTGCTGCTCACCGCGCCCGTCGAAGCTGCATCGGCAAAGCTGTACAGTGCGGATGGCACCACGCTCGTGTATGCTGCGGCGCTGAGCGAAGATCTGCTCGACCCGACCGCGGACACGCCCTACCGCAACCACTCCTTCCTGGGTTACTCGCCCACCGGGTCTGCAGCGGGTCCGCTCGTCTATGTCAACTATGGATCCACGGAGGACTTTGAGTATCTTGTTGCTCAGGGAGTCAACCTCACTGGCGCCATCGCGATCGCCCGCTACGGATCCATCTTCCGCGGCCTCAAGGCGCTCAACGCACAGACGCACGGCATGGCGGGTCTGATTATCTACTCGGATCCGAGTGACGACGGCTATGCCCAGGGCCAGCTGTATCCCAATGGCCCCTGGCGCCCAGAGAGCGGCATCCAGCGCGGATCAGTCGTCTTCAACTCGCTCTGCGGAGGCGATCCCGGTCGCGGCGTGGACAAGTGCGGCATCCCCCTCGAAGACCTCATCCCTTCCATTCCCGTTCTGCCCATGGGCTATGGCGATGCTGTGCAGTTCCTCTCGCACATTGTCGGGGCTCCTGCTCCTGCTTCCTGGCAAGGCGCGCTGCCCTTCCAGTACAACATTGGTCCCGGCGCCTTTGCCCGCATCGCTACCAACAACACCCAATATACTACCGACATTTGGAATGTTGTTGCGTACATTAACGGCACCGACCCTGTGGAAGGCGAGGACTATGTGATTCTCGGCAACCATCGCGACGCCTGGGTCTACGGCGCCGTCGACCCCAACTCTGGCACTGCTGCGCTGCTTGGTCCGTGGTTGGTTTGGTTGGTTCGAGTCGAGTCGACGAGAGAGAGACACGCACATCTGATTGATCGCGTTTTTGAACATTGATTGTTTTGAACAGAAATCGCTCGTGCCTACGGCGTACTGCTGCAAGGCGGTTGGCAACCCAAGCGTGGTTTGGTTTTGACATCGTGGGATGGCGAAGAGTATGGATTGCTCGGAAGGTAAGCACGATATCAAAGGCTCAGCGGATTTTGTTTGCGATTTCCCATATTCTTCCATTCTGGCCTCATCCTTCTGTGTTTCGCTGACTCTTGGTCTCATCTTTCTGCTCCTCTTCTCTTCTTTATAGCACTGCTTTCGGTGAACGATTCGCAGACGACCTCATCCTGCATGCCGTGGCATACCTGAACATTGACACGGCCGTCATGGGTCCGCAGCTCTGGGTCACGCTCGTGCCGAGCCTGCTGACGCACTTCCGTCAAACAGCGGCACTCGTCAAGGACCCCGTCACCGGCAACCCTCTCAGCGTTGAATGGGACGGCTCGTACGACATCATGGGTTCTGGCAGCGACTACACGGTGTTTTTGGACGCGCTGGGTGTGGCCTCGGGCGACTTGCTCTTTGGCGGCGCGTACGGTGTCTATCACTCTGTTTTCGATTCATTCAACTGGATGGAAACGCAAGGTGACCCAACGTTCCAGTACCACGAAGCCTGCGCCCAAATCTTTGGCCTGGTTGGGCTGCGCCTCGCTGACGCTCGAATTCTTCCATTCAACTACACCGAGTACGCGTATGCCATCTCGACCTTTTACCTTCCCCAAGTGCAGCAACTGGCGACCGATGCCAAGCTGCCCGTGGATTTCACTGCGCTGACCAACGCTGCGCAGCAGTTCGCGAGTGGCGCCTCCAAGATCATGTCCCGGGTCGAGCAAGCCTACAACAATCCCAATTACAACGTTGTGGATTTGAACTCGCGTTTGTTCCTTGCAGAGCGGTATGGTCGATTTGCATTGTGTATTTATGGGTTTTTTTTTTTCGAGTTTGGTCAAGATACAGCGAATGTACTCACCGCTCTGCTTTTCCCCCACGTCGATGCTGCTCCTGTTGCTTCTGTCTGTAACAGCCAATTCACCGACCCGAATGGCATCATCAACCGCAAGTGGTTCAAGCACACCGTATTTGCGCCCGACCGTGAGAATGGGTACGATGCCAGCAGCTTCCCCGGGATTGTCGATATGATTCGCACTGGCAACGCGACACTTGCGCAACAAGCAATCACCTCAGCTGCGACTGCTCTTTCGAATGTGGGCACGTTCTTGAGCTATTGACCGATGTGAGCGGAAAGTTGATTTGATTTTGGACAAGTTGGTTTCATCGCCGATCTCGAGTTTGAAATACACCCGCATTCATCAAAGTACCTGTAGAATGTTGTCGGTTTTCTGGATTTGGGATGTTAGCGACCAGTAATGCGAATCAACACAGAAGAGAGCAGAAACTTTGGAATCAAAGTTGCGGAACCGGAGCGCGGCGCGGCTTCGTGCAAAAAACCACTTCGATATGCTCATCCCAACCCATTCAATGTATGACCATTTTCATTTCCCTTCAAACTGAATCAAATCTGAGCAGCTCAGCTCAGTCCATTTCTGCCAAAAATGTCAACGCATCCTCGCGACGAATCCGACGCCGCCGCCGCCGCTCCGGCCGCCAAGCGCTCCCGCCTGGAGAGTGTCGATGAGTTCTATGAGACTGCCGTGGCCGTGGCCCGTGAGGCTGGCGCAACCATCCGCGCCGCGTTTGACAAGAACAAGTCGGTCATGCTCAAATCCGCGTCGACCGATCTCGTCACGGAGACCGATCAGAAGGTCGAAGCGTTCATCATCAACTCGTTCAAGGACAAGTTCCCGAGCCACAAGTGAGCGAACGCAGGACGACAGTTGATGGGGATTTGGGGATTCTAATGCACTTGCCATACGACGTGTCAAACTGTGGAACGGTTCCACATCCTAATCCACTCACAGATATGCAACCGCAACAACATATGAAACTCAATGTCGTCAATACTGACTCATTTGCTTGATTGTTGGAAACGCAGGTTTATTGGCGAAGAATCGGTCGCTGCGGGTATTCAGTGCGAACTGACGGACGATCCGACGTGGATTATCGATCCGCTCGATGGAACGACCAACTTTGTGCATCGGTACGCAACAATATGCGGAAATGGGATTGGGGCGGAAGCGGGGGGGGGGAGTTGCGGAGTGGTTTTGTTCTCAAAATCTCGCCTCAATTATTTAGCTTCCCGTTCGTCGCCGTGTCCATCGCACTGGTCATCGACAAGGCGCCAGTCATCGGAATTGTCTACAACTGCATCCTGGACGAGGTATTGCACTTGGTGGCTTTTGTTGCCGCGCGTTGTCCCAATCAAGTCTGACTTGTTCTCATCGTCCAGATGTACACGGCAGTTCGTGGACGTGGTGCGTTCAAGAATGGAGTGCAAATCACCACTTCGCAACAGACTGCAGTCAACACTGCATTGATTGGCACCGAGTTTGGCAGCAACCGCAAGGACGAGGTTCTCGCCACCATTCTCGAAAACATGCGCTCGCTTGCTGGCGAGCCCAACGCCGCTCACTCGATTCGCTGTCTGGGCTCGGCTGCGCTCAACCTGTGCGCTGTTGCGTCGGGTGCAATGGACGCCTACTTTGAGTTTGGCATTCACGTTTGGGACATTGCTGCCGGCATTCTCATTCTCCAAGAGGCCAACGGCGTTGTTCGCAACCCGGACGGCACCGAATTGGACATTATGGCTCGTCGAATTCTGGGCGCGTGCACGCCGCAGCTTGCCGACGAGATTACCTCGCGGATTAAAAACATTGTGACCCCGCGCGATTAAGGTGTCGAACTGTTTTTGTCAAAAGAATGAACCACTTTTCCTTGCAGTTTCAAGAGATTCATTGGGTTTTTCAAGTCACTGAATTGATCGACAATGCGGATACGTAGAATAGACCCAAAAAGTCAGACTAGCGATGCATGGGCGAGTTTTGAGTCGACTTGCGATCCAGGCGCTCCCAGAAGTGAGCTGTTCAAGCAAAAGACAACAATGAGTTGAACAAACCAGAATTCTTCCAATAGTAACAACAACATCCTCAAGCACTCACCTTTTGACGGAGTTGCATCGCCACTAGCAGAAAAAACAAACGCAGGCAAAGTAAATTGAAAAGGTGAGACTGCACGCTCGCCACCACAAGCACACTCAAAAGCAAACAAAAAAACAAAAACACCTACCCGGGCTTGCGACTGCCACCTGAGGCTTGCCGCAGCAATCCGCCGCCGCGAATGGGCTTGGCCACACGCGGACCCTCTGCCATTCGCGCGACAATGGACGCTGGTGATCGCTCAGAAGTGGCAGAAAAGCCACCAGCCGTCGCAACGGCCGCAGAAGAGCTCGTGGACGACGTTGCAGGTAGGGTGCCTTGCTGCAAGAGGGCGAGCTGGTCACGCAGCCGAAGATTCTCGTTTTCAGTCTTGCGCAAGCTCTCCTCCTTGTCATTCAGCAACCCTTGCAGCAGCATGACACGCTCTGTGCGAGTGGTCAGCAGCTTTTTATTCATGGTGCTCTCATTTGCGAGTTGTTCGTTTTGATGAATGAGCTGGTCGACAGGGGGAAAAACAAACGGAATCGTAAGATGCTTGCGAGCCCCAAACCAAAACAATTTCCACATCAAACGAGCCACTCACCTTGGACTGCACAGATTGAACTTCTTTGAGCGTGTTCTGCAGCTGCCGGATCTTGGCCTCACGGTCGATAACGCGGCGATTTTGCTCCTTTTTGCCGGCCAATTGAACAACCACCTCAAAGTTCTCGTGTGCAGAGTCGAGCGCCATTTCCAGTTCGACCACCTAAAACAGCGGTAGCAGCATTGCAGGGGATGAGAAAAAGGAGAAAGGTTGCCGAAACGAGCTTTGAGAAACCCCCCAGCACAAACCTTCTTGCATTGGCCAGCAATATCAATGAGCAGACGTTTGTTCTCCGCTGTGAGAGAGACGGAGGCGTTGCGAAGCGTTTCGAATTCCCGCTGTTGAGTGCTCTGTCGGGGCCCAAACAACGCAGATGCAGTTCAGAACAAGTGACAATGCTTGTCGCCTTTTTGTGTTTTTCTTCAAATTGAACACGTACCATCAACGTCTTGAGCGACTCGAGCTCGGCCTCCAGTGCTGACTGTGTGTGACTACCCTGAGACGACAACTTTTCAATGGTCTCGGCTGCACTCGCCCGCTCGCGCTCCAGAGTCGTAGTCAGCGACGAAATTTGCGCCTTTTGATCGCGATTCAGCTCGGTCAAATGGTCGACATCAGCCTGTTTGCGATCCAACGAAGCGCGCATTTCTCGTGTTTGTGTTTCGAAGAGCTCCATGTGAGCTCCCAGTTGCTGATTCAAGGACTCCTACACACACACACCAAAAAAAAAACAAAGAAAAAAACTTGAGATCGAATCCTACAAGAACAAAGTGGCTCCTCAGAGGTCCCAGGACATACTCTGCTTTCTTTAATCTTCTCGGTCTGATCCACGGACTGCAGGAGCTGCTCTTCGTAATGAATCACCTTGTCTGCTCCAGATACATTCGCAGCGAGAGTGAGCTGACAAAAACCACTCAACACATCCACCGATCGCAAAGAAAAACGCCGTACTCAACAAACTCGACACTTCATCTTCGAGCGAGTTGATTTTCTGCTTGTTTGTCTCGCGTTCACGCAGCGCCAGAGCCAGCTGAGCGGATACATCCTCGAGACGCGCCTCGTTGGCCGAAATCTGAGCTTCCCGCTCGACGACCAGATGTTTTGCTTGGTTGAGTTTCTCTTGCAAGGCTTTTTCGAGAATCTGCAACAGAAATTTCGATGTTAGAGACACGAACGGAAAAAGAGAGACTGTTGATAAAGCGAGAATCCGAAAAGCCGACAAACCTGCATTTGGCTTTCGGGCGTGTCATCAAGGGACAGCTGACGCGTAATATAGTCCGCGACGTGAGGATCACGGTCGGTCTGACCTTTGACGCTTGCAATAAGGTGTCCCAACCGATCCGCAGTCTCCTTGGCGATGCGTCGCTCAGTTGCGCCGGATGTGAGATCGGTGGCCTCCTGAAAACATCGAAAAGGAGTCAATACGGGCACCCGCAGTCCAAGCCCAACAAAGCAACTACCATTCACTCACTTGTTGAAGTTGCAGCTGCATGGCCAATTGCTTATTGGCGTCGGTAAGCGACTCGATCGTCAGCTCAAGCTCGTTCGTTTCGATCGCGGCGCGCTCTTGCAATCGCTTGAGAGCAGACACTTCCGTGTACAAGTGATCGCGCTCCTGATGCAATAGAACGGTCAAAAGGGTCAAATAAGACGAGGCATGAAACGAAAATCTCCAAGGAGCAAACGAGAAAATATCGTACAGTCACTAGGCTGGGCACTCGCAGTGCCTCAATCCGAAGCGCCTTAATTTCTTCTTCAAAGGCCAGCAAGAGTTGTTCCTGATCAACGATGCAAGCGCAACTGTGAGCGGGACGACCAAAGCCTCAGGGTATTTTTGTTTCTTTCGTTGTGCTGTACCTTGACTTGAATCTGATCCAAAAGCTCGTTCTCGTGACGAAGAAGCTCATCACGCTCCTGGACAGAGAAGCTGTTGTTGGGTTCTGGACGATCCATGCCGGAGATGGTCGATTCAGCAATGCTCTGCGTGTCGTGGTTGGCAGAGTCGCGAGAAACGTCAAAGCTCGGGCCACGCGATGCCTCTGCAAGGCTGTGAGAAGAGCTCGAGTGTGGCAAAAGCAGTGAAGGAGGCTGGTCGGCGGCAGCCAATGCCGACAACGACTGCGACGATGACGACGTCGAGATGGGAACGTTGCGATCGTCTTGCAGTGTTTCAGTTAACTCGCGCAGTGCAGCTGCCTCAAGTGTGAGAATGGCATAGTTGCTCGGCGCAACATGACCACCTGTACAAGTTGTGAAGGCGCGAAAACGAAAAAAAAAAAACAGTCAGGCAATGAAACGCAGACAAAAAAAACGTCCAAATTCACAGCGTTCATACCCGCCCGCCAGATAGAAAGCTCTTGCTCGGCCAAAACTAGCAACCCCTTGAGCTGAAGCAGCTCTGCCTTGGCCTTTTCCAATCGCTTGCGAAGCTCGTCAGCGCTCAATTCTTGATTGACGATGGCGTTGTTCTTGATGCGTTTGGCTCTGTGGGTTTCGGGATCAGAGTCAAAAGAGATGAGCGCGTGGCGAGCCTCAACCAAAGGAGACACAGAGCGAGAGAGAGAGAGAAACACAGTACCTCGTGCCAAAACGAAGCGAAGAAATCGTCTCAGCCACATTGTAAGACGATGGCGAACAGTTGATAATGATGGTGGTGCGAGCGTTGCCACCCAGCGATTCTTGAAGAACGCGAGTGAGCTTGCTGTCTCGGTACGGGACATGGGTTGCCTTCGGGTCGGTCAGAGCGTTGATCACATTGCCCAAGGCCGAAAGCGACTTGTTAATCTTTTTGGCCTCTTCTAGCGTTTGGCCCGCAGCACCTGTTTTGCCAATCTTCTCAGAGCCGGCAAGATCGACAAGACACAGCTTGCCCGTCCGAACAGTGCGGGTAGTGAGGTTTCGCTGCTGAATAACGACCATGAAAACCGAATGGCTGCGCGAGCTGTCGGCATTCATTTCTGCATCACAAAACAAAACAGAGCAAGTGCGCGAGAGACACCGAGACGTCAAGGTGAGGAGAATGGTGCAAAGCGATGATCCACAAGGTTTGAATTTCGAACGAACGTGTGTGCGAAACGGCACGGCTGCCTTTGCCAGCCTTCATGACGTCAAGAACCTCCTGGGGGTTGGCCACGTAGACCTCAGTGACGCCCTTGACATGCACGCCGTTGATTCTGTCTTCATGAATCTGCAAGTTGTCCTTGGAAGCTGCATACCGCCGTGAGTGAGTGTTCTGGTTGCTTGTGCCGTGGTGCATACACATCCACTAAGATCACCATTTTCTTACTGTCGAGCAGATCACGGATCTTTTCAAGGTAGATTTCAAAGTACGACACCTTCACGGTGAATTCGAGGTGTTCTGGAGCGGATTCAATGTAGTCAAACATATTTTCAATGATGCGAGGGATGACGCCCTTGAACCGTTCATCGTCGATATCCGGACCCTGTTGTTGTTTTCGGTTGCAGTGCAAGTGTGCAGGACAGCGTGAAGCCAGACAGGGTGAGCACGAGTCAGAAACGCAAAAGTCAGTCGAAAAACAAGCAGCCTTCAACGCACCTCCATCGTAAAGGTCTTGCCGCTGGAAGTTTGACCGTACGCAAAAACTGTTCCGTTGTAGCCTTTGAGAACATCTGCACAAGTCCAAGCGTTGTGGATGAAACGTCAAATCGGACGTGAATGGAAACGCGAAAATTGCAACGCAAGCCGTCATTCAGCCATTTGTCATCAAAAGGAACGGAAAGCGACTGACCTTCGACAATGCTCTTCACTGCATATTCGTACACTTGTTGCTGCGACGTGAGTGGGTCGAAGACGCGGTCGAACGCAAACGACTGTGGCACGCCGGCCTCCTACCAAACAATTCCAACCAACACAATGTTCCACCGATACCCATTCCGTCAGTGTGATATCACCTATAACACGATAGTAGCAAGCAGGAACGCTGACAGCGACGACATGGCTGATAGATCTCTCTCTCTCTCTCTCTCTCTCTCTCTCTCTCTCTCTCTCTCTCTCTCTCTCTCTCTCTCTCTCTCTCTCTCTCTCTCTCTCTCTCTCTCTCTCTCTCTCTCTCTCTCTCTCTCTCTCTCTCTCTCTCTCTCTCTCTCTCTCTCTCTCTCTCTCTCTCTCTCTCTCTCTCTCTCTCTCTCTCTCTCTCTCTCTCTCTCTCTCTCTCTCTCTCTCTCTCTCTCTCTCTCTCTCTGTCTCTCTCTCCTGCCCGCCCACCTTCGTCTTTAGCCCCCATTCTGCAACCCTCTCTCTCTCGCTTTAGAGTGGAACGAGGATTTCGTCACACGCAATGCGCGTCGGTTCGGCGGGGTAAACCCCTAAACCGCCGTCCGCTCGAGTCAAGCCGGCTCCCTTTGTCTCGCGTTGATGCCCATATCGGTTCGCGCATGTCTGTAGAGGGCTTTTGCGAGTTGCTTGGTAAGGGGGCGGGGTTAGGAGAAAGCGAAACGGAGAATACGGGTTTTTTGGGGCGACATGACGAAAGCGGGGTATGGTTGGGAAACGCACGTCGACGGTGACGCCACGGCAAGCAGCAGCATCGGCAGAGAGATCCGTCAGGCTGGAACGGAAGGCGGCGGAGGACTGCTGCGGCTGGGTCGGCGGATCAAACTTGACGACCATGGCCCCGCCCTTCGCCGCCTCAATGCCGTTCTGAGGGCGAAACCGGACAACCACACGCACATTCGACATGGTGAATATGATGTGTGATGGTGAATATGATGTGTGGATGTGTGGACCAAAGTTGAAAAGGGAACCGGAACGGGGAAGAAAAAAAAAGATGAATGAGTTGCTGCGTTTGGTCGAAAACTGCTCAGAAATCACCAAAATCAGAAATCATTCAACTGTGATGAAACAGCTGGTGCATGACGACGCGCTTTATATCGACACAGCAAGGACAGGCGTAGGGGAAACCCCCAAACATCAGCAGGTCCGACATTGAAAACAAAACAAAACGAGCAACAACAAAACAACAAGAGGGGAATAACGTTAGGTTTTTTGGAGAGTGCCGTTTGCCTTTAGAGATCGTCGTCACCGATGGTGCCGTCGTACATGGCATTGTCATACGTCTCGCTCTTGCCAGACTTCAAGGATTTGAACACGTCCTGATCAGAACAAACAAGCACACCAAAAGAACAAAAGTTAGACCTGGCTAAATGCCCACGACACACCATTCTCTAGGCCTCGGCACCAGCCTCTTACAGGGAGCTTGAGCTTCTTCTTGTAACCATCGTCGGCAGCGGAGGTCGAGTCAACACGATGGACACCACGCGAGCCGGTCGTCGTGGACGAAGTCGAAGGGGAGTACGACGAAGAGGAGCTGCTGTCTGACGCAGCGGCGCGAGTGGACGCAGAGGGTGTCGGCGTGGAGGGTTGCTGCGCTGCCTTTTTGGGCGTGCCTTCGGATTTGATGGCGGGCTTTTCAGCGGCCTTCTCGGCAGGCTTCTCGGCAGGCTTCTCAACAGGCTTCTCGGCGGGCTTCTCGGCGGGCTTTTGAACTGGCTTCTCAATGGGCTTCTGAACTGGCTTCTCAGCGGGCTGCTCAGCTGGCATTTCGACTGTCTTTTCAGCTGCCTTCTCAACGGCCTTTTCAGCTGTCTTTTCAGCTGCTGGCTTGTCTGCCTTTGGTGTCGGAGTTGAAGCCGCAGTGGGCTCGGAAGCACGCTTAGTTGGAGTCGCCGGCTCAGCTGGAGAAGCGGGAAGACTGCTTTGACGCGCCAACGGTGGAGGAAGGCGCCTTGCGGCATCCGCCACAGCCGCTTGATAATCGGCATCCGAGAAGGTCGGACCGTAGTCTGGCTTGGGACCCTTTGGCTGAAGACGATGAAAAGGATTGTTGATTGGGGATGAGTCACGAGTCCGAAGAACAGTAAAACCCACCCAACCAAAACAAGCAAGCAAACTCACCGACGGCTTGATCTTTTCCAGCAACTCGTCGACGACAGACTGAACGCACATGCTCATGTAGATTGTCTGTTGGGAGAGAGGAGGGAAGGGGGGAGGACAAAATAGTCAGAATCGTCACGGCTGCAACGCGAAAAGTCAAGGGAAAAAAAAAAAAAACTTACTTGAGGTCCAGCCATCGTCACCCAGCGCAGCTCGTTGGGGCCAAATAGATAGTCAAAGGCAAAGTCAACAACCTTGTCGTGTGCAGAAAGCTTCCAGCATCGAGTCCGGCGGACGCGGAACGTGGCAGCTTCGGAGCGTTTCTGCAGCAGACAAGCGATCAGCACACAACAGTCTGACAAGCGAATTACATCTGCTCATAGGGCTCATACCTGGCCGACGAGGCGCACGCGTAGATCATTGGAGCCGATGGCAACGATGACGCGGGAATCGGGCGCGGGATGGCTGCACACACAGGGATCGAGCTCAATGTAGCCAAATGTGTCCAACTTGGAGGCCACTTGCAAAAACTATGTGAATGGAAACGAGAAAATGAGACATTCACCAGAGACACAAGCGGCACAGAGGAAAACGAAAGAATGAAGAAGTGATTGCTCACCTCCTTGTGTTTGCGAGCCTTCTTCAGCATCTTCAGCTCCGCCAGCACGTTATCAGGAGGCGACATCCAGCCATTGTTGGCATCAGCCACGGTCTGTTGATAAATCCACTCGGTCGCTTGCTGGTCTGGGTAGATCTTTTCGAGGAGGGCGGGATCCCAGAATGTCGAGCGCAGACACAGCTCTCCCTTGCGAGTGGCGGCCTTCATCAGCGCCAGATACGGCGATTCAAAGTGTTGAATGCGGCGTTTGACTGGAGAGAGGGAGAGAGAGAGGAAGAGAACGAGTCAGGCACGAGAAATGAGCACACCAGTCGGCGAGCGCAAAATCGAGATTCATTCTTACTGAAACGCCTCGGGCCGGCGCCTTCTTCCTCCTCGGGCTCATCGCTTTCGATTTCCAAAAACAGACCAAACATGGGAACAAGGTCACGAGTCATGCCGTGCTTGTCCGCAATGAGCTAGCGTGTGGGTGAAAGAACAAGCGAAAAAGTGTGAGATTGCAGGACTTCCGACGTGAAGATTCAGCGGAGCCTCGCCCGCCCTTACCGCCAAGGTGCGCTCTGTTCGGTTGAGCGACAGCGTCTTGAGTGTAAAGATGGTTCCGCCTGGCAGTTTGATTGGAAATTCGACGGGTACCGATCTCTCGCGCATTTCCTGAGCAAAATACACATTCGTCCCAAAAATAAAAGCGGTAGCGCGTTTTGAGCTTTTTTCTTTCACGCAGCGACGGCGTATGTGGCACTGTCTGTACCTCTTGGCTCTCAATCAGAAAGTTCCGGAAGATGAGCGATCTGACCAGCAACGGGTCTTCGCCAACGGCCTGCAGGTACATTTCAATGCCGCGTCTGCGCTCCTCGAGCTGCTCCAGGGTCAGCGCCAGCAGCCGCTTTGGCGGGAACTTGGTCAGCGGCTTGTCTGGGTACTCGGCCTTGATCTAGAGGGGCAAGTCCATACAAACAAACGAAATCTCAATGCAAGTCCATACAAAAAAAAAAAAAAAAAAAAAAGGCAGCGAGATTGAGACAACGGCAAGACGAAACGAACGTACGCGCGCTTGGAGCTTTTCGACTTCGCTGTAGCGGATGGCGCAGTGATGGACGCCATTGATGTGGATATTGAAGACCTGTGTCATAACAAGTTGTGTGTGTGTGTTTGAGTGAGCGTTGCATTGGAGTGACACAAACAAAATAAAAAAAATAATAAAAAAATAAAAAAAGAACAACAAAAACATAAACAAATTGACAGATGATGGGGCCGACCAGCGACGAGCAGCGATCGCCAAGAACAAACATCGAAAGGCAATAGTGTGAATGTGTGTGTGTGTGTGTGCGGGTGCGGCGGTCGCAGTGGGGGGAGAGGGCAACACGAGAGAGAGGGAAGAGCAAAAAACCTGACGACCACAACTCAAAACAACTCCATGCAGGTGGAACGAGATGAGCGTTTGAGGGTGGGTGGCTTGGATGGATGGATGGATGGATGGATGGATGGGTGGATGGGTAGGGGTTGAGGCGTGTTGCTGCTCGGGTGGCGAGTGGGTGGTGGGGAAACGGACGAAGGGAGACTCACCGTGTACGCGCCTTTTGGCCCAGTACGCTCAGCGACGTCTGGAATAGCAAAATGCATTGGCGTCGAAGATAAGAAAGAAAGAGTGAAAACCAAGGAAGGAAAGGAATTGGCAGGACAACTGAGACCGAACAATAAGACACTGGCTTCTGTTGGCTGGAAGCGATTGTTGAGATTGGAGGATGGAGTTTTGATCAAGCACCACTGCACTAAACAATACCAGTACTGTAGTATTGGTGGCCTAATATTCAATTCCAATCCATGGACACAGATCAAGGTATGGCCATCCCACCAGTGCTGCAGTGGGCACAGAATGGCTTTTGCCTCTTCGCTTCAAATCCTTCCGCCTCGCTCGCTCCGCCTCACAAACCAGGGGTGTTTCATCCTTGTCTCGCGAGTGCTGTTGCCAGGCTTGGATGACCGCCTCACCTGCTCTTGCTTTATAAACCTGAGCTCGGTTCTCACGCTCTGTCCCAGTCTTTTTTTTTCTCATTCTTCCCCTTCTCCAATGCTGAATCTGTGTCGATTCGTGCCCAAGCGGCACGCGACGTCGTCCGTGTGTCGCGCCACCACTGCGCTCATCACGGGCACGCCATTAGCAACATCCTCATCATCCCCATCATCAGCACTGCGCGTTGCTGCGGCTCTCTCGCCCGCTGCCGCGCTCACAGTGCAGCGCCGCGCGTTGTCGGGATCGGCTTCGTCGGTCGCCGCTGCCGCTGCCGCTGCCGCCGCCGCTGCCCCGCCGCACCCCTCGGAGGCATTCCTGAACGGCACCAACGGCAACTACGTCGAGGAAATGTACCACGCCTGGAAGAGCGACCCTGCCAGCGTTCACCAGGTGAGAATGAAGAAGGGACAGAAAAGAATCAAAAAACTCAAAAATAAAATAAAAACGAAAGAACGGACTGCGCGCTGTGCCATCATTGCCTGAGACGACCGCGTCTGCAAGCAAGTCAGTTGGCTTGTGTGTCTGTCTGTCTGTGTGCCGGAGGTGGGTGGTCTGGTTGGAGTCGATGCCTCACGCGAGAAGAGCAAGAAGAGCGTCCTTCCAATTGCGAGATCGCCCTTTTTGTTCCCCCGCGTCCCGTGCTTCTTTTCCCCCCTCACATCCGGCAGCTCGACGTCCGGGGAAGCAAGTCTCGGTGAACCGTTGCGCGCGTTTCACTCGACTTTGACTTTGCTCTGTTTACGCACCGAGCAACGCAGAATGTGCGCCAAATCGACGTTAAAAAACACAAAAATCCAAAAAAAAAAAAAAAAAAAAAAAAAAAAAAAAGACACGTTGAAAGAGTCAATGTGGCCACAAGAACAACCCTTCCCAGCACAACTGAGAAAGCCCCAGAAAAACTTCAACAAACATAAACAACCAACATCTCAGAATTACAAAGTTGAACAATTCAACAAAGCTCACAACTCAAAACTTGCCAAATCGCGAAAACTCACTTCTTCCTCTCTTCTTTCTTTCTTTTTTTTTTTTTTTTTTTTTTTTTTTTCTTTTTGTTTTCTGCAGTCATGGCATGCCTTCTTCCGTAACGTCGATCGTGGCGTCGCACCGGGCGCGGCATTCATCCCGCCGCCGTCCATCATGCCGATCTTCCCCGTGTCGGCTGCCGCGATGGGTGGTGCCGCTGGCGCTGCTGGGGCCCCTTCGGAGGCCGAGATTGCCGACCACATCAAGGTGGTCTCGCTAGTGCGCGCCTTCCAGGTCAACGGCCACCGCATTGCCAACCTCGACCCCCTCGGCATCTTTGACGCCGATCTGGACGACTCCATCCCGCCAGAGCTCGAGCTGAAGAACTATGGCTTCACCGAGGCCGACCTCAACCGCGAGTTCCGCGTCACGTCGGTCATGCAGAAGGGCTTTTTGGCTGGCGACCGCCCCGTCAAGCTGGGCGCGCTCGTCGAGCGTCTGCAGCGGACGTACTGCCAGAACATTGGCTTTGAGTACATGCACATCCAGGACCGCGAGCAATGCAACTGGCTGCGCGAGCGCATCGAGACGGACGCGCGCCCCAAGCTCTCCCACGAGGAGAAGATTCGCATCTTCTCGCGCCTGCTCGGCGCCGACGGCTTTGAGGCCTTCCTCAACAAGAAGTGGAAGCACGAAAAGCGCTTTGGCCTCGAGGGCTGCGAGTCCCTCATCCCCGGCATGAAGGCCGCCATCGACACTGCCAGCAACCAGGGCGTCGACTTTGTCGTCATTGGCATGCCCCACCGCGGCCGCCTCTCCGTCCTCAACAACGTTGTCGGCAAGAAGCAGGAGGCCATCTTCTCTGAATTCTCACAAGTTAAGGCTGCCGGCGACGAGTCTGCCGGCGACGTCAAGTATCACCTCGGCATGTCGTACGACACTGTCAACGAGGCCACTGGCCGCCCCATTCACCTCTCGCTGGTCGCCAACCCGTCCCACCTCGAGGCCGTCAACCCCGTCGTCCAGGGCAAGGCTCGTGCCGAGCAGTTCTACCGCAAGGATACCGAACGCAAGGCCGTCATGCCCGTCCTCCTGCACGGCGACGCCGCCTTTGCTGGCCAGGGTGTCGTCTTTGAAACGCTCGGCTTTAGCGACCTGCCCCACTACACCACTGGCGGCACGCTGCACATTGTCGTCAACAACCAGATTGGCTTCACGACCGACCCCCGCTTTGCCCGCTCCTCCCCGTATTGCACAGACGTCGCCAAGGTGGTGCAGGCACCCATCTTCCACGTCAACGCCGATGATGTCGAGGCCGTGGTCTATGTCTGCCAGCTCGCTGCCGAGTGGCGACAGCAGTTTGGCAAGGATGTTGTGATTGACTTGGTCGGCTACCGCCGCCACGGCCACAACGAGGTGGATCAGCCAAATTTCACCCAGCCGCTCATGTACCAGCGCATTGATGCCCACCCGCGCGTCTTCTCGCTCTATGCCAAGCAGCTGATCAGCGAAGGCGTCGTCTCGCAAGAGTTTGTCGACCAGGCCGTCGGCAAGTACATGGAGGAGGCCGAGGCCGCCTTTGACCGCTCCAAGGACTTTAAGATGGACAAGAAGGACTGGCTCGAATCGTACTGGAAGGGCTTCAAGTCCTCCGAGCAGCTGGCCAAGATCCAAAACACTGGCGTCGATGTGGCCGCGCTGCAGCACGTCGGCCGTGTGTCGGCCTCGTATCCCTCCGACTTTACCCCGCATCCTCAGCTCGCCAAGATCCTCGCAACCCGCATCGAGACGATCGAGAAGGGCAAGGACATTGACTGGGCCACCGGCGAGGCGCTCGCCTTCGGCACCCTGCTTGCCGACAAGTTCCACGTCCGCCTCTCTGGCCAGGACGTCGAGCGCGGCACTTTCTCGCAACGCCACCACGTTCTCCACGACCAACGCGTGGACGGCCGCACCCACACCCCGCTGATGCACTTGTCTGCCGACCAGGCCCCTTACACTGTCACCAACAGCCACCTGTCCGAGTACGGTGTCATGGGCTTTGAGCTCGGCTACAGCATGGCCAACCCCAACTCGCTCGTCCTGTGGGAGGCCCAGTTTGGTGATTTCGCCAACACTGCGCAAGTCATTATCGATCAATTCATCTCGGCCGGCGAGTCCAAGTGGCTCCGCCAGTCTGGCCTCGTCCTCCTCTTGCCACACGGCTACGAGGGCAACGGCGCCGAGCACTCGTCCGCGCGTCTTGAGCGCTTCTTGCAGATGGTTGACGACGATGCCGACGTCTTCCCCAACATGCGCCACGAGGAGCGCAACCAAATCCAGCGCACCAACATGCAAGTCGTCAACTGCTCCACCCCCGCCAACTACTACCACGTTCTCCGTCGCCAGGTCTACCGCGAGTTCCGCAAGCCGCTTGTCGTCGTCACTCCCAAGTATCTGCTTCGTCACCCTCTCGCCCGCTCCACGCTCGCGGACATGGCCAAGGGTAAGTGAAAGGGGGGAGGGTCGCTTGTTGAGCTCAGGGGGGTCTTTTCGTCGAGTTGTTGAAAGTGTGCGTTTCCTCGCTTTGTTTACTCATGGTTTTTTTTTTTTTTTTTTTTTTTTGCAGACACTCGGTTCCGTCGCGTCATCCCCGAAGAGACGCCCGCCATCACGTCGCAGCCACAAGACGTCAAGCGCCTGATCTTCTGCTCGGGCAAGGTTTACTACGACATTTTCGAGGGTCGTGAAAAGGCCGGCTTGAAGAACGTCGCCCTCTGCCGTGTTGAGCAGATCGCCCCCTTCCCCTTCGACCTCGTCCAACGACAGGCCGAGTGCTTCCCTAACGCCGAGATTGTCTGGGCACAAGAGGAGCCCAAGAACATGGGTGCCTGGTCGTACGTCCAACCTCGCATCGAGACTGCCCTCAAGCAGTCCAAGACTCACCCTGGCGACCGCGCTCGTCCCAAGTATGTGTTTATTGTCTTTGTTTGCCGGAGCTTTTGAGTTGGCTCGTGCTAAGGTTGCTCACTTTTTACTGTTTGTTTTTGTTTTTGTCAGGTTTATTGGCCGTCGCCCCTCCGCCGCCACCGCCACTGGCAAGAAGAAGACACACTTGGCCGAAGAGGCAGAGCTCGTCAAATCGGCGTTGACGCTGTAAAAAGTCTCATGCTTTACACCTCTTTTTTTCCCGCTTAAAATAAAAACTTTGGTTGTGGTTGAAAAGAAAGAGTCCTTGAAGTTTTCCTTTCCGTGAAATTTTGTGCCTTTGTGCGCTAGAATGATGCAACTCACTGGATCCCTTCTCAAGAATACCACAGCGCTCGCAAAAGTCGCGTGCAGAGATAAACGCAGCAGGGCCGAAATTCTGATTGGCGCCAATGCAAACCCCTTCCGTTAGAATTCTAAATTTATTCAACTTTAATGACCCCCAGTGTCCACGAAATCATTGATCGTAATCTTCCTCATCCGCTGCTTTTCGCTTGAGCTCCACAAGAACGGGTGCTGAAACTGCCGCTGGCTGCGCTGGCTGTGCCGCCTGGCTCTCCGAACCAAGTGCGAGATTGGGTGGCTGCGCTGCGGTAGGAAGCGGCAACGGCGTTGTCACCATCGCCGAGGTTGGCGTGGCACTTGCAGCGTGGATGCTCATTTGGTTTTGGCGAGCTTTGGAAAAGAGCTCTTGCTGTTGGCGAATGAGCTCTTCTTGCGATAGTCCTGATAGAGTAAGGTTGTTTGCCATTCGCGGTCGGTTCTGTGATGTGATGATGGTTGGTTACGAGGTGAGTGACGACTCCATTCTGAGCGACTTTGGAGAACCACCCAGGCAATTCATTGCGTTTTTGTTTCCTTACCACGCGCGCTTCCTTGTGCCCCTCTTGTGCCTCTTGCACATCCTTGACATAGTCTGAGAATCCAAGCACCTACGCACCGAGATGTGAGCTTGTTTTTCGGCGTCCACAGTCAGCGCAAACTGAATCTCAACCTGCAATGCTCTGAGAACGTGATCGGTCGAAATCATCTTCTTGCCATCCGTGTCGCACACTTGGTTGGATTCAGACGCGAGCATCTGCACAAACTCTGTCAAGCGCAGAGCCAAAGTCATCGCATCCATGGTCAGACGGAAAGGGTGCGGTCAAAGCGAAGCCATCTGTGTAAGAGAGTCCTGCGCCTGCCACAGCCTCATCCGAAGGTGACCAACCATCACTTCAAAATGGGTTGATCGTCTTGATCTTGTTCCCCGATTCGCTTTTGCAGCTTGCGTTGCAGTGGAACAAGGCGCGAGTCTCAAAGTCTCAAGTCTCTCTCGCTCTCTCTCGCTGTCTCTGTGGCTTACCAGACATGCAGTCGAGGATCATGTCGCGCGCGTCGTTCGTCACTCGCACGTCATTCGGAAGCATCTCCTTGATCATCCTGTACACGGTCGCTGGACAGCGCTCAAATCACGCACTCATCGAGTGAGATGCACTTTTGCTCTCATTTCACTCATAATGGATCGATCACAGATGCTGTTACATCTTGGCAGCGTCGCTTCGTTGTCATTGTCATGCCCAGTTAGATCTGAAGAGTCCATGTTTTTGTAATTGTAGTGCGCTTTTTGCTTTGTTTGTAATGGCTGCGATTGCGAGAGAAAGAGTGTGGTGAAAATTGTTGGATCAACAAAGTAAGACTGAGCGTCTGAGTTTGTGAATGATGATGGTAAATACAACGTACTAGCATGGAACTGCAGTGTGGACGAGGGAGGTTGGCGAGTTAATCATATCAACAGAAAAAGGAGAGCTCTGGAACCCCTCAAACACAATCTTCAAAAGAGCACAAGCACAACAGCATCATTGAGCTGGTGCAGCGGCAATTTTGCCAAGCGACATGAGTACGTCTGAGATGGAGCGCAGAGTCTCGACTCCGGTATATAGCTGTCGCATGGCCACTTCGGCGTCCGTTGCGGCCTTGGTGAGCTGATTGGAAGCATAGTTGGCTTTGGTCTTGATGTCTAGAATGAAGGCTTGCGCTGTCGGGTCTGTTTGGTTCATTTGCGCTTGGAGCTGGGCGACCTTCAATTCGCCTTTCAGGCGCTCAATCTTGGCTTCTGCCTTGACTGCGCGAGCCTGGTGTGGGAAGAAGTTGGGGAGAAGAGCAAAGTGAGAAACAAAACACATTTTGTTTAGCATGAGACTTTGCGATTCGACGCCGTCCTTACGTTGGCGGCTTCGAGATTCTGCTCAACCATATGCACCATGTTCTCGAGCGCTTTGGTTTCCTCGGCCTCTTTGGCGCGGTAAGCCTTGAAATTCTGCTTGGCAAGATTGAGTTTGGCTTCGACAGCCGCAAGCCGCTCTCGTTCTGGTGTGTGTGTCGCAACCTCTTGCTCCAGTTGCGCAATCCGGCTGAGGGCGGCTGCGAGCTGAGTGGCCAGATCCAGTGCACTTCCATTGGCCTTGGACATCAGGGATGCAGCCGACGCGCTCCCGCTGCTGCTGCTGCTGGATGATGTTGAGCTGTACGACGAAAAGACCTCTGGCAAGTCCAGTCCGGCACTAGCGCTCGACGACCCGCCGCCAATCGGTGGCAATACGACTTCGCTGTGGGCCATAGCATTGTTCACGGCAGCAGTCGCCATCGCGGGTGGTGCGGAAGCGGTCGATTTGGGGCGCGGAGCACCGTTACTACTTGAGCTTGCGTGGCCGCTCGACCCTCCACTGGGCAGCTCTGGCAGCAGCGGGACGTCTTGCGTGGCCATGCCCATCCCAACCGCAGCGGCCGACGACGCTGGCGATGGAGTGCTGAAATTCTTGAATGAGAATGGATTTGGCTGCTTGCTGGTCCACTGGGCAGCAGCCTCGCCGCCGCTCGAGGATCCGCTCATGCTCATGGTGGCCTGTGCGGCAGTGCTCTGTGCGGTGGGCACGGGGGCAGCGACCTGGGAAGCAGCAGCAGCAGCAGCGCCGGGAGTGAAGTTCTTGAATGAGAATGGATTGGCCTGCTGCTGCTGCTTGGCCTTGCTGCTCGACCCAGACCCAGACCCAGACCCAGAAGAGGCAGAGGTGGAGCTCGATGATGCAGAGAACGGGTCGTTGTCGTCATCGCCAAAGATGGACGGCTCCGAGGCGGAGGACCGAAGCAGCTCGTCGGTCATTCTCTGAGAAGAAGTGTTCTGAGAAGTGGTGTGATGATGAAAGTGCAAAACAGTACAAGACTGGATGGACAATGCACAAAAATTGGACACTAAGCACAACTGGACGTGGAATGGTGGAAACACACAGAGATTTGGAACAAAGATTGTGCATCGAATGAAAAATTTGTGCTGCTACGCCTCCCTTCAGAGCTTGGGAGCAGCGCGCGAGCCAACAGGGAAGCTCATGGTCATGGCGCTGCCGAGACCGCACTCAATCACCTGGCCGGGCTTGACTTGACCAACGCCAGCAGGAGTGCCTGAAAAATTGCATTGTTTCCAAACCATCAGTCAGTCCATTTTGCAACATGTAGCACGCGAATCTCATCCGCCGAGATCTCACCGGTGAGAATCACGTCGTTCTCCTCGAGCGTCATGAACTGGCTGACATAGCTGATGATGGTCGGCACGTTGAAGATCATGTCGCGCGTGTTGCCGTCCTGCTTGATTTCGCCGTCGACTTTGAGCCAGATGCGCGTGTTTGCGAGGTTGATGCTTTCCTTTTCAATCAACGCACTAAGCAAGCATGAACACAATGATCACCAATCATTCAGAGTGAGCCAAGTTGAATCCATCTTCAACCTCTTTGTGCGAGCAGCAAACAATTTGTACCTGATCGGACAGAAGCCGTCCTGGCCCTTGGCAATGGTCCAGGGGAGTCCCTTGGCCTTTGCGACAGCCTGCAGGTTGCGCGCAGTCATGTCCAGCGCGAGTGCGTAACCCGCGACGTGCTCCATCGCAGCGTCCTTGGTGATGTTTGCGCCCGTCTTGCCAATCACGACCGCGAGCTCGACTGGTACCAAACGATCAATTGGGTCGGTGAACTGAATCAAGCAAAAATTGCACAACGTCATTTGAAAATTGTGTCCCAATGCAAACGGTACCTTCGTGATCAAGCTCGACGCCGTCCGGGATGAGGATGGTCTTGCCGGTGGGCAGGTACGACGTCGTCGGCTTGAGGAAGAAGAGCGGCTCCTTTGGCACCGGGTTGTTGAGCTCTGCAGCGTGCTCGCTGTGTCCAATTCAATCATGAACAACACAGCAAGCAAGACGAACGGAAGCGGGGTGCACAGCGGGGGGTGCAAAAGCGGGGGCCACACACAGATTGGGATGGTGGATCACAAACAGCAACGAAGATCCATGCAAAACGAGCAGAACGTCAGGGGTCAGACAAGCATGAGCGATGCAATGGGAGAATGCAATTTTGGACGAGGTGGTGGTGGGGATGCGGATTTGGACGAAAAGCGACGGCAGAACGGAGAAAAAGAAGAAAAAAAGTCACGCGAGTTTGTCGGAAATCTCAGAAAAAAAGCCAAGTCTTAGAAAAAGAAGCCAGGCCTCAGATAGTTCTCCATTCTCAATTTCACAAGCAAGGTGTTGAGGAGATGATGGACGCTGCTCTGTGTTACCGGTAGTTGCGACCAATAGCGACAATCTTGCGACCGAGTTCGACAAAGCGCGACATGAATGGATCGGGGAAAAACGACTGAGCAACTGAGACAGAGTTTTGAGTTCTGAGTTCTTTTGTCAATATTGAATTTTGATCTAGTCTTGTTTCGTTTCTAAATTCCAGTGTCATCATGCTGGCTCGGCTGCGGCTCGGAGCAGTGGTCGCAGCGTCATTCGGCGCAGGCGTCGCTTGCAGCCAAGTCGACCAACCCACCGCTGCTGCTGCTGCTGGATCGCTGCTTCAGTGGCGCTGGGCATCCTCAGCCACCCAACAAAATGCTGATGCTGGTGATGGTGATGCTGGTGATGGTGATGCCGTGAGGAGTGGCGCGGGAAGGAGCATGCGGTTTGGACTGCCGCAGGTCTACGCTGGAGAAGCCCCGAAGCAAGGACTGCCGCCGCTCCAAGTCATGCGCTATGGATTTCCAGGTAAAACGAGGAAAACACGGAAAGCGGGGGAAACAACGAGGCTTGGGGGGGGGGGAAAGGGAAATGGCTAGAATCACTGTGGGAGACTTTTGTCGCTCAGAAATCTCAGAAATCTCAAAAATCTCGGAAAGAGCATTCGAAATCTCACACAGCAGTCCTTGACACATGAATGACTGTAGATATGGGGTCAATCAAGTACCGCGAAGGCTATATCATGTCGTACGATCGCAGAAACAAGACGGCAAACTGGGTCTGCGAACACTTGAATGCAGAGCGCCTGGCCGTGCAAGAGGTGAGTTCGAGTTTTGTGCGAGAGCATCAAACATGCAGACAAAGAGGCTCTCGGTTTTGATGTACCGAGATCCGTTCCGAAATTGTTTGGAAACGAGTTTAACTTTTGAAACACACCATTGTGCTGGACGACTGCAGGCCAAACGAGACGGTATGGCGTTCAAGGAGGACGACACCGACCCAGAGCTGTTCCGTGCTCGTCTGGCAGACTACCGTGGCAGTGGCTATGATCGTGGACACATGGCGCCTGCTGGGAACTACAAGTGGAGCACCAAGGCCATGGAAGACACCTTCTACTTGAGCAACATGAGCATGCAAGTTGGCAAAGGCTTCAATCGCGACAAATGGGAAGAGCTTGAATCGGTAAGCGGAGGGGAGGGGAGGGGGCGCTCATGCGTGCACTTGAACGATCGGTTTTGTTTTGTTCTCGACTGTCACTCACACTCAATCTCATTCCCTTCTCCTCCCCGCCCCTCCCACAGTACGTGCGAAGCCTGACAAAGACCAATCGAAACGTCTATGTTTGCACGGGACCGCTGTATCTGCCACGGCAAGAGGCGGATGGAAACATGTACGTGCGGTACAAGGTTGTCGGCCCATCGCAAGTCGCTGTGCCCACGCACTTCTTCAAGGTCGCTGTGGTTGAAGCGCCCAATGGCAACCTGACCATCCAGTCGTGGGTGCTGCCCAACGAGGTCATTCCAAACGATACTCCATTGACGTCCTTCAAGCGCCCGCTTGCTGAGATTGAGCGAAGAGCCGGCTTTTTGCTGTACAACTCGATTCCCGACAAGTACACTCGCGGTGTCTAGCATTGATTTTGATGTCTGGTCGTTTTGCTTTGTCAGCGTTGTTTGCATGCTTGTCGGCGTACACAGTTCTAACTTGATCCAATGATCCCGATCTGTTTCAAATAAACTTTCCAGTCCAACTTTTTGTTTTTGTCTTTTTTTCTGAGTTTTTTCTCTTTATTCTTTCTGAATGACGACGCACAAGTTCACGCGTCTGAAGGCGCTCACTGAGCTTGCATTGACCAGCATCGGATCGTCGCCAGCAACCTCCAAGCTCGTCGGAGAGCACCTCGCGCTGGCCAACCTGATGGGCCACGACAGCCACGGCATTGGCATGCTGCCTGCTTACATCAAGCACGTCAAGGTACCACAGCGACAGAACGAAACGAAACGCCCAGACAGACAGACAAACAGACAGACAGACAGACAGACGAGATGCTCGCGTCCCCAGTCCCACAGACGCCCTGGCGTTTCCAGTGTTGCGTTCATGCTCGTGCGATGCAGCTGAGATTGCTGCAAGTGGGGGGGGATGAAGTGGTGCCTTTGGAGCTGGGATGCGTGGTGTGGCTGGGTCGGTACGGCCAAATTTCTCAGCAACGGTCATCCAGCGATGATGAAAACGCTCGAGGCTCGAGGCTTTGTGTCATTCATGCTTGAGTGCAAGATTATTACTCAACTGAGCGTGATGTGTTGTCATCATAACTTGAACAGGCTGGACTGGTGAACGTCAACTCGACCGCCAAGCTCATGGCCGCACTGGGCCCGCTGCTCATGTTTGACGCGCAGCGCTCATTCGGAGTCGTCGCAGGCACCGACGCCATCAACCAAGGCATCGATGTGTAAGTGCAGCGAGCTCAACTGTATCAACCCAATTCTGAGTGAATTGGAAGATTCAACAATCTACGTTTTATCTCACTCTTTTTCGTTGACTGACACACACACACACACCACCTCCTCATAGATGCAAGAAACAAGGTGTTGCAGTCGTCACCTTGGCAAACGCCCACCACCTCGGGCGGATTGGTCGCTATGCGGAACTCGCCATGGAGAAAAACGTGATTAGCTTCCACTTTGTGAATGTCGTGGATCACCGACCGCTGGTGGCGCCTTGGGGTGGGAGCGACGCGCGCCTGGGCACCAATCCCATCTGCATTGGCATCCCTTCGCTCGGGCCCACGTCGCCGCCGTTGCTGTTGGACATGGCGACCTCGCAAATTGCGCTGGGCAAGGCGCGCGAGCTGATGAACCGAGGAATGCAGGCGCCCAAAGGCTTGCTCCTCGACTCGCAGGGCAATCTCACGGAGGATCCGAACGTCATGTTTCCCAAGGACGGCGAGGAGCCCGGCGCGCTCGTGACGGCAGGTCTGCACAAGGGCTCGAGCTTGTCCATTGTCGCGGAAACGCTGGCGGGTGTCTTTTCACGCGGCGGCACAATCAACCCTGCGCACAAGCGTCACGGCAGCATCATCAACAGCATGTTCAGTGTGCTTGTTGATGCCGACATGCTGATCAACGCGACGGCGCAGGAGGGCGTGGCAGGCTCGCGCAAGAGCTCCTCGTCCTCGTTTGCTGCGTTGAACAAGGCGTCGCTGGTGGATGTCACTGCTCGATTGGCCTCCGCTCTGGGTGCACAGCCTGCCAACCCTTCGTCCTCCACCACCACAACCGCAACCAAGGAGGCCGCCAAGACTGAACCCGAATCCTCGGACGCTGTCGATGCGACCGCGGGATTGGGTTGGATGCAGGCAGAGATGGAACAGCTCGTCGCGTACCTGAAAGCGTCGCCTCCACGAAATGTGCTCAGCGCGCATCCGGAAGCGACAAGCGGTGCGCGTCATGCGCGAGAGACCAAGTTCAGTGCCCTGGGATCGACTTCGGTGATCTCTCTGCCCGGAGAATACGAGCGCGGCCAGTTTGCCGTGCGCATGCGCGAAGGTGTGTTTATCAGCGATGGCGCCTGGCTGGACATTTTGAACGCTGTCAAGTCGGCGGGCGTGAGCCAGAAGCAACTGACCGAGGTCATTACCAAGCTCAACACATTCGATCAAGAGTACGCCCAGGCCATGGAAGCTTTTGCATCTGCCACCGTCCGCGAAAATTTGGCTGCCCTGCGTCGCGTCCTCAAGCGATCTCAGCCCCAGAACCGCTCGCCCTTTTCCAAAATGTTCAGTGGCCTGGATGTTGTTCGTCTGCTGTCCGACTCGCAGATTTCCTCGTACGATGACGAGGCCCATGCCCTTGTCCAAGAGGCTCGTCGTGACGCTGCCAAGCGAGTGGCCGCCAGCGCCGGCCGGCCGCTTGACGAAGCCGAAGAGCCCCTGTCTTCCAGTGCCGCCCAGCGCGTGTTGGCGCAAACCAAACGCACTGCCAGCAAGCGCGTTGCCCAGACCAAAGCAAGCATCGAAACGGTCGAAGCGCTCAGGAAGCAGTTCAAAAAACGCGCCGCCGAGTCAGCAACCACCAAGCAGGCTCTGAAGGTTGCTGCTCGCGTTGCCGAGGAATCCAGCCCCAAGGCAGCGATCACCACCAAGAAGGCTGCTGCTCCAAAGGCCACGACCACGAAGAGTGCCACGGCCACGAAGAGTGCCACGACCACGAAGAGTGCCACGACCAAGAAGGCTGCCACGACCAAGAAGACCGCCACAACCAAGAAGGCTGCCACAACCAATCCTGGTGTGTGCATGCATGCATGTGTGTGTGTGTGGAGCTGAATGTTCCAAGCTTTTGTTCAGTTGGATGAAATCGTGGTGACTGTTTGTTGTGTTGTCCATCTTTTTTATTTCAACCCAGTTCAATGTAGTTCAATTCAGCGCAATTCAGCGCAATTCAATCGTGGTGACTGTTTGTTGTGTTGTCCATCTTTTTTATTTCAACCCAGTTCAATGTAGTTCAATTCAGCGCAATTCAGCGCAATTCAATCCACTCAACTCAGCTCAGTCCAAACAACGTTCGGAATGGAAGACGAAACCGGGTTTGCTGGCTTTGGAATCGAGCTTGGCGTGAACGACGACGAGCTGGACGTGGCTGCCGAAGCCGCCCGCGCCGATCGCTCGTTTGCGCGCAAGGGCCGGCGCGGACCTCAAGTGATGACTGATACCGAATTGGCGGCGCTGCGAGACAAGCGACGCGAGTTGCGACTGAGCAAGAAGAAACGCCGACAAGCACGCGCGACGCAGGGGCTGCGCGCCCCGACGCCATGGCGCACCCGTAGACCAGTTGCGTTCGCAAGCTTCGTATCGTGCACTGAACAAGGCGGGCGGGGGAGCGGGAGCGGGAGCGGGGGGAGGCGGGTTTGGGGCCCCTCATCGCCTCAGACCTCATGGTTGCTCACTGTTCTTCACCTCCAATTGAAAACAACCCTCAAACACAGGTGAATATGGATCGAACAACACTCGCGGATCAAAGGATTGTCGTGGATCTCGATTGGGAGCCGTGGATGAGCCAGCACGACTTGGTCTGCTTGCACAGACAGCTGCGATACGTCGTTGGGTCAAACCAGAGACTGCGACGACCATTGCGAGTGTCACTCGCAGGAATAGGACCGGGCATGCAGGAGTTGATCGAGACGTTTGGCAAAGGAGAAGCCACGCGATGGCCAATCGAACGGCGGCGCGAACCGTACACGGAGCTGTTTCCGCTCGAGTCGCTCGTCTATCTCACTGGAGACTCGCCCAACGTGCTGACTGAGCTGGATCCAGCACGCGTCTACGTGATTGGCGGGATGGTGGACCACAATCGGCACAAGGGCTTGTGCTACGCAGAGGCCGAGGCCCGTGGTGTCGCTCACGCCAAGCTGCCAATCAGCCAGTACTTTAAGCTGCCCACGCGCTCCATTCTCACCGTCAACCAAGTGTTTGCCATTCTGGGGACGGTTAGCGCGGGTGCAGACTGGAAGACCGCGCTGTGGCACGAGGTTCCAAAGCGCAAAGGCATGATTGAACTCGAGGGGCAAGCCGAGCAGCACGACGAAGATGATGGCGATGATGATGGCGATGCTGCTGGAGAGACTGACGATGACGGTGATGACGATGACGACGACGATGACGACGACCTCAGCGACGACCTCAGCGACGACCTCAGCGAGAACAGCGACAATGACGGTTTCGATGACGAGCCGACTGCGCTCTGAACCCCGTCTCAACCGCACCACACTCACCAGCATAGTTTGATAACCAATACTTTCTTAATTCATTGATAACATCAGCAACAACAACACTACAACTCGCCGCAATCTTCAATCACAACTTTGGTCTTGGTCTTGCCGCTTTCGCCGCCTTGCGCCTCCATGCGCCGAAGAACATCCAGGCCTTGAATGACCTGGCCAAAGACGACGTGCTTTCCATCCAGCCAGTCCGTCTTGGTCAAGCACATAAAGAACTGCGACCCGTTCGAATTTGGTCCCGAGTTGGCCATGGACAAGGTGCCTGCTCCCGTGTGCTTGAGCGTAAAGTTCTCGTCTGCAAACTTTTCGCCGTATATTGACTTGCCACCTGTGCCGTTGTGTCGAGTAAAGTCGCCTCCTTGGCACATCTGAGAGCAGTCCAAGATGAAAAACAAGAGTGAACAACAGGGGGGGTTGGAGAGAAAAGGCAAAGAGAACTGCTGCGCTGAAATATATCTTACAAAGTCTGGAATAATACGATGGAATGAACTGCCCTTAAACCCAAAGCCTTTGCTGTGAGTGCAGAGTTGTCGAAAGTTTTCCGCGGTTCGTGGCGTGACGTCCGAGCGCAATTCCATTACGATACGGCCAGCTTTAGAGCTGCCGATTTTAATGTCCATGTACACGCGAGGAAGCTTGTTGCCACCAGTCGAGGGAGCGGCAGGCACCGCAGGTGCGGCGGCGGCGGGCACCGCTTCAGCCTGCCATGCAGCACGAGCCGATGCATTGGTCTCGGTAGCGGTGGCATCGTTGGACGCATGCTCTTGTTGCTGTTGCTCAAAGTAACTTTCCTCTGTCCAGACTGCGCAATGCAAAATAAAATGCACCGGAGGTGGGGTGAGTGTTTGAGGTGGCAATCAGAATCAAGGCTCGAAACCCGCGCTAAACCAAAATTACCTGCTTTGTTCGCACGCTCTGGATACTTTGCGGGGTTGGCAACGTTGACACGAATCGTACGGCCAAAGAGCTCTGCTTCGTCCATGTTGTCAATGGCGGCAGCTGCGTCTTCTGCGTCCTCAAACTCGACAAATCCAAATCCACGGTGCTTGTCTGTCATTCACAGGCGATTGTTCAGCCCAAGTGAGTGTTTCTGGCATTCACATCGCTTCTCTGACTGCTTTTGTGAGTGTCGTGGTCGGTGCAAACGTTGAGGCTTCTGATCAGATCAGTGATGGAAGTCGCATTGAGAGATCTCTGCGCAAGGAGGCTCGTGCTCCAGCTGCCGCGATCCGTACGTTCGGCGTGCAACAATGCGCCTGTGCGAGCTATAGCTCGAAGCGTTTGTCTCTGATGGTCCTGTACGGTGCGAGCAAGCGAGTGAGTGAGTGAGTGTGCAGTGCGTTACCTGTCGAGTAATCCATGGGCATCTGGACGTCGACCAGATCGCCGAACGGGATGAAGGCCGCGGTGAGCATCGGGATGTCGACTTCCTCAGCAAGACCACCTGCAAAACAGTGCGACCACACAGTTGAGTGGAGACAGTGAGTGGGTGAGTGAGTGAGTGAAGTCGGATTGCAATGGAAAAGCAATGGAAAAAAAAAAAAAGCAAGCTCAAAGTCAATGTCGACTTGCCTACGTAAAGCACCTTCTTCGTGCTGCTCATCCTTGCTTGGTTGGAGGTTTTTTGTGAAGAAAAGGAGGACTGGAAAAAAAAAAAAAAAAAAAAGAACGAAACGGGGATGAAAACGTTGGTGTTGAGGATGATCAATGGAGCTTTCGTGGGTTGAACAAGAACAATCCGGAGAACAGGTGCAGTGTGGATGTACCTGCAAGTGTCGATCTGTGTGTGTGTTAAAGTGCTGCTGAGTTGAGTTGTGCACGCAGATCTATTGGTTGATGGTGCGTGCAGTCAAATGCAGATAAAGTTCATGCAAACCGCTTTACTCAGTGCGCCAACAACCTGGCACGAAGAAAGAAGCAACCAATCTCAATCAAGAATCAAAGATGCAAACCAACAAAGAAAGAAACAAACAAACAAAGATGCAAACAAACAGGCACACAAACACTCAAAGACACCAAGAACCAAAACAACAACCAACCCAAGGACTTTGATCAAGACCTCTTCAACACAATCTTGACGGCCATTGTCTCGGGATCCAGAATCACCTCGCATCGTGTGGGAGTCGAGGTCGCGTTGGGCGTCGCAGGAAGGGTTGCCAGGCTGTACTGCATCAACATCTCGTTGCCCTTGAAGCCAATCGACGAAAATCGCTGGTCGCATAACTGAACTTGAATGTTTGCAGCGCCCGCGGGAAGGACGCACGTCGCAAGGATGGGAAATGATTGCGTGGCATCGACAACAGGGGTTGACGCTTCGGAGGCCATTGCAGAATCGCTCAGTTCAAGGAGCGAGCGTTTCACTGGCCTGATATCGGGCTCATCAAGTCGCCGCTTTGTAGGGCCTTGCACCATCTCACGCTCAGTGTCACTTGAAGCTCGTCTCGCAAACCCGGTGGATTTTTCAGCAGCAGTTTCGGCCATCGCTCCCTTTCTGAACGAGCTGGATGATGGCGACGCAACTACGAGTTGTGGCCTTGGAAGGTCGTTCAGAACGTGTGAACGCGGATTGGAGACACTTGACGGACTCGAAGGGCCATTGGAAACTTGCCTCTCGGGAAGGACTCGGTGCTGCGCCTTGGCCTCCTTTTGTGACTTTGTCTCAGCGGACGCAACTTCTCTGGCCTTGAGGTTGGCAACGAGATTTTGCACGAACGAAGCCTCATCGAACGGAAGAGGCTCAGGTGTAGCACGGTCACCCTGGCGTCCAGTCAGGCCGATAGTCTTGTCGCCAACTGTAACAGTCTCATCACCATTGATTGGCTCGGACGTTTCATGTTCCACAGGCTGATGCCCGCCATTTGTCGATTCGACTAACTTGGTGGCAGCTTCAGCAGGTTTGCCATGCGTGCGTGTGAACTTTGCCACCAAGGATTGCAAGAAAGACAAGCTTGTGGAATCAGTTGACTCGGCAGCCGTTGGAAGTTCAATGGCTGGAGAGTCTGGTCGCCGTTTTTTCGATGTGTCAGGAACGGTGCTCACATCTAAAGCTGGGCGCTTTCCAGTTGTTGAAACAAGCCCTTTGACTGGAGTATACGGGGCACTGTCATTTCCAAACGCCTTCCCGTTCGGAGTAGTCGGAACGCTCGTGCTCGTCCCGGACATTTTGCCGATTGGGGTGCTTGGGGTGGCAGGTGGGTCGACATCCATCTGGACGGCGGCATCGCTGCCACTGTGCTGGTTCAGATGCGGTTGTGTCACTGCATGCTCACTGGGAAGAGACTGCGATTGCACAGGTTCACGGGAGCGCAGCTCCTTGGTGTGGAATGAAAATCGGTGGTACATGACAATCAGCAAATCGCTGTTGGTGCAGCGGGCGTTGAACTCTTCGTCTGCCTGAGCGGCTTCGTGTTTTGGATACCAAACGTTCGACTCGTCCACGAGCCGGATGTTGAGCAGAACGGCGCCATACACATGCTGACGCGAAAATCCATCCTGCATGCGCCGAGCCCTGCTGCGTGGCGTAGGGCGCGAAAACCCGCTGATTGCAACCTTGTCCTTGTTGGGATGCAATTCCAGGTGGCGCAGAGCAAAGTAAGCGGGAATGGCTGTGATTGTTGCTGCCTCCATGCGATCACGATTGTCCTTGAAAAGCTGCTGCAGAATTGCATGAATCTGCTGTGCAGACTCGGGTTGTGGCTCCGACGCTTGAGCGTCCGAGGCAAGGACGAGCCTCGAAGCTGCTTGCAGGAGAGTTTCGCGAGCCAGCGCACGGTACTTGAAAGAGTGCAGCAAGTCGTCCATCATCCACACAAACTCAAATCCGCAGCGCTGGGCAAAGCGCTGAATGCAGTAGCGTGTAAACCCGAGATTCTGCGTTGCCGGCACAGTTGCCTCGGGCAGCACGGCCAGGATGAGGTGGGGCCACGCCTTGCGGTAGGCACCGAGATCCTCTCGACAAATCACGACAATCTGAAGGTAGGTCGCGATGGAAGCGGGATCCGTCACATCTTTGACCATAGCGTGACGCCAGTTCAGCGTAGCCAAGTGTGCCCGCTGGAAGGAATCAACGAAAATGGGGAATTTGACGTCCAGAGTCGCGCAAAACTCTTGCAGGAGCATTTTGCAGTTGGATGAAGTTGGCTTGAACCTTAGTTGCTGCAAAAGTGGATCCAGCGTGCATGGAGCAAACGCATCAACGCCGGTGGGAAGATGAAGCTCCAAGTCATCCCAGCTAGACCCGGGAATCTTTAGGTCCTCACCTGCGACCAAATTGCCCATCCGACAGTCATTGCAAGTGCTGGCATGATCGAAAGGGCGAGCGACGTAGTTGGGAACAAAGGCGTTGCTCGCGGCAGCCACATTCACCGCCGTGTCGCCGTTCTGGACTTGGTTCTGGGGATTTGTAGAGGTCGTGCTGGCCGCGGGTGCTACAAGCTGGTTTGCACCTGGCTGCCCAACTTGACCCATCAAGACTGCAAGTTCAGGGTAAGCCCCGCGGTTGCTTTGGGGGGCGATTGCCGGTGGCATTGGCTGCACTTGGACCACCTCGACATCTTCCACCGCATCAACTGCCATTGGTTCTGGATGTTCAGTCGCTTCTGCGATCGATTCTTCCTTGGCCTCTGGCTGTTCATCGATCGCCTCGGCAGCATCGGTCAAATCTTCCGCACAATCCATGACGTCCTGGTCGTCCTGTAGTTGTTCTTCGAAACGACGTAGCAATGCCAAATAGGCACCAGTCTTTCCCACCTGGGGTCGGCCGTACAGCAGAAAGCGGTTGCGGACCGTGCTTCTGTTGCCCTTGTCGTAGTGGCTGTCCGCTGGGTCACAATGCAGTCGGTACGCAGACAACGACAGCAATTCTGTCAAAGCTTGATGCTGTTCCGCGTGCTGCCTGAATCCATTGAGTTGTTCGACGCGATTATCGGCCGAGGGCAGGGTGACAAACGGATCCGCGTTGCTCCCTTCCTCAAGCTTGAGCTGACGATGAAGCTTTGGCGGAATCAATATCACAGGAATCGGGTCGGTAACACGCTCCGCGACATAGCGGCAGGCGCGTCCCAAGTCCTGCTCCAAGGACGCACGCACGAACGAGCGAGAGTCGGAGTAGCGCAAGCGCAGGTCGTAGTAGCGAAGAGAGGAGGGGAAAGTGTCACCCATCTTGCCCTTCTCGCACAGAATCAGCAAACAGGGCAAGCCTTTCAAGTCCGAGTAGGTCGATGGAACAAACGAATCATTATCGTTCCATCGACGGAGCTTGGTCAGCCAATAGTTTGGATCCAACGGGCCAGATTCCAATAGCTGGCCAAGAAAGTTTGCTTTGCCTTCGACATCAAGCAACACTGCAAACTTTTCTTGCAGCTGCGCTTCGTTTCGTGCTTTGATAAGCTCAGCTTTGAGCTTGCGGCCGACGTCGACCAGACCAACTCGAATCAGAATCATGAACGAACGGCCGTCGTTTCCATTCTGGCACGAGACAAGCTCCTTGATCATTTGATCGGTATCGGGACAACGGTGCTGGCCGCTTGGCGGTGGCTCAGATGCAGCGGCAGCAGCAGCACGAATGGATTGCGCATAAATTTGTGAGTGGTTGAAGTGACGCCTGTAGAGGTCGCCATTTTCACGGGCGCTCTCCGCACCATCGCGACGACCGCGCCGCCATGTGTGGTACAGCTGAGAGTCGACCGGGTTTGCGTGTAACAGCTGTTCGGTGGCCTGGCGCGAATGAAATTTGCCTTGCTGCATGTCTTGACCGTCTTGAAGGTAGTTGCGGAACTTCTGGATGCCGTAATACACGGAATGCTCTGCGTTTGCGGGAATGTTGCTGTCGCTTTCAGAAAACCACTGAATGACGTTGTCCTCTGGAATGCGGGATTTCCTCGTGACCAAGTTGTACGGAGTGGCAGTGACGAGTAGCTGAATCAAATTGGGCGCGGCACACATGTCGGCATCGTTGAGGTAGTTGCCTGCCGCTCCACCACTTTCTTCGGTGCCAGTAGCCTCCGTGCCAGTGGCTTGCTCCTGTGCCGCTTGTCCTTGCGAACGCATGCGGCTGACAGGGGCTGTAGCTGCCCAGTGTGCTTCGTCTTGCAAGAAGAGGAACAAGGTTTTCTGGTTGTCCACGTTGAGCACGCGTTCACGAAACTGCTCGAAGACCGTCTTCTGGTCGGGAGACTCGTTGGCTCGGAAGATGCTTTGGCGAACCTTCCCCGCGGGTGTGGGAAACGCCTTCTCGAGACGCTCGAGCGTTTGCGAGTACAGTGACAGCAAGTTGGGGACCATCACGACAAATTCAAAGCTGGTAAATTTGCCCAAGTCGACGACTTCCTGAATTCGCGCAAACAGACGGTTGGCGACTTCAAGCTGCTTTGGGAAGAACTGAGCACTGAGCTCGGCTTGATCCAGAGGTGCAGCTCTTTCCGTGCGAGCCATTGTTGGAGGGCCATCAAAGATTCTGTCCATTGGGGGAAAGGGTGACAAATCGGGCGCACCATGCATCGTGTATCAGTGTATTTCGATCCGGCAAATCAATATGCTTGGCAAAAATGTACTTACGGCTGGCTAGCGTCAGAATCGGCTTCCTCGTCGTCGTCGTCATTGTCCACGTCTTGTTTCTGAACAAAAGGAGTCAGTTCAATGAGTTTGGCCAATTGCATACGCTAGAGGTTGGAGGTCTGTAAAAGAAATCTCACATCGAGCTCGGGCTGCTCATCCTGGGGGTCGACCGCCGCAGAGGTCAAAACTGCAATCGTCTGGGTCTGGTCTCCCTGAGGCTGCTGTTCATCCTGAGGCTGGTCCTCCTGTGACTCGACCTCAATCACGGGCTGGGCTGTATTGCTGGTGAGGCAAGGCAAGCTGTTGGTGAGTGTTGTGATACAGCCGTGGTGGAAACGTGCAATCGAGAAGCGGTGTTGCTTACGCGTTGGCTTGAGCCGTGGTCGTGCTAATCTTAGGATTCCCAGTCAAGCTACATAGCGACGTGATTGGCAAGCCAGAATTGCGTGCAAAGACTCAATTTGCGCACTTACTCGAGCGTTTTCAGTGTGGGGTAGAGCATGAGGTTGGTCTTGAGCACCTTGACGACCTCATCATCAATTTCGTTGTCGCTCAGGCTGCATCCATCAGAGAGCAATTCGTGAGAAGATTGCATCTCCATTCGCCACTCCCGACATTGGATTTACTCACGACAGTTCGGTCAAACCAATATTGGACTTGAGCGAGAGTCCAAGAGCTTTAGCGCCGCGCGATCCGACATCATTCGAACTCAGACTGTTGGTGGAGTACAAGGTCAGCGCGAGAGACATTTCAAGCAACGGAACGAGAATGCAGCAGCGGATTCTACGCACTTCAGCTTGCAAAGCTTGCGGTTTACTTTGAGAGCCGTCGCGAACGCACTCGTACCCGTGCTGCCAACTCGATTCCCTTTCAGGCTACAAGCTTCAGTGAGTCGTCTGGTCAACCCACAAAGTTTCGGTTGAGAGGCAGAGTCTGCCACTCACTTCAAAACTTCCAGAGCGGAATTGGACTCGAGCGATTTCGCAATGGCAATACCACCGTCAAGGCGAATAAGATTAGCCTCCAGACTGGTCAAACGTCAGCGTTTGCGTGAGTAGAACGATAACGATACTTTTTGAGAAGCCGATGAACAGCGACTTACTCGAGCCGACGAAGTGACGTGTTGGTGGCCAAGGCCTTCGCAAGCGCCCTCGCACCCTGACAATCGATATGATTCCAGTCCAAGCTGAATTCACTTTAGAGTGAGCATAAATGGCTTCATTTCATCACCCTTACATTGCCGACACTACTCAACAGACTTACAACAACTCTTTGAGCTGGGAGTTCACACTGAGACAGTCAGCAAGAGCCATCAAGCCAGTTGTGGTAATCATGTTGGAGTTCAGACTATTTTGAAGGCAGGCACATAAGATTAGCCGAGCAGAACAACCTCAAATGAAAACGGGATGCAGGGAACGTACTTCAGAGAGGTGAGAGTCGAACCGTGTTTGAGAGCTTCGGCCAACGCGATCGCACCCTTGTCGCCAATTTGATTCTTCTTCAAGCTGTTTCGACAATGTAAGTATACTTGGATGCATTGTAACTGAGTTCTCAAAGCGTATCCTTGCCTGAGCGTCTTCAGCGTACGATTGTTCTCGAGTGCTTCGGCCAGACACTTGGCACCACGCTCGCCAATCCCATTACCGTCCAGTCTAACAGTCGGATTCACTTGTAAGAAGCCGGAATGGCATCGGTTGTCGGTTGAGTTGCCACTTACTCTAGCTGGAGCAGGTTGGTGTTGGCCATCAATCCCAACGCGATAGCTTCCGCCTCCTCGTCGCACAGTCCCATCTCGGTCCAACTGCAACAATAAAAAAACACATGAGTGTTGCGAGGGCGTCTGTTTGAAGTACCTGTTGTCGATGACTCTTACTTTTGGTCCTGAATGGCATCCTTGGCTTGCATGTACCAGAGCTTCTGGTTTTCGGTCATTTGGTCTTCGACCAAAGTTATGACCGGCATTGTTGCAGTTAACGTCTGTTCTGTTGGCAAAAACAAGCAATCATTGTCTCAGCTGTTCAGATTTATTTGTTCATTTTGTTTGTTGTTGTTTTCGTTTCATTGGTTGGTTTCGAGGGGGGCTGTTCTTGTTTGCTTGGGGGGTGAGTTCACTCGTGCAGTCGATAGCTTGCTAAGCAAGGAATCCATCCTCAATGAATCAAGCACAATGTTCGAGCACAAGCGCAGTGCTCTCACGTCAATCACCAAAGTAGAAGCGATCGTCAAAGAACAAATCGAAACCGTTTATGTTTGTTTGTTTGTAGTTTTTCGTCTTTTTATCATTTGATTGAAGTTCTCTGTGCTTGTTTCGCGGAAGGCGGATTTGTGGCTCTACAAGCGATCGAGTGCACAATCATATGCACGAATGCCGACAGTCAGGCACGGAGCGAAAGAAGGAAAAGAAACAAAAAAAAAAAAAAAAAAAAAAAAAACATGCGTCCTGAGCCATCGCAGCAACCGTGAGACTTGTAGCCGGTGGTGGGGGAGGGGGCTGTCGACACGATCAAACCACTCGCAATGACATTGTTCTGTGATCTTATGTTGCGTGTGGATGATCTCCAGAAGGCGAGAGAGAGCGATTGATGCGATGGGGGGTGGCTTGACCTGTCAACCACAACAAACTGGAGTGTCCTTTTTTTGGTGTTTATTTGGCATGAATCGTGAATCAATCCAGCCGGCGAATGTGTGGGAGAGCAAACACATCCTCGGATCCGATTCTGCAGAATTACATGGCTAGATAGTGCATTTGACTGGCCTGGTGGAGGCAGCAACGCAAAATGTAGCCAATGCACGCCCACGGTACTTTCTCAGCAGGACAGTTCTCCAATACTTCGATGTACTCTGCTCTGTTGTTGATGAACAGAGACACGGGGACAGCAGTGGTGGCGCGCAGCAGATAGCTTAAAAGCAACCGCGCAACACGCCCGTTTCCGTTCCTGAATGGATGAATGAGGAGAAACTCGCGAAAGAAAACGCCGGCCACCTGCTCAAGTCGAATCGCATTCATGCGTCGAGCGTGAAGGTTAACGCGGCAGATTGTGACGCTATTTCATGAAGTTGAGGCTCCTGACCTTAATGGCCTGGTCGAACAGCTCCGTGGTCGTCACTGTGGCGGGCATGAGCTCTTGCGTGATGGCAAACAGCGCGTCCAGTCGTTGGCTAATCTTGCTTGGCGTTGCGTATGCAACATTTGAGTTCAGAGGTTGGACTTGAATTGTGCGATACTCTCCTGCGTAATCCATGCAGTCATGCATCACCTACAGTACAGCATTGCATACAGCGGATTGGAGGTCAGAACAAGGCAATAATGATCCTTTGAGTGGTAGTTTTGGCTCTGCAGTCATACTCACAATGCGATGAACGTCTCTAGCCAGACTGGCGTCAAACGGTCGGTCGCGGAGTTGGCGTCGAATCTCTTGAACCTGTGCGGAGAGCGCTTCCGACATGGGGACCTCGAGATTGTCGTGGAGGAGTGCATGTGCGGTCGCATAGAAGTTGTGCACCTTCTGCCAAGTTCTGGTTTGGCCTTCGGCTGGCGGCAAGATCATTTCGAACGCCTGCGAGTCGCCGTTTCGAACGTGCTCGAGCAGAGGTGTTGTGTCGACGTCTCTTGACAAACCGAGTTCCCCGCGCCAAAAGTCGTTCACGTAAAACCCGATCACAACAATAATGACCTCCTGATCTTTGTGCCAGTTCAGCGGTGCTAGCTGACCGTTCACCGTCATAAGCGACTCGCGAAGACTTTGGAGCGAGCTGCCTAAACCATGAGAGGCGCGAAGCTCGTTGAGGTCCCATTGCTGTGCGACCGCTATTGTGAAGTTCTGGCGGAGTGCTGCGGCGTAATTCATCTACTGTCGGATCGGCCAAGCGTCTGTGGTGTTTGGTACTGCGGGAGCACTGCAGCAAAGCACGGCAGCAAGCAACCCACAAAGACACACAATGATGCACACACATTGGTACGAGAAGGGGGGTGATGAAGAGTACAAGTCCAAAGGGAAAAAGAGCCGTTCCAATGCGTTCTTTGTTTTCTCGTGGATGATGTTGATGATGATGATGATGATGTGATGATGCAGGGAGGTGAAGAGCATCGATATGTACTCGCACAGATAGGAAACACACACATAGAGGTCAAGGAGAAGTATTGAAAGAAGTGGTGCGAGCGAGAACGAAAAATGGCGGGAAAACGGCTAAGAAACACTTACAGTTGAGGTCAAACGTCAAAAAAAAAAAAACTGAGGATCAGCGACTTTTACGATATTTGGAGAATGGATGGAAGGGATGCGGATGCTTGTTCTGAGTTTCTACCCGATCGTGTGTGTGTGTGTGTGTGGATTGTTGGCTTTGTTTGATCAGTCGAACAACGCCGACCATCACCTCTCCCAACCATTACCATTACTGTATGAAAGCTCCATCCCGCAAAGCACAACTTGGTGCTTGAACTAAATTCGCAATGACATCCTTGTGAGACGCGCTTGGCCAACAAATGCAGCCGATCGAGCACTTGCGTTAACTCGATGCGCTGTTTCCCCGCTCACCCTCTGCCCTCCATTTTGACTTCTCATCACAGTCATGCAAGTTGCTTTCCAATCTGCACAATGCCACGTCACTCGACTCTCGCTCTGGGCTTCGCGAAACCCAGAAATTATTGCCGAGTCAAACGTTTAAAGTTCCGCATGAGCCGGTTCAGTCTTCAAAATTCAAATTTGACTACCAACATGGCATCCCTCGCAATCCCCGCTGCTTTCGGCTGGGTGCGTCTTCCATTCCCACATTGCTCTCCCGATCTCCCTTTGTTGCTTGCTGCATGCTCGTGCACTCTGAACTCCGGATGCAGATCGCATTGGCTGAATGCTTTGTCTCACACAATCCTCGCGTTCGACTCTGCTTCTCCACTCTCGTTGCGTTGCGCAGCCGCTGATCACTGCTACGCTCATTAGCGCTCAGGTCGTCTACACTGGCTTCCGCTACGCCGGCGGTGCCCGCTCCCAGTTCAAGGTCCCCGTAAGTCAGGATTGACTCTGCGTTGTGTTTTGATCTGCTTGTTTCTTCATCATCATCATCATCCTCTTCTTCTTCATCATCGGTTTCTTTGTTGTTGTCTTTCGTCAACTTGGACTTGTTCTTCGTAATTTTCCGCACCACAAAGTTGGACAACAAAAAGTTGGACAACTTTTTTTTTTTTTTTTTTGTTTTCCATTCTGATTCTTATTTTTCTTGTTATTTTTTTTTTTTTTGACGCTTTTCATGTTCCGAATGTGATCTCTTTTTTTGTTGTTTTTGTTATCTTTCTTTTGCTCGTTTGAGGATGTTCGAACATTGTGTCTCAGCATCTTTTTGCTAACTGTGTCGAGACGGAGATTTTCCAACAAAAATCTTCCGCATTTGTTTCGTATCCACAGTTTTGCAGCATTTTCGCATTGTCTGTATTGTATTGTTGGTTTGGAAAACTGACTGCTCTTATTGGTCGTGTTTGGATGATGCTGTGCATTGCGTAGTACCCTGACATGACTGGCCGCAACCTCAACGAGAACGACTGGAAGGCCTTCAACAACGCCCAGCGCGCGCACTACAACTACGTCGAGGGCGCCGCGTCCGTCATTGCGCTCAACATCATCTCGGGCCTGTTCTTCCCGCATGCATCCGCTGCGGCTGCCGGCGTCTACATTATCGGCCGTGAGCTCTACGCCCGCGGCTACACCAAGAACGGCCCCACTGGTCGCTCGGTCGGCGCTGGTCTCCTCGACACTGCCCTTGTTGTCATGTTCGGCTTGAGCCTTGTTGGTGCTGGTGGTCTTATCTACCGCGCACGACAGTAAATCACCTCCCTACAATGCTGGGTGGGCAAAAGGCAAGCCCTCGCACTCGAGATTGGCTCTCCGCTAGCCGTCTTTGAGAAGGTGACAGGGGGGTTGATTGGGTTGAGTAATGTAACAGAACACGCCGAGATGGCGTGCTTTGTCAATAAAGTTGTTTGCGACTCGCTAGACACCGGATTCGGGCATGCTTAGATGGGAGGGAGGCGCAACATGAGCTGAAACGCGGTGTTGTTTTTTTGTTTGTTTTGTTTTGTTTTGTTTTCTACTACTACGGCACCGACAAACAACCAGTGTGGACACTCCTTCGTCGTTGTCTTGTGGCAGGGAAGGTGAAGCACCTCCTTCTGCCGACCCTGAAGCAGCAGCAGCCGCCGCCGCTGGCGATCGCTTGACCTTTTTCCGACCAATCTGGTCGGCATACTTGTTACCGGCGCGCATCTCCTCGGGGGAGGACGAGGCTCGTGCGGGTAGAACCATGACTGCGGCGTTGCGAGAGGAAACGACCTTGACAACGTTTCCACTCTTGTTGGCACGGGCAGGATCCTGATCGTCGGCCGCTCGGCCCGATGGGTCTGGCCGCAATTCAGTCCAATCCACCGCACCCTTCTCGGACAGACGTTCGAGCCGGTGCATCAACTTGATTCGCTTTGCTTCGCGTTGCGACGGGCTCATCATCGGACCGCCATGCGTTGCCGCCAGCGGCGATTGTAAATGGGCTTCGTACGCGTCAACCAACGCGGCAAACTGCTCTGTTGATACATTCGAAACACGCGTCGTTGGAGGTATTTTGGCCTGTTCCAGCAGTTGCAGTGCAATGTCTGCATTGCCGCCGACTAGACGCCTGAAACACGCCAAGGCATTTTCAAAAACAAACACACAAAAAAAAACAATAAATGAAATGTCAATGCGCACCAACCTCCTCTTGGGTTGAAACAAAAGCATGAACTGCAGCTTACCCAACGCCATTAGAGATGAATTTGCCACGTTGGTTTAGAATGTGCTGCGCAACCAGCTCCACTGAGGCAATCGGAGCTGCTGTCATTGGTTGCTCCAATGGGGCAAAGTAGACACCACCCACTTGCACCTTTGGCGGCGGTACAAACACAGTGTTTGGCATGTGATAGTGATACCGAGCAGCGAAAGCGTGCTGCACTAGGAGCGACAGACGACTCCGATCGCTTGTTCCAGGTTTGGCGACAATTCGCTTACAAAAAAATGAACATCAAAATGACATGACAAGAATGAGTTCTCGTGGTTAAAGTCCGATGCGTCTTGCAAAAGATGAACAGCGTCATCGAGAGATTGGAAGCACAAATGACTCACCTCAGCTACTTCATGTTGAAACGTAAAGAGCAAGTGCGTGCGGCCAAACCCAAACACGCCTCGTTTGAGTCGACAATCGTGTACTAAATCCACTAGCAATCGTGTGGAAATGTTGAACGGCAGATTTCCGATAATGTAGACGCCATTACTTGGCTCTGGCAAGACAACATGCGACCGTGCGACCGTGCAAGTGAGCAAAATCAATTCGCGGGCATGGACAAGAAAGGGAAATGAGAGCTCACCACTCCATGGCTGAGGCTTGACGAGCGGCGCCAATAGCTTTGTATAATCAAGAGTTAGAATATCGTGATGCACGACTTGCATTCGCCCTTCAGCCGCCTCCGCGAGTAGCTGAACAAAAAAACCCCAGCGCGTCAACAAGTGAGCATGGACTTTGGTCAGGAACAAAGGGAGGGAGATCTCGCATCAAAGACCTCACCTGCAATGAAGGCAGAAATCGGCGATCCTTCTCAATGGCAAACACCTTCTTGGGCCCTGCTTCCAGGATGGAGCGAGTGAGCGCGCCGGGACCTGCAACAGTGTGCGCAGAAGCCATGAGGTGAGACCACGTCAACCCCAGCCTCCCGACCCGACTGCTTCTCGTTCAGAATTGTACAAGCGCGGCATTACCAGATCCGACTTCGATGACGATGGCGTCCTTGAGCTTGGCCGGCGCAATGAGGCGATCTGTCGCGAGGAAACCAAGCGCCAAGAAGGTGAGCCATCCACTGCTGCCCGGCTTCCACCACTCAAAACAACGCACTACAGCAAAAAGCCATTCGTACTTGTGACATTGAGATCCAGGATAAAGTTCTGGCTGAGCTGCGACTTGGCGGACAGACCGTACAGCCGGATGAGGTCTGCGACGGACGGCAGCTTTGGCAGTTGCATTAGAGAGAGAGAGAGAAAGAGAGAGGACTGAGGTTCGGTTTGGTGATCTCGAGTATTCAACTCAAGCACAAGTAATTGATAGTGTCATTGAAGCTGAATCAATGGTTTGGATTGTGATCGTGGGATGATTGAGAGTCCTGCCATCTCAATCCCTGCCAAAACCTCGTTTCGGATTGTCAATTCCGTGATAGTAATCACTCTTGCTTTATTTTCCTTTGTGTGTGTGTGAATTTCTTTTCGTTGAATGAACTCGACGGGGTGGCCGCCAGCAGGCGAGCTCAGCCAGCCCAATGCAGCGCCAGCCACCAGCATCATGGGAGTCGCCGCATCCGCGCCCACCTACGCCCATCAACAACAGCAACAGCAACAGCAACAGCAGCATCACCACACTCAGCAGCAGCTCGTTCAGCTGGGACTCGGGCTCGGGCTCGACTTTTCAAGCCTGTCGGAAGTTGCCGCTCTGGCGAGTCGGCTCTCTGGGCAGCATCCCGCCGCCAGCCACGGCGACCTCGGCACGGCCGGGCTGCGGACGCTGTACAACCCCGTGCTGAGCGTCGAGAGCACTGGCGGCAGCGCTGGTGGCGTCGGCGTTGGCCTATTTGGCGGGAGTGACGACCACTTGGGCGCGAATCCCGCTGAGACCGGCAGCGGCGACGACGACGAGTCCAACAAGAACAAGCTGCGGGAGCGCAACAAGACCGCGGCGGCCAAATCGCGGCTCAAGAAGAAGCAGCGCGAGCATCAGCTGCAGCAGCGCGCGCGGCACATGGTCGAGCGCAACGGCGACCTCAAGACCGCAATGGCAAAGATGGAGACCGAAGTCCAAGCGCTGCGGGAGAAGATGGCTGCGGCCACTGCTGCTGCAGCGACTGGTACTGCCACTGCAGCTACTGCGACTGCAGCTACTGGCACTGGTACTGGTACTGGTGCTCCATCATCGTCGTCGTCAGCATTATCATCATCGGCAGCATCGCCGTCATCACAGGCAGGATTAGCTGCGGTCAATCAGCCGCTCAGCTGACATGCCACGACTCAGCGCCCCCGGCGGCCCCTTGTGTATCTGTGTTTGGCTGATTGCTTGAGAAGGTCCATTCGATGACAAGTACAATGCAACAAAAAAAAAAAAAACGAGAAGCACTCGACGCTCGGCTTGGTTTGGCGTAACGACGAACGAACGAAAGGATTCTGTTTGTGTTTGTTGATGTTCTGAGATTTTGGTTTGCGAATAGTGTTGCTGTGCGACAAATAATAGACTCTGTGAATTTTGTGAATTGGAGATATTACCTGTACCACCTTCACAAAAAAGCGCGAGCATCCACTGAACAGAAGCGGGAAACTGGGAGATTATATTATGACGGGTACAAAAAGGGCAATAGCAACCCTGCACGCTTTGCAACAAGGGGAGACAAGACACACAATCAACAACATCAATCAACAACATCAATCAACAACACCAATCAACTTATTTAACAAGATAAATTCAAGGTAAGGAAAAAAAATACGCGGCAGTCGTTGAACAACCCCGAAACCAAGGCCGCAAAATTTCAAACTCGTGCAATATCAAGAGACTCGTCGGATCTGCGGCCTAGTCTACTTGCGGTAGCGGGGAGACGAGGTCGGGCTCAAGACCCAGACATCCGACAGCTTGCGCTCCTTCCGTGGTGCGGCCTCGACAGGGCGGGTGAAGATGAGCGCGAGGTTTGGATGCTCAAACACGGGGAAAATCTCGTCCACATTGCGGTTTTGGACGGCCTGCATGTAAATGGCAGTCTTGAGCTGGGGATTTTGGGCCCACATCGGAATTCGCTTGACTGGACGGGGGTTTGCCAGTTCTGCCTCCTCATCCGACGTGTCTGTGTGACCATCCGTCAGATCATAGCTGTCGTACGATCGCGGCGAGCTCATGGATGAGGACGTTGCTGCGACTGCGGCGGCTGCGGCTGCCGACGAGTTGGCAATGGCGGAAATGGGAGTGACGGTCGGCTGGACGACAGGCGCCGATTGGACAGCAGCTTCCGGTGCAGGTGTAGAGGACGATGATGTGACGGGCAACAACGACGACGACGACGACGACGACGACGACGACGACGACGACGACGACGACAGGACAGGTGCAGTCGGTGCTGCTGCCATCAAAGGAGCGCCACTACGACGACGACGACGACGACGACGACGACGACGACGACGACGACGACGACGACGACGACGACGACGACAGGACAGGTGCAGTCGGTGCTGCTGCCATCAAAGGAGCGCCACTAGTCATCGCCGTTGCTGGGGCCATTGAAGGCAACATCGAGCTCGTAGCGACGGGCGAGGGCTTTTTGAGCAAGGATGAGTATCCAGCATGCGAAGGCGCTGCACCATTGCTTGACTTGAGTGACTTGAGGACTGCGGATGAGCTGATCGGACCAGACGAGTTGGTGGTGGGCGCCGCAGCAGCCGTGACATGGGGCACAAGCGGGCGGGTGAGAGTGGCAGTGTTTGCAACGGGTGTTTGCATGACTGTCTGTGCTGGAGTCACCAGGCTGGAGCCGGTTGCGCCGCCAGTAGTGGCTGAGGTGGCATGCTTGGCCTCGCGGTCTGCGAGCTTCTTGAGCAAGAGCTGCTCTCGTTCGGCGAGGTTCTTCTTGCGATCGACTTGAGCGGCAGCGCCGGTTGCTGTCGGGAGAGTTGCAACACGAGCCGCAGCGCCTTCGACAGGGGATGTCTTGGACGAGCCGACCAAGGTTGTGTCCGCCGAGCCGGTAGGGCTGGTGGTGACTGAGGAATCGGTGGACTTGGCCATGGCAAAGTCTAGTGGGCCAGTCGTGTCTGCCACAGTGCTAAATGCAAGGGGTGAGGTGGCTGCCAAAGCCGTGGCCGTCGTGTCGAGCGCGAGAGCAGCAGGTGATGCCGGAGCAACCAGCATAGCGGACGACGACGACGACGACGACGACGACACTGGCGCTGGCGCTGCAGTAGCACGTTGGCCAAGAACGCTTGAGGTTGGTGGGGCCATCTTGCGTGTCTCCTCGCGCTTCTTGCGCACGTCCTCTTCGCGCTGCTTTTTGGCGGCAGCCTCTTGATCCTTTAGTTCCTTTTCGGCCAGTCGCTTCTTGGTCAGGCTCTCATCGCGCAAGCGACGCTCCTCCTTGCGACGCTCGTCGGCTTCCTTGGCGGCTTGGGCGATTTTGAGTGCCCTGATGTGCGGAGCAACACGGTTGGCCGCAGCCTTGGCCGCCGCCTCCGCCTTGCGCTGTTCCAGCACGGCAGCGAACGAGATTGGCCCGCCAAGACGATTGCCTGCAGACAGGTTGCTAAACGGACGCTCGCCAGGGGCAGCCAGGTTGGATCCGGTTGCCGCAACAGGCACGTCAAAAGCGCTGCTGTCGCCGCCGTCCAAGCTTGTAGCTGGCTCCTCCACGGTAGGCGCTGCGGATTCGATGTTTGCTTCAATTTGTCGGCTCGTCTCATCCACAGATGGAGAAGCCAACACAATGGGGCTGGTCCGTGCCTCGACCTCATCGTCCGCGCTGTCATTGCTTTCGTCGTCAGCGTCGGCACCATCATCATGAGCGTGCTTGCTGGCGCGTTGAGCACTCGACTTGCGCGCGGCCGCGTTTGATTTGCGAGCAGCAGCAGTTGACTTGCGCGCGTTCGCACTTGACTTTCGCGTCGTGCGAACAACCTCGTGCTCTTGCTCGCCGACAATCTCGGGCACTGCGTCAGAGGGAGCAGCCATGGTATCACCGACCTCTGGCCGCGGGATGGCTTGCACGGCGCTTGCGGGGACGCGCGTTGGCATGCGCTTCTTGCGGAGACTTGCCAATCCCATGACGTGCTTTTTGGCGTCGCTCCACTGGGCGTTAACAGAGCCAGCGCTGGCTGTCGAAATGGCGTCGAACGCGGCAAACTCGCTGGTGGACGCTGCCTTGCTAGCGGCAACCGGAGTCGCTGGTGCCTTGGGTGCAGCGTTGCTTGAAGCCACATCCTGCTCGACATCAGACAAGGAATGCCGCGAGCGCTTGCTGTCCTGAAGGACATCATTGTACCCCACCTCGGTAGAGACATCTGCTGCCTCAGCTGCATCGACCGCTGCATCCTTAACGCTAGGCGCAGAAATACAAACAGACTCGGATTTCGCCGCAGGAGCATCTTCCATCGAAACGCGTCGGCTCGACGTTGCTGATTCAGACTGTTGGGGGATGTCTTGCTTGCGCTTTCGAGCTGCCTTCTTATCCTTGGTCGGCTCTTCAGCCGGTTGTGGCTCGGAGGGAGCTTCTGCTGAAACAGCTTCGATAGCGTTCGCGCTTTCGGCAGGAGCGCCAGTACGACGAACAACAGGGCTGACAAGCGTCTCAATTTTAGCAAGCTTGGACACGGCTGCAGGAAGGAGCATGCCAGGGGCTTCCGACTGTGGGCTGCCAAAGACTTTGGACGCGACTGCGCCGAGCTTCTTCTTGCGACCAGCGGCAGCTGGTTTGGTAGCAGCAGCCGCCGCTACAGTGGCAGTTGCAACACTATCAGCCAAAGCGACACGCTCCTCTGCTGCGGCATCGTCTGCGGAAGCAATGGCAGTAGTAGTAGTAGTAGTAGTAGGAATGGTTGCTGGCTCCGCAGTTTGAACAGAAGGAACGAGCGGTGCTTCGGCAGCAGGGGCAATAACGGTGGCGGTGACTGGAGTCTCGTCCTTTTTAGCCTTGCTGGCGGTTGCCTTGCTTTCAGCATCGGCCGTGGCTTGCAGCGCCTTGAGGGCGTTCTTGGCGGCGCCTCGAGTTGGGCGTGCGGACGTTGCGGGTGCATCAACCACTGCAGCGTCAATCTGAGCGGCAGCTGCTCGAACTTTGGTGGATGGCTTTTCGGGAGTGCTTGCTGCAGACGCTGCAACGGCTGGGACGATCTCTGCTGGTGGAAGCGCCGACGAAGAGGTCGAGCTGGGTGCGGCAGCGTCTTCCGCTTGTGGTGCGGGAGCCGTGGTGCCACGACGCGTGGCACGCTGCGGTCGTTGAATAGTTGCAGGTGCCGGTGCATGTGTAGGTGCAAGTACAGGTGCTGCAGCGACTTGCGCCGCCGTCTCGACCACAGCAGCGGCCAGAATGGGTGCAGCAGCAGAGCTGCTTGTCGAATTGCTCGACGGCACATCTTCCGTCTCGTCTGACACGCGTCGTCGTTTGGCAATGGCTGTCACAGCGGGTTCTTGAGCAGTGGTCAGCGGAGCAGGAGTCGTTGCTGCGACCTCCACTGCCACCTCAGGCTTGACAGTAGTTGCGCTCTGGGAGTCAATGTTGTCCGACCTTTGTTGCAGTGGGATGGATTGTGTAGCACGAGACCGTGTGGTGCGTGTCGTCATTGGCGCTGCTGCCGCTGCCTCCTCAGTTTTGCCAACCTCGGCAGGCAAATGTGCGACCTGTTGGTGCCAGACCAAACAACAAGAATTTTTGTCATTCCGGTGAGTGGCTTGTTGGTGTTGTTTCAACCTTTCCGCAACAATTCAGTCAGGCCAAGTCGATCGAGCTCTTGTTTTCCTTACATTCACAGCGCGGTTGCGTCGTCGGTTGTTGCGCTTGACGGTGAGTGATGGGGTTTTCGGCAAGAGGACGTTCGATGCACTGCAAACAAAGAGTCAGATCGATCAGTGAGTAACACTATCAAAAGAATGAGAAAAAAAATAACAAAATCCAAAAAAAAAAAAAAATCATAGTCAATGAAAACAAAAAAGTGAAACAAATTTAAAAGAAAAAAATTGAAACAAAAAAAACCGTTGACAGTTCGACTTGTTTCAGTGTTTTGCATTTGGCGTCTGTCTCTCGCTTCGCATCTCTGCCACGCATTGTGCATTGTGGGGTTTGAATGCATCGGATGTTGGTGTCTGTATGACTTTATGATTGTATGGGAGGCGGGGTGTCAAACTTACAGGAAGGCGGTCTTGCGCATCTCCTCGACGAGCTCATCGAGCCAGGTGTTGTTCTCTTCAACGGCCGCGTCAAACTCGCGTTCGGATTTGGCGGCTATCGTCTCGAGTGCGAGAAATGCGCCATCCACAATGCTCTTTGTGGTTGCTGCCATGATTTCGATTTGTGTCAAGGGAGAGAGTGTGTGTGTGAAAGAGAGAGGAAGGAAGCGGAGAGTAGATCAACGGGAACAAAGCGAAAAAAAAAAAAGCGCCAAACTGTTTCGAAGTTGAAAAAGTGAAACAGATTTTTGTTTGGTGCTGATGCCTGGCTGTGCGTGTTGTTGCTGCTGATGTCGACGGTGCTGATTGTGCTGAATGTGGTGAAGAAATGCAACAAGCACGATTGGATTGTATTGCGAGTGTGAATGCGCGGGCTGCCGGGGGGAAAAAGTTGTCGAAGGGAACCAAAATAAAGAAAGAAAACTAAAAGAAAAATTTGAAAAATGAACTCAATCCAAAAGCAGATCCCGAAAAGTTGCTGCATTGGAAAAATAACATGTCTTTGATAATCCACACTGCGAACGGGCATCCGACAATCGCACGAGTGAAGGATTGAAAACAAACGACAAAGATCTGGGAGTGAAGCTGGAGTGAGTGCAATTGCAATGGATCCGACTGCGACCAACCACCGGCCAGCCATCCGTCGCTTCTTCCATGTCGACTTTACCGAAAATTGCGCTGAGAATCGCTTGACAAATTCTCGTCGAAAACTTGCATCAGCGAGGCGTAAGAGCGCAGCATGGATGCTTGGAGATTCGCATTGAGATTGGCGTTGAGATTGGGGACCACCACCCCCGCCCAATCCAACGCTTCCTCCCTCATCAACCATCGCAGCATCCATTTCGTCGAATATATTGTAATCCCGTCAGTCTTTTTATTCGTTTTGTCGTGTTGCAGAAATGGAAGAAGTCGACAACATTATCATTGTGTCGCTGCGTTCGATCGGCTGGTAAGTTGTTCCAACGACCTTCCACACGCACTCCCCACTCTGCGCTCCGTCCGTGCATGACGACAATGTTGTTTCCATCTTCATCGACCTCGACCATTCCGTCACCCCCACAGACAGACAGACAGACAGCAGAGAATCGAGTGACAAACTCCCAATCCTTCGGCTGTCTGCTTCCTGCTCCTCGCCCCCATCACCATCGTCCCATCGACCACGTTTTATTGCAATCCTCGTTCTTCATTCTTCAGCTCTTCCCTCTCTATTCCCCCGAGATCGATTCCCCCGCTTCGACTCTGTCCCCAATTGTTCCGTTGTGTGACTATGTCAAGTGACTCCAAAACCAAAAAAAAAAAAAAAAAAGGCTTTACTGAAAATTTTGCGATCTTTCAATTTGTTGTTGCTCACCCTTGGTTTTGTTGCATTGCAGCGATATTCCGGACGACGTTGCGTCAATCAAGGCGTTCTCGACGGACATTGTTGTGGACGGCGCTGCGACGGCGCTCGCCACAATCAATGAAAAGTACAAGTTCCCGCGCCGGCTGCCGAACGAGATGTCTGCGCGATTCCGCATCTGCACCAACATGGCCAACGCGTGCAAGGAGCTCGGATATGCGGACGACATTGGATACCACCAGTTCCTCTACTCGAACGAGAGCGAGGTCCGCAAGCTCTTCATGTGGCTCGTCGAGAAGCTGCCCCGCGAATCCTCCGACGCGACTGCAGAGCCCACCGGCGTCTCGGCCGTCCTCAACAAGGCCATCACGGACGAGCTCGAGTACCGTGCAGAGGCGCCCTGGACGCTGCCCGTCGCGAAACGCAGCGGATATGCGCGCCGTGTCGCCACCATTCCCGGACCGACGCCCAAGAGCCCGCCCACCTACGTCCCGCACCAGCAATGGGAAGGTCTCCGTGGTGTGCACCGTCTCCATGCCAGCGTTGTTGTCATCCCCGCTGGCGCTGGCGATGTGACCAAGCCTCTTTCGAAAGGTGAGTGAAACAGAGCAAATTTTTTTGGTTTTTGGTGCATCCGTTTTTTGATCAAGCAGAGCGTCTTGTCTGCGAGCGCCGCTCATTCACCTTTGATTCTATCGTCCGTGTCAACCTCGATCAGAACTGCGCAAGTACTACGCTGGCGCTTTGCCGTACCTCACCGCTCAGCCGCCCGTGCGCCAAGACGTTGCTCCGTCAATCTTGGAGAAGGTCTCGGCCGAGTACACTGCCGCTCGTGAATGGGAAGAGATTTGGAACAAGGAGGGCATGGACACTGGGCTTTCTGAAGCTGTACGTTGTACCAGGAGTTTGCGCATGCTTTTTTTTTCTTTTCTTTTTTTTCTTTTTGCTCACCCTCCTTGATTCAAAAAAAAACGCTCTTGTAGGAATTCCGCGATCGCAAGCGCCAGTTCGTGCGCTCCAAGATGGCCGAATACGTCCGCTCGAGTGCGCTGAAAGGTGACGGAGCGGGCTTTGGCCGAAACGACGCCGATTCGTTCGCTTCCTTCTTGGACTCGTTCTCGGACCGTGGCCTGCGGAATGCCAAGGGTTCGCGCTTCACCCACGCCGAAAAGTTCCAGTTCACTCAGGACGAAGGCGCCGCCGCTGCTGTTGCCGACACCGAAGAGGAGCTGCGCAAGCGCCGCGAGGAGGAGCTTCGTGCCTTGCAGGAGCGCTTGGACGCTCTTTCGGCGGAGGTTGATCGTATGGAGCACGAGATTCGCAACTTTAACGTCAACACGTCGCAGCTCGAAAGCAACTTGCGCGAAGAAAAGTCAGCCTCGGCCACCAAGGAGGCCCTGTACCGCTCCAAGGTCAAGGTCTTTGAGCTGCTGCCCGAAGCGGACAAGAACATTGAGCTTCTCCAAGGCCTGGTGTCCACATCGACCAAGCGCCTTGTCGAGCTTGCCACGAAATGGGAGGCCGTCCGCGCGCCCTTGGTCCTCGAGTACCGCACGCTCAAGGAGTCTCAGGACGGTCGCATGGTAAGGGGTGACCGACAGTAGAGTTGAAGATCTGGCATCTGGTTGGTGTGGACCTTTGCTTACCCGTTTTTGTTTTTTCGCCTTGTTGCCTTTTCTCTACAGACCGAGTCACGACGCAAGCTGGCTCAAATTAAGGAATTCCGCGAGTCGATGAAGCAAATTGCAGAGGAAGCTCGCATCAAGGACGAGCTGTACCGCCAACTGACGGCCGAGTACGAGAAGATGACAAAGGACATCAACCGATCCATTTACACTCGCCGCATTCTCGAAATTGTCAAGAACATCAAAAAGCAACGCGAGGATATCGACAAGGTTCTTATCGAGACCCGTGCCCTGCAGAAAGAGATCAACCACACCTCCGACGTTCTCAACCGCACATTCTCTGCGACTGACGAGCTCATTTTCAAGGTGAGTGGTGTGGCACGAATGACTATTGATTGATGTTGATCTGGGTTGAAGTGTTTGTGTGTGTGTGCGTTTGTGTGTGTGTGTGTGAACGTGGTTTTCACTTTGGTTTTCTTGGCTGTGTAGGATGCCAAGAAGGACGATGCCTGCCGTCGCGCTTACAAGTATTTGGCCAGCTTGCACGAGGTCGGTGCTTTCATGGTTGAATGCTGTCGGTCGAAATGCACTGTATCTCACGTTTTGTTTGATGTCTACATACTCGCACCCCTCCGACAGCATTGCAACGTACTGATTGCCGACGTGGAAAACACTGGCAAACTCCTCAACGAAATCCGCGACTTTGAAGAGAAACTCGAGCAGCTCAACCAGCAAAACGTTCTTCCCAACCTCGAGCGCATCACCGCCGATTACATTCAAGTCAAGAAGGAGAACCAGGCGCTTTCGGCCAAGCTTTCCGGCCGTGCGTGATCCAGCAGTCGTGTCGTTTGATCTTTGTCTCGTCAATACAAGTTCTTTTTTGCGTCACGTATCCATTCTTTTTTTGTTGTTGTTTGTTTGTTTTTGCCACTCGCCTCCCAACTACCGCCTTCGACCTCGCTGGAGCATGGATGTACAGCAATGACTACTCCCCATGTCCGACGCCATCGCTTGGCCCCGTTGTCGGGACTCGCGCTGATTGAGCTCGCGCAGGACGGCCGATTGGACGAGCTGTTTCAGCTGCTGCGTGACTTCCCGCCTGTCGTGAACATGCCGTCCGCGAACGGCGAAACCCTCTTGCACTATGTATGTCGCGAAGGTCGCGTCGACATTATGAATCGGCTGCTCGACATGTACGAGCCTCCCTCCCCAACGCTGATGACGATGACGCAGGGCAAAGACGCGCGTGTCGGCGATTTGAGCCACAACAACCACGCCAGCCGCCAGTCCGACACGGACGCCTGCCGCTCGAGCGATGAGCGCGTTGTGTTGGACTGGACTGCTGCCACCAGGGGCAGGCGGCAGACGCCGCTCGCATGCGCGTGTATTCAGGGTCAAGCGGCAATTGTGGCGCTCCTTCGTCAACGCTGTCCCGACACGGCCCTCGCTCTCGAGCGCCTGCTGCAAACCGACAGCGAGTCCGCAACGCCGTTGCATTTGGCCGTTGGATCTGGCTCCTTAGAGCTGTGTCGGACTATCCTGGAACGCCAGTGCGATGTTGGGTTGCGGCGCAGATTGCCGCCAAGTGCCGATCGTGTCGTGACAACCGAGCAGGACACCTCCACCAACCTCGACGCGTCAACCGACCAAGGCATAGCAACCAACCAAGGCATAATAGCTCAACAAGGCATAGAAACCGCGTCGACTCATCGCCAACTCGCGGAACTCGTCGAAACGCCTCCTGCCACCAGCGCTCTCCCGCCAGATCTGGGCTCGCTTCGTTTGAAAGCGAAATCGCCCCTGCATCTTGCTGCCTCGAAAGGATTTGCTGACTTGATTCATTTGCTGATTGACTATGGCGACGATATGAACGAAGTTCACATCTTCCTGCGAACACCGTAAGTAACTGTGCAAGCTTTGTTCTTGCTGTTGTTCCTCTCTTTTTGAGCTTATTTAACTGGGGTGGTTTTAGGCTGTTGTTTGCAACCTACTTTGGAGAGGCCGCGTGTGTGGCTGCACTCCTCGAACGAGGGGCAGATGTTCAGCATCGCGATGAGAACGGATCGACCGGCATGCACTACGCTGCGCTGAGGTCTCACGTCGATTCCCTATCCGTCTTGATCCAGCACGGAGGCGACGTCAACGCGCAAACGGACGAAAAAAGCACCCCGCTTCACCACGCTGCGATACATAGCTCAAAGCCTTGCCTGGAACTTTTGCTTGAGAACGGTGCCCTCCCAGATCCAGTCGATGATCTCGGCAGCACTCCGCTGATGGAGGCGGTCAAGTCCCCGTCCATGCGTCTCGCAACTCTGCAGTTTTTGCTCGAGCGTGGTGCTCGAGTGAATGCCGTTGACAGCAGCATGAACACAGGTTTGGGAGAGGGCTTTTTGCCATTATTTGGTTTGCTGTGGAGAAAGCTCACCAAACTCGAATTTTTTGCCTGTGCAAAACATCCACAGTACTTCACCACGCCTCGCGTCTTCAGTGGATGCAGGCCGTCGAGCTGCTTCATCAGCATGGTGGTGACATGCATCGGCGCAACAGCCTGGACATCACTCCAGCGCAACTCGCACCGCTCAGGGAATCAGGCTTGCGGGTCCTGTCTCTCACGCAGCTGGCTGCTTTGAGCGTCATGCGCACCACATCTCGCAAGCAGCTAGCTGCCATGGACTGGCCGTTCAATGTGCGGGAGCTCCTGCTCCTGGATGACATTCTTTGGACGAATAATCCGTGTAGCTGAACATTTTTGTGAAAAACATCCCAAACTAAAACTTGTACGTTTTCTTTGCTTCGGATTGTTGTTTGTCTCCAAGCTCGGTTCGATTCTGAGTTTTCAGAGCTTTTCGAGTTTTCAGAGCTTTTCAGAGTTTTCAGAGTTTTTCAGAGTTTTCAAAGTTTAGTTTATCTTTTTTTTTTTTCTTTTTTTTTCTGCTATTTTCGCAATGGACGTGCTGCTCAAGCAGAAGACGACCCAGTGCAGCCTCCTCCAGCAGCAGGTCGAGGCGCTCAAGCGGGAGGCGACGCTGAAGGACGCGCTTCTCGCTCAGCACGAGAGCGAGATGGTCCATCTGCGCACAGAGCTCGACCGCCAGCGCGCGGCGATGCAGCAGATGCAGCAGCAGATGCAGGCACAGCAGAATGGCGGCAATCCCGACGCGGGGCATCCGACGCTGACTCTGTCGTCGCAGCTGCCCTCGTCCGCATCACTGTCATCACTCTCGCTCATCGCAGCCACGGGAGCAGGAGCAGGAGCAGCTGGAGCAGCTGGAGCAGGATTCAAAAGCCTGGATCCCATCCCACCGCTAGCAGCAGGAGCCGCTCCGACTGCGACCACTGTTACCACTACAACAACTGCTGCTACAACTACTACAACAAACACAACGCCTGCTATGACCACGGCGGCGGCGGCGGCTGCGGCGGCTGGATCGCTGCTGTTGCTCGGGACAACAACAACAACCAATCCCATTCCCAATGCGAATGCGAGCGTCAACACGGTGCCGACAATGAGCCACAGCGAGCTTGGTCGGCGCACGTCGCTGATTTCGCCGCTCATCCGCCAAGCAGCGGCGGCGGCGGCGGCGGCTGGCACTGGCACTGGATCTGCTGCCGTGTCTGCGTCCGCCCCACCGTCCGCCCTTCCGTCTGCGACTGCGACCACTCCTGCTGCCGCCGCTGCTGCTGCTGCTGCTGGAATGGCTTCATCAGACACGTCGGGCGTGCCGTCATCGCTGTCCTTCCTGGCGAACGCGACGGCAGCCGCTGCGAGCCAAGCGCCCATGATGAATGTTTCCATTCTTCCCACCGCCGCTTCGAATGCTGCTGCTGCTGCTGGAGTGGACCTGCAGACGGGTGCTTATGCTGCTGCACTCGCAAGTGCAAGCCCGCCGCTGTCTCCGAGAATCGAGCCGCGGTTTTTCGTGGAGCTCGAGTGCTGGCTGGACTCGCTCAACCCCAACTTGGAGAGCAGCGGTTTGGCGCGATCCCGACGACTTCCGCCACCGACGACCAGCGCCATCTTCCTCAATCGCGCCGATCTCGACATGACCGAGGACTACTTTCGACCTGCCCCGTCGGCTCGGCGGCCGGCTGAGTCGACCCAGCAAGCGTCGGCAGCGTACAACAACGCGGGCATCAACAAGAGCAAAATGTCCATCATTGGCGAAGCCGCCTCTGGTGCTGTTGAAACGCTCAAAAAGAAGCTGCAACGCAAGGGCGACGAGCCCCGCGCCTTCCAGGCGACAGCCCCGGCTCTGCCAGCGGCACTGGCCTCGACCACGCCCGCCGAATTGCAAGGCATTCCCAAACTTGGATCCTCCAAACCTGAAGACCGCCCCTGGTCGATTGGCGGCGTTGTGGCAGAGCAGTCTGTGCAAAAGCTGCTCGCTGCTGCTGCGGCTGGGGGTGGTGGGCCCCTCAGCCCATCTCTGGTTGCGACAGCGTCGCCCTCCCCGTCGTCGCCAAGCGCTGCTACGTCTCCAGCCAGCTTGTCGCCCGTCGCCACCGCCGCGCCACAGGTGCCCTTGCCAAACCCAGAGCACAACTCGCTGACCAATGCGCTCGCGCGCCGACAAACAACTCCAAAGTGGCTCATCCGGGCGTGGATGGCGGGCGGGTTGTGGAACAGACACGCACATTCTTCGGCTGCCACCGAAGCTGCATCCACCGCAACCGCAGCCGTGAATGGGAAGGAAAAGGTCGGTCGGGCAGAAGAAGCTCCAGGCGCTGTCACAGCGGCCGACAAGCTCACACCTTTTGCCTCCCTGCCTGCGAGCAAAGTCAAGTCCCCGATCCTCGACATTCTGCTGGCCGACGACATGGCAATTCTGGGGCCATTGTGTGCTGCTGCCCCAGGCGCCGAGTGGGACGAGCTTGCCAAGAGCTTGCTCCGTGTCTACGAGTCGTGCCACTTGTCGTTCTCCTTTTTCGACCGCGTGATTGCCGAGGTCATCAGCAACTCGGAATCGGAAAACACCCTCTTTCGCTCCAACTCGATTGCGTCCAAGACCATGTCCATCTACTGCCGCATGATGGGGCGCTCCTACTTGCAGCTGGCTCTGGCGCCCGCCGTGAAGCGAATTCTGACTCAGCCGGCCCTCAACTACGAGGTCGATCCGAAAAAGCTAGTTGCTGCACTCATGCAACAAAGGACTCCAACGACGACGAGTACTGCACCCGGTGCGGCCTCGTCGCTCGACGATGCACAGCAAGCGTTGCAACAAGTCTTACAACAGCAGCAACAATTGCAACAACTGCAACAACAACAACAGCAACAGCAACAGCAACAACAGCAAGCACAACAAGCTCAACCTTTGGTCGAGGAACCAAGCCAGGCAACCGTCGACGCCATGCTGAAGGCAAACATTGGGCACCTGACCGACGCGTGCTCCACCATGCTGGATGATATCATTTCGCACATCGATGGCTTCCCGCATCCCTTCCGCCGCCTCTGTGCCATTTTGCGCTTCCACGTCGAGCGCAAGTACCCCACACGTGGTCTGTTTGCAGTCGGATCGTTTGTCTTTTTGAGGTACATTTGCCCGGCGCTTCTGACGCCCGAGAAATTCCGCTTTTTGCCCTCCACCGGCGGCGGGGCTGGATTTTCACGCGAAGACTTGCGATCGGTGCTCTTGGTTTCCAAAGTGCTGCAAAACCTCGCGAACGGCGTCGAGTTTGGCTCCAAAGAAACGTACATGATTCCGATGAACACATTCCTTCTGCATCAAGCGCCTCGCGTGTTTGCATTCTTGGACGGAATTTCATGCGTGCCCGAAGTCTATCAGCCCATGACGGTCGATCTGCCAATCACACTGATCGAGGAGTCCCTCGCCCAAATCCATTCCGTTTTCGCGTGCTCTGTCGATGGCCTCGCCACACAACTGGGCAACAAGTCCATGACTGAAGCCACGTCTGTCGATTTGTATGACGAAGTAATGGTTGCTGCTCGTGCAGTGCGCGGTTGCGACGTTTCGCTCTTCTCGGCTTCGCGCAACGGCACCAATCTAGCGCGTGCGACTGCTTCCTTCTCGCCGGGCTGTACTTGGAACGAGGCGCTTTCGGTTGAGCCTGGGCCCCAGTCGCCGGTATCGCCATCCAACAAGCGCGACTCTGGCGCCCTGTTGCTCGACGCCAGCGTGCCAGATGTGCTTTCGCCAACGCGCCCGCCATCTGCCGCCTCTCTCATGGCGTTAGCTGTTGCCCAAACCCAGTTGCTTTTGCTTGAGGAGGTGAGTGGTGTTGTTGGCGCTGTGTTGGTGGTTTTGGTCTCTTGGTGGTTTTGGATGGAGGGAGGAGTTGTTACAAAACAGAGTGTTGGAAACTGTGCGTTTGATCTGCCTCTCATCTCAACTCATTCCTCGATCTCTGCGATAGTTACTCTTTGCCGATGAACAAGTCGTGCTCAAAGTCTTCCTCAAGGAAATGTCTTCGCTGAAAGTCGCCTCGACGGCGCCCTCGGCCACCTCGATGACAAACACAGCCTCGGCTGACGATCTGGCCAAGCCTGCGATCGACTTGCTCGCCTCGCATGGGCTGACGTGCGCCGTGCTTGGCGATTTGATGCGCAAGGAGATTGGCGTCCGCATGACGACGCTGAAGGAGATTAACGACCACAACACTCTGGGCAGTCGAATGCTGTCGGCGTTTGTCAAGCTCGAGGCGAGTGATAGTCTCATGCGCTCCCTGAAGGATGTCGTCGAAGAGGTGTGCAGGTCAAGCGTTTCCTATGAGGTTGACCCCGCTCGCGCTGCCCTTTCCGAAAACACGCAAGAGAACATGGATCGACTGCTCCTGACTTCGCTCAAGCTTTTGAGTTGCATTCTCAACTCGCACACCACCTTGCCTCTGTGAGTTATTCCCGTTTTTTGAAGACTGAGTTGAGGGCTGCTTTTTTTTCCCTGCTTTGTGTGTGTTGTCGACCACTCATGCATCCTTCCTTCCCTGTTTCACGCCGTAGGTCTGTTCGGAAACTGCTGTACACGCTGTACACTGCGGTGGAAGCACGATTCCCGAAAGAGGGCGTTGGGTGTGTCTTGCGCTTCCTGTTCCATAAGTGCATCTGCCCTGCTATTACTTCGCCATCGGCACATGGCCTTACGGATGGTAACGTTGTGAGGTGCTGATTGCTTCGAGTGTCGGTTCCTTTGGCGCTCACTGCGAGTTTGTTCCACCGCCTTTCTTGTTTCATGGCAGTCATCCCTAACGTATTCGCGCATCGAGCTCTGGTATTGCTCTCGTACACACTGCGAAACATGGCGGCCCAGACCATGTTCAAGGACTCGTACATGAATGAAATGAACAAGTTCATTGCCAACCAGAAGGAGCTGCTGGAAGACTTTGTTATCAAGCTTATTGTATGTGGATTTTTGTGGTTTTCGCGGGAGTTTTGGAACTCGTTCTCATTTATTCATTATTTTCGTTGTCATTTTGCTGCAGAATCTGCCGACCCGAGATGAAGGAAATGCACCAGTCACCGCCATGAACTTTTACCGACAGCAGACCGTGAAGGTACGGAACGAGACGCGACGAGCGATAGCTGGGGAGCGAAACGACAACTCAATCACTTTTGCAAACATGACAGGATGGAAACGATGTTGAATCGGCAATTCCGATCGACCCAGCTGTCCGTGCGCAAGCACTGCAGCTTGTTGCTCGGCTCATCGAAGAAAACTCTGCCAAGTTCAAGACCCTTGTTGGAAAGGAGCGCAGTCAAGTGAGTTTCGGCTTGATTTTGCTGATGGATGATGGCTTGATTTTTATGATGCGCAAAAACTGACTTCATCTGCTCGTGTTTGTTTCCCACCCCCCCTGTAGCGAATCTCTTACAATCTGTTCGACCGAGCATTGGTTGTGGTACAACTGTGCAAGCCGTCGAGCTCGAGCTCTCTGCATCCGCCGCCGCCACCCGGCCCTGTGCTGAGTCGATGAGAAACTTTGGTTTTTGTGTGTTGTGTCCTGATTACGTTTTCACCGCTGTCAATTCAAATGATCATATTATTCGTTCTGTCATTGTATTTCGCTGTGCACACTCGATGCGTGCAGCACTTCGGACTTGGCGTTTGAGTGTGATGGTTTGCCATTTTCCAAAGCTCAATGTTTGGATCGAGTGGACTTTACCCCGCGGAAATACTCGTCTAAAAGCGAAAGCTTGCATGAGCTCGTAGTATAGTGGTATTATGCTCGCTTAGGGTGCGAGAGGTCGTGGGTTCAATTCCCGCCGAGCTCCAACGTTTTTTTTTTCATTTTGGTTTTTTTTTTTTTTGTTTTTTTTTTTTGCTTTGTCCCTGGCACCGCTCCTGTCTCGAATTGCCCAACTGCCGACGCACGAGCTCGTAGTATAGTGGTATTATGCTCGCTTAGGGTGCGAGAGGTCGTGGGTTCAATTCCCGCCGAGCTCCTACGTTCTTTTTTTTGCTGCGTTTGTTCATTTGTTTCGTCGTTGGTTTCGTTGCGCTTTGTTTTTTTGCTCCTTTGTTTTTTGTTTGTTTGTTTGTTTGTTTGACTTTCATCTCTTGATGCCGTGAGTTGAGAATTTCTTGATGCAAGCCGTTCGTTTTTCACACAACACTGAAAAACAAACAAAACTCAAACTTGAGAACGCTTGGGAGCTCCATTCGGATCGAAAGGATCAACGTTGGAAGGAGCAAACAGCTTTGCAGGAACCATCGGCAGGTCGAGGGTGAGCGTGAGCATGAGCTGGCCAGTGGCTCTCTGTTCGCGGTCGCTCGCAGATTGCTGGTAGATGTTCAAATAGTCGAACTTCTGCTTCACAAGGAGCACGCTGCTCTTCAACAGCTCCTGCATGCCATCTCGAGATGACTCGAAATGATGGCTATGCAAAATATCGACCAACAGCTCGGCACAAACAGTCCGTAGATGCGAGGCTGCAGGACCGTGAAACGGAGACAGCAAAAAGCTGCACAGTTGCTTCGGAATGTCCTTGTGTTGGAGGAGTGCCACACTCCTCCACTCGCTTGGAGCGTGCTTGAGCAGAGTGCAGGCGCGGTATGCAGCCCAGATGCGCGATTCACGCTCGTTCTCTGCATCCCGGTAGAGGCTCGGGTTTAGACACTCCAGCCCGTTGAGAAGGCGTTGAATGGTGGCGCACTCGACGTGCAGATGGTCCCATGCAGTCCTGCTCACATGTACCCAGTTTGTGCACAAAAGCCCCGCAACCGCGAGATCCTTGTGGGCTGAGAAGCACGCATCGAGTTGGCACGGGACCCACCGCTCGGAAAACCAATCTGCCACCGCTACACAGTTGTACATGTGCGCAGCAAGGACCTTGCCGGACATGGAAGCAATCTCTGGAGGCGCATCGGAATCGCAAAATACGGCAAGCAGCTGGGAAGAGACCTCTGCTTGGAACGCAGCCTCCTTGTCACGAACCGTTGCAGCAATGAACAACTTCAGGAGCAGTTGAAGCCGAGATTGGAGATCGGACTGGTCAATCCGCGAGCGCTTCCATGCTGCAAGTACTGTGCGGAGCAGCTTCTGAGCTCCGCCTGCAAACGGCGCCCAGGTCTCCGAAACGCCGTCAGTCTGGTTCTCGCTTTCCTGGCCCTTGTCGTCCTGATCGATCGTTCTGGATCGGCCAGTGAGCGAATCAACACTGTCAAACACCTTGCCAAGTTTTGAGCAGTAAGTCGGCATGTTCTCGTCGTCCCATCGCATCGCAAACAGGCTTTGGTCGAGCACGGTAGCAGGCACCGTCGGTTGCTGCCCTTGAGTGTGTCTATTGTACATGCCGCTCCAGAGGTCACAAACAACGCCGAGTTGTGCCTGGCTGAGCTGATCCAGGAGCAGGGCAGTTGTGGCCGTCCGTTCTGCCTCGACCCACAGCCAGTTTATCGCCGCATTCGTCACCGTGGCCGCGGAGATACCACTTTTGTGCTTTGGCATCCAGTGCGTATTGTCGGTCTCCAGCATGCTCGTAAAAAACTGTTCCGCGCCCGCCAACGGGACGTCGTTGTGTGTCATGATTTGTGCAAAAATGCTTAAAAAAGAAGGAAGACTGGTCTTGGCACGATCGTCGCCTCGAAACATCAGTTGCCACTGTGCATCGAGCTGCTGACTTGTATCACAGTGGACTTGCTACAATGAGTGATACAGATCCAAGTTACACTATGTGCAGCAATCATTTTTACAAAAAGGTGCGCGAAGATGACTGAATCTGTTGCAGATACTCGATGCCAAAGTTTCGCAAAACATTCACCATCGAATCTCAACTCGACGGAAGTCAATCGTGTCAGCCCGACATTGAATCAAAGTAGAAAAGTATATTTTCAAGTCACCCATATCGCTTTGGAGTGGTAGAGATACCTCGGTGGTCGGTGTTTGTGCGTTGGCGTGCGATGAATTGGCCAAAACCGGACCATTCTAGCATTTTTTTGCGTTTCTCGCAGTTTGTCCCGCTCCTCACGCAGCCCGCGCAGGTATATATAGCAGTACTTTTACTGTGACATTCGATCACTGCTTAGCATCAACCGAGCGAGAAAAGCAAGCAAGCAATCAACAACAACAACAACAATTTCTCAATCTCACCATCCGCCTTTTTTTTTTTTTTTTGACTTTCCATCATTCCCTATTCCCGATCCCCATTTCCCCGGATCCCCAATTTCACCAATTTCACCAATTCCTCCATTCTTATTTCCTCTTGTTCTTTGTTTCATTTTTTTTTCTTTCTCTCTTTGACCTTACCAATGCTGTCGGCCGTTGCCAGCCGGTCGACATCGTTCCACGCGGCCAAGGCGCTCGCTGCGTCTGCCAGCGCGTCTCCTGCCTCCATCGCCGTGCTAGCATCATCGCCTTCGTCATCATCATCATCATCAGCAGCTTCATCAGCATCGGCATCCGCAATGCACGTCCGCGGCTATGCTCGCAAGCCGACTTCATCGTCGACTCCTTCGTCTTTGTCCTCGTCCTCGTCGACTCGATCGTCGCGCCTGGCGCAAAAGTGGCAGCACCGCGACGCCCTGCCCATCGCGACCCTGCCTCCGCTGCCTGCGTCCATTGCGCGTGGGGAAGTGAGCACCAGCCACGCCCAGCTGCTTGCTCAGCAAGAGGAGCGGCGGCTGGAGGAGAACGCGCAGGAGGACGATCAGCAGCACATGTCCGACCGCGACGCCACCAAAGCCAGGCTCCGCGACGTCTTTGCGTTCCTCGAAGCGTCACCAGCAGCAGCGTCGAATGCCGCGGCATCGGAGATGGAGGACGCCGAGGAGGGCGCCGACGCCGAGCCAGCAGCAGCCGCCGCAGAAGGGGAAGAGGCTGGCGAGGCTGGAGCGGCTGAAGGGGTTTTAGACGAGGAGGGGCGCGGTCGCCTCTCCAACAGAGAGTTCCTCATGACCGAAGCCGCGGCCCCGAACGTCGAATTGGAGGCCGCGCTGCTCGACCGCAGGCTGGCGGGTCGGTCGCCGGTCGTGCGCATGGCCGAGGAGGAGGAAATCCACGAAGCAGTACGAGATCTCCAAGTCAAGTACGTTGCAGACGAGGCCGCTGCCGACGCCGCGCGCCAGGGCAAGTCACGCAAGGAGGTCCAGCAAATCCGCAAGCACATGATGCAGATGCCGCTGCACGAGCTGGAGGCCATGGCCGAGGAGGAGCTCGGCGGCGAGATCGAGGACGTCGAGCTGGCCGCGCATGAGCTTGACGAAGAAGGCGCAGTCGCAGTTGAGGACTCCGAGATGGACGCCGCCGCTGAGGCTGAAGAGGCAGCAGCCGCTGAGGCACACGAGGAGGAAGAGCCCAGCGCAGAGGCACTGGAGGAGGTCGACATGACCGACCTCGAGGAGGCGCTCGCGGACGAGGATCCAGAGGTTGCCGAGGCCATCATCGAGCGCGAACGCAGGCTGCGCGCACTCGGTGGCGGTGGCGAGGAAGAGGACTTGACTGATCGTGTAGCCCAGCGCGGTCGCGACTATGAGACCTTGTTCGGGAGCTCTCCGGCACGTTTTTACAATCTGTCGCGCGTCCGCTTTGGCGTGCTGCAAAACCGTCTCGAGGCCGTCCGACAGCTCGCTCTTTTGGGTGTCGACGCTGAGCGCAACGCCGACCGTCCGCGCGCCGCTGGGTTGCTGACGCAGGGGCAGGACTCGTTCGGTCGTCACGATCCCATGAGCACGCCCCCCGTGAGCAACGTCACTGTGATTGACTGGACCAACGAACTGCATCGCTTGGCCCGGCTTGGCCTGAACGTCGTGCCCCGCTCGGGCTTGTCCAAGGCCCGCAGCCGCGTGCTGCTCGAGACCGTCTTTGGCGAGCTCGACTCCCCCGCCACGTTCTTTGCCTCGGGTCCCCCTGTGCTCAACTATGTGCGCATGGCAACCATGCTTGCTCTGCGTCACTCGCACGCGGAAGATACCAAGCGCGAGTACCAGACCGAAGACGCGATGGCAGCCCTGGAGGACGACTCGGAGCTCTCCGACGCGCTCACACGCGTGCAGGAGGAGCGTGATGCCAACCGCGCCCCTGACGAAATGGACGAAGTGGACAGCGACGGCAACCCTTACCTCTTCTCACCGTTCGATCCGCTGGCTCCGCAGGGTCTTGCGCCCTTCCGGTTCAAGGTGCTCGAGGAAAAGATTGCTCGCGCCGGTGAGTCTGTGGGCGTGCAGGCGTCATCTTCCCCCGACATTGCCGAGGACCTCCTGGCTGCATGGAACAAGCTCAAGCAGCGGCGAAATGTCAATCTGGCCGCCTTTGATGCGGACCAACGCCCGACGCTGACCAAGGTCGCCCGCGTGATTGCCTTGATGGATCTTGTGCGCTGGATGGACGAGCTGGTGCCGTTTGTTGACCGTGGCATCGGCCAGGCGTTCAGCGAGCTTCCGACCGAAGATCCCGAATTGTACGCCGAAATGCTCAAGGACGTCCAGCTGCCCCCGAAGCAAGACACCGCTACGACGGAGGTGCCATCGTCATCGGAGCAACAAGCCACCGAGACTGCGGCGCCATCATCGTCGTCGTCGTCGTCGTCATCGTCGTCATCGGAAAACGCCGCCGCCACCAGGACTCGGGCGCCATCGGCCTCACGATTCAGCAAGGCCGCCGCGCAGGCGTCCTCTACAGGCATGCCCACTCGAGAGGAAGCCATCGCCCACCTGGCTGCGTCCAACCTGGACGACTTTGCGCTTGCGATGACGCGTGAAATGCGTCGCACCGCGCACAAGTCTCAGCAGTGGACGAGTCCCTTTGCAGGTTGGTATGACTTGTTTAGCTCCAAGGCGCTCCCGATGCCCAACACGGATGCCTTCAACAATTTGCACGCCGACCAAGCTCGCACCAACGCTGCCGCTGCTACTGCTGCTTCTGCGGTCGTCGGAGCTCAGCCATCGAAACAGCAGCCGCCTGTCTCGACCGAGCAGCTTCGATCGCATTTGAACGAGCGCTCGGCTGCCGAGCAGGGCCGCTTTGCTGCCGATCTTGCCAACAGCGACAGCATTTTGAATGCCCTGTACGAGGCCAACGCACCAGAGCGCGATATCGAGGACCAGGCCCGCACCACGATGCGACACCTGCGCTCGATGGCCAAGACACCGATTGCCAACACCCAGTACCCGCTGCTTGCGAGCGGGTTCTCCCACATGCCCTATAGCAAGCTCTCCCAGCACGAGCGGCTCAAACAGCGGGACCTCGTCCGCGCATCCAAGCAAAAGAAGCTCCCCTCCGCTTCCCCCACCTACAAGAACCCGCTGGCGAGCGGCGACCGCATCGACCAGCTCCTGAATGCCGTCGCATCGCCCGCCGAGCTCCAGCAATCCGCCTCGCACGTCGCCTCGACTGTGAAGAAGCTTCTGGGCGCAGTCGACCCCGCCGACCTTGTTCGTGACATTCCTCATTCGGGCGCCGTCCTGTCTGCCGCGAGCTTTAACGACATGCTGCGCGCCTCGCCGCTCGTCACCTCTTCGCGTGTTGCCGGCGGCATTGCGTTTGGTCGCATTGTCACCATGTCTCCCGATGTGGCCGACGTTGACATTGGCGGCAAACTGAACGTGCGCATCCCAGTCCCGGCCGAGGCGGTCCTTTCTGTCGGCTTGTTGGTCCCAGTGCTCATTCTTTCTTCCGAAATCACCTTCAGCTTTATCGGACAGCGCAAGACGTCCAGCGCCCTGCGCGGCAACGGTGTCCACGTCGGCGCGCTTCTGCGACACGAGCTCTTCACTCAAGAGCGTCTTAACGCGCTTCACGAACGTGCTCTCAGCGCTTTTGAGGAGTCAAGACTTTTCTGAAAGGGGTCGACTTTTGTTTGTTTGTTTGTGTATTCCAGTGTTATGCGTGCACCATCCCACCCCCCACCGCTCTGATTTGAATGGCGATGTGACGCTTGTTTTGTTTTGTGTTTTCCTTGTGCAATACAGTCCACAAAATCTTACACTGTCTGATTTGTTTTGTTTTGTTTTGAGAGTGCCAGCCCGGTCTGATTTTTGCTTGCCGTAGATTTTGCAAACAACGCATCCAATCAACCCAATGTTATGTATTTTGGAGACAAGAAAAAAAATGATACCACGCAAACGTTCATGTTACAATCGTCTTGTTTTGGATGTGGCGGTTGTACGTTACACCGAGGTACTCGGCAGCCAGCAGCCAAATCAACGACAAGCCTCCCGAGAAGAGCGAGCCAACACGGAAGAGCTCGGTTGCATTGTGCTTGAGCAACTCTGTGACGAGCGAGCCGAGCGCTTTTGCGTTGCGCGAGCCAAACATGTCAATCCAACTCTTGGCCTGCATTTTAATGTCCTACAAGTGATACGCAGTTCTAAAAGTCAGCATCTTGAAACAAGTAGCACATCATAGCCCCCCTCCCCATCTGTTTTTCTTGGTGAGTTTTGACTGGACTTACTTTGCTCGTGGTACGGTAAAGCATTTCTTTCGAAGGGGCGTTGAGCGAATAGCCAAGAGCCTTGATGGCCACCATGCCGAAAAAGACAACGCCAAGCGTCGGGCGGATGAAAACGGACCCAACGAGAAGCAGGGTGCAAACGGGGAAGGCGATGAGACAGAAGCGAATGCCAAAGCGTTCCATGACGGCGCGCGAGCCAAAAAGGGCAAAGAGCAGCGAAACACCATTGACGGCTTGCCCAAAGCGGCCCATGAGGAGGGTCATTTCTTCGGGGGTCTGGTACTCGTTCTGAGCAAGGACCTTGAGTTGGTAGTCCATGACGGTGGAGACGACCTCGGCCGCAGTCGAGATGACAAGCAAGCTGGCAACGTACGGATGCGTGAAAACCAGCCGCAGACCCGTGGTGAGATCGGTCGACGTTTCCTTGGGGACGTGGTGAGCGTGCGGCGCGTTGGTAGCATTGGTGGGAGCTGAGGCGTCTTCCTTTTTGCGTTTGGCCAGCTCAGCTTCGTCCTGGATTTCGTCCGACAGTAAAAATGCCTGGCGCGACGCGAGCAGCACGGCACCCAGCACGACGACTTGGAAGAAGCAGAGCTGCGGGATGCCCAGCTCCTTGGCATACGTGGCGAGCGTTGCGCCGAGCACAGCGCCCAACTGCATGACCGTGTTGACCCGCGAGAAGACGAACGGAGCGTGATCTGTCGTGACGGATGCGACGACCGACCAGAACATTGGCATGACGATCGACCCAAATGTCTCAATGGTCCAGTAGGTAATCCATCCGACGCACCAGCCGAGCGTGCTCTCCTTGACGACGTGCGTTCCGGCCTTGGCGTTGGGATCGTGGAGAAACCCGACGGACGGAACAAACAGCAGGGCGCCAATGAGCGCAAACATGGTTGCATACGTGCCAATGACAATCTTGACGACGAGGCGGATGTCGTCGGTGCGCGCGGCGAGGCGGTTGTACAGGACGAGCAGCGGGACGAGCAGCAGCACCGTGCCGAGTTTGGCGCGCGGCTCGTGCTCGAGGCCAACCACCTGCACAAAGATGCCCATCTTGAGCGGGCGCATCAGCCAGTAGCCGCCCAGCGACAGGAACTGCGCGATGGCCAGCGCCCATGCGAGCTGCGATTGCTTTGGGGTGATTGCTCTGTTGTTGTTGGTGTTGGTGTTTGAGCCCGCGTTCGAGGACGTGGCGTGCTTGCCGTTGGTCGTGCTTGTGCTGGTGGTGCTGGTGGTGCTGGTGGTGCCTGCTGATCGGGTGGCAGTGGAGGAGGTCGTCGGCATGGCTTGGGCGAGTTGTCTGATTGGTCGCAGCGAAACGAACACAAGCAAATCTCAGCGAGCGGCTGAGAAAAAGAAAAAGGGAAAGAAAAACGAAAGAAAAAGAAGAGAAAGTTAAAAAAGCAGAAGAGAAGAGTGAAATGAGCGATTTGTCGAGTTGGTCGATGATGGATGGGCGAACGCTGCTCTTCAATCGAAGAGAGAGAGAGAGGGAGAGAGAGAGAGAGAGGATCAGAGAGAAGGACCAGTTCGGTCACTCTGCTGCTGATGAGGTGCAATCACAAATCACACAAGGCCATGCTTGTAATGCTTCACCGTGGACTTTTAATTCCGAGTAGTTGGGAGCGTTTTCGTTGTCCTGTTCGATCCTGCCGGCCAGGTGAAATCTGAAACAAAAAAGCGGCAGATGACCTGAGCTTGCCCAGTCATACGGTACTGTCGGTTCCGAACGGTGCTTCGAGTTATGCTCCGGGTACGGTCGTAACACTCTCGATTGATGGAGAGAGAGGGCAGGATGGAAAATTCATTGTCTTTTTGGCTTGAAATTCTGAAACGCTGCATGTGTGTGGATCTCGCCACACACGCACCTTTCCCCTGAAATTCTGGCTACTAGTGCATTGATCCAATTGATCCATTATCACCATCCTCCCTTTTTCTCAATAGGGAAAGCACCAAATGGCTCGGCTCAGTCACAAATCCTTCTCCAGCTCACTGAGAAAACATGCGTACGTTTTGTGTGCTTTTCTCGTTTCCTTCCCCTTCCTTTTCCGCAGGATGAACCAGGGTTGGAGGGGCTTTTTGTGTTCATTATTGTAGCAACATGACCGTTGTGATAATGGCGGGTTGCGTTCGCCTTCCAATCGTGTTGCAGCGATGAACGAACAACAACATCAAAAATACAGAAAAAAAAAAAAAACGGTTGCTTTTGTATTTTTATTTTTTATTTGTATTTTTATTTTGTGCATCTTTCGTTGTTGCGTTCATGAAGAAGGGCGGGTCTTGCTTTTTCGGCTGAGGCATCAGGGTTGGAGAACCACTACATTTCGTGTTCGACTCTATTCAACCCAGGAGGACGTCTCTGGCAAAACGAGACGGATTATGAACAAAAACATTAAAAAAAAAAAAAAATAGAGATCGTTTTTTTTTTGTCATCCATTGCGTTTTCGTTTTTTTTTATTGTATTATTTGTATGGAGCTTCCATTGCATTGTGCTTTTTGGATTTTTATTTTGGATTATTTTTTGATTATTTTTGATTATTTTTTCGATATCCCAAACCGATCCCTTTTCGTTTTCCACTGTCGTTGTGATTGGGTTTTGCGGCTGCTGTTGCCGTCCGTTTCCTGCCACTCGCCGTGCATTTCCTTCCACGCATCCCCTTCTTGCCCGCGTGTACCGTTGCTGAGCCATGCTGCCCAACGGGGTGGTAATGGTGGTGGTGTTGGATTCAAAACCATAACAAAAAAAAAACAAAAAAAAAACAATTGATTTTCCGCTTTTTTTATGTTTTTGTGTGTGTTACGTTCGTCCGTTTTGGTCGCTGTTGCGATTGAGAGTGCGCGCAAATGCCGTGTTGGTGTTTGACGAGTGTGTGCCATGCATGCCGGGCGATGCCCAGCAGCAGTACTGCCGCCTGTCCAACCGCACCCTCGCCCATCGCAGAGAATCGAAAAAAACAAAAAACACAACAAACAAACGGTGGCTTTTTTTTTCAATTTTTTCATTTTATTTTATTTTTTCAATTGTTTCACTGGTGTCGAAGATGCCCCTTTTTCGTGGTTGATTTGCATTCTGCCGCGGCCGTTGCGACTGCAGCAAACGCACCATGGGTTTGATTGCCATCTCGAGTGGGCTGCATGTCGCCAACATGAGGTGGTGCGATCAGCGAAGCAGAGGGGGGCAGACACTGTGTGCAGTTCGGTTGGTGGCGTTTTTTTTTTTTTGTTTTTTTTTGTTTTTACACGTTGTTCACTCGGTCTTTGATTCCACGGAGCAATCGGATTTTTCTTAAGGAAGCACCATCTCCCTCTTCGTATGGCGAGCAGTCAGTGGGTGGGTGGAAGCAAGGGTCGGATGAGCACTCGTCGTTGGTTTTTGTGTGTTTTGCATTTAATTATTTTTTATTTTTATTTTTATTATTGTTGTTTTTGCCATTGTTTTGAATTTGCGGTTTTGGATTACTTTTTTTTTTTTTTTTTTCCAGCTATCTGTTCAAAGATTTTGTTTGTTGTGTCGCTGACTTTTTTTTGCCACCCTCTTTGCTTCACTTGGCCTCACTCGAACACACAGCCAACCTCGCGACCGATGGCGTCGAGGACATGACCACGATCGACCAGATCGACGAGAATGGCATCAACACCAATCTCAAGGTCCGTTACAACAAGGATCTCATCTACACTTACACTGGCTCCATCTTGGTTGCCGTCAACCCGTACAAGTTCCTCAAGATTTTCGAGAATGTACGATCTCGTTTTTTGTTTGTTCTTGTTTTCCTTTGTTTTCAAAGATGGCATGTGTTCTCTGAACACAAAAACACTGACTTGGAATTCACTTCTCCTTTTCCCCCTCTCCTCTCCTCTCCTCTTCTCCCTCGCTGCAGGACACGGTCAAGCAGTACGCCGGAAAGCGCGTGGGCGACCTGCCACCACACATTTTCGCCATTTCCGAGTCGACGTACGACTTTATGAAGCGCACAGACAGCAACCAGTCGGTCATTATTTCTGGCGAGTCTGGCGCTGGCAAGACAGAGTCGACCAAGCTCATTCTTCAGTACCTGACTGCAGTCACCCAGAACCAGCAGTGGATTGAGCAGCAAATCATGGAGACCAACACGCTGCTCGAAGCGTTCGGCAACGCCAAGACTGTCCGCAACAACAACTCGTCGCGTTTCGGCAAGTTTATGCAGGTCTGCTTTGACAGCTCGCTCCAAATCAAGGGTCTGATTATCGAGGACTACTTGCTCGAGCAATCGCGCGTCGTCTTCCAGGCCGAGAGCGAGCGCAACTACCACGTCTTTTACCAGCTGTGCGCGGCCTGCGCCTCCAGCCCCGAAGACAAGGCAAAGTTCCTCATTGACAAGGCCGAGAGCTACGCCTACACCAACAAGTCGGGCTGCATCAAGATTGACGACGTCGACGACAAGAAGGACTTTGATGCGCTCCGCCTCGCCATGACCGTGCTCAACATCTCCCCCGAGAACCAGGACTCGATCTTCTCGCTGCTCGCAGCCATCCTCATCATGTCCAACCTCAAGTTCCAGGACGTCGACGGTGAGACGATCAGCTTTAGCGCCGACGACATGAAGAACGTGGGCCTCGTTGCCAAGCTGCTCAAGATTGACGAAGCCGGCATGAAGAAGGCCTTTGCCTTCCGCCAGCTGCAAGTCCGCGACAACGTGACGGAAATCCCGCTCAAGCACAAGGAGGCCCTCGACAACCGCGACTCAGCTGCCAAGGCGCTCTACTCGCGCACCTTCACTTGGCTCGTCCGCCACATCAACACGTGCACCAACCCCGGCGCCAACTCTGGCCGCTTTATCGGTGTCTTGGACATTTTCGGCTTTGAGAACTTTGCCGTCAACTCGTTCGAGCAGCTTTGCATCAACTACACGAACGAAAAGCTGCACAAGTTCTTCAACCACTACGTCTTCTCGCTCGAGCAGGAAGAGTATGCTCGCGAGGGCATCAACATTGAGCAGATCAAGTGGGTGGACAACCAGGCCACGCTCGATCTCGTCGAAAAGCCCCCGACCTGCATCCTCAAGTTCCTCGACGAGGAGTGCCGCTTCCCCAAGGGCTCGGATGCGACCTACCTCGAAAAGCAGAACAAGGCTCTGTCCTCGAACGAGTGGTACCACATGTCTGCCGACAAGCGTGAGCACGGCGATCGCTTTGGTGTCAAGCACTACGCCGGCACGGTCATCTACATGGTCAACGGCTTCCTCGACAAGAACAAGGACGTCCAGCAAGACATGCTCTTTGGCCTCATGGGCCAGTCTGGTGACGACTTTGTCAAGGGACTCTGCAAGTACCGCGACCTGACCAGCATCATTTCCGGCATGTCGCCCGAGGAGGCTGCCGCCAAGGCGTCCAAGGGTGGCAAGCCCACTGTCGGTGGCATTTTCAAGGACCAGCTCGCTTCGCTCGTCAACGTCCTGAGCAAGACCCAGCCTTGGTATGTCCGCTGCATCAAGCCCAACATGGTCAAGAAGGCTGGCGTGTTTGACGACAAGATGGTTCTCGATCAGCTCAGCTACTCTGGTATGCTCGACATCATCCGCATCCGCAAGCTCGGCTACCCGATCAAGATTCGCCACGGCGATTTCGTCCAGCGCTTCAAGTGCCTCGCGCCCAAGCTCAAGCTCACCGAGGACATGGCCGGCTGCACGACGCTCGCCAACACGCTCAACCTTGGCGCAAACCCGCAAGAGTACCAGGTTGGCAAGACCAAGATCGTCCTCAAGGAGCGCGTCTACTTCCCGCTCGACGACCGTCGCGTCAAGATGCTCGACAAGCTCGCCATCATCATCCAGAAGCGCTACAAGGGCTGGCTCGACCGCAAGGCCTACCAGCGCAAGCGCTGGGGTGTCATCCAGCTCCAGCGCTTTATGCGAGGCTTCATCCACCGTCTGCGCTACAAGCGAAAGGTTCGCGCCATCATCACCATCCAAGCCGGTGTTCGCGGCTGGTTTGCCCGCGATCTCTACCGCTTCCTGAAGCGCAAGAAGGCCGAGGAGGAGGAGAAGAAGAAGCGCGAGGCCGAGGCTGCTGCCGATCGCGCTGCCAAGGAGGCTGCCGACAAGCAACAGCGCGAGCTCATCGCCATGGCCAAGATGGCTGAGGCCAAGGCCGCCAAGGCTGCGCAGGATGCCGCCGCCGCGGCTGGTGCCGAAGCCGGCGCTCCCCCGGTGGCCAAGGGCCAGGCTGGTCTGGAAGGCGTCGATCTCGACAACATTTTCTCCTTCCTCGGCGTCGAGGACGAGGAAGTCTCGTTCGCCAACAGCTTTGCCAACGAGCTCGACGATCTGTTCGAGACCAAGGTCCAGGACGATCCCGAGACCCGCGCCAAGTACGAGCGCATGGCCAAGCGTGCCGAAATGTCTGAAAAGAAGGCCGAGCAGCTCGCCGAGCAAAAGCCCCCGGAAGAGCCCGGCGACCCCACGTTTGTCGTCTACGCCGAGAAGCACTGCAACAAGCACCCCAAGGATGCCGGCCTCACTGGCACCCTGTCGCTCCGCAAGAAGAAGGACAGCGCGCCGCAAGAGTGGGACGAGATGCTCTCGTACACGAAGGCCACCTCCATCCCGACCTCCATTGTCAAGCTGTCGGACAACGACCACATTACTCTGGCCGTGTCCATCTTCAAGGATCTCGTCAAGTTTATGCGCGGCGAGCTCAAGGCTGAGCAGGAGCGTGTTGCCGTCCAGAACATTATCACCATTGGTGTTGCCAAGCCCGAGCTCCGCGATGAGATTTACATTCAGATCTTCAAGCAGCTGATCAGCAACCCCAAGGAGGACCAGGTTGCCCGCCTCTGGAACATGCTTTCGTTCTGCTCCGTCACCTTCCCGCCGTCCAACAGCTTGTACAAGCACGTCCAGGCCTACCTCAACTCCACCAAGGCCGACGCCAACTTTGGCAAGCGCGCCGAGTGGTGCGGAGCCACGCTCAAGAAGATCAAGCTCAACGGTGCCCGCAAGAGCCCTCCGTCGGCGCTCGAGCTCCAGGCCGTCCAAAACCTGTCGTGCTTTATCTGCCGCTTCTTCTTCCTCGACGGCAAGTCCAAGGCCGTGTCTGTGGAGCCTTCCTCCACCGCCCAGGACGTGCTCAAGGAGCTCGCCGAGAAGATCAACCTGCACTCGACCGACGGTTGGGCGCTGTACGAGGAGAGCGACGGCAACGAGCGTGCCATCAAGGGTACCGAGTACATTGCCGACACCCTGGCCCGCTGGGAGTCTGAGCGTCGCACGAGCAACACGACCAAGAGCAACACGCTGTCCAAGAAGAAGGACTCTGGCGTGGCCTCGATGACCGGCGATGCCCGCTTTGTCTTCAAGAAGCGTCTCTTCAAGAACCCCAAGGAGGTCCAGATCGACCCTGTCGAGTACCACTACATTTACTGGCAGGCCGTCCATGGCGTTTGCCAGGACTTTTACCCCGTCACGGACAAGATTGCCCTGCAGCTCGCTGGTCTCCAGGCCCAGATCAACTGGGGCGAGCACGAGACTGGCAAGGACTCGCGCTACGAGGACCTCGAGTTTTACCTGCCCGAGCGTCTCATCAACAACGTCGGCACGGACAAGAAGCGCACTCGCGAGGAGTGGCAGGCCGAGATTGGCGCGTCCCACCGCTCGTTCGGCGCTGGCAAGACCGAGCTCCAGGCGAAGGTCATGTACCTGACTGCCATCAAGCAGTTTGCCGTTTACGGCTCGACCCTGTACAACGTTGTCTACAAGGGCTTCTGGTCGCACCCCAACAAGATTTACTTGGGCGTCGACCACGAGGGCTTCAAGTTTGTCAACGTCAAGACCAAGGCCATCCTGGTCGCGTACAAGTACGAGCAGCTCCAGAACATGGAGCTCGACTCTGAGGAAGACCAGCTCACCCTCACGCTCAAGCAGGTCAACCGCGAAGAGCAGCAGTCCTTCATCTTTGAGACCCCGCACAAGGAGGAGATTGCCTCGCTCATCTCGTCCTACTCACCCGTCCACCGTCACTGGACTTCGACCTCGGCTGCCCGCATCAAGGAGGTTCGCCTGACCGACGCCGACCTGGCCAACCTGCTCGGCGAGGTTCGTGAGGCGCGCAAGAAGCTTGCTCGCGTCAACAACTTCCTTCGCAAGCCCGAAGGCCAGTCTGGCGGCTTTATCGCTGCTACGCTGCGTCGCTTGCCGTCGACCAAGGGCAAGAAGACTGCCGACAAGGAGCCCGACTATGAGAAGATTTACAAGAAGGACTGGTGGGTCTACACCAAGTCTCGCATCCCGACGTCGCTCACGCTCCTCGAGGGCGAGGACGTCGAGACTGCCCTCAAGATGTTTGCATCGCTGCTGATCTATGGCGGCCTTGCCCAAAACGGCGGCTTTGAGTCGGAGGATGACACTGATCGCAGCACCATGGTCCAGATGGTCCTTGCCAAGTGTCTCGAGAAGGATTCGCTTTGCAACGAGTTCTTCCTGCAGCTCATCAAGCAGACCACCGATCAGGCTGACATTAACAGCAAGAGCAACCTCCAAGCCTGGCGCTTCTTGTGCTTGGCCGTGTGCGTCCTTGTGCCCCGCTCGGACGCCGTGCTCGAGTACCTGCGTGTCCACCTGAAGCGCTGCGCCGCCATTCCCCACACCGAGGAAGGCAAATTTGCTCAGTACGCACAGCAGTGCCTGGCCCGCACCGTCGAGAACAAGAACCGCAAGTATCCCCCGTCGCGCCAGGAAATCATCCAGGTCACCCAGCGCCAAAAGATCCACGCGCGTTTCCACTTCCTCGACGGCCAGTTCCGCGCCCTCTTCTTCGACTCTGCTGCCACCACGCAAGAAGTGGTTGATCTCGTCAAGGAGCGCATCGGTCTCAAGAAGGACGTCCAAGGCTTCTCCCTGTTTGAGGTCTTTGGCCCGCTCGAGCGCAACATGCTGCCCAGCGAGAAGGTTGCCGACGCCATTTTCAAGTGGGAAAAGTATGCCAAGAGCACGCACTCGAACAAGAGCTTGCGGCTCACGTTCAAGCAGCGTCTCTTCACTGGTCCCTTCTCGACCCCGGCCGACCCTGTCGAGTTCAACCTGGTCTTCCACCAGGCCATCGACGACGTTGTGGGCGATCGCTTCCCCGTCACCACACCCGAGGCCGTTCGTCTTGCCGCGCTCCGTGCCCAGGTCGAGCTTGGCGACTGCGACAAGCAAAAGCCTGCTGCCGACCGCTACTCTGGCATCATTGAAAAGTACATTCCCAAGCACATGCGCACCTCCACAACTCTGGCCAACGAGATTTCCGAGGAGCACATCAAGCTTGTGGGCAAGCAACAACAATGGTGCGACCACCAGTACTTTGATTTCGTCAAGTCCTGGTCGTTGTATGGCTCTACCATCTTTGAAGTTTTGGTAAGTTTTTTTTCTTCTTCTGTTTTTGGTGTTGGTTTGAAACAAAAGAAGAAAAAGAAGAAGTGAGAGCTGACCTTTGTTTTTGCGTTTGCAGCAATCGTACACTTCCTCGCTCCCCAAGAACTTGTGGCTTGCTGTGAACGAGCACGGCATTCATATTCTCAAGCGAAAGGAAAAGGTAACGCTGTCCTTGTGCATTCTTGTTCTCTGTTTTGCCAGGCGTTGTTGGAAAGCGTTTTCTGACTGTTGATGGTTTGTCTTCCCTTCTCTCTCTGTCTCTGCAGGATCCGCTCGTCTCGTACAACTATCGCAATATTGTCAACTACAGTCCGTCGTTGCGAAACTTGATGATTGTCACCGAGTCGTTGACTCGAGGCACCAAGTTCGTGTTCAACACGAGCCAGGTGAGTTTTTTTTTTTTTTTGGTTTGTTGTTGTTTTGTGATGCAACCTCGACACCAAACGTGCTGACTCTTTGACTTTTTAATTTGCTTTGAACCGCAGGCCTCTCAAATTGCCCATCTCATCCGCGACTATACGCACATTATTGTGCAGAAGCAAAAGAACAAGGCTCCGACCAAGTAAACGTCCTCTTTCTTGTGCACATTGTTCTTGTTGTCGAGGGTATTGTGTTGTTCTGTTTTTCTCTGTTTTGTGCTGTTCCTTGTTTTGATATGTGGTATTTTTTTTGGTTTGAGAAGCGACCGCTTTCCTTGTTTGCTTCCGCTGTTCTTTGTTGTTGCTAGTGTTGGGACATTTATTGCATGCCTGAATGCTCCAACATTTCGTTGTTCTGTGTGTACCGTGTCTGGGCAAAGAAATGCCTTCTTTGTTGCCAAGCGCGTGTTTATGAAAATCTTCCAAATACAACCTTCAAAATGAAGCTTTTCGTTTCCCAGTCTCTTTCAAGCACACTGGTACGGTCTAGTTGATTTTTTTTTAAAATTATGATTGACTAGTCGCTTTCAGTCTAACTTTGTTCTCAGCCACAGCCATCATCATCATGTCCAAGCGCCATTGGGTGACTTTGCCGCACGAGCGCATCGAAGTTACAGTTGCCGCCACTGGCAACGCGTCGCTGCCCCCCGTGACCATCATCGAGGCTTTCGACAAGACCGTCCAGAAGCTTCCCGACAAGGTGAGAGCGAGCTCGAGAGTGGAGTGTGTGTGTGCGTGCGTGCGTGAGAAACCAGCGATGGATGCGAGCGAGTCCCTTTTTTGCGCAGTCGTCCCGTTTCCCGATGAGTGTTTGCGCATTTCGCTGCGTCACCAGTCCTGCTCGCTATCAAGTGCCTTTGTTCTGAGACTGGAGGAGAGGAGTGAGGAGTGAGGAGAGGAGAGGGAAAAGTTGGTTGCTCGCTGCTGTGGCTTCGGGATGAATATGGTTTTTGTTTTTTTGAATGGAAAAAGGATGAGCAATCAACACATCTTCAAAAAAAAAAAAAAACCAAAAAAAAAAAAAAACCCCAAAACAATCATAATCCGACTTTGTAAATCTTGTTTGGTCGAAGGCTGAGGATTGCACGTAGGGGGGTGGTTCTGCAAGAGATAACACGACAAAAGCAAAGCAAACGAATAAGGCGTGCTGGGTGGGGGAATGGATGGCGTGCGTTATTACTGTGCGCGAACTTACGACTTTTGCACAGTCGCACAAAGAATCTCAGATTTTTTTTTTAAAAAACACTAACTGATTGTTCTGTTCACTTTGTTCACTTTTTTGGTAGGGCGCACTCTTCTTCAAGACAAAGCCGGGCCAGTCGGGATTCGACTCGTTCACATTCACACAGTTCAGAGAGCAAGTCTACAAGGTCGCCAAGTCCATCATCAAGCTCGGCGTCCAAAAGTGGGAGCGTGTGGGCATTCTCGGCTTCAACTCACCCGAGTGGTTTATCGCCGACGTTGCGTCCGTGTATGCCGGTTGCATCCCGTTCGGCATCTACACGACCAACGGCCCCGAAGCGTGCCAGTTTGTGCTCGAGTTTACAAAGTGCCCGCTTCTTGTGCTCGAAAACGCCGTCCAGCTGCGCAAAATCCGCGAAGTTGCCAGTCGTAAGTCCCAGCACACGAGTTTGCTGCCTCCTTTGTTTTGCTGATATCGCCCAACTGACCGACACGATGTGGCGGTTGGACAGAGCTGCCTCTTCTCAAAACGGTCGTTGTTTGGAGCGGCACTCCCGTCAAGGAGGCCAGCGATCCCTGGCAAGTCCTGTCTTGGCAAGAGTTTCGCGACCTCGGTATGCTCTTCTTTGGTCTCGAAAGGGGGCTCTTTTTTTTTTTTTTCTCTTTGACAAGGAACACAAAAACAAATCCGTGTAGTAGCTAACTTGACACCTCATTTTCATGGCGCTAGGCTCCGATCTTCCCGACCAGGCCGTCTCAGAACGCACCCTGGACATCGCCCCCGGCAACTGCGCTTGCCTCATCTTCACCTCGGGCACCACCGGGCCACCGAAAGCGGTGATGGTGTCGCATGACAACTTGACCTGGGTGACGTCGGTCGTGCGAGCAGCGCTCGCCGCAGACCACAACGACTCCTGGGTCAGCTACCTGCCACTGTCGCACATTGCTGCCAAGATGGTCGACTTGATGGCGTGCGTTGTGGAGGGCACTTCGGTGTACTTTGCCCAGCCAGACGCGCTGAAGGGCACGCTCGTGGACACGTTGCGCGAAGTTCGCCCGACGCTCTTCCTTGGTGTCCCGCGTGTTTGGGAGAAAATGATGGAGAAGCTTCAGGCGATCGGTGCTGCCAATTCGGGCATCAAGAAGAAGATTGGCACATGGGCCAAGAAGAAGGGCGCCGCTGGGTCGCTTGCCAAACTTGAGGGCAAAAGCAAGCCGTCCGGCTGGTCGCTGGCCAACTCGCTCGTGTTCAAAAAGGTCAAGGCAGGCCTTGGTCTTGATCGGATGCGCGTGGCCCTGGTCGGTGCCGCTCCCATGTCTCGCGACTGCACGCTGTACTTTATGAGCCTTGACATTTCCGTTTTTGAAGTGTTTGGCATGTCCGAGTCGACGGGTAGGTTGGGGGAAAACCCCAAGAGGTTTCGGAAGGGAGAAGGCGGGATGGCAAGTGAGCGAATGCGGTGCGAGTCTAGGTTCTTATTGTTCCTGTTTTTGTATTTTTTTTGTGGAATGGACAGGATGCGTCACCTTCTCCATCAACCACCAGTTCAAGATTGGTGCTTGCGGGTCTCCCATCGAGGGCGTTGATTTGAAAATCAACCGACCAGATTCGGATGGCAATGGTGAAATTACGTTCAAAGGCCGCAACCTGATGATGGGCTACCTCTTTGACGAGCCCTCGACTGTCAAGGATATTGATGCAGATGGATTTTTCCATACTGGCGACATTGGCAAGGTTGGTAGATTTGGCGTGTGTGCGAGGTGATGTTTTTGTTTTGTTCTCGGAGTCTCACGGCTATTTTTGGTTTGCGATGATAGCTGTTTGATGGTACGCACCTCGGCATCACCGGTCGTATCAAGGAGCTCATCATTACCGCAGGCGGCGAGAACATTCCACCACTGCCCATTGAGGAGTCCATCAAGCGCGAATTGGCCATCGTCAGCAACTGCATGGTGATTGGAGACAAGCGCAAATTCCTGTCTTGTTTGTTGACGCTCCGATGCCTTGTGGTGGATGACGAGCCGACTCAGGACCTGACTCGCGAAGCGGTCGCCCTTTGCAAGGCCATCGGCTCTGGCAAGTCTCCGTTCGTTTTGCAGTTTTCGGTTTGCGGTTGGCCTTTGAACGTTTCTAACATTGTTATTTGTTTCGCCTTTTGAATCGGATGCGCGACAGATGCGACAACACTGCCACAGGCGATCCGAGACCCGAAAGTGATTGCAGCAATCGATGAGGCGTTTGTGCGCGTGAACAAGTAAGTGTGAATAATTTGTGTTTGTTTCGGATGGACTGGAAGCAGGTTCTAACATCTGATGTTGTGATTCTGCCCCCCCCTCTCCCAATCTCCGCAATCTCCGCCTCTCTTTTTCCTCGCTGCCAACAGGAAGGCAATCTCGCACGCACACACCATCCAGAAGTGGGTCATTCTGCCAAACGAGCTCTCCATTTCTGGCAATGAGCTCGGTCCCACGCTCAAGATGAAGCGTCGCACCATTGCGACAAAGTACGACTCCCTCATCGAGACTCTCTACGTCGAGTAGAATTGTGTTTGCTTTGTTGTTACAGTACGATGAAGGACGACTGCAGTTGTGTCTTGTTTTGTTTGTGTTTTGGCGCGATTACAAGATTTTTCGTTGTTTTGCTTGGAAATCCCAATTCCACCCATGCATACATTGTACGCAACTTACAGTTCTACCTGTGTATGGATTCTGATCTGCTCAGTCTCTTCCAAATCCATTCTCGGATCGGAGTTCTGCGAACAAAAGCGGGGGCAATGAGCGGCGAGAAGCACGTCTTCCACGCGAGGACGTTCGCGCAGCTGCTGAGCACAGCTTCAACGCATGCTGCTGCGTCGTGGGACGTCAGTCAGCTGCACCGCGCGACCAAGTGGGCTGAGCTCGCGCAGACGTCGTACTGTGCCAGTGACGCGTCGGCGCAGACCAAGCGCGACATGTGCGCTGCCGCCGACACACAACTCCAGCAACCCAAGCAACCGCAAGCGCTGTTGCATGCTGCAGGACCAACGTCAACAGCAACGGCGGCGGCGCCATCACAGCCGAGACTGGCGACTTCTGGTCCTGCAGCGCTCTCGTCCGCGCTTGCAAGTTTCAGTGCAAGTCACATCCTGAGCACTGCGCGGCAACGGCTGCTCTCCGTATTAATCCAGAATGTGCACATTAGTCAACCCGTATACCTGGAGGTGCTGCGATTGTATCTCGCGCTTGAGGACGAATCTCCCGCCACGACAACAACCATAACAATTCCCGCCAAATCCAAATCAGGCGCACCAATGCTCATCCAAGACCTCACTGCTTTGGCGAGAGCCGCAGCTGCTGCACGAGCCGCATCCGATGCACGCCGTTACTTTGAAGGTGACTGGACGGGCATGGAGGACGGTGCCGATGCCGATCAGAGCGACGCCGACGATCCGCAGATGGCGCTGCTCTTGTCGTTATTGACCTCGTCCTCGCAGGGCGGCGGCGCATCATCGCAACAGTCGTCTCAGTCGTCTCAATCGTCTGGAGCAAGACGAGAAGCCTTGCTGCGTCTCCCACACAAGCTGGTTCTCGAGCTCTGTTCCCGCGATTACGAGTTCTTCCAAATCTACCTCTCCACGTTAATCCAAGCCCTGCTGCAAGTGGCTGCGCCTGTTTCTTCCGACTCGTTTGCCTTTGCCATTGCTGGTCGAAAGCCCGAGGGCCCATTGCTGGCCATGCTGCGTGCCCGGTTTACCGGCTTGCTTGCTGCCAGCGAGCCAATACCCCGTTATGTCTGCACCGCGCTCCACGATCTCTCCGAATCGCTTGCCACGTCCCCAAGCGCCGGATCTCTGGACGCGTTTATCCAGTCTGTGCTGCCAAAGTAGCAGCAAGCACATTATTGTTTGTTAGTCAACGTTCGTTAATACATTTTTCTACTTTTTTTTTTGTCTTCCCTTTGTTCCCTCTGAAATCTCTTTGTATTCTCATCTCTAAAAGTTCCCTTCCGTCCAAGTCGTGCTTTTCCGCTCACTCTACCACTTCACTTTTGTGCATTCATACAACATTCAATGGTAACAACGTTCCCTTCCTTCTTGGTTCTCTTAACTTTTCCTATCGAGTTGCATTTATTCTCCGTTTTCGTCCCACTTTTCCCCTCCTCCTCCACCTCTTCCTTTTCCTTCCAATCGCCCTCAACGCAACGCTGCCTTTTGCTTTGACTCACTTTGTCGGTCTTGTCTGTGCTTTTCTGGCGGTGTGCTTGCAGCAGCGCTTGTCTGGTCTGATCGTCGCTCGCTCTGCTGCCGCTGCCCTTCTCGCTTCGGCCCCGCGCTCTGCCGCCTGTGCCGCGCTCGCCGTCCGCACGCGTGCTAGCATTGCCACCGGCAGCATGACTCTGTCTACTGCTGCTGCTGCCGCTGCTCGTCAGGCAACTTCGCCCTTCGCTGCTTCGACCGTGTCCATGTGCCGCGGCTATGCCACAATGGCCCCTGCCGAGTCCGAGAGTGCTCGCGATTTCATTGACAAGGTAATGCAACGAGCAGCATCTGTACGCTGCACGAGTTGAAGCATTCATTCCCAAAGCCACGGGGGGGGGGGGTTCAACCGATCATCTCGTGCGAATCCCAATCGAGCACCTTTCGCTTTGATCGCTCGCACGCACGCAGTGCTTGTTCGATAACTCTGACAAAAAGAGCATCAAAAAGGTGCAAGGTGCACGTTGTCACTCACTCACTGCCCTGACTGTGGATTGCATTGATTAGACGGTCAAGGGCAACCCCGTCGTCCTGTTCATGAAGGGCGTTCCCGAGCAACCCATGGTAGGCGTACCTGCAGTTTGTGTTGCTTTGTGTCCTAGTCAGCATTCTAAACATTGTCATCTTGCCTTTTGATCTTGGATGGTGCAGTGCGGATTCAGCCGAGCTGTCGTTCAGGTTCTCGCCGCTCAAAGTAATCACCATTTTATTGCATCGCTCGCGATGTCACTCCTCGTTGCTCACTCCCGATTCATCTCACAGACCTCAAGGAGTACGCTTCTGTCAACGTTCTCGCCAGCGACGAAGTGCGTCAAGGCATCAAGGACTACACGTAGGTGGCCTTTTGGAAACTATTCCTTGTTATGTTTGATTTTTGATCTCATGATTGCTCATTTCCCCAACTTTTCGTGAACAGCAACTGGCCTACTATTCCCCAAGTGTTCATCAATGGCGAGTTTGTCGGCGGATGCGACATTCTGCTCAACCTCCACCAGAGCGGCGAGCTCGAGACCATGCTGAAGAAGACCCAGTAAAACCGAGCTGCATCTTTGCGGCGCAACATTCATTGTTCGAGCATATACAAAATTCGCGGTTTGACACACTTGTAACACCAAACAGTTTTAACATTTTCCCACCAAAAACAAGGTTCAAGCACACTCACACACCACATTGATTTTTTCAAAACAGTCCAAGGAAGCGCAGTGCAATCAAAAGGACGATGAGTGCCAAAACCCATTGGACAACGCTGAGCGACTGGCCCGAGTTTGGCAACTTGCGAGTCTGGTAGGGCAGAAATGCGCTGGTGGCGTTTTCGCCAATCGCTTGAACTGCGCCAGACCACGCGTGGGGACCGACGAGACGGAACCACGTTGGCGACATGGGCGCAAAACAGTAGCGCAAGATGAGGGTTGGGTGCGACAGCAGGACGCGCAAGAAGGTCGGGCGGCAGCCAATCTGGTCGGCAAGTGTGTCCATGTAATCAATGTAGTCCACTTGGATGGTATGGCGCGGAGAGCGCTTGTACCGCTGCGCTACGCCACGCTGCTGGTCTGCAATGTCCTGGACCATGGTTGCTTGATCAGGAAGCGCCTGCTTTCCAGAAAACACGCGCGTCGCCCAGCGACACTGCATCTCCGAAATGGGCATGACAGCACCGAGTGGCTGAATGAGGCCGACGAAGGCAATGTTGGACACCGCTGCTGGGAAGATGTTCTTGTAGAGCGAAATCTTGTTGTCGACCACGGTGATTCCTGCAGACTTGTCCAGGTACGGAAACTCCACCTTGTAGCCCGTGCAGTAGCAAATGACGTCAATGTCCTCAGCAACACTACCGTCGTCAAATTCAACGGACGTGGGGAGAATTCGTGCAATGTCGGATTTGACCTGAATCGCGCCCACGCCAATGCGGCCAATGAGTTCGCCGTTGATGGTCGGATGGGCATTGTAAATGCCAAAGGCGGGCTCCAGACCAAAGTTGCTCAGATCGCCCGTGTGGGCACGCAACACTGTCTCCACAATCTTTCCGCGAATGGCGAGCGGCAAGGCGTTCATCAGGCGCGTGTTTCCGACATGGTCCGACGGCATGCCAAAGATGGTGAAGCGAGGAAGGATCCAGGCACCGCTGCGGGTGCTCAAGTAGACTTGCTTGGAGTGGCGAGAGAGCTCCACGGCGACGTCCACACCTGGTTGGATTTTGACCAAAGTTATGCAGAATCAGTTTTTTTTTTTTTTTTGTTTTGTTGTCGTTTCTCATCTGTCTCAACTCGTTTCTCCTCTGTCTCAACTGTTGGAGAGCGACAGTATTGATGAGCGTTTGGCTCTCGCGCCACCTTACCACTGTTGCCAATGCCAATCACAAGAACACGCTTGCCAACGAACGGGGTGTAGTCCTTGTACGAATGGCTGTGAAACTGGTAGCCCTTGAACGTTTCGGCACCCGTCAGTTTCGGGGTGTTTGGATTCCAGTGGTGCCCAGAGCAGATGAACAGGCAATCGAACTTCTCGGTGCGCGTCGTGCCAGACGTTGCATCGCGCACTGTCAGCTCCCACGAGGACGAGCCTTGCTGCTTTGCGTTGAGGACTTGCGAGCTGAAGCGAATGTACTGCGCAGTCAAACTGCC